TATTTAAGTACCTTTTTTTAAGTGATGTGTGTGAATCAACCTTTAAAGGTCGATTCACACACTTCAGTTACGGAACGTCACAGTCCAGTCAACAGTTAACAAAAATATTCTGTTGTGGATTTTCTATTGCGCTATCTACACTTGTCCGTTGCAGCTGCAGTCCCGTCAGTCGCTCTACCGGCATCCGTCAGTTAATTTCAGATTTCTTTCCACCGATACTTTTGGATTGTTCGGACGCCTGACGGACCTGTTTAAGGTTAGAAAATAGTGTTATTGTTGTTTAAATGGTTGTGTTTATGTTTTGAGTACTGTTTGTAACAATCAACAAGATGGACAATGAAAACTTGATAGAATATAGGTTTATAATTTAAAACTTATGACTGTAAATTACTGTGAATTAGAGACGGAAGACTGGCTGAAACCAACTGACGGACTATTGACTGAGAAATTGCGGATGCAACTGAGACTGAACTGTAACTGGACTGTAACGGAACTGTGACTGAACTGATATGTGTGAATCGACCTTTAGGGTTTGTTACTGAGATAATTGACGTGGCATAAGATATTCAATATCTAACGCAATATATTTTGTAATATTTTTACAATGATACATAAAAATATGCAATGTTTTAGTTTATTATGCCGTCATATACGTTTTACTACTTGGTTAAAAAGTGTTCGACAGAAATCAGTAATTTTGCATAAACGAACTATTATCATAGATTAAAAGAATTAAACATACTCCTTTACTGTGCTGTCTATAATCCTTTTATCTATGCTATTATTCAACTGCGTCCATGTGCCCATTTCATAATAATCTACAAGTTACAAGTTACAACTTGTAATTTCCATTAGATTTACATTGGGCGATCAGCTGATTTACTAATAATATTAGTTTGTAGTTTATTATGAAATGGGCCCCATGTTGATTGTTGATTCTAAAAATGGTGACGTGACAGCATTAATAAGGGGACGGAACGTCCACGTCCCCATGTATATAGTCTATCGATATTTGAAGGTTTAATCATAGATAAACTACATTAGTAGATTTCTCATCCTTATGGATCAGCTGAAGCTAGTGTTATTGTTAGTTCTGTCCGTTGCACCGAAGTGGTCACGTTTTGATTACAATTTGCTTCTTGTGGTTTCAATCATTTAAAACCTTTTTTACCAAATAAAACTATCTAACCATAAGAAACAACTCATCCTCTAGTTAAATAACCAAACAGTAAAGGTCGAATAATTAAATTGACCCTAAAATAAGAGAAACAAAATTTTGTCGACACCAGCGATCGGTGTCACCGGCCATAAACTAGATATGAAAAACTAGCTTCAAAATTTACAATGGGATAAGAAGTCTACTTGTGTTGGTTAGTCTAAGGCTTAATACATGGCAAATGGAAATGGCTCTATATCATTATAACTTTCATACGTATATCCTTTACTGCATTTCCAACTCGTGCTCTAATGTGTTGGCTAACCTGGTTCTTTTTTTGTGTTCATATGCTCGAAAGTATTCAGCTCTCCGCTGTCATCAGCAGCTCTCATCTCAGGCCTCAGCTCAGCTGGGGGGTTTGTTATTGTTTGTTTTGGGAGGGAGATAGATAGAGGGAAGAGGGAATTTAGAATCATTGGTTTGTGTTTGAAAGTTTTGTAGCAAAAGCAATATCTGTTTTTTGCGATAGTGCATGTAAAAACTTTCCATTGTGGATTATGGATCACGTATTATAATATTTGGTGAAAGAAAATATCATTGAAACCTTCAAACACCTCAACCTTTTCATCGGCAACAAAAAGGTAGTGTTTAACCTCCAAACAGTCCTAATCCTCTAGGCCTAAGTTACTATTTATTTACCTAGAAAACCCCGAAAGGAAATGTAATTAATTATTGATTCATGAATATGGACCAAGATTATTTCATTGATCAACTTAGATAACAATTACTTGTAGATCAGTTAACATTTTTTAGTACAGACCAATGTTTGTGCTTATTTTCAACTAAAAACCTATAGTGATATAACTTAAATCACTATAGGTTCCCATGGCCATGTTAATCGCAATAATTACCAAATAACTTGCCAGATATGGAATATCAACACTGTATAAATACTTTAACCTACAGACTACCTGACAACTAAAATGACAGAATTTAAACACTGGAGTCCCCTTCTTGTAAGAATCGTCATTACTGTCATTTATATTTTGTAGCTTTGGGCTAAGTAGGCTATAGCTTTACAGTTCCGAAATATACTATCAGATGAAATATTAGTTTTGTATAAATATTTTACCCTATGTACAGTAAACTTACTTATAGTTTACATCTCACACATCCCTCATGTGCTAATGATTTGGAATTTTAGTTTTAAAACAAAAAAATTATTAAAAAAATTTATCATACATATATAGCATACGCTCTTTAAATTAATACTACCTAACCTAGGGGGCCTTGAGTGACACTAGTTACCACCAGTCACTGAAAATAACCACATCAGGGAGCAAAGTCAGTTTAACTTTGAAAGTACATAAAAGAACCAAATAATAACTTGTAGCCTCGTCGCAAAGACCAAGTCAAGATGGTAGTTTTGAGACCTAAAACCAGTAGGTAGGCTAATGTAATATTTTACACTACCCTTCTTACACCTCTTTCTACAGAACACATACATAATAGGCTATGTAGTCATTGCCTTATTACACACAACTAAACATGCACCTAGTCTCAATAGGTCTGTCAAAGCACAGTTTCTGTGGCCTCACGGGGGTCTTATGTATGTCACCTGACTCGTGTAAATTACAAGATCTAGTTAGTGAACTAGCTTACTCCAGTTTGGGTTGACTCTCTTACTACAAATGTTCTTTGGCATCATACTCTATGACCCCTGAATATTATTGAATACAAAAAAATCACTGTTGATAATGTTTAAGCATCACTACATAGTTTGTATTAAGTTTCTCTAGAATTCTAACACTATTTGTTTGAAAAATATGTGTAGGCTGCTTCAAATTTGACAAAATTAATTATTTAAGAATTTTTTTCAACTTATTGGCTAGTCCATCCGATTAATACATAGCCTACAAACCAATTATATTCGTAGTTGAAATGCGTTTTAGGGTACTGTGTTTTAGGTCCGAGAAAACTGATATAGGTAGTTTTCCTTCCGTTCCTGACTTTCAGATAGCCTATCCCACGTTCTTAGAGAAAGAAGTGATGAAAACAAGTAGTTGGAGTTGAAATTGTTTTGTCTCTTATGTTGTCAATGTTCTTGTTTTAAATCGGAATCATTCTACCTACATACAATATGACTGAATAGTTTTAGTAGTAAATGCTAGTCCTAATGAATACTAGCTGGCTGACTGTGTCGGTGGGTGCATTTATACATGAAGTTCCTGACTTTCTTTTTACCTACCAAATTTTTGCCCCGTGTCTGGAATATGCCAAGTCAAGTATGAGTAATGTCAGTAGGCACAATACAATAAAGTGTATAATGAATGGAAAACCACAACATTGCAGCCATTGTTCAGCGGTTTGTCACAATCGCTACAGACTCATACCCTCACATCATACATCAACACTTTTTTTAACCATTACTAAACCTATACTAATGTTTGTTCATAACTGTAAATTATGTACGTTAAAAAAATGTTCTTAGTTTTAACTGCGAGGTTTCTCACCATAAAGTGATTCCCGACACCAATTCAGTGGTAGAAAACGAGTCCAGTGGGCACTGAGCAATTAAGCGAGTGCAGAAGAGCCTCAAAGATAGTTGTCAAAATGAGCCAGTCGTCCATCAAGAGGCCAGGCGTGTCATTTTGACCTTGGTTGCTGGAAGGGTCAGTCGGTACGCCCACACTGGGAGTGCATTATAAGCCAGTTCTCAATCGGTCGCGGCAAAGGTCAGTTCTCGCTCAGTGGTCAGGCGCGTGTAGAAAGAAGGTTTCATCGGCTTATCGCTCTTTCATCGAGAGAGGAGGAATTAATTCAAGTCCGACTTCCTGCTAGAGAAATCCAAGCTTTTCCTAGATGGCGATGATATGAATATCTTATTCTAAAACTTATCATTCTGATTTATCTATCCATTTTTCCTAACTTTTGACCCCTGGTATGATCCAAGCACATGGCTGAAGTTATCTCCTTACACAACCAAAACATAAAATTAATTCAAAGCATTTCTCTCCAATATTACTGACGGGAAACTGGCACCAGAAATTGTTCTATGGTTGTCTGTAAATTAAGTTCTACATCAACATTCTGTCATGAACGAGCGAGCTAGCTCAATTACGACACCAGTGTCGTGTTCTTTATTTTATCCACTACTATTCTTCTTACCCTTATGCTACGATTAGTTTCGTAGTGGTACCATTGTCAAAAACAATGCAAAGCATAAACCCTCCCACCATGTAAGAATAGTGTTACAGTATGCGATTATATTTCTGTTGGAAGTTTTAATAGAATTGTTATTAAAAATCCATTGACAAGATGTGCAGTAAAGGGTTTTGACGTGAAAAATGTGCAATCATATAGGAGCCCCTAGTTTTTCCACCTCCCCTTCAGTCTAACCGTAAGCATGCATAATTTCCTTAACATCGGTCAGTGCCTTAAAAGAGACTGATGAAAAATAATAATAGTGAATAAAGTTGTAAACACTGCACTAGTGTCAGTGTCAGATTCAAACTTGCTAACTCGGTCGCCACGGGAAGTTGATAGTGTCCTAAATTTACAAACAACCCTTGTTATAAAGGAGAAGATATTAGGTTTTAGAGCCAACACATTTTCAACAACAAATGTTTGTCTCAGGAAAACCATTTGTTTGGTGTACAATTATAACCATACACATGTCCGATCACGTTTGATGAATCAGCTGTTCATTATTTTACTTTTATCATTGTTCCATTGTGTTAATTTATATCCATGGAACTCTAGATAATGAGTTATTGTAAATGACACATGTTAGTTTTAATCAGCTAACGAACAGTCCAATTTATGTTCTTTGTTTATTTTTCAGACAAATCGATGGACTTGCGCCAACATTCTCAAAAAAACCGGCAATTAGACAAGAAGATGATGGAAAAAGACTGCTATTTGAATGCAGAATACAAGCAGACCCTACGCCCTCAGTTATTTGGTCTCATGGAGGAAATATTGTTAAAGATGACGCTAGACATAAAGTAAGTTGATGAGTTGATTGAGTTTATTATTTTTTGTAATTTGTTGCAATCCAATAGACAAGAAATATATTGGGTACCTATTAGTTAATAAGGGCAATGTAAACCAGCCACTTCCCTAACAATTCTTTTTTCTTTTATGACATTTCAATTCGCCATTCAGGTGCAAGGGTTTCTTAACGGATCATGTTTTTGCAAGACGTTCAAAAACATATTTAAATAAAATTGGTTAAATAACTTATCCTATACACAGATTTCATCTTGTTTTTTATTGGTTTGGAACACTCAGAATTGTCTTAAAAAGTTAAACACATCATGTCTAGACTTTTTGAAGTCAAATAGCATCCTGTATTAAGAATTCATACAAAACTGAGTGTTGAAATGCATGTTTTTCTAGCTGCCGAATTAGGCTACGAACTACTGGTGTGTATTTTGGCACCTACTGAACATACAAGGATTAAGTAGGCCTACAACCTTTTTCCTATTGGCCAAATTCAGCTAGGCTCAATATAATAGTCGTAGTTAAAAGCCAAAATCAGCAGCTAGGAAAACAAGCTTATAGTGAAAATTAAGTAAATTTAAATACTTTTGTACCAAGGCCGAGTACAGTAGACTACTTTTTATCCGTACTCCTCAGGACCGAGGCAAGTTTGGAAACGGTTTTTCTGATGTCCCCTATTAATCCTGTATTCTATATCCCCTGATGTTAAATTAGGAACATCCGATGCATATAATTTAGTCTAATAATGATTATTATGTAAAATTAGTAAAACTAGATACGTGATTACTGGTCTCAAATCTTTCTACGAGAAAAGTCGTTTCCAGCACTACCCACTTCCTGTCAATCACTAGTCTAGTTAAATCAATGTGCTGATAAAAAATTGTGCAATTAAATAAATGTCACTTCTGTCGAATGTAATTTCGTTGAAAGGTGTCCGAATAATAGGGAGTCTAGGCCTACTTTAGGTGAGTCACCATCAGCAATTGAAAATCGAATCAGTATACTGTCCTGGGGAGCAAGCTGTTCTAGTGGTTAGAGCGTGGGACTTCAGTTCCTGAGGTCCCCGTGTTCAAATCCTGCTAAATCACCAATGGATTTTATCTAAGCGATAATGCCGCAACCCCTAGGTCTTGCCTGAGGTAATGTGAAAAACAATCCCAGGCTCGTGCCTAGCGTCCTAGGACCAAAAAAAGAGTAGACTGGCCTGTGAGTGTACGTGTGATGGTCGTCTAATCCTAAGGGTCTCACCTCAAATCGGACAGAGTATAATTTAAAGCAATTATTCAAAAATTTTACTATTAAATCTGACCTAGACTAAAACCTTCTCAATGAAAACATAATTGGAAATTTGTTTTCTAGATGAAAGTCGAAAAAGATGGACACTCGTATTTTGCATCTCTGGAAATAAAAAATGTTACGATTGAAGATGCTGGCAAGTACAAAGTAACGGCAAAGAACGAACTCGGCGAAAGCAACGCGACAATCAGCCTCAACTTTGATAGTAAGTTTTAGAGTCAAATTGGAGATTTTTTGTCCATGTTTGTCCTGTGTAAGCTGCTTATTAACAGAGTATGTCCTAGTATAGTTACGCTTGGCTTGCGTGCCATTTCATCAATTTGTTTTCTAGTAGGCTCACAGGACATCAAATAACTAAGTAAAATATCTTGAAAACTCAACTGAAAATCAAAAGCTAGAGAAATTATTTGATGTAACACAACATAATACTTTATACATGTTTTCATCATTCAGGTCATTATTAATGTGAAGGTTTTTAGGAAAAGACTATTTAGAGATTTATTTAAGGCATCATTTGTGTATTACAGTTTTCCTCCTTAACTGAATACATTTAAGTTTTGATATTTTACAATGAATAAAATCTATTCACTAAAATAATGAACTTTTTGATATTCTAATATACCTTTTGTACGTAAATGAAGAATTAATTTATGATTAATCATAATTTATTCACTAATTGATGTAAATCCATCGATTTAAATTTACTTAATTTAGTTGAACTTTAGTTTGCATAATTAGTTTACTAGTAACATTTTTTCTAAACTCTAGTCAATAAAATTGTTTTTTTGGGGTTGAAACTCACTCCCCCCAAAAACACCCTTACCATGGTCCCATTGGACTGGTTTTCAAACTCAATCCGATAGATGTTGCACTACACGATTAATAGAAAATTAATTTAAATCAGATAACTCGTATGACAAGGGTGTCAACGAACACTTTTCCTTAAAAAACATATGTGTACCTATCAACATATGTTTCTACATTCACTAAAGTAATCTATGTAAAATTAGATAAATTTTGTTTTTATTTGTAAGTGTAAAAATCTATCCTTGTTCGTGTTTTTTAAACAGTGGACCTAATTATATTTGAAATATGACTGAGTAAACCGGGTTTTAGTTTTCGTTGAAGAACCTTCAACAAATAAGTAAAGTGGGGGGCGTAGATCTTACATGAAGGCTACGGCAATAGCTACTTCCCTTTAGGAATAAACATTAAAAAAATATTTTTCACACCAATTTAATTTAGTATTTTTAGAGTAGTATTTTTTTTGAGACTGTGAATGTAATTTCTTCGTCTCTCTGTACCACTAAACCTTAACTTTTGACGACATTAGTCATATTACACATTAAAATCCATGGATATAAACTTACTTAAATACAAGATGTGCTCTTAATCATTAACATTACCTGATATAAGAAATAATGTATACATGTTTGTTGAGTTACACTTTTTTGTGTAGATCTCACACTCAAAAGTCTACTTTACCTCCTCATTGTAGTTGTAGACTAAGATCATACAGATGTTGTTTCAAAGTTTATTTTTAAGTTTTAATTAAATGTTGGTGGTTTGTTATATTTATATTAATTTTTGTTTGGCACAAACAACTGATAGTGTGTTCATTTCTGTTTGTTTGCTTCTTATGTCGATTTGTTTACAATAATAAAATTGGACAGGTAACGTATGGGCGGATGTAAAAGCCTTTTTGCTTTTTGAATTTTTGTTTGATTTCGTATCACTGTCATAAAGAGAAATACTAACACACAGTAAATTAACTATTTTAACATTATGGAAAACACGAGGCAACACTAATTCTATATATTAATCATCACTTTTATGTAATATTAGAGACAGCTTCTTTCCCAATTCTAACTTAATCAACTATTTTCAAAATGAGACTAAAATTTGAATCACAAACATGTAACATACACTTGTATAAATTATTTTGCCAATTCTACCTCCTCCGATAGCAAAATAACCTGTCAGCTTTCTAAACTACATTTCTTCATCACCTAAAAGCATTGTCAAACTTCTTGCCTAGGACAATTGACACATCTGCTGCTAATTTTTCTTACTGCTGGTCCATTGATATTCATTGAGTACGGATGACTGAATGAATGCTTGTCGGTCTATTACTACACAGATTGCAACATTACATACCCGTCTGTCACTACATACGAGTCTAACATTTGGCAACTTATGATAATGTTCAAAGACTTAAGAGATCAATTGACAACTGAGACCATGATCCTTTTCCAATTTGGCATGTCGCTTATTGGCCACTTAACGTACATGCTTTCTCTATGTGTGTGTTTCTATGTTGAGACTTAGAGTTTAGTGTTGTGTCATTTTGAATATCCTTGTTTAAATAAACAACAATTACCGATGAAAGATTTTATCATAGGTAAATTTATCCTGGACTCCAGAGGAAAGCGGATTTTCGTCGTTTACTATTTTTACAGGTTGTTTTTAGATTTTTTTACTTTTCCCGCTTTTACACCTGCTTTTTTACTCGCTTATTCCTTATTGTAATAGTGGTTATTGTATAAATTGTATACTTTCCAAACTTTTTCCATCTACTCTCGCATAACACCATTACCCTCATACTTTTACCTTCTCTTTATGAATTGATTTTATTTAGTATTTACGTTGTATTGTTTTTGTTTAAAGTGGTTCTACGTTTTGGAATTTTTTGTACAATTTTTTTGACTGAGTCGAAAATAAAGAAAGAGTGGTGAAACATTGTCAGTTACTTGTGTCAACATTGTAAACATGATAGTATCTTAGGTTGTAGAACATTTTTGAACATAGGTGATGAGACCCCTGCACCAGGGGGAGGTTTCAAACCCTCCTTCACTGAAAGACCCATCACTCGACAGTCAGACGACGGGTCCAGTATCACTATAGAGTGCAGAGTTGTTGGAGACCCGAAACCTACGATCATGTGGTAAGTTCTGACTAGCATAGCTGTTCAGTGTTCAGATAGAATCTTGGATTATTGATATCACTGATATTTTGGGGAGTCTTTAGGTGGATCTCAACTAAACCAAGAAGAGGAAATTCATGTAAAACCTCCTTAGAAATCTTAGGATATACACACTTTTTGGACAAATGAATGAAGTTCTAGATGGGATCCATAGCACTCAAAAAAATTTTTCCCATGTAAAAATTTACACATAATTACAATAAAAGGAACAAATATAATTTCAGATTGGCACAAGTTGACAATATTTAGGAACAGCCCTCAATATATAGGACTAAGATTGTACAATGAATTACCTCTGTATCCAAAAAAATGTAAATGTTACTCAATTCAAAAGAAATAAAATAATTGACAAAGCATCATATTTACTGGGTGAATATTTGGAAACCCAATAGTGTAGTTAAAAATGCAACTATTCATTTTATTTTGAAATACATCACAATGACAAAACACCTGTTCTTATGAATGAATTGCACACTTTAAAAGAAGATTTGTAAATAAAATATGTCTATGTGTTTTGCGAGGACGAAAACACTGGGTAATGTGATGTCCTGCGGTCATGACAACTGTGGATATTTGTGATACTCTCCTATGATCGTGGTAGCCCCCACCATCATCTCTTCAATTAAAATGCAGTTTACGTTTTTCTCCAACAGGTGGTTTGGATTCTAGCTTGAAGTTCACATTCGTGGGACTCTGTTGTATTTGACAAAAAAACAATTAAAGTAAAATTTAAAATTGCTCTGTCCAAATTCAGTGAAAGCTAAATTTTGATTTTGTAATAGTTTTTTCAATAGCAAAATATATTAAGTATTTATTTGTAATTCCAAAAAAAAATTGTGATTTGTGGAATAAAAAATTTCTTAAAAACATCATCTAATTTCATTTCACGATTAATTTTGCTCATATTTTTTATAGGTACCACAATGGAAAAGCGGTAAAGGAAGGACCTCGTATTATAATGTCACTAGAGCTGGATCAGAAACTATACTACATGGCCAGGTTAGACATTCGGAATGTGGAGAATGGAGACGGAGGAGAATACAAGGCAGTGGCGAGTAACAATCACGGGGAAGCCACAGCCACCATCAACCTCAACTTTGAGGACGGTGGAACACCCAAGTAAGCCACTACAATGTCCTAAGTATAAGTGTTTCTCAATCTACTTAGAGTACGGCCATTCTGGGAACGCCCCGCTTAGCCTAGTTAAAAATGCTGTCAGGGAGTAAGAAAACAAATTGAAAGAGTTGTGTTTTCGGACAATTAATCTTCTTGTCACTCATATCAAGCAAATTCCGATACACTTAAAAAGGGAATCTAATTTGAATGTTCAAAAAACACTTTGTACACTACTACACCTCAACTAATTCTGACTAAATCATTAGTTTTTGCGCCTAGTGATTTGTAGAAGGAACATAGTACATCTGTTTCTAGGCAGGTAACAACACATGAATATTTGGTGACTCCCCTATATCGATGTGCCAATGAACGGTTGGACATAAGTATTCAAGTACTGATTGCGCACCAAAACATAAATGATCCACCTAAAACCATGCCCACTTGATTTAAAACGTACTAGGACATACTACTCACTTGCTCCAAAATCATTGAAGCCTTTCAGGAACTTGCTGAAGATTGTTCAGGCCGCACTTGTCAACCAAAATCTTGCTATACTCTTAAATAGGGTGAAGGCTTATTTTACTTGGCGTTTCTACATGAATTCTTCTACTTAGAACCTTAAGTTTTAAGTTATGCTAAAACTGAAACTGTAACTTAAATAGTTTTGTTTGTTGACATGAACAGGTGGCTAAAAGATTTGTCTGTTGTGTAAGCCTTGCTGTTTATGTAACTCTTTCTTTGTTGAAAGTTGTTATACACAGTACCATAAATTATCAACAAATATTTCTTAATCTTCCAGGCGTACAAAGTGTTGTAAGAATTTTTGCAATCATACAAATATCAGCAGTATAATTTACCATGAATATACAATAGACAAGAAATTTGGGAATCTTTAAAATCCTTTACCTCAATTCAGTCAACTTAGGTTTCATAGAGACAATATATTTTTTTTATGAGACAAATTCAAATACTGATGAAAAAATCTCAATCAGACATGTTACTGTTCTGTTTCAGATTACCAGACGGAAAGCCACCAAGGTTTCCCAAGAAACCCACCATCCACCAAGATGGAGACATCCTCGTAATGGAATGTCTCCTAGAAGCCAACCCAGTCCCGGAAATTATTTGGTACCAAGGAAACAAAGTTATACTCGATACAAGCAGAATAAAAATGATCAAGAAAGCTACTGGGAAAGACACATACTTATTGAGACTGGAGATTTCAAACCCCACCAAACAAGATGGTGGGAATTATCGGTGTAATGCCTGCAATAGCTTTGGAGAAAGCAATGCAAACATTGCACTCAATTTCCAAGGTATGAGGGTTTGATAAGTCCTTGATCCCTATCCTGCCTTTCATGTTGCAGTCTGTAGCAGCTGGCTCTCGGCTCTCGTGTCTCGTCTCTCGTCTATCTTTCGTCTCTTCTCTAACCTGTTGTTTTCAGTTCTTGAAGTAGTGTTGTTTTACACTTCTAATCACACTTTGTTGGTTCAACAGGTGGCGAAGACGGTGCCGGATTTGCACCCTCGTTTATCGAAAAACCCAAAATCATTCCAAACGAAACTGGTACTCTTATTACTATGAGGTGTAAATGTACAGCCAAACCGAAGCCTGTTGTAACGTGGTACAAGGGCACAAAAGTTGTACAAGAATCGTCAAAAATCAAAATGAAAATGAACGAGAAGGAAGACACATACGAAATACTTTTAGAAATTCAGGTAGGTATTGCTTTTACTTTTTAAAAATGTTTTCTCGAATAACTGCTGTTATCATAATTTCCATTGCTCTCTATTGGTCTTTTATAGACTAGAGATAAGTAGCAAGGAACATTATAATAGATAACAAAGTTCCACATAAAAAAATTATCAGCCACCATAGGGCTGAACTTTGGTAACAATATTGTAGTCCTACACAATCTTTGTTGTATAATCAAGAGTAAACTATAAGTATAGTGATTAATTAACTATCAATGTTTTGATCTTTCATATCAATATTATCATAGACAAAAAGAATGAAATATAGACTGTCAGCCGTGCTGCGGTTGCCATGGTTACCATAGGTTTCGGCGCACACCGCTGTAGTTTACGTAGCGCGTACGCCGTAACTACCGTGGTGCTCCAAGCGGTGTGCGCCAGAACCTATGGTAACCGCAGCACAGCTGACGGTCTATATTTAATTCTTTTGTCTATGATATTATTGAGGTACGGCATAAATTGATGGATGATTCTTTTTATGAGGAACTTACTTATTTTTCATCTAACACTTTACTAAATCCATAGAAAGTTTAAAAATAAATCCACCACTACTCCCTATATTTGAAGACATTTAGTTTTTATTATTTAAAAATAATAGCTTTATGAGATTAATTGATATGCAATTCTTTCCATTAAATATTTTAATTAATCGGAGCTGTTACATGGAGCTAACTTAAGTCTCGCAGACTGTTCTGGCCAATTCAAAGACTAACTTGTGCTCTCAAATATAATTGTTTTCAGCCTAACAATTTATGTTTTGTTCAGGATCCAGTAGGACCAGACAGTGGCACTTACCGATGTCACGTTCAGAACGAATACGGAGAAAGTAACGCAAACTTAAATCTGAACATTGAAGCAGAACCTGAGGCTGAAGGCGACCCACCAATATTTGTAGACAAGCCTAAAATACGCTCAGAACAAGGAGGGAAAATAGTTGTGATGGAATGTACAGTGTCGGCCAATCCCAAGCCAGACATTATCTGGTACCACGAAGGTAAACTTCTCTCGCAGAGCAACAAGATCTCGTGGAGAATGGAGGAGAAGGGAAACAACACATACTACATCAGGCTGGAACTTAAAGTAAGTAGAAATGCTTAATAGATTTGAATTTGTCAGTTGTTTTGGAGGAAAAGCACTTGGCTAAGGAACATATTAAGGAAGAAGGAATTGATACACAACTATCTTACCTAAAAAAAGTTCCGGTTAATTGAAAGCTTACAAAAAAAGATTGTAAGACGATAAACTTGATATTTCGCTCCTACAAGAGGCTTCTTCAGAAGAAATAAGTTGAATGGCAGTTACACAACTCGTACTTTTAGAACTAAAATTCTTTCAATATCAAGGTTAAGGGTGTAACATAGAGCACAAGGGTCTAGGTTTTTAGGATTTTTGAGAGGATAGGCTTACCTGAATGGGAAAGAGTCCAAACTGGCACAGGAAACACAAAACTTTAGAATATTTCACTGTGACTGACAGCATTTTCAACTAAGGAAGAGAGAGTTTTCTTTATGTCTTTGTGTATATAGTTGTAAAGTTTTGTGTTTCCTGTGCCAGTTTGGACTCTTTCCCATTCAGGTAAGCCTGTTATCCTCTCAAAAAATCCTAAAAATCTTTCAATATCAAGTTCATTTGTGCACTTTTTCTGTGCCTTTAGCTACCTGTATCTTTTAGGTCAGTTTGTTGAATATGTCTATTGACTCTTTGAACGATAATTGTTATAGATATTGATTTAACAAATGTATTATATCACCTCAAAAATATAATTAGCCCACTGTAATTAATACTAAACCTACCCAAAATACAGTAAATTGAAGAAATATGTATTGTATATTTTATTGAACACTCATATCAACACCAGAAAAATTGTTACCAAATTAAAACTTGGAAAAGAAAATGGCCCATTAGTCTGAATGCTAGGTTCAGTACCTGTTGCCATTCTGAGGGTTCCTGGGAAGGATGAATCATAAAATCTACCACTGCAAGTAACCACTCACTTGATGGTTAATTTTTTTCCTCCAATGTTTGATTCCATTAAGACAACGTTTTGAAAAGACAGAATAGCTTAGTACTGTCTAAAGCTGGGGTTTCCTAGGCGCGTAAGCGGAACGGATAGTGCGGAGAAGCGATTTCTGCTCGGTCAGTGACAATCCGCTTCATTTCTAGGAAAACAGTATCATTAAATTACCTAAGACAAGTCCGTGCTTCGCTTCTGCGTCTAGCAAAACCCAGCTTAATCAATAAAAGGTGGAATAACCCTTTCTCTGAAGCTATGTTTTAAAATAAATTAGTTGTTTTTGGACTTCGTGTAGGTGTACTTTTGGAAGTTGGAATTATCAGTTTTGTGGGTCTGCGGTTTCAAATTTGAGAAAACATAGACAATGGGTGCTGTCTTAACCATTTTCTTTGAGATTCTGTTAGTCTGCATAAGACATGTTGTATCTCATGAGAAGCAAGTATTCAATGGTGTACTGTCTTGGTTTTATTACTACGAAGGGAGATCTTTTAGAGATACACACATATTTATGCTATTTATTTCTAGTATAGAGCCTTTCACTTGAAACTGGTACACTGACACCATCAGTATTTATTTTTTTTATTTGTTTTTTATTATTATTTTTGGAAAAAAGTTATTATAGTCTTCCAGAAGCCAATCAATCAGTCAAATAATTATGCAAGTTTACATAATACATAAAGTTGCATATACTATGATGTATGGTATTGATTGACATTATAAATGTTTGTACAATGACACTTAATACTTAATATTTATTTTCCCTGTTTTAGGATCCTGGCAAAAAAGATTCTGGCCTTTACAAATGCAACATTAAGAATCCAAGTGGAGAATTGAATGCCAACCTAACTCTAAACATTGAAAGTAAGTTTACTGTATACCTATTTAAGAGTGAAATTTTTTTGATTTAATGTTGTTAGTTAAAAAACACTAATTCAATTACTGTGTTTCACCTATGTACGTGTAAAGTTTGAGAAAATTCTAAAACCAAGCAAATAAAAACAATATTAAAAAATTTAAGCCACAAGTCTCTTAAACTTAGTTTCCAGTTGATTCGTTGATTGTTGGAATAAACACTTCAACATGAAAATCCCACTAGTTGCAAAGTGTCTTTTGAATGTGTTAAAACAAATGTGTCTAAGGAATATGCCTTAGTCACAAGACTACAAGATCGCGACACTCATCCTACATTCATCGCCATTCATTCTTGGCTTAAAATACCTACTTTGTATGGTTGCCATTTCAATGAAAAGTATTAAACGTATTGAAGTAAAGTATTAAACCATATCAAAATCAAATCTGCTTCCTACTTTTCAATAATTCCAGACTTTTCCTGATTAAGTCTTTCATAAATAACCAGACCCTATAGCATTTATTTTCCTGCTTAGTTGGTCGATTATGTTTAACAGTTCAAGCTATTTTTATTGGCTTTTTATTTATATTAGTAACGCGGGCTAAAAGTCCCAGAGGTCCCGGGTTCAAATCCTATCAATCGCCAATGGATTTTATCCTTGTGACAATGCCATGAACTTCTAGGACTAGTAATGTTTAAAAAATGTTCCTGGCTAGAGACTAGCGTCCTAGGGTGCGAAGGTGGGACTAAAAAAATATTAGGTCTTTTTGTTTAGTATTTTTTTGTTTTTTAATGTAAAAGCTTAAAAATGTTAGTTTGGTCACCCTGGGATTTTTACTGGCGTTATTTGCCCTAGCATTTTCCCTCCACTGCCTAGAAAAAACTTAACAATGAGATATACTCAAATCTTTGGTACAAACACCATCGAAGTACAGAAGTGAAATTCAAGCATATCATATAATGGGACAATGTATTATTATTCTAGGCTTCCATGGTCACAGCAGATTGTCAAACCTAAGTGTTCGGGTGATAAGCCCGTTCACCACGAAGTTTAACTTATTTAACAACATGGCCATCACACGAAGTTCTAGATTTGTATTAGTTATTACTACTCTAGGCTTATGTGATACCCAATACTTATTGTATTTCTTCCCTTTAACACCATGTTTCTGTTTTAGTTGTCCCTGTCATCAGAGAAGTACCAAAGGTAGTAACAATTACCAAGAAGAAGACAGTTATCATTGAGTGTAGAGTTAATTCAGTCTTTGAACCAAAATGTATTTGGATGAAGGAAAAGACTGCTGTCAAAGAAGACTCTAGACATTCAGTTAAAATTGAAGAGATGAAAGAGGTGTGTATAGATTTAAATGAAATACTTTCAAAAATAAATTATATTTGCTCTAAGTATTCCCTTGAGTTTGGGGAGTAAGCTGGTCTAGTAGTGGAGCGCCGGACTTCAGTCTCTGAGGTTTTGGGTTCAAATCCTGCCAAATCACCAATGGATATTATCTTTGACTATTGATACAACCAGATATTCCATTCCCATTTTAAATTTTACCGTCAGATTCTAAATCAAAATTGTCGTAGTTGAGGTGAGCCACTGACAGATTGCGCTGATCTTAATTACCAAGTCCTCTCGAATACACAAACTATTTTACCAAGTCAAACTAATGGAATGACTTATTGTGAGCTATAGCAACTGTTATGACCCAGTAACATGGTCAGCAATAAAAGATTTTAGACACTAGTGCATTCAGTGACTGGCTCACACAATTTCGTGGTTTTAAAATAAAAAAATATTGGCAACAGCTGGTCCATATAGATGGGATGTCTAGTTCAGTATCCAATAGTCAATGATATTATCTGAGTGATAATGTCACAACCCCTAGGCCTAGCCTGAAGTAATATGAAAAACGATCATGGGCTAGAGCTCGCATACTAGGAAAAAATATTCCCTTTAGTTCAGTTAGCTCAGATCCCAACCCTAGGCTGAATTTAAAAATGACTATAAATAGTCAACAAGCGTTTTTCTTAAATTTGCTAAATCATATTACATCTAGTCCTACTAGTATTGTCGTAAATGTAGTAGTATAGTAATTATTAGTGTACTGTTTATTTCAAAATGTTTGTAAAAGTCTAGAAAACATAACGTTTAGTGTGTTTTCGTCACATTTCAAGTGTAATCTACTGTATTGTGGAAATAGAAGCTGCTTGCCACAAAATTGTAACTTTTTAAAATTTAGTTTTAAAAAAGGTACGTTCAATAACTTGCAGCAATTACAAAAATATAGAACATGCAATAACTAAAAAAAGATTACGTTACTTACCAGGTGTAACGAAGGTTATAATTCTATTTCTTTCTATCTTCTATAGTTAGACTATCTGTTCACAATTTTGGTTATTATAACTGGTGTGAAAAAAAATATATCATATAAATGTTTTTGTGTGTTATTGTTTTCACACTTTGAAATTATAAACACTTTGGAATATGTCTATGAACATATTCACATGAACTAAACACTATACAGTGTGAGTAGATGTTGCAATAAATGACAATAGGAATTCTTTTAAAGGAAAATAATTCAGCTAGCCTATTGAGCAAATTATGTTGACAAAAAGGTCATAAAACTTGAGTGCTATATTGCTATTTGATTTATCTTTACTCTCATAAACATTCCAGGGTGAATACTCAGTTCGTCTGGAGATGTCCAACTGTACCGTGGAAGACAAGGGAACGTACAGGCTGATAGCCAAGAACGAGAAGGGTGAGGCACAATCTCAGACAGTGACGATCACGGAAATACCTCAGGGCGAACCTCCTGTCATCAAGGAGAAGCTGAAATCAGTGGTAAGTATCAGACGTTATTGGTATATATTGTTTATTTATTGTGGAGACGGATCAAATTATTCATTAACACGTTCGCTACCACAATGGTACTAAATTTTTCATTCATATGGACCAGAGACGCACATATGCGATGGCTGGTCGCATATTTGCGTCAGTGTCCCAATGCTTATATCTACAAAACCGTCTATTTGAAGGCCCTGAATTCTCTGCAGTGGTCTACAGAGATGTCTGTCGTATATGTGCGTCACTTCTGTGGATATGATGATTAGTGACATCATATGATAGTTGGCAAAAATATTTTTACTTTGCTGCCTCACTGGCCCGTGGTCTGCGTATACTGTGAACCAAGGGACATCTGGTCTAGATGTCTAATATTAAAATGTACACCTCAGTCCGTGGCAATGACCGTAGCGTCACATATATGTGGAAATCGGTAGTGAACGTGTTAAATGGTGCAAAATAAAAACAGTCTGTGTTAAAGTTATCGTTTATTCAATAAACTATATCGAATCAAAATTTACAATTTTTTAGCTGACTAGCTGAGTGGTTAGTGCTTCTATGTCAGGTCGCCGGTTTAATCCTGACAAAAGTCAGCAGTTTTTATTAAATTTGTTTTTATAATATGGTCTTAAGTCTTATAGTCCTGACCAATGAAACAGCTTATCTTGGTCTGTAACAAAGCCACATATTTAATCTGATTACAATAAATAAAATGATTGTAATTCCACCTTCATGTAAAAATGGTGAACACGTAATAGTATATTACGTTACTAGTCCGGAAAACATTTGTTTACCGGGCTAGTATGGTTGTTCGCATGCGAAACAAAGTCGAGTATGGGATTATCATATGAGTAATAATTTCATTCTACACTGACCTTGCGTACATGTTGTGCACATTGTACATAATGTTGCGTTCATTTCTAGCTTACTGTCTCAGAGTTATAATAATAAAATGGAGCTTATAACACTATTGCCTAAAGTCAATTACAGTCCCTGATTTGGTTCTCTTAGTGGCACAGCATGAATTTGTTGATTTAGTGCAGAACTTTGGACACCAAGAAATGTGATTTAGTCAACATTAAAATTGACCAAAGTTTGATAATTGTTTTGTATTTGTTTGATTTGAAATTAACATACTCGTAGGTCGTTCAGTAATTAATATTAATATTACTGTATTGGTTTTCAGACTTTGACAGAAAGCAAAGATGTTGAGTTCAGAATCACCCTGTCATCGACTGACACAACTACTAAGGTGACATGGATGAGGTATGTAACTCTAATTATGGTTCTTTGATATGCATTCAATAAAATTAACGGTATCGACAATCTGACATTTACTTTCTCCCATTGGTTTGTCAATAACACTTATCATGGGTAAGCAGTGGAAGAAACCATATTTTTAATTGGGTCACAAAACTTGCAATAACTTTTTAACCTTATTTTACAGCAATGTGGACTGTACCATTTTGTCTAGAGCTAAATAACATACTAAATTGTAAAAATTCATTCTAGCCGTATTTTAAGTAAATCCGATATTCCATTATTTAATGTGGTTTTATGGGAAAATCACCATTAAAAATCGGAATTTCAAGAAAAAAACACGATTGAAGATACCACAGATTTGTAACCACAAACCAAATTTAAAACTACTTCTTTGGGTTCAGGGGGACACAAAACGGATACATCCAACCGAAAACTCAAAATCAGTAATCTATACAAATCTGTAAAAATTTGATGTTTAAATTATGGTCTATTGGTACTGAAAATTCTCCGCTAGTTAAAAAACACCGCTAGCTAACCAAACCAGGTGTTTAAAGCGATCATCACTGTATTTTTTTAAACTGTGTAAGTGTGTAGGGTTTAAGACCTGGTATGGTTACCAGTAGAAAAGCAGTATTAGCTTTAGTAATAATAAATTTTGTAATATTTACCAACCAACATGTCAGCATGATTATAATCCGGATTGTGGCACTATTGTCAACATGTCTCCTGTGATCACAGAGATGTCATAATTGTCACCCGTGGCCTGTGACACGGATAATTGCTGACGATTGGAACAAATCCTGTTCGGAAAATCCTGAATCAAATGTATTCCCATCACGATGATCAGGAATATATTTTTCCAAAAAAACCTCTGAAATATTTCTACCCGTCCATCCCTATTAGAAACATGAACTACATCGTGGATTAATATTATAAACCTTTTTACAGGAACTCTCAGACTATTACGAGTAGCTCGACTGAGACAGTATCATTTGACGGACAAGTGGCTAAACTAAGCATCAGCAAAGTAACAAAGGAGTTGACTGGAACTATCAAAGTAATCGTTTCCAATGAATTTGGAACCGATGAATCGACAGCAGAACTTGTGTTAGGTAAGTTTGATAAGTGCATATAAAAGCTATCAATCGGTTCTATGGACCATCATAAAATTTGAATACATTCATGTCTCACAAAATTCCACAGCTTAATCATCCAAGTACATATACTGTCATCGGCTACTTCGTCCTTTCATCTCTTCTTTGGGTGTACAAGAGGTCTTTTACCAAACTAGACTTTCCTTTTCTTACCATAGTTTCACTTCCTATACTTTTCACATTTCCAGTCCATTTCAGACTTGTTTAACTTCCGTGCTGTGCTTGATACTCCATTCTTTTTTATTTTGTCAGTCCAAAGAGTTTTCTGGCCAATTAATTTTTTAAGGTTACTAGCTTTTTCTTAGCACCTTTGTCTAGAGTCCATTGTTTGGATCTAAGAGAATAAGTGATATTTTTCTGATTGATTATTATAAATTTCGCAATCCTGGGTAAATTTGTTTAAGTTCTCATCATTCATAAATAGTGTCCATGAACTTTTACTGGTCCTAGCCAAAGTGAGTTTTGAGACATGTAATTGTATCAACACGGATTTAGCTAAAATAAATGGAATATGTTTATATTTTCTAAGTATTAGAGATGGTAATTCATTTTAATTTTTTTGTTGCAGAGGTGAGGACTCGAAAACAGCTCGCTGGTAGACTTAACCTAAGTAATCTAAGAAGGGGTAATGTAAAAACAATTCATTTCATTTCATTAATCATATTTCGTCCAATATGGTGTACTGTCAAATGTACATACGTGTATTTGTCTTATGTTTAAACTGTAAATATTACTTTTTGCATTAGAAATGTGTCTTTACTTGTTGATTAAATTCAATCAGATTTATACTGTGAAGCATGAATTTAACTTAATGTACATACAATATTCTGACAAGTAGTCTAGTGGTTGTGTTGTCTGTGGTGTCCGACGTATGTGTTGTTCCTCAATTAGGAAAAAGAAGAAAAGAAAAAAAAGAAGGACGAAGAAAAGAAAAAGGAGGAGGAGAAGAAAAAGGAGGAAGAAAAGAAAAAGGAGGAAGAAAAGAAAAAAGTTGTGGAAAAGAAGAAACAGGAAGAGAAAAAGGAAGAAAAGGTAATTTTAGTATATTAACCTACTACACACTATAGTCTTACACCTGTTGCCACTCAAATCCAAGTTGATATTTAGCCTCGCCAACAAGTTGTCTTCAGACTGCTCTGTCCTTCCACCGTGTCCACTTCTCAACCAATCCATCTTATATCTCCAGGCACTTGGTCGCTCCATCTTAATATTCGTCTTCCTTCTGGTCGACCTCTCCACACCCTTCTTATTTTTGCATTCTTCTCTTTTCTTCTCACATGATCTTTACAGGGTGTCCCAGAACTTTCTACCAACCTTCTAAGTTATCATTTTGTGTCCAAATTATCAAGTTACGAATTTCCAGAACTCAAAAATTACCTGTAGAGCCGCCATGTTGTTTTTGATAACGCCTCTTTGAAGTGAATTGAAATTTGATGCATGGGTAAGCAACTCAAAGACCTATTTAAACTGAAATAAGATAATTAATATATCGTAAATAAAACTACTGGTCGGGAGAGAGTTCAAGGACACCCCTGTATAGTAAGCGTGGTTTAGTAAATAAAATTATTACGGAAATTAATGTAAAAAGTTAGTATAATAATGTAGATGAAACATAATGAAATGAAAGTCAATATCAGTAATAGTTTGATGTAATGATTTACAAATCCTTTTGGACTGGGTATAGCACATGATACTGATACTGATATCAGTAGCACACGATGAAAATGATAATGAAATACGTATTGATCAAAACTTTGACCCTCTCGATTTTCAATATTTCTGGCAGAAATAAAATTTAGATTGATAAAATTAACTGATCAAAATTTAGCTAGATAAGACAATCTCTGCCTACTACAAGACAATATTTGATCATATTCTTCGAAAAAGATGTAGTTTAAATGTGGATACTGAATATACATCCGGGTTCAGTTAATCCGGGTACAATATTTAATCAAACTCACGATCCTCTGTTGATTTTTCAGAAAGAAGAAGTGAAACAGACTAAAGTGGAGGAACTCAAAGTAGAAAGGAGAAAGTCTTCTATCACTCAGGTAATCAACATTATTTTTACTTATTAGTTTTTACCAACAGACTATAAAATATCATATCCACTCATAAAATACCTTGGTTGGACTTCTTATACAATTGTGGAAAGTTTTGAGTCGTAATATCCATTCAAAACTTCATATACGGTACTGCAACTGCAGTACTTTTTCCATACTAAAAGATATATAAAATATATTTACAGTTCGTTCCACTAATGACCTCATACAAAAAACATTGGAACATACAGTTCAGAAAACTCTTAAGTTAAACAAGAAACCATTGTGAATTTTGTTGAATGAAAATGCATGTGGGCATGTACTTTATTTTTCTTCTTTTCCCTTTTTTCTTGCATAGAAAATGAAATATACTATATCAAAGTATATAGGTGAATATCCCCACATAACTTTAATCAATTCATTATTAATGAACATTAAAGAACAATGAGAATTGATAAAACCTGTAACCATTCTCTAGTTTTCAATGTTTTTACTCGAATATTTTTGTTCTTTGTTTAAGATGCCTAAATTCTAATTTTATGTGAATGTTTAATGTGAAATTTACCTTCCAAACACAATTGATCTTGGAAAGGGAGAAATAGAACTAGATCTAGTTTCAAATGTTTCATGTAAATTATGGGGGATCTAAACATGTCAGACCAGTGAACCTCACTAATTATTATATGAGATGTTTAAATAAACGGAAAATTTCAAGCCACAAGGAAACAATAATAAGGGTTATTTGTTCTTCTTTTAAAACCCTGAGACCAATGTTATACAGGATGTCTAGAAACTTTCAGTTCCGGTTTTATGGATTTGTTTCTCGCATCTAGACAAAAATATTTCACAATGTATACAATAGCCAAGTATATCTGTCTGAGGATTAATTATACCTACTACATTCTTAATAACAATTGATCCATTTAAACTTAAGTTTGCTTTCTTAAAACATAACCCAACCACTAGGCTTATTGAAGATCATGTGTGTAACACATTTCAAATTTTAGCTTATGCTATTTCAAAATATATAAAGCGTTTCAACTAAATTATATAAATCTTTTTGAAATGTTCCAAGACCCGTCATTTTGAATTGGCAAAACCTATATTGTGTAATTAATACATAGGGTGTAGAAATTACCTGTTTATAGGTATTTTTAACATACTTAATAATCATCCCAAGATTCAAAATTGTAGCCCAGATACGTATTAAGAGCTTAGAAAAAAATTATGAAACTGACATAATCATAATCAACATAATCAACTGACATAACTAGGCCAATGTTTATATTGTGCAGTATGTATGTCTGCATGTATGTCTGACCTAAAAAACTCCTGTAGCGTATTTGTTGCCCTGACCTAAATCACTCCTGGAGCGTAGTTTTCGCCCCGATCAAAAAAGCTTACGAAGCATATTTGATGCCCTGACCTAAAACACTCCCGTGGCGTATTTGTCACCCTGAACTTAAAACGCTTCTGGAGCATATTTGTTGCCCTGACCTAAAACACGTCCCGGAGCATATTTGTTGCTCTGATGCCCTGACCTAAAAATGCTCCCGGAGTGTATTTGTTGCCATGATCTAAAACACCCCCGTGGTGTATTTGTCGCCCAGACCAAAAAACGTTTCTGGAGCGTATTTGTTGCTCCGACCTAAAAACTCTCACGGAGCGTATTTGTCGCCCTGACCTAAAACTCTCCCAGGGAGTATTTGTTGTCCTGACCTAAAACACTCCCGTGGTGTATTTGTCGCCATGACCGAAAAACGCTTCTGGAGCGTATTTGTTGCTCCGACCTAAAAACTCTCACGGAGCGTATTTGTCGCCCTGACCTAAAACTCTCCCAGGGAGTATTTGTCGCCCAGACCAAAAAACGCTTCTGGAGCGTATTTGTTGCTCCGACCTAAAAACTCTCACGGAGCGCAATTGTCACCACATCCTAAAAAAACTCCCAGACACATTCATTTTTCCTTTGCCAGTGATCGCAGCTCGGTTAGTGTATCCCATTTAATGTTACTCACTTTTAATATTTGTTCGGCGACCAAGTTGCCAAGTGTGGCCATAGCCTAAATAGCACCTGTGAGTTCTACGACTTTGTCCAGGAAATTAAGATTCTCTAGAGTGTTTCCCAGATTTTGTTATGCATCGTGTTTTACAAGTGATTTTAATAAGACCAAAATCACTCTTCATTTGCATGGTTGTGTTTCACAGAAAGAAGAGATTGTTAAGATACAAGAGTCCAAAAAGAAAGACGAGAGGAATGGACCAGAGGTTGGTATTGGATAACAACTAACCATTTACTTTTGTGATAGGGGTTTTTGTCGGTTACTAATACAAAGTATAGTTTTAGTTTATCTGAGTTTGCAAATAATTTTTTGCAGGTTACATGTTTCAAGAACTACACGCTTTTTTGTTGTCGATACCGAATTATAATACAAGTGAATTGATCATTTTTGTCAGAGGTTTTAAGTTATCAGGGATAAATACACAAACATTGAATACAACATACACCAAACCATTGCAAAACACATTTAGAAAGTTAGGTTATGACTAATATATTTTTACTACTTCAGATTTAACTGTTGTTTTCTATAAAACATTTTCGGATCATTAAAAATATCAGTATCATCATTGAGTATAAACGTAACGTTACGATTATACTCAATGGTATCATTGAGTAGTGTATTCCTAATTTAAGTTGATGAAGATTTGTTTATGTAATTTTACCTTATGAAAAAGAGGGACTCAGTAAATTGTGGATTTTCACTATATCCATATTATTGAAGCCTGTAACATATTTAAAGTTAACAGTGTTATTATGAGAGGAACAATAAATAGGGAAATTGTTTGTCGTGAAAAGCTAACTGTAGTACAATGGGAAGAGTAATACTTAAATTGTTTTTTTCCGGCCTCACAAAAAATATATTAAACAAATCAACATCTAAATGATCTATCAATATTTAATTCAAGTTAAGCTGTACATTACTGAAACATAATACGTTTATAACTGTGAAAATCATCTATTTTTTCGTTAGTTTATATTTAACCTAGTAAAAACACGAATCCAAGTATTGTGAAAATGCTATGTTGATTCTGGACAGTATCCAGCAAAGATAGGCCATCCGATCTAGAACATGTTGATTGAAACCGTAGGCCTACTGATAAAAATTTCTTGGCAGAACAAAATCAAACCCCAAAACAGGGTCACTACCGACCTCTAAAATAGGAACCTCCTCTGCCAAAATCATTGAACAGTTTCTGTTTTCTTCAAATAACTTTCATTTGCTCCTAAAATTTTCAATAATTTCCTTAAGCATATAAATTCATTTACTCACAGTTTTCTTGTAATCTCACACATTGCGAGACTGACCGAAAAGTTTAAACATATAAATTTAATCTAATCCACAACCTTGGTACAAGCAGTTTTACACGTGTTGGCTATTTTGAGAGTATGAGTTAAGTAGTTAGGCGCAACTGTAGTTCAGATGGGACACTTATTAAAATGAATAATAGTTGTATTAAACGCAGCCAGAAACTATTTGCAGCTACACCTTTAACTGTAGCAATGAACCTTACACGATTTAACTCCCTCTAGAATTAGAACTACCTCAGATTAGTAAAACGTCTGTTGAACTAACACTTGATGTCATTAGTAAAAAAATTTTGAAAATGAGTTCTTGACTATGATGCAAGTCAAAGCTACAGTACATTCAAGTTTGATTTTTGTTACTCTATTTGTATTTGTACACATTTACAGACTTAACATTTGTGATAGAATCACTTTTTTTATAAACAAATGTTTTAGCTGTTTGATAACTCACTATCTTAAGATCACTTCATTTCTAATCTCTTGTAAATTGTTGGGTTTGTTTAACATTTATCAATTTTCTTTAAGGTGGTGGAAACGAAGACGGAAAAAACCTCCTCCAAAGTGGAAAAGGTAAGATATGGATTATTAAAAAGTGTGAACATAACTTTTCTGCCTAAGTTTCCATTATAGTTGCTTATCAATTTTAAAATATTTTTAATATTATTTTTTCAAAATTTGAACACTTTTTTGGATATTAGATTTCCAATGTTGCTTTCAGTCCTACAGCCTACCTAAGAGTACCTAAGAGTCTGGCAAAACTACATCCTAAAAATCGGTAAATCAAATTCTTAATCACCATATTAGGTTTTATTGATTTTACAGAAATTAATTTAAAATCATCTAATAACTCTTTAACCATACATTTACTGGTAGGTATCTATAGTTTCTGTATAAAACTTACACTTATACTGTTTTAAAAGATGGTAAATATATGAAAGATGGTGATGATGATCAATTTCAATTGGACACTCCAATCATCATCAGACCCAACAGACTTCATTCACTTATTGGGTCTGATGACGATCGGAGTGTCCAATCAAATATTGGTGTCTTGTTAAAACAGTATAAATGTAAATATATGTTCCAAGTGCTATTAAACAAATTTATATTTACTTTTTGTTAAACATAGTGTGTTGACAATTCTAGTTTTTATTTAATTATGTATTTAATTTAATTTTTGTTTAACTTTTTTTTCAATTGTGTATTATCTAGGACAATGTAATTAAATGTCTACCTGAATTATTATGATTAATTTGTTTGGTTTATTTCAGAGGGAGGAGATTGTAGAAAAGAAGAAAGTGGTGAGTAAAAATGGTGTAAAAAAAGGATTTGTTGCATAAAACTATTTGAAACAATTTTAAAATTCAAAATATTTCCAACTTTTTTGACTTGGTGGTGGCACAATTTTGTTGTTTTTGTTCAGAATTGTTCTACAAGGGTTGTGCATATTCCTATGCATTTTTCAATTGAATGTTTTTACCCTTTTTTGTTTATCAATCCACTGTGCCAATGTCTGATTCAGATTTGTTCAAGAAAGGTTTTGCATATATCTATGCATTTTGGTATTGAATGTTTTTGTCAGAAATCAACCGTGACAATTCTTTAAAATTTGCATGCATATTTATATTTATGCATTTTGCAATTGTTTTTGTGTTTTTGTTGATCAATAAGCTGTATACTTTTTTCAGGTAGGTTATGAGTAGTGTTTTTGTTCATTGTAAAATTGTCGTGTACAGAAACTGATTTTTATGTGTTTTGTTGTTTTGTGTTTCATCAAGCAACCTCAAGTCACAGGTTGTAAAAATGAATTCTCAGAAAAATCACATACATTATCCAAAATATAAACTATCAAATGTTAAACTAATTTTACACGATTTACTTCATATATGATTATTAGTGTTATTACAAGTGTTATTGTTTGAATGTCTGTGTTAACATTGTCGCATGCTTCTAGACTCCTAAAGATGAAAAGGTTGATGATAAGAAACCAACTCCAGCGAAAAAGGTACGTAGAAAATCTACACCAATACTTTACAGAACTTACACATTTAGTGGTCTAATGTTAGGACTAACTTTAGTATCACTGTTACTGTCATTAATATGTTCATAACTTCATGTTAGGACTATGTATATGCTTTTCAATGTTTAATACATCACAAAAAAATTCTACCATTTAAAGTTGTAATTAATGTAACTTTAACAGTCATTTGAGTGTTGATCTAACTTTAAAACACATATTTTGATCATATTAATGTTAATAAAGAATATTTAAATTGAGTTATATTTTCTTGATAAACAGTGAGTGATAGTGCTGTTACAATTTCAAAAATGCTCAAAAACCTAAATATGATACAAATTCCAACACTAGAAATACCTAATGATGTTTTAGTACAAAAAACATATAATTTAATATAATACTATCTGTGATAACCATTGGCTTTGATTGTAATCAACAGTTTAGCGATTGATCTAGTCTAATGATCACACAATTACTTGATTGAATATTTTGTACACTTTTACCACATATTTGTATAACCAATTATGTTACATGTGACTAATATTGTACATTGTAAACAGACTGAGGTAAATGACATACACAAAGATAAGGAGCCAATAATTGAAACCCCAGAGGAATCGGAAACCGAGGTAATAACATTATTTATAAAATATCTAATGTAAGAAAAATAAATACTAGCACAGTAGTATAAATAATAGTTTTGTTAAACTTTCTCACAAAAAAAGTTTTTTTTTACACATTAAAAACTGGTAACTTTTATTTTTGAACTATATTACATTTCAGTGACATACATTTCTCTTTAGATTTGAAACATCAAATCAAATATTTCTTATTCTAATTGTAAATACAAGAATAGAGCTAATTGAGAGTACAATATGTTTCTTATGTATATAAATGTATATATAACAAGCTTTTTTGTATAACAAAGAACACAATTTTTATAAGACACATAGTTATAAAAGGCTTGGCTAAAATTATAAAACGTATACAATCACAAATCGTTATACATCCATGTCATGTGAATGCATCTAACCTTTCATGCTTCCATTGTTGATGCAGAGTGAAGAATCAGTCGTGGAAATTAAAACTCAGGGAACTAAGAAGACTGACACAAAACCAGTAAAGGTAGACATTAGACACATATTCAGTTTTAGAACTAACATTAAACGAGTTAGATATGGTTGCAAAATGACACAATCCCTTTCTTTAGTATACTTTATAGTCGAGTTAAATGGTTTAAGAATAGGCAAGCAATACAATAACAAAATCCATTTGAATCAAGTCCAGTTCTTTTGTGTGATTGTTTTGAAACCAGCTTTTAATGGATTGCGGACCTTTATTTAGGGTTGTAACAAACAAATAGACTTTAAACGTTTCTCGTGGACAAGAATAAGAAAGCTCTCATAAAGTAGTTTACAGCATTTATAATCTTAATCATAAACTAGTTTTGTCTGGGATAACATCATATTGAAACATAACTACTAGATATTCTCATCTGTACTTATAAAATAGTTTCAGTTTCAAACTCAATGACTCTTCCTTTCATATTCATATTTCCATAGATAGTCACAGTGGGTGAGGATTTTCATACCTTGATATTTCTCCTTTTTATTGATAAAAGTATAGTTTTAAGTAATTCTTGCACACAAAGTGCTTTTTATTTTCGTTTATTATACTGTACTGTATTTTAAATACATTTACATTACTTACACACAACAATTTTGATTGACATGGATCTGTAAACATTATTAGATAGCCAACAACCTGTTATTTTTTAAATACTGCACCTATTATTGCGGATACTTCTTTATTTTAGATCTATCGTAGGTTCTATAGTATTAAAAAACCACTTACCGGCTAAGAAACACGCAAATTAAATTTTTGACAGTCAGTTAATTCTAAAGTAAATTACTAATTTTGTTGCGTTTTTTCCTTAAGAGTTCTCTTAATCATCGCTAAAACTACACACCCTATAAATAATTATCTCCAAGGCTTTCTCAAACTAGAATCAGCAGTATCAATGGTAAGCGTCCAAACATTGACCATCTATTACATAAGAGTCCTGAGACACAATGAACCATCTATAAGTCGGCTTTCGGTTTTAATTGGGTGTTTAGTACAAACAATGTGACATGATCCGGTGGCTAACATTTCATAATTGAGATGTTAATCTATCAGTGTATTTTTACTAATGGGTTGGAAGTATCATTAATGCCGCGAATAGGACGAGGGACGTTGCCAGATCACATAATGCAGCTTGTATTTTACAACAGTAATGAATCACGACAAACCGACACGGATCCGTAAACACTATCAGATGGTTGGCAAACGCTTATCTCGCGTACATCTCGCGCCTATTATCGACGATTTTTATTTCGGATCCGTCATAAGTTTCGGTGGGACTTAATGGCGTTGGCTGGTGGGCTGTTCATAATTCTTCTGCCAAAGGATGTGTAGCCTTACCTGTAATTGTGGGCTGGGTGCTGGTAGCTATTCATGAGGCTATTACTGTGGCTATTCATCGGTCTATAGCTACACGAATAGATCGGATTTCGCATTCTTCCCCCCTGCCAGCCACCTTAGCCAGCTGGCTGATATTCAATCAGTTTATGGAGAGAACGCCAGTTGGGTTTGCGAGTTGTGTTTGGACGCGTGTGATGGAACCCTTTACCACTGGAGTCGCTCTTCGGAGCTGACACTTCAGGTTTGACGTTTACTTCATTGCTTTCTTTTATTTTGTCCGGAGATCATCATTCTATATCTTTATTCAGTATTGTATTCATTAATGTTTTTTGTGACACATAATTTTTATCATGTAACTGGTAGGTGGACATAGAGTCAATTCTGTTCTGTGTGCTCTATGTGATTGTTTGTACCAGTTCTGTATAAGTTTTTTTTATTAAAAATTTTTAGCTTTAAAAAACTATAAATTTATTTTATATCTAATATTTTTTACAAATACCATGTCAATCAAACTGTCAAATTTTTATGATTGAATGATCAAATATTGTTAGATTTTTATAACCCAAAATTTGTTCATCTACAGATCTAACATGTTTAAACAGGAATAAATGCAGACTATAAATCCATCCATTGCAAAAGTATTGCTTCTAACTATTATAGAGTTGTATAAGTTCATATTATATTGTACATAGGCCTATAGTCGTTTAGTTCTCACACTACAATACTTGCACCTAGAATATAACTCATAGGTTGACATTTGATATTTTTGTGATTTGCATTTTCACATTTTAACAATGCTTCAGACATAGCAAAAATAATTAATACATTGCTTTAGTTTTTAGTTTTTCAATCACAAAATTTGTTGTATGTTGGCCTCATTTTGGTTGTAAAGTAAAACCTTGATAGCAAGTCTCTCTTGGGGATTATCAAATAAGACTTGTTATCGAGGTTGTTGAAGTTTGCAGTATGTGATTTTGGGTAGGTAGTACAAAATGAAGAGTATTAGAAAATGACACTTTTTGTCATGATTGACTTGCCATTGAGAATCTTGTTATTGAACTTTCACTGTATAAACAGTTCTTTAGCAGAAATTAGAAATATAAATTTATTATCAAATCTTAATATTTTGTACATTTAACTTTACAAATTTATTTGAGAACGTAAAAAGTGTTTCCATTAATTCAAAGCTACTTTATTTTTTACTGGTAAAAGTTTTTTTTCAAAACATTTTTGTCTTTTAAAAAGAGATTCGTTTGAACTAAACACTAAGGATAGATTGTGTGATTCTGTTTTTCCCCAAAAAATATCTTTCTTAATTTACATTCCATTTGTTTCATATCTAGTGGAGGGCTAGTTTACCAAGCTATAGCTTGTTCAGTGTAATTTTACATATAGCAAATACAACACCAAAATGACATTTGTCTATTATAATTTATAACAGAATTAATAGTAAAACTACCAAACTATGATACATATTTCTGTTTGTGAATAACATTTTCATCATTGTGTTATCTAATCATCCTTAACCTAGGACCGTAAACATTTGTTCAGACATTTATTCTGAAATATATTCAAACGATTTTCACATCCACAAGCCTATTTATTAACTATCAACAATAACATTAACAAATGACACATTGTGAATATCTTGTTTATTTAGGATGGAATAAAACCTGAAGTTCCTAAGCCAAAGGAACCAGAGAGGAAACCTTCCATTAAGGTAAATCCATTAAATAGTCTTTATATTACATTTCTTACACTCTTTCAAAATGGTTTTGATTTTAAATTTCACTTTAATGCTATCCATTCAAGTTTTCTCATGTATATAAGACTACACTATATGCTTTTCAATAGCTTACGCCACTTATTTTAAAAGGCAGACCCTGTATATAAATATATATTTTTTGTAACTATAACTATTAGCTTTTAGCCATAAACTATAGTGTTATACACATTTTTTCGTTTTATGTTTAAAACCAAATGTGCTTAGCATGGTTGTGTTGTGTGATTTAGGGAGACAACAAAGCTGACTCTGAAAAATCCATAACGGAAAATGAGAAAGTTAAAAATGAGGACGGTAATTATAAATCACAAAACAACAAAACTGATAAACTAAATGAGAAAGTTAAAAATGAGGACGGTAATTATAAATCACAAAACAACAAAACTGATAAACTAAATGAGAAAGTTAAAAATGAGGACGGTAATTATAAATCACAAAACAACAAAACTGATAAACTAAATGAGAAAGTTAAAAATGAGGACGGTAATTATGAATCACAAAACAACAAAACTGATAAACTAAATGAGAAAGTTAAAAATGAGGACGGTAATTATAAATCACAAAACAACAAAACTGATAAACTAAATGAGAAAGTTAAAAATGAGGACGGTAATTATGAATCACAAAACAACAAAACTGATAAACTAAATGAGAAAGTTAAAAATGAGGACGGTAATTATAAATCACAAAACAACAAAACTGATAAACTGAAGACAAATAAACCCAAACCCGAGGAAAATGAACATGAACAGAAAACTGTAGAAAAAGACACAGAGAAATTAAAACCTTCAGAAAACCCTACCGAACCGAAGACTATTGATCAAAAGAGAACCGAACAAGAAACAAAAACAAAAACAGAAACAGAAAAAGTAAAATCTGAACCACAACCACAAAAAACCGGAAAAACAACACCCGAACCATCCAAAACTAATGATCAAAAGAGAACCGAACAAGAAACAAAAGCAAAAACAGAAACAGAAAAAGTAAAATCCGAACCACAACCACAAAAAACAACATCCGAATCATCCAAAACTATTGATCAAAAGAGAACCGAACAAGAAACAAAAACAAAAACAGAATCAGAAAAAGTAAAATCCGAACCACAACCACAAAAAACAACATCCGAATCATCCAAAAATATTGATCAAAAGAGAACCGAACAAGAAACAAAAACAAAAACAGAAACAGAAAAAGTAAAATCTGAACCACAACCACAAAAAACCGGAAAAACAACACCCGAACCATCCAAAACTATTGATCAAATGAGAACCGAACAAGAAACAAAAACAAAAACAGAAACAGAAAAAGTGAAATCCGAACCACAACCACAAAAAACAACATCCGAATCATCCAAAACTAAACCTGAACAAGAGGAAATAAAATCAGAAGACAACAAAAGCGAAGCAACCAAATCCACACCAATCTCAAAGGAAGCTAAAACATCAGTAAACGCTTCTGATTCAGATAAAACACAATTTGAGGACAAACCTAAACACGAAACAAAACCTAGGGAAACAACCAAAGAGGAAACACTTCTTACAAAGGTACATTTTACATTACTCTTTGCCTTTTCACAGTATTTGACAAACCCACTCACAAAATAAATCCATTCACGTAACACTTTCCCATAGAAACACCATTCTGAACCTGTAGGACTTTTGACATCTTCACCTTCATTTGTACTTTGTCTTTCATACAGATTCACATGTCGTAGTAGAGTTATGATTCCATGAAGAGGGTATGATTCAATTGAGAGTCAACTTATGATCATAAATAGCTTTGTAAATAGTGCTTTTGTATTTAACCAATAAATGTTTAAGATAAACAATCAAGAATGTAGTATAACCAGTAATCATATTTGTTATGTAGCCTGTAAAACTGTAAGGACCAGTTATCAAAGCATGTATATGTGATCTGATCTATGTGTGGAATATGAACATTCTAACAAAGGTTCTTATATCGATTAAAACTTATTATTTTATTAACAAATACAAATTTGTATAGTCAAATTCAAAATAGTTTAAACCTCCTCATGCAACTCAACATACTTAAAATAATAAATTAAGAGACCATTCATGGAATAATTATAGGGGCCGTAATATTTATTGTGCCATTTTTTGCTTTTAACAATATTTTCATCTAGTCTTAAACTATTAAAAATGTCCTGTCATTGCATGATGCCAATCTGTTGATAAAAATATAATAAACATTTTGATTCTTATATAGGAATTACATTTTATGTAGTTAATAGGGCAATAAATATTGTTAAGTGTGTATCTTTTGCACCATTGACAGAAAACATAGCTCAGATATACCAGTTACGCAAAAAGCTAAAAATACCGCTAAACAACTTACCACTCCAAATCATAACAAATGCAGATCAAAAGGTTATTTAGTAAATGTCAGCTGATTTAAGATGACTGTTGTCACAATGAAAAAATGGGAATTAATAAATAATCTGGTTATTATTGTATCTAACATTTTCACTGAAGGAATTAGATGGTACTAACCTAACAATAACTTAATTCTACTTTGCATGCTTTAGGAAAAAACAATACCGGAGGTAAAGAAACCCGAACCAGAACCAACTAAACCTGCCACCACTGCCAAACCTGTTGAACAGCCAAAGGTACTATTTTACACATCGTACAACAAACTTAAATTTGTCAATCCTCAATTCCAATCAATAACTACATCTCTATCTATTCAATTAGTTAAATTTTTGAATAATTCTTTTCTAATTTTGGAATTTTGTTGGATAGTTATATGCATTTTTTTTAAATGTATTTTTTTAATTTTTTATCTATCTCATTCAGTTAGTCATAATCTGTAAAAAAATAGATAAAAATTAAATACACTATTTAAACAAGTTATAATTTGACAATATTAACACTAGAGTTTATTAGATCAGACGATATGATCCGATGGCATTTGTTCCGAGTTCTGACGAGGAAGAAGAAGAGTCGGAAATGGTAGAGTTACAAAACGTTGGAAAGGTAACTCAACGCTGCGCAGTAGAACTCTTATCTGCCGTAGAATCTGTATTCTTTGTTAATTTTGTCTGTTCTCAGCGCAAAGTGATTGTCCTTGTCCGTTATAAAGCCTTTTGGTATATTTTATAGTAGGAGTTGAAATCTGGTGCTTATTTGGTTCCATATGAAACGTTATTGGTATATTTTGTTGTTGAAGTAGAAATTATATTTGAAAGCTTACAAAATGTTGGTGCTTCTGAAATTTTATCTGAAAGTATTAAGCTTCTAAATCTATGCCAGTTGATCAGTTTCTTAGTTTTTTGTCGTGGTTTGTATTTGTTGTTCTATTGATGGATACTTATAATAATGGTAAAGCTTTTAGCTGTTGAATATTGTCAATTGCTTTGTCAAACTCATGGCTTACAGAAGTTCTTCGCAATTTTTTACAAGCCGATGGAGAATTTTGTATTTCCTTTTGCTTGCACAATCCACGAGGAAAGTTTGATACATACAATTTTGAATTTACCGAACCAACTTAAAAATTACCTCAGCAAAATGCCTTATGAGTACCCCATGTTAAACACAACCATCAATTGAGCTCTAAACATTTTAATATATGATACACAAAAATAAGTAATTATACAAGCACTTCTTTAAATAGTGGGCCTATTTTTATAGTTACACCCTTTATATAAATACATTTCATAATTTTAAGCACCCACATTTAACAAATCAAATTTAAACAAACTGTTGATTGTAAAATCCCACTGCTGCATGTTTAAGCTTATTTCAATGTGTTTGATTTTTGTCTGTTACTAAGTAACTAACACAAATCATGTTTTTTACTGTTATTTTGAACATGTGTTTAAATTTCAGCACATTTTAGTTTTTCAGTTGTAACAACGATAAAAAATATAAAATCATGATTCCTGGAAGAAAAACAAATAAAATCATCATCTGATTTAATTAAATGTAATTTTTCGCACATTTAAAGCACCTCACTTAACTTTAAGATAAGTAAAAAAAAACACGTGAGCTTCAACTTGAGACCTTTACACTTAAGGTGACTTATATGTTTTGATGTGTTTGTAAACTGTATTGCCTGCTGTGACTGAATTGTATGTTTGTTATTGTGAATGCAGGAGCAGCCAGAATCTGCTAAACCCACAGACACACTAAGGAAACCTTCAATCAAGGTACATTTTATGAATTGCAGTTAAATTAGACTTCACTATAAGTTTTTCCGAACGGTTGTCTCTTGATGATAGTCTATAGATGATTATCTCTTGATGATTGTCTCTAGATTATTGTATGTAGATGATTGTCTCTTGACGATTCATTGTCTCTTGATGATTGTCAATAGCTGATTATCTCTTGATGATTGTCCATAGATGATTATCTCTTGATGATTGTCTATAGATGATTATCTCTTGATGATTGTTTGTAAATATCTCTTGATGATTGAAGAGACCATAATAAATAACATTATTATGAAAAACATGTTGTGAAGTCATGACATTTTCATCTACATTTTTAACAAAAGTATACACTAAATGACTAATCTGGAAAGTCTTATAGCCTATAATCATGATTTTGAATCATGAGCTATAAAATGAGTGTTGTGTTATGACTTATAATGATTATTGACAATTTATGTAAAAATTATGGGTCACATTTTCACAAAATATTTACAAGCTATAAAACAGTCGAGTCTACCCAAAAACATTAGTAATTTAACAATATCTGTATTAAAATAAACCTAATTTTCAATATAGGTTAATGTATACATAAGTGTTAAACCATATTTAGCATACACATTACAGTTGAACCTTGATTTGTTAACTAATAGTTCACATCTTCAACAACATTTTTTTGAAATTACTCTTTCACTAACTCAGCAGTTAGTTACTTTCCCATCACGAAATTCTTGAAAAAAAACACAAAAAAACTGAATGTGTATTAAAATTCATTGTAGTAGCCCCGGAACTGTATTAATCATTGATTTCATATTTTATATTACCTGTCTTCAGTTCCAAATTGTAACATCCGTAGATGCTACGTGTTTTAGCGAGCTGCCATTTTCAAACATACAGTCCAGGAATGTACATTTAAAATCCGCTTGTGTAGCTTGTTGTTGGTTCACACACATGACACTTAACACACGACACATAAATAAATAATACTTTTAGTTTGATAGGCCTATTATGGGTACGAAACATTGCCGTTACACGACCGGGAACAGACTGTCGGCGGAGGGTTCAATGAGCGCTATCGAGTTGAATTGTCTTTTTTATGAGTTGTGGTCAGCTGTTCAGATAGGTTTCTTTGTTGGAGTAGGGCGTTAAAAATAATGTTCTATTTAAACTGTAGTTTATCGTTGAGGATATGGCTGTTGTGATCTGGGTTTGTTATGGATTTATAAATTTTGAACTCCTCCGAGACTTCAATTTTACTTCCTTTTTGACAGTAATGTAGAACTTGTAGACCGGTGTTAATGTCATTCATATCGTGATTACTGTCAATATGGTGTTGGGCAAATGTTGACTTCTGTGTGTCTGTTCTTGGATCCAGGCGGTGTTCTTTATAACAGGTTTTAAATGCTCGCCCCGTTTGTCCAATGTAAAATCTAGGGCAGTCTCTGGACTGTATGCTTGACAATGGCAGCTCGCCGAAACATGTAGCATCAACAAAAGTTACAATTTGGAACTGACGACACATAATATATAATTAATACTAGTGAATGTGTACATCATAATGCTCTATTTTTTGTGCTATTGAAACGCTAAATAAGCAGTTACAACAACTGATATCAATACACTTTACCAATTCTGCTTGAACAAAACCATTTCATGTATGTTCAAAACGTCTTTGCCTCTATTACACATAAAAAAAATTCTCCCTTGAAAACTAACTCATCAAGGATTCAATGTATGTGAAACGCATGACAACATATGTGTGTCACATGAATGTTTATGTGTGAGCATGTTATGTGTTATCCTAGGAGGAGGAAAAACTTGAACCAGCAAAACCAGGAGAAATTCAAAGGAAACCTTCTCTTAAGGTGAGAATAAAGTGGTTCACTTTTTCACTGTAAATATGTGTTTGTGTTAAGTCATGCATTGGGAGCACAATGCTTAGAAATATTATTATGGGAATACTAATTTAGTTTTAAACATTTGCAAGTTCTATTCTTGCACTATGTAACCTCATAAATAAATTTGCATTACAAATTTATCTGGATTGTATTTTCGGTATAAATTTTATTCAACTCTTAAATCTATAAAGTAAAAGTAATAATTATAATTTCACCGAAGTTTTAAAAGAAAAAAAGGGGTTGACTTGTCTTAGTTTGGTTAAAATATTAGTTTAACTTGTTGCTATATCGAGCATAATGTGTGTGAGCTTATTGATATGAAAAAACTGATTAAACGTAACTCTTCTAAATTAATCTTGAAAATGAAAGTCAGCAAGGTGAAACCCTGAAGATAAATTAATTTTGTTCTTAACATCAAAGACATTTAAAAAAATATTTTTTTCAAAAGGAAGTATAATTTTGATGTAAATGTAAATGATAAATTAGTAGTTTTTCTAACTTATTAATTATTAAAACTTAATAGGAATAGGAATTAAAGTTTTAAATGAGTTATCCAGAATATCCGAGGATTTAAAATTTAGTTTTTTAAAATTTCCATTAACCACTTTCTTGTAATCTGTCCTCTGTTCTTCTAGAGACTTTATTTAAAACTAACTGATCAATTATTTCAAATCATATAACAATGTTTCTAGAATCACTGAGAAAGGTATGACCCTTGGAGCTAAAATTAGCAAAAAAATAAGACTTATTTGAATCGACTGATTCCTTCTGTACTAAAAAGATGTTTTAAATAACTATACTAACTATTATTGTTTAAAATCCTATGTCAGGAGGCAGTTTCAAGACCAAAAGAGGTTTCTGATTCAGAAGAAGAGCATGATTCTGAGTTTGAGGAGGTAATTAAATGATTTTCGAGGAAGAAGAAAGCTGTCATCCCATGTCGTCGTCTGCTAGAGTGCATGTTGTATCTTAGGCATCCCAATATGGTTGATTTGCTCTGTTGGTGCTGTAGTATGTGTATTGTCCGAACGTCCAACATACACATCACAACATCACGGTAGTTAATCAGAATGCTCTTGATTATTCTACTTAAACATGCCAGGCAAGGTCTGATAAGCAAAGATTTCAGAGAGAAATAATGAAAAAAACTGATCTTAACATTTATTAAATTGATAGTTTCACAGTACTCAATCGTTCACAGGAAATATTAGATAACACCGAAGGTCGGAAAACCGAAGTTGGATAGTCGAGACTGAAGACTAGCTTATCTATTTCAAAAATGAATTTAAACTTGTTGACATATATGAGAGCAGTTTTTTAAGTAAATGCCGTTTTTTCGTATGGATCCGTAGTTCGCTCGTTTGCTGCAATGAAGCTCCTTGCAACTTACTGGCATCATTGTGAACAGAATGAGACTATTTTCAGCTTTGTAGCTGACATGTACGCTTCACTGTGTTTTTAAAATTTGTCAAACTATCGAATCTCCTGCCTCATGCCATATAAGATCAGTTATATGTTTCTTGATTACAAGAAACATCCGATGCCGACATTAATCAACAGACGACTAAAGGCTATGGCTCTAATGCAATGGCGAGGGTAAAGTGCGGAAATGGGTTATGGAGTGTAAAAATGACCATGAAATCTTTTTTCCTTTTTACTGAAGCGTACATGTCAGCTAATGAGCTGCAAATAGTGTCATTCTGTTCACAAATGATGCCAGTAAGCGGCGAGGAGCCTCATGCGTACAAGCATACAAACTACAGATATATAAGCAAAAACGAACCTTATCTAAAAAATCACCCTGGTAGATAATCCTGAAAAGAAGTCGCCAAGTATTTTTACTTATGGTACAAAGAAGGATTTCACCTAAGTCTTCATAACATGTTTGCAATGTATCACTAAATGATTTTAATTTACATTCACCCTTTTCAGCATCCTGCCTGCCTTACAACCTCTTTAATTTCTTAACGAATGAAAAACAATTACTGCATTATATGAGCTTCTTGTAAACACACAAAGTCTCTTATACGAATATAATATCAGCTATATGAGCAAAAATCAACTTCACACTACCAGAACTTTCAATTTTACATTGTTGGTTTTTGCAGTAGTTTGCATTTTTCGTCCTTGTCAATTGACTTTGGTCTGACATTTTTGTAATAGTCCATGTCCAGTGTTCGACTTTTTTTGTCTATACCTTGGCATCTTGTTTATCTTATTGCCATTTACTTTGGTGTATGATTTTTGTGTTTACTTTGGTTTTTAATTATATTGTCAGTAAACTTTGCATTTGATTTACTTTTGCCCCGCATTATTTTGTTTTGGTTAAGTAATATTGGGTAATGCAACTCAAAGTTCCCCTTTTGTCTTTATCAAGTGTTTTGTTTTTCCCTTGTAAAATTATGGTTTGTGAGTATTAGTAGCAAAATAATTATTTTCCTACAAGTCTTGTGAACAATAAATCACAATTAAGATTTATATAATTTTTAAATTCTAAAATACAAAGCTACTCACAAACCAAAATTTGTTTTCCCAATCGTATATTGTGATTGTGGTTTCATGTTCCCTTTTTACCCTGTAATTTTTGCATGGTGTGCAGAAAACTGAGGCCAAACCAGACGAAAAGAAAAACGGTTTAGCCAAGAAGAAAGAACCAAAGGTAATCAAATCTTACTTCTCTGTCAAAATTTATTCTGGCTATTAAATTTTTTCTGACAAACCAATTCGTAATTTGTGCCAAAGTTTACCAGTACATTGGAAGTAGTATAAAACATAAATTAAGTTTATGTGCTTATTACTTTGAACCGATTTCCATGTTAACATTGAGTATACACATATAAGAGGGGACAGATAATGCTAATAGTTGTTACCGATTTTGGCAACGTAGTTTTATGCCGCTGACACTTGGGTCGAGGTAGTCAGTCAGTAGTGCAGTGCGCATCTAAGCACCTTTAAATAATTTAGTATTAAAAATGCATTATAAAACAACAAAACTACAATAAAACAAACCAAATTCATCAACAAAAACAACTTTACAACCTACAATAAACACAATATTAAAAAACAACAAAACAGACTTACCGACATGCCGGAGGTGGCGTAGTTCGGACTACTGACACTACTCTGCAACAGAGCTGTTTAGGTAACGGTAGACCTCATTGAGTGTCAACTCCATACGTGTATACTCAATGATAAATACAATTGCAATGTGAATTAAAGTATTGTGGTTACATAAAATAGGGAACAATAAGGATTTTAATTTCTTTGGTAAAAATCAGTTCTATGTAGGAATTTTCTGTGATTTTGAAGGATTTATACTCAAAATGTAAACTTATAACTATAATCTAAAACAAAGTAACAAATTTTTAAAATGTACAAGTTTCTTTATAGAGGGTAAATATTTAAAATTTCTGTAAATCTTATTTATTTAGTTATAACAGTATTTAATCAAAGTTTTTTTTTTATATTTTCATTACTTTTTAAATTGCTGTACTTTTATTTATTTGTTTCCTTTTTACTCACGTGTATTTTTAAAACATTTTTCATTTTCTTTTTTAATTCCTTTAACATTTAATAAATTTTGTGATTTTAGGAGGTGAAGGAGGAAAAGAAAGAGGAAAAGAAAACAACATTATCAGCTAAAAAGGAAGAGGTGAGCATTGGAAAACTTATGCTTTTGTTAACTAAATATTCTTATAATGTTTACCTCCATTTTCAGAGGTATTTTATCTTCAAATCAGAATGTATTTTTGTGACTATATAGTTATCAGATACAAAGGTTTGCAATATTATTCATGTTGATCTTGTTTCAAATAATATAATTTTAGCCCTTTCACTTTATGGTAGGTACTCAAATGTGTACATTTAGAACCAAGAATGATAATTGTAGTTCTTGTTTTTTGTAATTTTCAAAGGTAAAGCTCTAAAACTAAAACTTATTAATTTTTGAGCTTAGATTAAGATGGGCCTAAATCTAATGAATGTAATATTTAGGAAGAGACAAATTTATGTTTTAATTACAAAGATAGAAAATTTTGTTAAACCTAAAGTTTAATGACTGATGCTACAAACAACAAGGATTGAAAAGTCACTTTTGTGCGATGAACTATGAGCCGTTTTTGTTCATCGCCTTAACATTAAAAATTGTTAGTTTTTACTTACTTTCCTTCAAATTATTGCTTTCAACAAAGCTTACACATTGTTGGTGTTTCAAACAATGGCTGATCTGTTATACAAAACAATATTAGCCATTTCAAACAAACGTCTGTGAAAAAGTTATTCAGCTATTATTTCTATGGTTTATTTGATATTTATGCCAAATAAATTATATATATTTATAAATTATACATTTAAAGAAAGAAAACTTGTTTCCACGAATGAAGAAAGTTAGTTTTTTGAAAAAAACAAATATCTGTTGTCCTAATTAATCTCATCAGTTGTTAAACTTTAGATCAGCTTAAAGATTTTGATTCAATGTTTTATTCATATTCTTCCTTATGTTTTATTTATCATTTTGTAAAGAATAATAGCACTAGTAAACTTGTACAGATAATTTTTCCTTTGTTAAAACCGTTCCATTTAAAGTTAAATACTATTATTCTTCGAAAGCTCTATATGATTTTTCAGTAAAACTTAAATCACTTTTATGTTTTTACACACAAGTATTTGTCTTTTTCCATTTCAATGTTTTAACTTTTTAATTCTTGTAATACTCAATATATAAATCATAACTGACCAACACATGTAAAGCTATTCCGATTTGTTAGTCCGATTGAAAAACATGTTATACTGTAATACAGACCAAAACGGAAACGAAGAAAGAAGAAGAATCTGTACAGAGAAAGCTTTCGATAAAATCTAAAAAAGAAGAAACTGTTGTCGAAAAGCTTTCAGAAAAAGTAGAAGTTGACAAATCCGGCGCAAAAGTAAAGAAAGTTGAAATACTTGAAAAGAAGCCAAAAGTAGGTGGGGAAGCTTTCTTTAAAGTACAGTTAAAACCAACAAAAAAAGTACAGGTTGAAAAAGTTAAAGAGGAGAAAAAGAAGGAGGAAGATATTAGTTTGAAGGTGAGGTTAGGGCAGCCCCGATTTTTCGAGTTGGTGGTTTTCGATTGGGAGTGCTGCTCATCGGTCACCTTCCACTTCTGTCACAAGAAACTTTTTGGATATTCTTCAACAATCTGTAAATTCTATGATTTCCTATTTCAACCCTAATCCTTTTTCAACCTGTGAGACATTTGCCTCATTTTTATAACCAGTCAAATCCTTTGGACCATGTTCATCCTACTTTCTCCCTTTATTTATCTTTTTATCCTTTTACTTATATTCTGTCTTTTATGTTCTTCTTTATTTCTTTCAATCCACACTTACTAACATTTCTACTTTTCTTTTAAATATACATTTCAAAACTCTGCTCAGATTAACCTAATGTTTTATTTCTAAATTTTTTAAAGTTTTTTTTTACATAAAATTGCTTTATCACTAATTAATTAGTGATTGTAAAAAGTTTTGATTTTGATTGTTAAATACCTTTGACCTATATTTAACTTTAACTCTATATTTAGTGAAATAAAAAGTTATTATAAAAGTTGCTCAATTATATCTGAGCAGAAAATAATTTTTATTATATATTTCTTACAAAACTATTTTATTATCGCTTTTACTTCTCTGTACCTATCAACTCTTTTTTGACAACACCTTGTCCAATAGAACACAATAAAAATAGTTTTACAAAACTTAAGTATTTTGAATAAATTTCAATGACTTAATTAAAACAAGAGCATAACTGATCATTTTTCAATTTTAAAATATCATTAATTATTTGAAATTTAAATACCTTGCTAGATATTTTACCTTATTTCAAAAGCTGATATGGCGACCTATGCCAGATGTCTATTGTTTATTTGTTAACAAAACTGTTTGAATATATTGTGATTTCATTTCAATGTTTAGCCATAAAATTTGGTTAATTATAAAAAATTTACAATCTTTTATAATTTCCTATTACTTGGATTAAATTTTTTGTAAAATTAGTCATATAAAAGACTTACTGTCCTGGCTTAAAAGGTATTCTATTGTAATATCTCAATTTTTTATATTTCCTTATTTCCCTGTTCTTCTTTCTCTTTACTTCTTCAATTTCCTCTTTTTTCTACAGAAGGTTTTCAGATGACAAACTACAAAGAAAAGTTAGAATCAACCTATCATTTAATAGACTCAATATTTTGTGGTATTACCTTAGAATTTGAGAGATTTCAATAATATTTTGGAATTTGTTTTCCTACTTAACTGTTTATATTTGGATTCTCTTAATTAAAGAATATCGTTTAAGGTCTAACTATTTTAATGGCAGGGTTAGAAGAATTGTTGATTTCAAATGTTAATTAAATTAATTGTTCTTTGTTTATAATTTGTATATTTTAACAATATTACTTAATTGAGTACAGTACAGTATAACCCCAGGTAACCGAAATAAAAGGGGGGAGAGCCGTTTTGAATAACCAATTTTTCGGTTAACCCATTGTATGCTAAAAATAGCCTATGTATTACCACGGTGAGTTGGAAAAATGAATTTAAAACAATTTCTATATAATGGAGTTTTTTTTTCAGCTACAGAAACGTTACAATGGATTAGGAAATACTTAAAACCAAACAACTAAAGTTACACTAAAGCCTTTAACATTGCGTATTACTTATATTTTAGTCCTGTATTTTATGGAGCCGTTTCGGTCAACCCGAATTCAGTTAACCAGGGTTCTACTGTATTTACATACCGTTCTTCTTGTTCTTTCTACTATTTTGCATATTCTGTACCCAACATGTTTCTGTGAGTTAAAAACTTTTGAGAGTTTTGAAAACTACGTCAGTTTTGGGTGTTGGTGTTCTGGAATTTTTGATTGTTAAGTTTGACAAAGGGTTTTCTTTGCATTAATGGGTGTTCTTATTTTCAGGTTACATTTTCACTTTACACTAAGCTTTTTTAATATTTTTATATATTTCACAAGTTTTCATATGCTTCTTTCATTGTTGTCCTTTAATTCTGTAATGTAAATATAGTTTATCCTGATTTTCTTTCCATGCAATGCCAATCAAAATCAAACTATACACTTAATCATTTATATTTGTCTCTGATTTAACTTGGTTGTACGATATGTGTAAATTTGTGAAGATGTATTTGATTAGGTTAGTAAACTCTTCTCACAAAATCTAAACATATAAATGAAAAAATAAATATAATTTTTTTGTTGTGTATAAATTAGTTTTTCTCTTTAACCAATGATTGTTTATCACTCATTTTCACAATTTTTTATGGGTTTTCTTCTAGACATCTGAATTGAACATAGAAAGGAAAGCATCACTCAAACAGGAAATGACGAAGAAGGTGTGTTTTGTTTTTTGAGAGTTCCTGTGACCCATATTTTGATCAACGTTGTAATAAACTATGTGTACTAACCAATTTAATAGTGTACAATAATATACACCTTGTATATAACACTTGTGCCTTTTATTTTTGTTTAATTCATGTTGAGATAAACAACCAACTATTAAACACGTTAATTTGACTAATCCGTTGTATAGATATTCCAAAACCTCTTAATAAAATATTTAAACTCCGACAACATTTCCTATTTTTTTTAAATCCTCATAACATAATAATTACACTAAAACATTTTTTGTGTTTTACCATGACCAATTTGTATATATTTTGTGTTTTATGATATTTTGTTTTATTGATTTAAAAAAAATAAAACCTATTTTGGTAAGTATGTTTGTGACATTGATACAATACCAGACTGATAAATTAAATGTACAATGATAACTGAACGAGCAACCAACATTTTTTTGGCAGTTTGTTACACTTGTTTTTTATAAATTTTTTGAGTGAAAAATTTTGTGTTTATTGATAAAGTAAGTAAGTGTTGATTATTTGACATATTTATTCATACATTTTAGTTTTGGTTTTAAATAATTACACAGTTCAGCATCCTGTTTTTTGACATTTTTATATGTTTCTCATTTTTTTCGACATACTAAAATTTTATTTTAATAATTTCAGTCTATTTTGCCACCAAATCCTGTTTGTCTAAAACTATGTCTTATTCAGTTTAAGTATATTACGTGTATTTATATATTTCTGTTTCTTATTTATAGGACAGCTTGAAGGTTAAAAAAGAAAAGCCCAGGGAGAAGACACCTGAAATCCAAGAGGTGGGCAACATTTATTTATTTCTAGAACTGTTATTTATTTCTAGAATTTTTAGATCAAGTTTTTGTCAAGAGGAAAAGATTAAATTTTTGTTGTTTTTGCCAACCAATGTTTCATTACAAAATGGATACAATCAAATTGTTGGCTGAACTTGACTCAAAACAGTATATAGTGAATGGAATTTAAGCATATTCTGTCCTACGTCCAGTTACTTTACTATGTTAATAAAACCACCAAACCTGAAGAAAAAAATATTCTGCGCTCTTTAAACTGTTATAGGTTTTTCTAATGCTATGTTGGAAACTAAACTTAAACAGGAAAAGTGACAAATAAAATTTACTAAGTTAGTCACTACTACCTATATTGTGGTATATGTTTAGGTGCTGTAGATATAAAAAAGTGCTTCATTACAATACAAAGCATATGTATGGAATACAGCAATTGATAAGTAACCATCTGTAAGGTGGGCGTTTACTGTTGGAATAGCTAACTAAGTTTAGAAAAACATTTTTAGGAAGTTTTCAGCTATTTTTTGTAATTTCACTTCATTTGCAAAAGTAAAATTTTATAGACCATGGTGACAAATCTTTGGTTTGGCTTAGGGTCGAAAATAGTTTTTAACAATTTACATTTTTTTATTGTAGAATGCCATAAAAACCAATAAAAAAAACTTTGTTGCCGATGTGTTATATGTTGGTAAACTAGTTGTGATCCGAGATTGTATTTCTCATTAGGTTGGATTTTTTACTTTTGGGCCTCTCATACAAGATTTATAAACCAAAGGGACCTAAGATCCCTGAATAGGAAGAAACCTGACATTAATTTTCGACTTTAATACTAAGAGGTTAATTTACCTGGATTTCGTCTTGTGACTCTTATACCTCCTCTAAGCGTGGATGACAATTGTTTCGGCGATTATATTGCCTTCTTCAGATCCTTGTCAAGAATATCTTAACTCATATTGAGGTCATTAAAATTCAAAACATTGAACACACACACAAACAAACATTTAGACAAAACATAAAAAATAAATATTCAACTGCTACTGTGGCCACAGGTACACACTGCTCAGTTTGTGTGTGTGTTTAATGTTTTGAATTTTGATGACCTCAATATGAGTGAAGATATTCTTGACAAGGATCTGAAGAAGGCTACATAGTCGTTGAAACAATTTTCATCCACGCTTAGAGGAGGTATAAGAGTCAGAAGACAAAAACAAGGTAAATTAACCTCTTATTTATATGTTAAAAGTAATTTGAGACAACACAAAAATTAAATCACTTAATGATCCTATTCAGTTTACACTAATCTTTAGTTTTCACAAAAACAACTCCTTTACACCGAACATAACATTATAGATGAAAAATGGTTTGGCTCCTGAACCAAAAAAACCTGAGGAACCAACAAAACGTGAACCTGAACAAGCTAAACCAGCACCTGAACCACCAAAACCAAGCACACCATCCACTCCAAAGGTATATCAATATCACCGCAACTCACTAATGGTGTTTTGTAGTTAATCACTCACATTGTAGATTCTACTAACATATCTACAAAGTATTTGTCACATTTTCTCAACTCAACATTTCATGACATTCTAACATTATCTTGTAATCAGGGTTGCCACCTTTGGTTTGGGAAAAATCAGAACGGGTTTCGTTCCCCCCAGGATTAACACAGATATAAACACAGACAAAAGAAACCGAAGCTAGGACTGTCCTGACAGAATCGGGATGGGTGGCAACCCTGCTTGTAATAGGTACAGAGCTTTAAAGAGCTATTTTTATGTTTATAACTTAAAAACTATTAATCAACCAAGAATGGTTATGATATGTTTGGCATTGGATAGAACAAAGAATAAAGTCTTCAAGATAAATCATTTTGTATTTTGGAATTTGCAAAATATGAATCAACAATTCAAGTGCAAAAATGTTTTAATAAATAAGAATGTACCTCCGCACAAACAACTTTATGAATAGCATAGAAAGTTCATGGAAAATGGTTGTGTGTACAAGAACCAACACCGAACGTGTGAATGATAAGACTATACATCATTTGAAAATTAAACTTCATTCTTTGCTTGCTCTATCCAATGCCATATTAATCAAACCTTTCTGACGAATAGGTTTTATTTTAAGTAATAAACATATACAATCTGCTCTTTTATTTTAAAATGCCCTGTATAGTAATGTCCACTAGAACCCCTCATATCCGACTTCGATATACCTGACTCCTTGGGATCCAATCTACAGGGTTGCCACAGACTGGGAATCCCGGGAAAACGGGTATTTTTTTAAAAATTTGTTGTACCAGGAATAACTCAGGAATTATGTGGGAAGTCTGCAGTCACATCAAAATTGAGAACATCTTCTGTGGTACAGCAAAATCGTGAACGTGTTCCCGCATTCACGGTTAAATCGAAAACATCTTCCACGGTCATGGCAACAACATTGCCTCCCACAATCGCAGCAAAATCGTCTTAGTTCGATCGCAAATCTTAAATTCGGCCCGACCCGAGCTTTTCCTGATAGTATTCATTGTTACGTATATTTTGTGAAAAGATGAACTTTCTCACTTGTAAAAAGAGTTTTTTTGCTCCATTAGATATCCGACCTTTTGGCCGTTCCGGCCTATTCATGGTTGGATATGAGGGGTTCTACTGATTTAAAATAAAACAAATAATTGTTCTAAAAGTAAATCGGTTTAAAAAGTTTATGATGGTCTACCAGGCCTAGTTTCTTTTTGACTGAACAGTGTTAAACATTTTTCTAAATGCCTATTGGCTTAAAATCAATAATTTATTTCAAATACAATTTTACTTGTGTTTAAGTCAACATTTGATTGATTTACACTAGCTCTTAACTTGTTCGCTCTGACTTGCGGTTGCGCCACCGATGGCTCACAAAATGAATTTCTGTCAAAAGTAAATTTGTGTACTAAATACCACAGACTACTAAATAAGGAAATATTAGATAATTTGGTGTTAAGTTCCGTATTGAAACACAAATTTGGTTCCAAGTACCACCTTTGGATATGGTTAATGTGCCTTCTAAAAACACGAATATATAGTAAAACGACTCACAAAAACTCAGAGATGTTGTTTTGTAGTGTACAACCACAAAAGCAACAGTCTCCACCAGTGGCGCATGTCGGAGTTTTAGCCCTTTCACCTCTCTTGTCGGCATCGGCCCTTTCGCAACCGTATTACATTACGGCTTCTAAACAAACAAAAAATTATGAAATTTTTTTGGGGAAAATTTTATTTATTATCTTTTTATTATTAGTAGGCTATAATTTGAAGTTAAACAAATGAGTGCAAAGTGAGCGAGAAATACTTACTCACGAGCCGTAGGCTAGTGAGGAATGGTTTCTCGATTGAGGTAATTGCACTTTGCACTCGAGTTGCACATTATATTTTTCCTACAGTTACCATAAAACAAATAAATTGAAAAAAATTAACATTATTTTTACACAGAAGTGAACTTTTAATATGACATTTAATGATACAACAGTAAAACAGCTGACCAGCTGATTTACAGCCAGTGCTGCCAACGTATTTCGCGCGCATACGACCTTGCCTGCATGTTACGCGCTCACTATTTCGTGCCTTCACGTTGCAAATCTGGAGTGAGACAAAGTAATTAGAGTGAGACAATGTTAACATTGTCTCACTGATGAGCGAATTGGCCACTTTGCTTTCTCAAATCAGTGAGAGAACATGTACATTGTTAAGTAACTGTAGGAAAAATAAATTAAACTAGACATAGGGGCGGAGCCCTAAAATGAGAGTTGAAAGGGTTAGAAAACACTGTAAGTTTACAAAAACTGGGATAAATTGTCAGAGCGAACGTGTTAATTGAATAACTATCTAAGGCCTACAATACATACATAGACAATTTTGATTACAAAATTAACACTTTCTTCCTAAACTGTCCTTCCTGAGTTATTGTTTTATCATTATTCAATTTTATTTTCTCAATAGTTGTACTGGTAGCTGTTTTCTTGACCAAACTCTTGATTTGTCAATTTGGCTTTCAAGTATTGTATACATATTCACAAAATATACTTTACAGTTGAGTTGTAGTTTGGTAGCAAATTTACCATTAGATACCAAGCTTACAATTGTGCTGTTTTTGTATAAAAGTACACACATGATTGATAATACGTAGGTACAGTAAACCAATTCTTGTTATATCTGTCTTACCACTCAAACTGTTAAATTGTATTCTTAAACTGTTATAGTATGAGGTGAAATATTCATATATATTTTTACTGCTGTATAAATACGCTTTGCTTTTATAAAATTTATACTAAATAGATGTATTTTACAAATTTACTTCTTCTCAATGATACTGTTCTTCAAGATGAGTTACTAATATTTTTCCTTTTAGTGTAAAGATTTGTAAGTATGTATAGGGTGCCAATCTAAGATTATTATTATTATTATTAAAAATGTATAAACCATTAGTCAAGTTAAATATTTTCTATTAGTATATCATGTATCTTTATTCGTCAGTTAATTTGCCATATAAATATGGTAGAATTATTGTGAACATATGTAGAAGAACTATGAGGATTATGGATTTTCTTACGTATCATTTTATTAAATACTTTTCTTTAAGAGTCAAAATGATCAGAATTTTTTTTTATAGAATAGAAATCAGTTGTACAAAATAGAAAAAGATCTTACCTTGTTAAGGAATTTAATCCCAGAAAATTTTAGTCAAGATTTAGGAGAAAATAAATACCTTTGGATTCCATGGCTGAAAAAAATCCAATTGAATTCTTACTATAACATTAAATCCTGTCATTTTGATGTAACATTTTCTGATGATCATTGTAAAAACCTTAATAAGTTGTATTTTTCAATCTTAAATGTTACTATCTATTATTTTTGTTGTATTATTATGGTAAATACTACTATCACTACTGGTTTATAAATTAATTATTTTCTACATTGAGTGAATTTTATCTGTTTAATGGAGTATATAAGGTATTAATGTGTATTAATTAAGCGATAACTAATGCCCGAAAAGTGGCAGTAGCGTAAGTAACATGTTAGTCATTATAATTAATAATATGTCAGTAGATATCTTATAGATATAACCAAATCCAAGGTTAAAACCAACTTTTAGAAAAAGAAAGTTTTAGAAATAAGTCAAACAACTTTATCTAAAATATTTCACTTAATAGCAATAGCACAAGCCCATAAAAATAAATTGTGAAAATCTTTACTAACTGTAGTTGAGTGTGATAGATCAGACGATATGATCCGATGGCATTTATTCCGAGTAGTTCGGAAGACGAAGACGAAGATACTGACACGGTAGATGAGTTACAAACAATAGGAAAGGTAACTCTACGCTGCGCAGTAGAACTCTGCAGTAGATTCTCTACTTCTGCTCTTCATTTGACTTATTTGTAGATTCTTTTCAGGCTTTTTTAGCCTGTTGGAAGTTTTACTGTTGTTAGCCTTTTCAGCTAGTAGTCGTTGGCGTTTGAAGGTTGATTAGAACTTGGAGCTTGTAAAAGTTATCGCAAAACCTAACGCTGCCATTTTTTACCATGTATTCGTGAAATTTGTAACATGTAAGAGTTGTCCGTGAATTTAGGTCTCGATTAAACTTCAATCAAAGCTAAGTGTTTCAAAACTGAGTCATTGATTTACTTTCACAACGCTTTCAGGAGACGCATCATCCCATAATGGTGATACCGACTAGAATAGTAGTAGATAAAGTAAAGATTGTGACGTTGGTCTCAGATTTTATTTAACTTCCTTGACTGCGTCGCTCAACCTTAATTAACGGACAACCCTCATATTTATGAAAATTTATTGTAGCCTACATGTTTTTTATGTTTTTATACCAAAATGTTTTAATTGGAATATACCAGAGTTTTACGAGCTATCAACAAAATGACTGCAGTTTGACCTCTACAGTTTAAAGGAATTTACATAAAACATCCATTATACAATGGTGATACAACTTGTTTTAATATTAAATTGAACGTATACTGTAAATGTGCATATATAATAATTGTTACGTAGTATCAAATCAATCTTTTTATTTCAATGTTCAAAAAACATTACAGCCATAATATTATCAAATTCTTAACTACTGTTTAAAATCATTGGTAAAACAAGATAGGAACAATATATAAAATATTTTTTATAAAAATAACCCACGTTTTAACTTAATAGCAGATTTTAAAGTAAGCTTTTAATATTTTTTAATTCCGCTTTTTTTGGTAGTTAATTTGAATTTTTGGGTAAAATTTGTTATCTTGTAGTTAAAAATTATTTTACAATTACTGCTTAAGCTTATTGTGAATTGTCCTCGCCTACTGCAGATGAAAAGTGTTTATTTAAATCAGTAAATTATCAATCTAATACCAATGTTGGTTTGTTAACAATTAATTTAATAAACCATAATAATTGAAATAAATTTAACAATGAAATTGTATTCGATTATGAATACATTAAAAAATAATAATGTAAGCGAAGTAATTGTTTAATTTTGAATTAGTCCTTTTTAAAAGAAAGTAAAATCACAAAATGTCATTACTATCATGATGCAATTTCTTATCAACTCTATTCAGCTTAAACATTATTACTGGCTTATACTTAACAGAGGCCAAAGTTCATAAAACTGCTTATTTAATTAACATTTTCCATGACGTTTGGTAAAACACAATATTTTACAACATTGATCAGAAATGATAAGATATTGATTTTTCTAATCGTGATGGAAAATGTACTCAATAATCTCTTAGTGTAAATTCAGCATCAGCAAGAATGAATTTCAAAGAGATTTTGAAAGTCTTTGTATCAAAGTACTTCTGTTACTAATATCAAAACGAGAGTTTGGAAGACGTTGATATTTTTACCAAATTGTTGACTAAGTAATTTTTTCAGACCAAAGTCCCGGAAATAAAAGCGCCTGATGCTCCGAAAATCGAAGTAATCAGGGAGAAATCCCCAGCAGGAGACAGAAAGGGATCTTTGGTTCCGGGATCAGGACAATCGAGTCGCAGAGGATCCCTCATTCCTCCCGAGGAAAGGGGTAGAAGGCCGAGTTTGATAATCAGTGACGAGGTATTGTATATGAGCAGTCTCCTGAAACTCGGTTTAGAAATTCATTTTGCTTATGTAGTTTGTAGGTTTTCTAGACAATTTGCACAAACATTTATCATTTATTTCAGAAAAGATAATGTTTGATTTGATCACCCAGTTATATCAAATCGTAAATCCAAACTGACATCCAGTATATTTTGTATATCACTTTGTAGTCCATGACCATCCTGATCTATTAGCTTATTTATTTTGTACTATACATTTAATTTGGATGTTTACTCTTGTATTTAGCAGACAACTTTGTATATAGTTTCATTTCTGAATCACTTGATTCTGAAAGTTGAAAACACAAACCTGTAAACATCTTCACATTCTATCTTTGCTACAAACTGATGTACATACAGTGTAGCTTATGTGAACTGCACAGTGCACATGTTAGTTTAGGTGTAGGTGTAGTGATTAGTCTAGCAGTGACTTGATGCCACATGGAGTGGCGTGTAGTATGACGGATGACGCACTATGGTTGCATGCCATTACGAAGATCCGAGGCATGACTAGTGTTTGCTTGCAGGTTGCGGCACAAACCAACATAACTCATTATCTTGCCTTGTATATTTATAGGAAAATAGGAAGCTGCGTCCAGGAGAAGTATTGGAGGAAAAGAAGGTGAGGGTTTGACAGATCGTCCCTGGTCCACTGCATCTTCCATCACCATATAATTATCTTAATCTACACGAAAGTCCATAATAACAAGTCACGATGATAATCGTAACATTACGAACATTAATACTTAAAACATTTAATACGAATTTGATAATAATACGCACGTCCGATTAATGCTGTTTTTAGAATATCGTATAGTGTCTAGTCCAGTGTATTTGTCCAGGTATCCCTGTCGACTGCCAAATCCTTTGCTTTATCTCTGTTAATTTGCTTTCCACAGGTTGGCAAATTGCGGCCGGGTGAATTTATTGATCCGAAGGTGAGATTTGTGTTGTCGTGACACAAAGCTGACCTTGTTCTTTGGCATTCTCCACTAATTAAGCGCAAAGTATCAAGTTACCTACTTTGCGCCGTTTTACCCTCTCCTATTTTTGTGTTTTACCCTCTTTTTAAACTTTTTACCCGTCTATCCTTCTCTAATCAGAATTTTTGAATGCCAAAGAAGAAAGAAGACTTACCGCTTGAGTTCGACGCTTTTATTTTATTTTCTGTGATTTTTTATTGTTTATACTTCTTTCTCGTCTTGTAATACAAACTATATTTATCTCTTGTTTTATTTATTTTCTCTAACAAGCAGAAAGCACGGCCCGGGGAATCGCTTGGTCTACAAATCAAACAGGTTAGATGCGACTGTAGGATAGGTCAGTGTAGGTCCAGTGTCATTAATACTTGTACGTAATAGTTCCATGTTTAGAGGTAGAATTTAGACTTTAGAGCTGGAAGATCACTGTTCCGTGTCTGTAAATATGTAAACTACATGTGGTAACGTACCAGCTGTCAATGTAGACTACATGATGTCTGGAAAGCGCATATGTGTAAAATATAATCAATCAGTTTGTTATATACCCGTGTAGTTAGTTACTTCATAATTCGTTAAATAAATTTAAAAAATATATATCTTTATCGTCATATTAACGTTAGTCATAATAGTGTAGCTACTAAACAGGTGACTTTAAGCAACATTGTTTAGAGTCCTATGCAGATATAAATTATCTAACAATTTAAAGACCTAACTGGGAAACTTTTAGTAACACTACAAATTTATTTGATAAAATATTTGTCGTTAAATTTACTAAACTATTCTAACTTCTATAAAATAACGTTGCAAATCGTTAATCTTTTCATAACCTCTATGTAATCAACTAACAATCAGAACGATTCAGAATTAATTGAACTTTATTTTACGATATTTTGCATAAAAATATCTATATAAATTATGGATTTTTGATTTTTCTTATATTTTTGATTTATCTGACAGAGAGAACTCAAACTGTATTAATAAATATTTGGTACAATGTTCTTGCGTTAATTTTACTTAAAGTACAATCTAAAGTAAAAAAGGTATTCCTTTCATAAATTTGTGTAAAAATGTACAACATATATTTTCAGCTAATCTAGTAAAAAAATAAAATAAAAAACAAATTCGAGCACTATATATATTTTATGTATACTAAAAGTATGTGTCAAAAGTAAAAGTATCATCTTTTCAAAAGAGACCAATCAGTTGGACCCTCTTAAAAACACAAATCAAATAAATATTTTAAGAATTAAAAATAGGCTGAATTAAAGAATTTTCATTATGAGGAACCATGATACCGTAGTAACAATCCAGCCACATTCTTAGACCTTCAAATTTTGACTAAGTTTACAGGAACAAGTTGAAAATTCCCTAACTTTTTTTAAAAACTCATATGCGTGTTTTTCAATCACATATAAAAAATTCCCCTATATTTATTTACATAGAGTGTGTTTATTTTACTGTTTATTGTTTACACTTAAGCTTCTTCAGATGCATGAAGAAGCCGATAGATCAACCTTTCTGGCATCCAAAAAGGTTTTGTAGTGGTATAGAAATGTGCCAATTTTTTTTTTATAAATTCAGCAAATTTAGTTTCCAGCAATAGATTTTCTGAATGACGCAAACAACAAATTCCCCCAAAGAAAATGTAGGTTTCTTTTTCGTAGATATTAACTCTATTGAACTTTTAAATGTTGAAATTTTTGTACTTGAGGGTTAAGGGTTAACGGGAATAATTTTAGTAACACTGTAAGGGGCGGTTTGGGAGCTCGAGCCCAGCTAGTACGCGCCTAGTGTTGGACGCGCCTAACTTTAGTCCCCGGACCAGAAACCAGGCTTGGGAGCTCGCGCCTAAGTTGAAATGGTCGTAGATCAAGTATAGTCGCGCCTAAGATGCAGCGCGGCTAGATGGACAGGGAATCGCGGGGAATTAAGGTTTTAACGTTGGCAACAGCCATTGCAGAACCCGTTACCGTTGACAACAACAAAAGATGAACACTTATTGAAGATGGATACAATTTTATCTTGGTATATCAATGGTGGCTAATTAGTAGACTACGGTGTATGTTTCTGCATTGTACCATTGCAAAAATGTAGTTTTGTAAGATCGTTGTTTTGCATCCCAATGACTGAAGAACCTTAATTGTTTATATTAAATTCTTTTAAGATCTAACTTTTTTTGCACTTTACGATTTATTATTAAAGTACAACTAGTTGTCTTTTAAGTACTACACCTTATAAATACGTACAGAGCAACATAGGATTAACATCGGAAACTCGGTTTCATGAAATAAAAAGCTTCAAAATTAAACAGTAATTTCCCAGTAGGCTATAATATAGGGGTATTGACAACAAAAATAATAAAAAGTAATTGCGGAGGTTATGATTGTGTGAAGCCAAGGTAAATGTAAAAAAAATCTTTTAATACAGTACTTAGAAAAAATTGTTGTCAATTTAAAATCTTTTTTTACATGACACTCTTTTATCTAATTTTCCTAGGGAAGTATCTATTTCTGTAGGTAGCACTTAGTTTCGGGACCGATAAACTTTTCCATTTTGATGTCCCTACCAAAATCACTGTTCGTTCAAAATTTTATATATTTATAGCCTACTAGCTGTACCCACGGGCTTTGCCCCGTTTAACTTCATAAGTATTTGCATGGCTCAATCACGTACCGGTTGAAGTTCGTTCGCTACGCTCACTCACCTTTAGGTTGGAGCTCGTTCGCTGCGCTCACTTGTTTTCAGGTTAGCTCGTTCGCTTCGCTAACTCGCCTCCAGGTTGATGTTCGTTCGCTACGCTCACTCACCTTTTGATTGCAAATTAGCTGTTGTCATAAATTTTAAAAAGTCATCCCTTTTATTGTTTATAATACTTTGATAAAGGTTTTTATGTTTTAATATTTAACATTGGAGAATTTAAACGTTGTTAAGTGCACAGGTGTGCTGCGATTGGGGTTTAATACATTTGGACTTATTCAAAAGTAAAATAGTTTTCTGTGCTGCACTCTGTAGAAACACTGTGGCACTATTTCAAATCATGACTAATGCTAATACAGAATGTTGTAATTATTCAAACCTACAAAACAGTTGGTAAAAGTAAACATCTGCCTTTAAATTATATTTATTTGTAAACATTGTAGATCAAAAAGTCTGACATTGGCCCACTTAAAACCCTCTGGGGCAGAGCCCTTTTGATAGATCTGAACCAAACTTCACTCGAACCATCCTTGAAAGATGCTTAATAATGCCTGAAAGTTTCATTACAATCTGTCGAGCGGTTTCGGAGTCCATAACGTATATACATACACACACACATACATAGTTCCTCTTTTATAGATATAGATATATAAATGTATTATACTGTATATACGTCCATAAACGTGATAACTTGAGTAATTTTTGTCTGATTTTGATAAAATTTGGCATGAAAGTGTTAGGCGCGATTCTCCTTAATGAGTTAGCGAACCAGCATGATCAGACCAAGGGAAGCCGGAGTTATAGGATAAAAATAGTTTTTTTCTCAATTTTAACCCATATAACATAAATCTTTGTCTTTGAAATATTTTAAAGAGTAATTTAAAGAGTAAAAAGTATTTTTAAGAGTATGAAAAACAAATTAATATCTTAAATGTTTTGTACGGTTATTGGCTACAGAGACTATTGGTAAAATTGTAAATTTTAAATTCCCATGTGATTCTTATGGAGAATAAGTTAACCGTTCTAGTGTGGTCGTTTATGGATATATTTTTATGAAACTTGGCAAATTTATTTATTTTTTATAAAGCTGTTAATATTTTGTTAAAAAACACACTTTATTACCCTCCCTGTAACAGCATACCTACACCGTAGGTAGTTTCAGGTGCTTGTTAAACCTAAAGTTATTTAAATAAATTTAATTCGAAGCTCTATTAGGTTATTTGGAAATTCGCTTAGTCTGCAGGTTTTCTGTGGCGGGTTATTGATATACTGTATATATTTTCTTATACTCCAAATAATCTAGGTACTCCATTTTGATGTAACTAGCACTTGGTCAATGACACTGAACTGAGCTCTATCACAACGCAATTAAAAGATAACGATTATGACTGTGAGCTATTTGCAGTTTTTTATGTTTTGTTTACTTTCTCTTCACTCTTTCGTAGGGGGTGAGTGGGGGGTATGCATGTGGTTGCTAATTATTTCCTTACTAATAAAATATTTATAATTAAGGTACGGGTGCTTATAGCTAAACTCTCAGTTGAAAGAAATTCTATTTATGGTCCATATTTGTATTGCAGTTAACAGTAAAAGCAAAAACCAAATAATCTTTCGTTAAATTTAGCTTTCTGCAAGATTTTCGTTTTATTTTAAACAACATAAAAATAAAAAAAGGTTTTATCAAATATACTTTGAGAGGAATGAAAATGTTCGGAATTTAATAACGAATTCCAATATAACATTCTTTTAGTTAATATGTAAACAATTAACTTGCTAATGAGCTAATACCGGCATGATGTCGACTTAGACCTGCCCTCTGGCAGGACTAAAGTTGGGGACTAAACTCACTGATTTTTATGACGAAAACATATCTCTTAGTCCCGAAATTGGTCTCCCAAACCCACCGAGACTATCTCTTAGGCTGGCGCCTAAGTCTACTTGACTCCCAAACCAACAATATTTAGGCGCGAGATTATCCCTGCACAAGTTAGGCGCGCGCCTTACTGATCCCGAGCTCACAAACCCGTTTTCGAGGCGGCAGCCTAAAATACCGGAAATATCCGGATTTAGTCGCGGACTAGCGCTAATACCGAGCTCCCAAACCGCCCCTAATTCTTTCAGTCCATTTTTTACTGATAGTTCATCCTTACCCGAATTCACAAGCTATGTTGCCTGGAAAGAGTTAATCACAACTCTGAATATTCTTTAAATACCATCTTGGAAGCACAATTTAGGGGAGAAAGTACAAAGTCGGCAAGCAATAAAAAAATCAAGCAATGTTATTTATGTACTGCTCTGCTTATATTTTTTTCCTGTCTATTTTATAATTTTATTTTATTTATTCTTCGCTCTTTATTTTTATTATTTTGTGTAAATTTAATTTTGCTGTCTTTATTATTTCATTGTTTACCATTGTCAATGTGTAGTGTTGTCTTTGTCTATGTATTTTGTCCTTCATGTGTATCTAATAAATGTGTTGTAAAATATTTTCTTTCAGTATTCCTTTGAATAATTTGTACCGCTTTACAGTTGTATTCAAGCTTTGTTTACTGTTAAAATGTTTTATATGAGACAGCTTTGAGTATTTGCCTCTTTGATTAATATAGTGTTGATGCATGACATTTGTTTTGTACATAACACATAGTGTGAAGAGTTTAGTTTTTCTAGATAATAGTTATTAGTTTTTCATATTTTCAAACTCCGAATGTATATTTTGTATGTATATTAATGGTGTACAAACTTATCTTTCGTTAACTTTTTTCAATTTATAAGAAGATTTGATCGGTTACAGTTTTTCAGGTAAGTTTGAATTTTTCTTGGTTATCATGAAGAATAATGACTCAAACATTTGTTTTTGTTCTACAAAACAAGTTGCAACTGACTCCCAGTTAGTTACCAGACAACAGTTCTGACTAAGATCACATACCAAGAATATTAACAGATTTTTAGATCAAATTGGAATGTACAAACATAGAATTTTACAGCATGATGTTGCAATTAGATTCATAGGTTTTTTATAGTTTACTGTGGAAACAGAAAAAATGTCCTTAAACTGAAAGATGTGCATGAACTTTTGGTGGAATATTTTGCGAGTGGTTCTCCAACCAATGTTGTTATGTGCAGCGGAGACGACCAAGCACAGATATGCGGCGCCCGAGTGTTCAGGAGCTGGAAGGGCTCATAGACAAACCATCCACTCCGCTGCGAGACGTTGGGGATGCAGGACCACCGGCCATCGTAGACGTACAAGAGAGCTACTCGGCAGTGGAAGGTAACGTTTTGTACTCAGATTATTCAATTAGTTAACCATTCGATGCTGTTTGACATACCTAGTCTAGTATGTCACGGAACTTTGCAGTGCCATAACAGGACTGGCGTTTAATACAGTCACAGCTGAAAAAAATCATTATGTTGACTTTTGTATGTATACTGAAGTAGATAACCTAGATATATGGACCAGCTGATACCAATTTTTGATTACAAAAAACATAGTTCTGTGACCCAGTCATAGATTGCGCTAGTGTCTAAAATTCAGTTTTCGTTCCTTATTCTATGTTACCGAAATAGTTGATGAGGCATAATAATAGATGTTATAGCTTACAAGAAGTCATCCTATGAGTTTGACTTGGTTGAAAACCCCTCGTATTTGACAGGAATCAGTGGTTTACTCAAGCGCAATCTGACAGTGGCTCACGTCAACTACATCCATTTTCAATTTTAAATTGGCAACAAATTTAATATGGGGAATGGAATGTCTAGTTTTATAAATAGTCAAAGATAATACTATCTAAAATCAAAGAAAACGTTTTCTTTACTATTTATCAGAAAATGGTGTCCATTGTAACGCACCTATCAAAGAAGAAATTGTTCACGTAATTAAAAAATATTTAGGGGGCGGCAGTTGCTGGTCCTTGTCCCTCCGCTTTTCACCGTTTTAACTGCACGACTTTAGGGGTGTGCGATGCATCGAAAATGCATCGAAATTTCGATTCGATTCGATTCGATGCATCGAATCGCGATTCGATTCAGTGGTGGTCAAAAAACGATTCGATTCACGAGGGAGTCAGTATCCATATACGAAAAACGCCTGCAGAAAGTCAATGCAATACCCGCAATACAGGAGCGCGTTGCTGTTGCGTTTCCTTTACGAAGGCGTTCTTATTTAATACATTCTTTGCATTAAATATAGCTTTAATTGTTTTATATTTTTTTGTTTTGACATTGCAAATGATTAGAGGTTTGTTTTTTGTCTTGATGTAAGCAGTGTGTGAAATATTTTACTACTGTGAACCTAGCCAAAACAAGGTAGGTTACTCCAAAATCATTTTAAAAATAAGTCTGAAAAATTGTTACTTAATACTTAACTAGTAAAATTAATGTTATAGACTGATTCATTTGGTATTTTTGTTAGGTGTCTGCCGGTCCCCGTCCCCGAATTTTTGTTGGGGCAAAAGAAAAAAAAAAGAATAATTTATTTCCAAAGAAACACTCTTATATTATTATATCTATTATTACAGAGGAATTAAAATGTTCAAATGAGAATTAAAAATTAAGTTGGCTCACGACCTTTAAGAATAAAGACACAACAGAGCAATTGCCGCACTGCCACTAGCCAGAGCCAGGTCTAGTCGTCTACTGATAAGAGTAACAAGACAAAAGCCGTGACGCAACACTAACAGTGCAAAGAAAACAAAGTCAAAAGAATAGAAAGACTATTTATCCAGACATACTAGTATAATCATTTATTGTTTATTCAATACCTAATTAAAAATATATTTTATTATTTTACATAATAAATTATAAACAAAAGAAATATCTGATATAGTGAACAGATCTGTATCTTGGTTAGATGGGGTTAAAAAAATATATTTCTAAGATCCAATACAATATTTACAACTCACAAATTACATTGAATTAATTTCTTTGAAAATAATCTCTAACAGTTTTGTGTTTTTGAATAAAGAAATATATTTCTTTGTCTCTACTCCCTTGTTTCATCACTTGCATTTTGTCAGCAATTGAAGCAACTGGGTAGCAACCGGGTGGTGTAAGAGGGGAGGGGGAGGGTCTATGACCTTGAATTCACACATCGTTGCCCGGGCCTGGCTGGTGAGACTGATTCATTGTTTTTGTTGACATACTACTACCCTTCCTTAAGAGAAAAAGGCCCTGCTGTTCCAAAAACATTGAGGGTAGTTTAAAAACATTGACCTGTGTTGCCAAGGGCACTAGGCTAGAAGATAGCATTTAACTTTCTTGTCTCTTGATTTAATATTATTTTAATCTTCTATATATTATTTAAGAGTTACTTTTCGGGTACCTAATTAGTTGTGATATTGTTTGGCTTTATTTTATGGATTTTTTATTCTTTTCATTCATTAGCTATCAAAATCAGTTGTTTTAGGATTTTAATCTCTTGCAGTAGGTCTATACTACTGTATGACATGATATGCATTTTTTAGTCCTTATTAATTATACCATAAACAATGTTTGTATGTTATTTACTGTTTTTGAGTTTTATAGGAAATTAGTTTACACAATATCTTTTCTTCAATGAGTTCTCCACTTGACATGTTGCTTCTAGCCTATTACTATTTTAGGCCCTATAAAAATAATGCCTATGTAAAGCTGTAGGCCTACTGATGCCAATAATAATTCTTTATTTATGATGATGTAACAAATAATGTAAGTGTGAGGTTATTATACTAAGGAGGTTAGGAGGCAGGGAATGAATGATACATATTGCATGGTGGAAACATATTATTTTTATTTTCTTCTTGCTTGCAGTCCTGAAGCCGGTCCACAGGCCCTAAACTTGTGATATGTAAATTTATTTCTTAATGGTCTTTTTATATTAAGTTCCATTCAAATTTGTTGTAATTTAGCTACCGGCACCTATTTAGTTATTTAAACAGTTATTAAAATGAGAATGAATGTCTTGATAAAAAAAATATTTTCTTCTTTCTTGCAGTTGAGCCAATTCAAGTAAAAATTATGAAATAGGCAAGTAAAGCAGCTCACTGGTATTTCCAGCAGTTATTCTAATACATATGATTGAAAATAAATATTTTTTCACCTAAAATTCATATGTAAAGTATGAAATAGGCCTAATACCACATCAACAAAAATTTGTATTACACAAATGTGATACATTTTAATTATTGTTAATCCACTCAATTGACAATTATGAATAGAAAAATACCGTATTGCTTCGAATCGAGTTGCATCGAATCGAATCGAAAATCTTTTGAATCGAATCGTTGCTTCGAATCGAAAATTTTTTGCTGCTTCGCACACCCCTACACGACTTCACTTTCACTCATAGAATTTTTCTATAAAATAATGCAAAGTCATTTTATAGTACCAGAGGTGTCCAATCTGAACTCCAACTATAATGGTTTGCTTCATACTTACTCATTGTCTTAAATAACCTCAATTGCAAATATTGATCTATTTCTCATACTTGAATATTTTTGATTCATCCTACTTGATCATAATTACTTTAAGACTAATTAGTTTTACATTACCTTTTATCAGTTCCAAATTGTAACCTTCGTCAACGTGTTACATGTTTTGGCGAGCTACCATTGTCAAACACTTCATTTCAGGAATACACATTGAATTCCGCTTGGATTAATATACATTGTTCCCGCTCGTGTTCCGGCAATGTTGCATAGCGGTGTTAGGCCTATCACACAGAACTTAATTATTTATATCTCGTGCGTTAAATGTATTTGTCGTCTATTCAAAACGAAGCTATCCAAGAGGAAATAATGTTTATTCCTGGAATGAAGTGCTTGACGATGGCAGCTCACCGAAACATGTAACAATTTGACAAAGGTTACAATTTGGAACTGATAAAAGGTATAACCAATTAATCTATATTACAGTTTCAAGGCTACTACAATGAATATTACTTTTAACTTGCTACATTTGTTTACAGACCAAACTGGGTACCTTACAGTTCAGGTTGAAGGAAACCCTGCACCTACATTCAAGTTTTACAAGGTATGTATTTTGTCACGTTCAAACTTTGGCTTGATCTTAAAGATTTAAGCAATCAACCGGTAGTTATTCAATCTTAATGAACTGTTTTCAAATTGACAAAATAATTGGTTAATTTCTGATCTACCATAGTAAAATTATTACCTTACCTTACCTACGTGGCCACTCAAACCTCAGTAGGTTTTTGGCCTCACCAACAACAAGTCGCCACCTCTCTCTGTCTTCCATCCATTCTGCCTCTGCTCTTAGCTTCCCTATGTCTCTTCGCACCTGGTCCTGCCATCTCAGGTCGTCCTAGTAGTCGTCTTCCCGAGGGAGATTTTTAGACACCATTCTTAGCGTAGAATCTTCATCTCTTCTCTTCACATGACCAGCCCATTTCAGTCCCCTGCTTTTTATTTGTGCTATTATGTCTGGATCTGTATAGGTTTCCCTCAATTCATTGTTTGTTCTGATCCTCCACAATTTTTGTTGATGGGACCGTAGATAGTTCTTAGTATTTTGTTTTCAAAAACAATTATTTTCTTTTTGTTGTTCTTCGTCAATGTCCAGTAAAATTATTATGGCAGCTTTAAGTGGAGGAGCTGTAAATGAACCCATAATAGGTCAAATTAATTTTTCTTTACAAATTTTGAGGTGTCTCAGTATCATCCATTTTATTACAATTTTAAAAATTTTAAATAAAGAAAATGTTCTTATTACTTACTTTGCATGTTTACTTAACTTATAATCCTATCATAGGGAGTAACAAGTAACAGCAAATACCTATTAGAAAGTTGGAACATTCATACTTGGTACAACTCACTTCTAGGATTAAATTGTGCGACAATTGCTATAGCATTAATTAACACAAACGTTTAACGTAACAAATCTTTCTATCCCTTTCATAACCATTTGATTCCAGGGCATGACAGAAATTATTGATGGAGGAAGGTTCAGATTCCTGACAGAAGGAGATACCAACTCTATCACTCTTTGTATAAGAAAAATCAAACCCAACGATGAAGGGAAATATAAAATTGTCGTCAGTAACTGCCATGGAGAAGATTCAGCGGAGATGCAACTATATGTGTCAGGTGAGTGTGTGATTTTGGAGGGGAAATATGTTAGAAATATAAACAGCTGTAAGTTGAAATGCTTTTGACACAAACTACTGTCATCATGTTAAAGGAATCCTTTTAATATTTTATGACTTAGAAGTACCGTCATAATATTCTGGAAACAATTTGCTTCATTGTTAAGGAGGACCGATGATAAAATAATCAATAGTATGATGAGGTTCTGCATGTTTGAAAAAGCCAACAAGCTGAATTCGAACAAAAATATTATTTTATTTACATTGTTATATATTCGCTTTTTATGTTTGTATGATGGACATTTTAGTAGCAATCAACATATGTGAATTAATAATTGCCATCATTTGGAGTGCTAAACATCCCAAGTAAAAATCAAATTACATCAAAGTATAATTACTTAACAACACTTAACCCTTTCCGTTCAATGAAAAATACATATTGTTTACATTTGGATCCAAAGAAAACACTTTTCAGGTCCAACGTAATTGCATAAGGAAAGATTTTTATTTCTAAACATTAAAAATTGTTTTCCAACTTTGTTGCCTTTGTTGATGAAACACAACTCTTGCCAAATATACGAAGTATTTTGAGTCAAAATTCTGTTGGGAACGACAGAGGAGGGAGGAGTAGAGAGGAGTGGGGCAGAGATTGAGTAGCAGAGTAGTTTTGTGTATGAACGAGTGTAGGTTAAACGACCCACCATGATGACTCCCCTTGAAGAAGAGCCTGACGTTTCGGATAATTTTCTTATGGCGATCTCACAATTTGGTAAAAATATGCATACTTGCTTATAAGTTTTTTTCTACTCAGATTTGTTTATTAAAATATCACATTCTATATTTTAATAAATTCTCTGAAATACATAAAAAGCATAAAAACTACACATGAAGTATAAAAATTGAATAAAAGTAATGACGTCTTTATTTTTAAGGTGTTTAAATTAGGTTTGGATTTAAAATCAAAGTTATAACAACAGAGCTAAGATCTTACTCTTCTATTTTATTCTAAAAAAAGTGTAGATTTTTGTTACCTTATTCTTATTATCTTATTTATATAATTCTAAGATTCAGAGAAACACTGAGAACCACACTACTACAAATGACTATAAACCAAAAATAAATTCGGTCTTGAACCTAACATTTAAGTCTTGCTGTTAATTAAAATAAATAAGAAGTATGCCAGATTGAATTCAATATGCTTGCATTGTTTTCAATTCAAACTTATTACACATAAAGATAAATGAGAAAAGACATATTGCTGAGAAAAACATTCAAAATTTGATATACTCAAGATCTCTCAGTTATTTCATAATATCGGCTGACTCCAGATTCCAGTGGAATGGATTTCCGTGCCATGCTGAAGAAGAGGAAATACGCAAAGTGGGGAAAAGACAAAGAAGACCCCGATTGGGGTGACCTAAAAGAGACAGAAAAACCAGTACCTGCTTTGAAGAAAGTGGAAAAGGTAAGATGTAGGTTTTAGCCGTTTTTGATTTATTCTATACTAGACAATTTATTTGATATTTTTCATTCAAACTTTTGGTATGAACCCTCTTGGCTGACACCTCTTGCAAGAGGACTTTCCAAGTATTGTCTAATTAAGAAGTTTAGCGTTTTATTAAATTATTTCACTACAAGCTTACATTCAATACTTGTCATGATTTTTATTTAAGGCTTTGGTCCAAAACAGCAATAATTATTTTGTAGAACTACATTTCTTAAAACAACCAATCCTTATCAGCTCATTTTTCCAATATACTTCCTGTCCAAATTTTTTTGTAAAGCTGTACAAATCTGTAAATAATTGTACCCTATAAAACTGATTTGATTATTTATGACTTACAAAATTAAACATTAGTTTCAGCTTTGTAATAGTCTAGGGTTTTTGTTGAAATTAAGGCAAAATATTCATGTATATTCCTAAAAACAAGTTCATCCAAAGGATTTGGTCTGTTGGGGTTCGACAAACATTTTACTTTAAATGTTTAACTTTGACCTAATCCTATTCACATGTGATTTATAATCAATGAAATTCAGATTTTTAACTATGTTAAAGCCTGGCTACTAATCCTATTAGCTTAGCAAATTTGTTAATGCATATCTAAAAACACTTCTAAATAGTACTTTTAGATTATAAGCTCATAGTTTATATGCGACTCTGATGTTATTTACTTTTTAAATTTACAGAAACTTAAACATTATTTTAGTTGATTTATACTAAAAATGTGTTTAATATTCTTCCATATTTTAGGGGGAAATTTTAAAATATATCCAAGACCTGTGTATTAACTAATCTATCACATTTCAGTCTTTAAGTATTGAGGAAGAGGAGGGGGTAAGAAATGTGTGTGAGGGATTTCCCTGTAATCCCTTTAGAAACACCTACATTTTGAAATATGAGATGAAATGCATCGTTATTAGAATAATTGTAGTAATTGATTATCCTTTGAAATTTTTAATTAATCCAAATTAAAAAAGGTTCCAGTTAGAGATTGAAAAAGTATTATTCCCATCTATATATGTGTTATGCAACATTTTTAGTGTAACCATTTTTGTGTCATGTTACATAATATGCTCCAAAATAGCTTTTTTTACCCTAAAGTACAAAATACAAATAAGATTAGGAATTATTTTTGAATTTTTCACTTATTCATTTATATACTGCTAACATGGTTTGTTTTAAAGAAAGAGGAAGTATCATGAATATATTTATCTGATTTTTTGAAGTTTCTTTTTGTATGGGACTATAAATTGATAAATATTTTTTCCTATGGGGGATCCACAAATAATTAACTCTTGTTCCAAATATTGTTTTTGTACCCTAAAAATGAAGACAAATAAACTTAGGAATGATTGTTAAGTTATGCCCTCTATAAATATCTATCAAACAACCAAATCTCTTCATCTTTTTCAACTCTCAAGTATAAAGTTGTATTAGGACCACTTTAGGACCAAACCCTGTACTTTAGCTATAAACAACCAGTTTTAGGTTTTAGGATTATGTTAGAAATTTGCGTAGCTTGTTGTAGTTCCTTAGTATTGAGCAAGATAAAAATGTTTGGAATATATTGATATTCATCCCTCGAGTATAATCTTTGTTGTAGCCCCACATAGTGATGGTAATAATTAGTTATGTTTGTAACCAATGTGTACAATTTGTTTTGTACTAAAAGTAAAAACAATGATTTAATTAATTACCTAAATATTGTGAGCATGAGTAAACATAATAGGTTTTGCATATTTCAGTGTATAATTTCATATTTAGCATCAACAATTAAATAACATAGTTCTTTATGAACCAAATCAAACTAAAACAATTTATCAAGTCTAAATTTCCTCTAACTTATGTTTAGATGATACTATATGTTGTAGAGGAAAATATTAAGAGCTCTTAGAAGAAAAACATTACCCGAAATCATTCCAGACTGGCCCATTCTTCAACCATTTGAAATTATGGAGGTTTGACTAAGTCATTCTTTAATTTTCAAATTTTTTACCTTCTTTCCATTCTGATTTCTCCAAGACTTCTCGTCAGCTGATAGTTGTTCAGCTATATATATTTTTTACTGTCATGGCTTATTTTGTAATAGTAGTTTTATTACACCTTTGTTGGACTGTAGTTTTATGTCTTTGTTAGTTTTTAAACTTCTACACGTATCGTTTTAGATCAAAAAGTACTTTTTAGTGTAGGAATAATTAATAACATGCCTCTATGACGGTGTAAAATGTAGAACGTATCTTTTATATCCAATCTTTAGTCAAATACGTTTAATATTATTGAAATAAGTGTAGAGAAAATTGAGAAAATTTTTTTGAGTTTCTGTCTGGTTACATAGAATCCACTTGTGTATGAATAAGATCCGAAAATGGATCTCTCTTTTTACTCGACCTTCCTAAATCAAAGTGCCGTTTACGAGTTGATCCCAAAATAATTTTTAGTAATTTATTAATTTTTAATAATTTTTAGTGAGTCGGTGGCTCAGTCGGTAGCGTCGCGAACTTCGGGCCCAAGGCAGCGATGTCGTGGGTTCGGATCCTGGTCACTGCCGATAACATTTTATCAGTACAGTTCACCTTTGTACTGTACCGGCTCACTCCTTGCATTGCTGTAAACGATCCACGCTCGGGCGCTTAGTCTATGTGGACGGGCAAATGCAAGGTTAAAAGAGGCCGCCAACCTCTTTAAAAAAAAAAAATTTGATCATGAATTTTGAATTGAATATCTCCACCTAACAGTGTTGTAAACAGCATATGTTGAGATATATAATTGAAATTTCTTAAACATTGATAGAAATTACGATCTCCACAGCATGGGGTATTTTTTTTTTTTAATTCATAGGTTGGCAGCACTTACAAGGGATTGAATGCACAGAAAACTGGCGTTGGAATCGTTTGTGGCCAGAACATTTTTTTGTATAGGCTATTCACTTACCTCACTTGCAACGTTGTTCGGCGGAACTATTCTATTAAAAATTCAATAGCGAAATAATCCAGTAAAATTTAATCTGCTAATTTCAATAATGGAATACTACCATTTATCAATTATTAACAAGGAGATGTCAACTTGAAAGTTGAAACATATATTAATTGTGAGGCTAATAATTAAGATGTTTTTGTTTAGAAACAAGACAGCTTCTTGAAACCACTTGTAGATCAAATTGCGAAAGAAGGAAAGGATAAGAAAGTCGTGTTTGAATGTATCTTCAGCAAACCCGACAGCAAGCCGAAATGGTTTTTGAGGAAAGACGTAAGTAAAGAAGTCATTTTATTGCTCTATCATTAAATGTTTGATGCATTACCATGATGTGATTTCATCTCTTTGGTTTTGACTCCAGAATATAATGTTTTGACAAAAGATATTCATTAATGGGAAATGTAACAAGATGAACCCACATTTGTGACTAGGTATACAATTTTGAAACTTATAATTTGAAACTCTATAAAAAATTTGAAATTTAACTTAGGTGTGAAAGAATTATTTATAGCTGTTTATATTTTGTCAAGGAATAAGATCCTTTTCACATTCAAATCTAATGATATTTACCTCTTTTAATATTGCCACCATATTAAAGTTATACAATATATTTACTTGCCTACTTCACTTTTAAGAAAACTTATCTATTTCTATGACTCCCTTCATCAAGCAGATGTTTATTTTAATTCATTGTTAATAACAACTGTTCTAGAACTATTTGATCAATCATTCAATAAATTTGGAATGATGTATTAAATTTTGACTGCCCATGTTTCATTTTAAAACTCTTACACACGTAACCAAGCAAAACTGTTGTGAAATAGTAAATAAGTTGGTATTTGGCTATTAACCAGTGTTACTTATCTCGAAAAACTTTTACAGGAGCTATTCCCAGGATCCAAATATAAGATGAAAGTTGACAAAGAAACATACACCCTGATAATTAACACACCAAAGGTGGAAGACACTGGAAAATACACGGTGGAGATCGCTGGAATAAGTTGCCAAGCGTTCCTCAATGTTGACGGTATGTTGTTGATTATACTTAATAGTTATTTGTGCAACTAGTGAGCAAAGTGAGCAATTGCTTCACTGGAGAGAAATCCTTACTCACGAGCCGTATGCGATTGAGGAATGGTTTCTCGAGTGAGGTGATTGCACTTTGCACTCAAGTTGCACATTATATTTTTCCTACAGTTAATATTATCTCACTGATGAGCGAGTTGGACACTTTGCTTTCTTAAATCAGTGAGAGAACATGTACATTGTTAGGTAACTATAGGAAAATAATATTTCCCACAAATTCTTCTTTGAAGTAGGTGAAGTCAGTTGTGAGCTTGCTTGGTTAAAAATATATCACAGGATTGTTGCATTTCAAAACACACATAAACTGACTAGATGGTAGTAGCTAGCAGCTAGATTACCATGAAGAAATACAGGTAGGTAACATTTTCCTTCTGAGAAGGATGAAATATTGTGAGTCTTCTGAATGTTCTATGGCCTACCTGTACTTCTCCAAGGTAAGCTAGCTACAAACAGGAGCTAGGAACAAAACTATTCCTTCCATGAGATTCATTTCAGGCTTTACTGCTTAGGAAATTTTCGTTTGATCAATTTCAATTCTCAACTTTTTCGTATAAAAATGTTTTAGAAACATATTTTACAGTTGTCAGAAATTGTTCAAGATTGTAGTTTAATGACATTTACGACTGGTTTATCCAGAGGCTGATCCGTCATATACGTTCATCAAGCCGTTGGACAAGAAGTACGAAGGGTTTACAAGACATGAAGTTTACCTGGAATGTACTGTCAGCAGCAGTCTTGCCATGGTATCTTGGTGGAGAGGCAAAACAAAACTTACTGTGAGTATCACTTTTAGATATATTATTATAATTTTTATGCTTACAAAACTTTCTAGTTGGGTTACCCGCAAGTATGCAAATAATAACGCTTTGAGTCAAGCTGAGTGTAGAAAGAAGGAAGAAAGTTTTGGGTAATTTCATGTTGAGTAAAAAAAATGTTTTAATATTTTTATGTTGACAAGTTTTTTTGTAATTTTTCATCTTTTTTTTTGCTTTTAAGGACTTACACAATTTTTTTACCAAAGTTTTTCCCACATTTTGGCAATATTGGGAGACACCTCATTTCAAGACTATTATCCTGCTATACAAGTTTTTTGGAAATACTCAGTGGTTCAGTAATCATTTTAAATGATTTACTGAGATCAGTTGATCTCTAGTATGATTATTAAGCCTACTATGTCATGATTTAAACTGCACTAACAACACTTTGCTTTCATCGTATTAATCTTGAAAATTAAATTGTTTAAAATTAGGGATGGACGGTACCTATTGTATTCTTAGTTTGGTTGGGACGAGACAGGGCATAACTTTTATTTCCATCCCGAATCTTGGGACATGACAGGATGGGATTTTCCCTCCTAAAATATTTATCTCTCAAACAAAAAGGGATTGTTTAAAAAATCTTGAATAAAAACATTATTGCAGATGGAAAAAACTAAAACCAAAAATACATGATACATTAAAAAATACATTATGACGACATTGTGAACATATACTGCAATCACGGCACCATCGCCATCATCTCCCATCATCTCCCATCATTATGACGACATTATGAACATATCCTGCAGTTACGGCGCCATCGTGAACATCTCCTGGTTCATTACGGAATCTATGGAGACATAGTCATTGTCTCCTGGGTTTGCGGTACCATTGTGAACACTCCCGCCATTACAGAGACATCATTATCGCCTGCCTGGTGACATCTCCCACGGTCGGGAAGATGTCATCATCGTAACTTGTGACTCGGCTAAATCACTGACGGTCGGAATAATCCAACCCCAAGAAAATTCCAAATTAAATGTAATTCTGTCCCGATGATTGGCAATATATTTTTCCAGAAACACGCCAAAATTTGGGGGCCCCTCCATCCCTACTTAAAATTGTGTAATAATCATTTATCAATTCCATGGCTTGAGGTTAATTTTTGTGTATTTTATTGCTTTTTTGTAAAATATTAACACTACACGAATAACATAATGACGTATACACGATTTTACATACAACCTTTTTGTGTTTTTGAAATATTTTTTTCTTTTTGTTCTATCTTGTTTTGCTTTATTACTCTGCTTTTAGGTCACGCTATTGACACTAGAATTCTGCTTCTGCAAACAGATATTTGGTAACAATGGCTTTAAAATGGCTCTTTCTTCAGTTGGCGTCCTAGTATAGATGAAATATGTCTATTATTTTTGCTATTTTCTGTACATACAATGTATATATTAGGTAGATTTATGAGTAATGTTCTTAGGTAGTAGTTTACTTTTACATTTTTGTCGTTTATTTTTATGTTTTTGCAAAGTGTCATTCTATGATGAAGTGTTGTCAGTATGTAATTCATCTCATCTAACATTTGTGTGTTCACTTCATTTTATATATAATTTCATCACAATTCACATTAATTAAATTTATTATTATTACTTATAGCTTATACCTGTGTATTTAATATAATGTTCATAAAATATTTAGGTTGGAAATTGAAGTATAAAATTGGTATTGATATTTCTTTTTCAAACTGTCTTTTTTATAGGCCATGATGATAAAACTTAAGTACTTTTTTGAATTACCACAATTTTACGATTTTTACTAAAGTTTTCATTATTGTTGTAGTTGATTGATTAATAGATTTAATAGTTGTAAACTGTAAAAAATGAAAGGTATGATTACTAATACAAGCAATGATGTGACATGATTTGCTACTGAAAGTGGCCAGGTATTTTTTCCTATTGCATTTAGGAAGTTCTTAAAATCTGGTAGTCATAATTATCTTTTATGAAAACTAGTTAATTAAAATGTTATTTTATTTCAACAGGAAAGTGAAAAAGTTTCCATCGAAAAGGACCTGTCAGGAAATTGCAGGCTAACAGTAAAGGCTCTGGAAATTGAAGACAGTGACAAATATTCATGTAAGATTGAAAAACAACCAGATGAAACCGTCACTGAACTAGAAGTAATCGGTAAGTAAGGAAAATAATTTTAATATAAACATAAATAAGAAAAGTCACTTGAATTTACTAAGAAAAATAGTGAAGTACCTATATCCTTATGTAGTTTACAGATAATAGAATGCTATGAAACGAAAAAAAGATAAAAAGATAGGGCATTTGCCAGGAATTATTAAGAAAATTTACAGGAAAGCAGGCTTACCTTTAAATAAGTCCATAGAGACACATAAAATACATCATAAAAGTAGAAATTTTCTTCAACCACTGGAGAAAAACCAAGATTTTCTCCAGTGAAAATTTTTACTTTAATGGTGTATTTGTGTGTTGCTATGGACTTATTTAAAGGTAAGGCTGCTTTCCTGTCTTTTTTTAACGTGTATATTTTTTTATATTTTATACGCAAATTAATCTGAAAATGGAGAGCTACAGTAAAAATGAGCTTTTTAGTGCAATAATAAGCTTTTTAGTCCTTGTTGCATGCATAAATCTTTCAATATTTTAAGCTATACCTACAAATATAACACCAATTGCACGTGTTTCAAACCAATTTAAAGTAATACACTAAAACAACGGAATCATTGAATCTTAAATTAAATCTCAGTTTTTCTATCGCTGAGTTAGTCTATTATCACTGCAAAATTTAACTCACTCAGTCAAATTAGGTTTATTAAACAATAATCAGGGAACTCAAGTCGTGATGAGCACCAAAGTTGTGAAAAAAGAAAACGCGGTGGTAGTCAGTAACTCTGTATATATTTAGATACAATATAAACTGGAATTTAGCATTTAATAGAAACAGGAGGAATGATGTGGCACAAGTCCAAATATGTGATTGTGTTCCAGAATATCCCTACAAGTTTGTGAAAGTGCTCAAGAGTATGCAGCATGTTGAGAAGGACACGATTACTTTGGTTTGTGAGCTGGACGACGCGGCCGGTGACGTCACATGGACCAAAAACGGCGAGGAGCTTAAAACAGACAAGAGGTCAGTAACCACCCATATACAGGGTGTTTCCAAAATGATTGAACCATACATTCCATTGTATTGAAGTTGTCATCATTTTTTAAATCAAAATACTTAGTTGAATTGAGACATTGACAGATTGCACTGATGAAAGTTACTGATTCCTGTCAAATAAAATCAATTTCATAAAGTCAAAGAGATAAGACAACTTTTTGTAAAATAGCACCTTTGTCACATCAACTATCGCAGTAAGAAAAAATAAGGTAAAAAGTAAAATTTTACACACTAGCACATTCTGACTGACTCAGTCAACTATGTTCTTTTTAGTGACATAGCAGTTATGAAATGTTTAAACCTTATATTCAAGTGCTCATTCCCCAAACCTATACCCTTATATTCAAGTGCTCATCTCCAAAACCTATAACCTTATATTCAAGTGCTCATCCCCCAAACCTATAACCTTATATTCAAGTGCTCATACCCCAAACCTAACCTTATATTCAATTGCTCATCACAAAAACATATAAATATAACCTTATATTCAAGTGCTCATCCCCCAAACCTATAACCTTATATTCAAGTGCTCATACCCCAAACCTAACCTTATATTCAATTGCTCATCACAAAAACATATAAATATAACCTTATATTCAAGTGCTCATCCTCCAAACCTATAACCTTATATTCAAGTGCTCATCCTCCAAACCTATAACCTTATATTCAAGTTCTCATCTCATAAACCTACAACCTTATATTCAAGTGCTCATCCCCCAAACCTATAACCTTATATTCAAGGGCTCATCTCCTAAACCTTATATTCAATTGCTCATCCCCAAACCTTATATTCAAGTGCTCATCCCCCAAACCTATAACCTTTTATTCAAGTGCTCATCTCCTAAACCTATAACCTTATATTCAATTGTTCATCCCCCAAACCTTATATTCAAGTGCTCATTTCCAAAACCTATAGCATTATATTGAAGCGCTCATCTCCTAAACTTATAACCTTATAATCAAGTGCTCATCCACCAAACCTTATATTCAAGTGCTCATCCCCCAAACCTATAACCTTATATTCAAGTGCTTATCCCCCAAACCTATAACCTTATATTCAAGTACTCATCTCCTAAACCTATAACCTTATATTCAAGTGCTCATCTCCTAAACCTACAACCTTATATTCAAGTGCTCATCCCCCAAACCTATAACCTTATATTCAAGTGCTCATCTCCTAAACCTATAACCTTATATTCAATTGCTCATCCCACAAACCTTATATTCAAGTGCTCATCTCCTAACCCTAACCTTATATTCAAGTGATCATCTCCTAAACCTATAACCTTATAATCAAGTGCTCACCCACCAAACCTATAACCTTATATTCAAGTGCTCATTCCCCAAACCCATAACGTAATATTCAAGTCTTCTTAATTTATGAGTTATATTTCCAGATTTAGTTTTTTCAGTTAGCAATAAGTTGGTTTTGGTTTTTCCAGAATAAGCATCAGCAAAGACGGACGTAAACGTAAAGTAGTGATCAAGGATGCCAAGGTCACGGATGCAGGAATGTACGCTTGTGTCAGCAATGCTGATAAGACGGAGGCCGAACTCATTGTCAACTGTAAGCGATTCTAGTTTTTAATTTTAGTTTTACTACTTAATGAATGTTTAACAAAAAGGGTTTGAAGATCAGATAACTGGATCAGATAATTAGGACTATTGCAAATTGATGTTGTTTTTCACAGATATTTCATGAATTTTAAAATCTATACATAAGATTTTTATTCTTATGTAAGTATAACAAATCTGCGATCATACTACAGTACTAACACTTTTTATTGATAGTTTTTAACGTCTTGTTTAGAAAACACTGAAATTCTACTATGTTGTAGCCCAATTTTTGAGTAAGGCTATATTTTGGTTTTGTTAACAAATCTTTTATATCACAGACCAAAACAGATTCAACAAGAAGCTCAAAGACACAGTGGCGGTTGAGAGGGAGAAGCTCGTAATGGATATTGAGCTTCAGGACCAGACCGCGACTGCGGAATGGTTCTTCAACGGAGAACCTATCAAGGAAAATGACAGGTGAAAATACTCAATGGTAGTTATACACATATTAGTTCTCAGTTAGATATATTCAAAACCCACAACATTTTCAATTCCTTGTGTACCTTATTTTGATGTATCGTGACATTAATAAAATCTCATTGAGCTTTCCTTCCTAAAAAACCATAACTACAGCAGGATGCATGACATTCAATATCTTATAAAAAAGTGTTTCCAGTCAAAAAATAAATTAACTGTACTAAACTTACAACATTAAACTTACTAAATTTACAGTATTATCCTTACAACTTAATATTATACAAGTATTATATCTGTTGTATTAAGTATTCAATGAAAGTTGCACAACCCAGATATAAAATCTTTGAGCCTGGGGAATTCTTTGATTGTTACAATCGTATAAAAACATAAAACAAAAAAATGTTCTATGTACAGTTTCTGGATTTATCATATTAATCAATATGATAACCTTCAGTAAAAAACACACATGGGTTTTCAGTACTCCATTTCAGATTGTTCTTGGATTATAACAAAAGTGTGCGATCCAAGGGTTTGGAAAAAGCTTGATTTTAAGCCTTTGAAAACGATTGTATTTGAAGGAAAACTAATGGAATTTTGTTGCTCATAGAGTTGAGATCAAGAACCTTGGAGGAGGCAAACATCAGCTGGTGTTCAATAAACTGGAGTTGACTGACTCTGGTGAGATCCTCTGCAAATCTGGAGAACTTACTTCATCCTGCAAACTAGAGGTGAATCAAGGAGAGAGTTCTCCCTCCATTGACTTTGGAGACTTGGTTGAAGCTCCAGCTAACCATCCCATCACATTCAACGTACCTTTCAAAAGTAAGTTTAAACTTTACATTTAGATTTTCTATACTTGTAAGTATAAGCAATATAAAGTGTTCATTTGATTTGAGTGGTGGGAATAATTTAGGGTTGGGGTATCTATGGTTTTGTAGGTTAGTGTTCATTTTCAGTAGCAATTGGTGCGAGCCGTGCACCATCGAGTTTTTGATGTTGAACATTACAAAAATGAATTACAGTTCAACATCTTTTTCGAACGATGTTCAATATTTCTAAATCAAGGTTCCTGATTGCAACAAAAAACTTTCATGGGCAAACTTTTTTGGGAAAACTGGAAGTGTCATGAAGCAGAAGTCATTCTTGTTCAGTGCAAACCTTTAAAAAAATGTCTGTAAGTTGTAATACTGAAGAAATGTTGGTTTTTCAATTTCAAATGACACTTTAGAGAAAGTAATAGATAACTTTGAGGAAAGAAATTTAGTTTGTGTACTTGAAGAATGCAGTCATCTTACTGCAAAAAAAATCTTCAGGGGAAAAAAGGATATTTATTTTTACTCAAAACTTAGTGTTTAATTATCTCACATTGTCAATTTATTTAGTCATCAAGAGTGTAATTCTATACTTTGTTTTTCTAGTTTCTGGCACAAGACAGTCCCAGATTGAAGCTAAGCTTATCAAGGACGGAAAGCCACTGCCTCTGAAGGAAGTAGAGATTGTGGTACATGAGGAGAAAGTAGCGTACACAGTCAAGAAGCCAGCCCGAGGTCTCACTGGCAAATACCAGATCAAGATATCCAACGCCCAAGGAGAGGATGTCAAGGACATCACAATTAACATGCAAGGTAAGATCAAGATCAGGTACTTTTTACTTTCACCAACTATACATAGTATATGTGAAAGTATTGTTTTTATAATGCAATTCTAGTTTGAGTTTTGGGTGGAAACATTTGTTTCGGGTCCCTAAGAAAAATCATTATCTTATGGTGTGTTGCTAGCCTAGTAGTTAGTGGACTTCAGTGCAGGAGGGACGGGTTCAATTCCCGGCATATCCACTAAACATAAATGGGTTTTGACCGCTTTCCCTTAAATAATTTGATTTTACTTCATTACAAAAATGCCACTGGTGTAGACACGAGCAAAAAAAGTGGTTTTCAAATTGATGTATGGGTGTGTGAATTTGTCTGTATGTGTCTATGTTTATGTCGATGTGTACAAAGCTGCACACTGCACCAATGATCCAATTTTGATGAAATTTGGTACTTGGGTAATAATCTATGGTACCTCCAGTTTTATCTTGAACTTTCATAAAAATCTATAAAATAATGGAAAAATCTGACTTTTACAAAATTGCTTGCCCTATTTTGATAAAAATTGAGTATGTTTTAGTCCTATCAATTCTAAACAAAATGGACAATGGTACAACCCCCATCGCTTTTTAAGTTCAAAAGTTATTGCAGTTTTTGTGATTTTTTAATTTTTATTTCAGATGCTCCCACTCCTCCGCAAGATATTGATGTGACAGAAATCTTCCAGACGAGTTGTGTCATCAAATGGAAACCTCCGACTGACGATGGTGGCTCACCCCTCATCCAATACGTCATTGAGAGACAAGATTTGAGCGTCAAAGGTCAGATTCAATATAATTTTTAATTAAGCACTTACATTTCATATCAGTGTTAGTATGCTATTTGAAATTAAAAATAATAATTGCAAATTGATGTTATATTACAAAATATTGAAATGCTGTTAGATCTAATTACTGAATCTGTGTTGATTTTTTATTCAGGCAAAGTAAAATTGCAGTTGTTCACTTTTTTCTTCAAAAAACAAGAAAAATGCTCCAATAAAATTGAATCTTGATACCTATCGGTATACCATTTTAATATTTTGACCAAATTTCCTGCATGAAGAATTTACACAAAGAAATTTTGGGGTTTGTAGGATGTTGAACGAAAGGAAAAATTGAAGCAGCAATAACAGTTCTAACGAGCCAATTCAAATTAAAACCTTTCTAAACATGTTAAATATGCCATATCAAAGGTAAATTGAGATCTAACGAAAAAAATATTGAAAAGAAAATGTAAGTAAAACTCAAGGTGTGCCAACCTAAGATTTAGATCCAGCCGAGCTTGAGGTAATGTGATGATCATCTCCTATGGTTGTGGGAGATCATTGTTTCCTGCAATCGCAGCAAAATCTGAATATCCCCCATTCTGGATGCTATGCTATCTTGAATACATAAATACCCTGGAAGTTGATAGAAAATGGCAAATGCCACAGAAATAGGTAGCCTATATGTGAATACTTGGTATGTTGATAGCGGGTAGTTGGCGGATAAAATCAGGGTGACTAGTTTGAGCTGCACTGCGTCCCAGAACTGCTCTAATTACTCTAATTCTAATTCCAAAAATTCTTAACGTTCCAATCTAGCCTATTGAAGGCATATTTTGTTTCAGATAAAATATAGAATAGTAAAACTCAAAATTCTCAGGAAGGAATTCTTTCTAAAGACAAAATCTGTCAAAGAAACCGAGTAAGAGTCAGTTCACTTCTCAAAAATAAAACCCAAATTTATACTCCATGCAACTTGGTAGACTTCTAATTCCATAAATATTAAATGGAACTTAACCATAAATACTTACTTATATGGAATGCTTTACTTTCTTACTAGTAAAAAAATGCAATATTTATCAAAATGTCTTTGTCATCCAACTTGTCTAATGTCTACAGGAGGGTGGCACAGTGTTGCCGAGGTACCCGCGACCGAGCCCACCAACTACAAGGTCACTGACCTAATACACAAGAAGGAATACAAGTTCAGGATCAGAGCTGTCAACAAGATAGGAACATCTGAACCAAACATATTTGGCAAACCTGTCCTCGCTAAGGATCCTTGGGGTAGGTTTAGATACAACTGTGCGGTCTAATTTATCGGTAATTGTTAACTATTTGGAAATACTAATTTAGATTGTGTTAATCAGTTGAGTTGCTAGCTATCCAAGTTACGGTATTTTTGACATTAGCTTGTATAAATTTCACATCAGATGGCTTGTGGTACTGCCCAACACGAAAACATACCAACTCTCAGAAGACCAGGAGCTCTGGCCAAAATTTGGTGTTAAAAAAAACTTTATTAAACATTTAGTCTGTTTTGATGTCTACTTGGTGGTAATATCTGAGTACTTTAAAACTAAAATAATTCCGAGGCAAGAAGAAGCCACCATGATGGCAGCTGAGCTGATATGTAGAGAAGGGCAGGCAATGGTATTTGTCGCCAAATGGCAGAATCAGCTGATGTTCTTGCTGTTTATGAGCTGCAATGGTTCCACTATATTTGTATTAAGTTCCAAATTTGTTTGTTCAACTCAAACTCGATTGATTTGTAAACCCAAATAGATCCTAGAAACCTGTACTCTAACATTTAAAATGATAGATAGTAGGCCCCACACAAAGTTATATTCAAAATTCATTCAAAATCCCGTAGACCAGAGATTTTCTTAGATTGCCAAAGTACTAAATTGTTTTTTGTATTCACGTTTTAATCAATTAAATACTTAATCAAACCTTACCAAAGTAATATTGCCCAGTTTAACCAAATTAAGGCTATCGTTAAGTATTTCTGATGTCCTCCTGTAATATATTCTGCTTGACTCACTTAATGTTTCTGTTTTGTATAGACGAGCCCGGCAAACCCACTGGTGTGGAGGTGGTCGATTGGGACAAAGATCACGCAGATCTTAAATGGGTCAAACCAGAGAATGACGGAGGAGCTCCCATCACGGGATACGTCATTGAGTACAAAGTAAGTCCAACAAGTATTCGTGGCAATACAGAACAGCGATTGCTCATAAATCGTGGTTAGTGTATCCATTCACCACTTAAAACCACAAATCTTTTGTTTGTTTCAAAATCTCTTATCACTGGATAGTAAAACCATTTTAACGAATTTCCCATATAGGGAATATGCTATTACCGTAGGTTTCATGGTAAGACCTAGACCCGGTACTGATTTACATTTTCATTTTTATGTCTCCAGAGGTCAAAAACACACTACGTTCAAATATTCTTACATACAAGTCCCTCACCAACGAGTTACTATACGTAACATAAGGATGGATCTTCCTTATGTTGACTTGCATTACATATGGTAGTGTTAGCTTTAGAAAACTTAAACAAAATGCAACTAGTCTTTGATTGATAGTGGAATGATGCCATACAATTAGGAAAATTAAAATTTATTTTTACCCTTACTCTAATTTAAATCTTAAAAAAATATTTTAAATGGTCTGATAAACTTACAGAAACATCTTGGAGGCAGTTTAACTCTTAAATCAAATAACCCAAAGCATTCGGTACCGTCAAAAGATAAACTAGATCATCAATTCCTCTTATTAATCAAAATCAGATTAATATTCAACCATAATCACTCTTTACTGGACCCCTCTATTTATCTGAACCTCTCAAAAGTACACAGTGGTGTCTAACTCATAGGCAATACCTATAGTTTTCACTCAACCTTTTTGTTGTCCTCTTAACCCCTTGCTGTAACTGTCTGACTCCTTTTTCAACGAATGGTTGCTTATCTTCTACATCTTCTTCATCTTTCTTGGACTTTTGGTTCTTGGGTTCATCTTCTACATCTAATTCTCATTGCTACATAAACACCTCCAGTACACTCTATCTTTTAATTTGTAAATAAGTGAAAAAATATTTAAATGATCATGACTAGCCCCTCTCATTTAGTTTTATCTCAATTGTTGTTATTGTCAACAGGAAAAGTTTGGCAAGGACTGGATAGAAGGCAAGGTGATAGATGGAGATGTGACTGGTGCAACCATCGATGGACTCAAGGAAGGAACGCAGTACGAGTTCCGCATCCGAGCCATCAACAAGGCGGGTCCTGGAGAGCCTAGTGACGCTACCAAGCCTATCATCGCTAAGTGTAGATTTGGTAAGTTACTCCCTTTGAGGTTCACAATTCTAAAATTTTTTAGGAATTTGATCAAGTATGGTTTTTTTGTGTGTATACGTTTGTCATTGGGTTGTTTCTACAAAAAAATTAAATTGTTTGTTCTATTAAATTTGTAGTGTCAAAAGTTAATTTGTTGAAAATAAAGTTCAAAACTGTAGGTATTTAAATATTTGTCAATCCCCCATTACGCGATATATGTGTAGAGGATTAACATTTTTTTTGGCCATAAAATTACTGTAAAAGCTTGCTAATCTAACACCCAATGAGCTTGCACTATCAATAATCCTGTATCAATCTAAAAGATTTAAAATGTTGTATGCTGTTTTAAGTCATTTTAATGCACTATTCAGAGTTGGAAGTGATCAATAGATGTCAGTTGCTTTCAAAGGAATTGAGTGGTGTTCTGTTTTTTATTTTTTTACTATCTTATATCAATACCAAAAAAGAGTAAGCTCAATAAAGCATGGAATAATGGCCTGCCTCCTTTTTTGACTCCCTATATTTAGTGGTATTTCCACTAGCCTTGCAATAACGGTTGTTTTCTGAATATTCTATGAGCTGGCATTGCCAAAGTCCCGAAAGTTCCAGATTAGGAAGCATCTGTACTTGAATAAATGTTGAATAAATCTTTGTTGTATCTGTTATAGTAAATGTGATGGTTAATACAAAAGGGTAATTTCTTAGACTTTTCTTGACAATCCACTCATCTATTATAGAATAGACCATTTAATTATTCTTAATCTTATCTCGTTTTACAGTGAAACCATTCATTATTGGAGATGATCTCCAAAACATTGTCATCAAGAAGGGTCAAGTTATCAAGTATGACATCAAGTATGGTGGAGAGCCAGAGCCGGAAGTTGTATGGCAACTCAACGGAGTCGAAGTCAAGGATGACAATGACAAGTAAGCCTACGTAGTTGGGATTTTTCACGGTCATTATTACTAGGAGAACTAGGAGCTCTTTCATTTGGATCGTTTAGAACCACAGTATCTGTTTGGCAAATAGTTTGGATTCTTTGTAAAGCATTAAACTTTTCATGCACAGAACTGACACAACGTAACGGAAACCAGCAACCCAGCTGGCTAGCCTTTGTGCCTTTGAGAAAGAGAAGATTTGGGATTGGTTTAGTACTTATCTGTTTATGGTGGATCGATACAAGTAGATAGAATAATTGAATGACAAAATAATAGTTTACGCAACGATCACGTAAAGATAGTGTTAACGACACAAGTCGAAATTTAAGGTACAAGCCTTGGCGAGTGCCCTAAAAACTTCTACGAGTTTCATTAAGACTATTTACTTGAGTTGCGTATACTACTTTACCCACGACAGTTTTTTGATTGCCAACAATCACTAATCATAACTTCTAAGAGAGGTTATGTTTTCGTTTATAAACCTCTCATTGCCATTGACAGTGATGCAACGACTCATGAACCAACAACTAACTGCACCACCCATTAACAATTAAATTGGTCCAAACAGCTGATTAGTTGAAGTTGAAGCATTACAATTTTACTTCTTTTCTCTCAATCCTTGAATCTCATTGGTGCATTACTTGTGTAAACAATGCTGTTAAGTGAATCTTTGCAATTGTAAGAACTTAACTTAAACGACTAGTTTAAAAAACAGTCATAGGTAAATATTTTATCATTGTCCATTATCTTCCCAATCCATCCAGAACTATCAAAAGTGTTGCTTGATGTTATAAACCTAGTGATTTCTCTTTGTATTACAGCAGATTATACTTTGAATTAATTGTCTATTTCATAACAATTAACTATACTAAATTTGCAAAAAAATAGTTTATCAAACAGATTTTTGAGGCATCTTTTCATACTTGAAATATATTTAAAATTAAAATAAACTAAAATATTTTTCATATTTTACAGGACTACAATTGACAAATACGAGCGCAACACAGTCCTAACAGTGAGAAGGGCCGTTCGCGCAGACAGTGGAAAGTACAAACTGATTTTGACAAACAGCTCGGGTGTCTGTGAAGGCATCGCAGAAGTTGTTGTTCTCGGTAAGTTTTGTTTGCGTAACAACCGCTAAACCCCACACAGTTGAAATGGTATACAGAAGTTTTAGGAGTGTCTTGCCAATGCAAGGTTTTGAATCTTAGAATTCAGTGTAGTGTAAATAAATTTTCCAGTGTGATTCATGGGAAATTTGTATGTAAAAATATTCTCCAAATTCACCAGTATTCATATTTATCAATCGCTTATTTATTCATAATTTTAACGATTCATAATTTTAAAGTTTATATTATCCTTTAGGAGAGTAAGAAAACTTCCAAGTATCTCTAGAGATAGAAACTTTAAAAAAATGTGTTACTAGATTTAATACTTTTTTGTAATTCTTTTCCTTTGTTAACTATATTTGAATTTTGTTCCAAATTTTCTCATTAGTACGGCTAGTGTGCTACCAGTTTGCTATAAACAAAAGTGGTATTGTTGTTGTTCTTTACTTATGAACTTTTACTATTGGTTAACGGTTTGTATCTTAACTGATTCTACTGTTATATTTGCAATTTATACATTGATAACAATTTTCTTTCCTTTCAAGTACATCAATCATCTCCAATGAAACCTTTTATTTGTACAATCTGTAGATACTTTATGTTGTTGCAGACAAACCATCAAAGCCTCTGGGACCACTAGAGGCAGTAGAGGTCCGAGCTAACCACATCACTGTCCAATGGAACAAACCAGAGGATAACGGTGGTTCTGAGATCACCGGCTATGTTCTGGAGAAGATGGATATGGACACTGGCAGATGGGTGCCTGCTGGAGAGGTATGTACACTAATTTGTAGTACTGTTAAATCTCTATAGTCCGGCTGTGTTTCCAAGCCATCCATTAATCGAGCAGTTTGAGTTACAGATTTTTTTGTCTATTTATAAATGAAGAAGGAATGGATACACAACTAACATACTTAAGAAAAGAGTTCTAGGTAGTTGAAAGAACACAAAAAAAGTTCATAACTCAATAAACTTGATATTTTCCAAGAGGAAAGAAGAAGGCCCTTGCAGAGACGAAATATCGAGTATATTGTACTGTGAACTTTTTTTGTGTGCTTTCAACTCTTTTCTTAGGCAAGTTTATAACATACCATCCATTCCTTCTTCCTTAATATATTTCTAAGCCAAGGGCTTTTTCCTCCAAAATCTTGTTCTATTTGTAGTAGTTTCTGCAAGATTATTGGGAATTCAGAAAGCATTTGCAAAAATTACATGATAAAAAAATACACAAATATTAGAGATGGTCACGATTTTGCCATGTTCAAGGGTAAAAGTAATGTCTTCCCGGGTAATGTTAATGAAAGTGATTTTTTAAATTTACGTTTTAATATTTTAATTGCTTTGATTTTGTGTATTCTTTAATTAAAATTTTAGTATTGTTAATTTAATATACTTAAACATAATGAATATTACTTTTCATCCTAAAAGTGAACGCAATTTTTTTTTATTTCGATAAAAACTGTAGAGATAAACAAACTACTCAAGAACACTTTGGTTGTTGTTTTTTATCGTCAAGGTTTTATCCTATTGACATATTACTGAAAGATTTATCGATTAACCTGATTGTGTTATTTAGGCTGGACCCCAGAGCCCAGGTACATTCAAGGTCGAAGGATTGACACCCAAGAAGAAGTACAAGTTCCGAGTGAAGGCTGTGAACAAAGAGGGAGAATCTGAACCTCTCGAGACTGATCAGGCGATCGTCGCAAAGAATCCATACGGTAAGTGGCAAAAGCCTAGACAAGGCTACTACTGCAATAAGAGTAAGATATCATCATAGACAAACAAAAACTGTAATTCAGTGGAACCTCGATAACAAGACACTTGATAACAAGACACGCTTTATAATAGTGATGGGTCGGTACCACTTTTTAAAAGTCGGTTCCAGTACCAGTTCCTAGGTAAAATCGGTTCTCGGTTCCGGTACCATCGGTACCTTTTTTAAATTTTTGGGATAGGCTTCTTAATTTTCTACAAACAATATATTCATATTTCAATTTTTTTTTTGTAAGTATTTTGCATTTGTATAGGTTGGCCTTACTTAGAGAATTGCGAAAATAAAACTTATTTGTAAAAAGGCCATGTAAACGTCATCATAGTCAGCGCGATATGGCAAAATCATTAACATCTCCCGAGGTCACAGAAACGTCTTTGTCGTCGTCTGCAATCGTGGCAAGATCATGAACATCTCCTGCAGCCGTGTAGACATCATTATTGACTCCTGCGGTCAAGTAGACGTCATCGTCGTCTTGCACGATCATGGCAATATCGGTAATTTTCTGGCATTACCGGCGACGTGTTTCAGTACCAAAATTTCACCATTGATTCTCGGTTCCGGTTCTTTTGCCAAGAACCGGCGGAACCGACATTTGACGTGAAGTACCGCCCCATCACTACTTTACAACAAGTCTTATTTAATAATCCCCATGAGGGGTTTGTTATAAAAGTTCTACTGTATGCTATCACAGGTGCTCTTACTTACCTCGTACTTACCTTACACACTGACATTTAAAAATTCTCTTTCCTACCACTATGAATTCTGAATTTTACATCTTAATCAAGATTAACTCTTGAACTTGATGTAGGCTAATTATTAAATTCATAGTTCAAAATATTTGAAAGTTTTTCACGGTTGAGTAAACAAAAATATAAACCACTCATTCTTAAACATATCACTAAGACATGTACTTTGGGAAGTTGTTTGAAGTTAAATTGGAATTTCAGGGTGGTACAAAAGAATTTAATGATCTCTGCAGCTTTTTTGGTAGTAGTTTCTTTAGCCATGATCATTTATTATGAGCACACTGACCGAGGATTCCTGTTTCCACAGTACTATACAGATAGCATTTCTTAATAAACAAAATTAAAATTTCAAGTCTAATAATTAACATTTTCTTAGATGAGCCCGGTCGTCCTGGAAAACCAGAAATTATTGACTACGACAACAAAAGTGTTACTCTCAAGTGGAAGAAGCCCGAAAGTGACGGTGGCAGACCCATACTGCACTACGTCATTGAGCAGAAGGACAAGTTCTCCTTGGACTGGGAGGAAGTGGCGAAGACGGAAGACGCAAACCCAGAGTGCAAGGTCGAAGGGTTGAAGGAGAAGATGATTTATCAGTTCCGTGTGAGAGCCGTCAACAAAGCTGGTGCTAGTGAACCCAGCGATCCTACAGACAACCACGTCTGCAAACATAGAAACTGTGAGTAACTATAGTAAACATAGCTCTAGAACAGAGGATATAGTTGCTATCACTCTTAGTCTTATAATAATCAAAACAAATAAATTCAATCGGGAACAGACCCAAAAAATTGAAAATTTAAGTTGATATGTATTGTAAATTTCTTACTGTACAAGGTAGTGAGTTAATTGGGGTACTTCTTATGACTTCTTCAGTGGTAGAGCAAAAAGTAACTAATTCCAGATAATGAATGATACATAACAGTAATGACTTTTGATACTATAGGCTGTTTAACTTATGTGGTAGGTATGGGATTAAGGGGTAGAGTTGAAACTGAATTTTCTAAGAGTTTTCAAGTAGGTAACCAAACTAAAAACAATCGTCAGAGATAGTTTTAATCAATAGGTCTTAGTATATCTTCAACTACCGTTTAAAACTCCTCTCCACATCCTCAACTTGCCTCTAATGATTAAAATTATTCAACTAAATTCAGCAGTCTCTGGTATAAGCTACACAAACTAGATGGCCTAATAGAATTTTTAGTTGATTTCTGACTTGTAGAAACACGACCAACTACTTTATCATGATTATATAACAACTTTACCGTCCCATTGAGGACCTCTCTCTAGGATTGAAAAGTCAGACACAGCTTCAAAACCAACTACCTCCACTATCCTTTCTCTCCAACCAACTACCTCCACTATCCTTTCTCTCCAACCAACTACCTCCACTATCCTTTCTCTCCAACCAACTACCTCCACTATCCTTTCTCTCCAGGCACTTGTCCATGTGACCTACTGTAACAACACGTTGCACTTTCTTTAGATCACTGCATGTTAGGTAACAAAAGTGTAAACAAGACACACCATTGAAACTAAAATTGTTGCATTACTCTCGAATGTATCCTCTTCTTTAAACACTATTACAGAAACATATCACATACCCGACCCAGTAGAAACTCTTCACGAATCTGAATTAAATTCAAAAACCCTTTAGTTTTCCAGTTACAACATTTTAAGATATAACACTACTCAAGTCAATTTGTACCACTTGTCAACAGTGAAACCACGTATCGACCGTGATGGAATGAAGAGCGTAACCATCAAGGCAGGTCGTACGTACAAGTGGACTGTTGACGTCACTGGCGAGCCTCCCCCAGCCCTTACCTGGACGTGGAGGGATGGAATTGCGCTGGTCACCACAGATAGGATCAAGATAGAGAATGTTGACTACCAGACAAACTTCACCATCGTCAGCGCGACACGACGAGACACCGGAAAGTACACGCTTCTTGCGGAGAACGCCAACGGGAAGGATCAAGAAAGTCTCGAGCTTACAGTTCTTTGTGAGTAATTCAAAGTGTGGTTTTAGTACTAAATAATTATGGTTTAAGATGACTTTTTTTGGAAAAGATTAAAAAGGGCAATTTTTAATCACTTTGAGTTTAATTTTTTGACTCTCAAAAGCAATAATATTGTCTTCTATACATTCCAATTTTGCCTTTATCCTAATTAATTATAAATTAAATATTTCTCCCTGTATTAAAATAATAATCATGAGTTAGTGAAACATTGAAATGGAAATGGAATTTTCATTAGAGGTTTATTGAGAGGTTACAAGGGTTAAGAAAAAAGTGTGTATAAGAAGTCTGTACGAACCTGATGCGATGAGTGATTTAGCCCAGAATTATTCTTTTTCTTTTTGTGCTTGACAACATTTGTCATTTAGTTTATTGAACAAAAATAATCATATTTTTCATGTCTCACAAACCCATCTCTATTCTCTATTGAAAAGAAACATAAAAGTTACATGACTTTTCAAAAATATTTGTTCCCTATTTAGAACATAGAAAGTAAACATTTATTTTCACATAATACCCAAAAGATATTGATGTCAACAATATTATATGATCAACTAGAAATGTATCCAGTTTCGTTTTTTAACGAGAATCAATACTTTTTAGTATTTAAGGACGAAGCTTATATCAGTTTATCAAACGAAAATTCCTCAAATAATTTTATGAGAATTATTTGCGAAATATTCAGTCCAATTTGAAATGTATTAATTAATATCTAATCCCTAAACAGCAAAGCCGAGCAGACCCGAAGGCCCTCTCGAGGTGTCTAACGTTACCAAGAATGGATGCAAACTCAACTGGAAGAAACCTGCTGACGATGGTGGCACTCCAGTGAAGGAGTACGAGGTAGAGAAGATGGACTTGGCCACGGGCAAGTGGATCCGAGTGGGCAAAGTCCCTGGAGATAGGGAGGAGATGCTCATCTCTGGACTGGACCCTGGTCAGGAGTACAAGTTCCGGGTGACGGCCATCAACGATGAAGGAGACTCTGAACCCTTGGAAACTGAGAGACCGATCGTAGCCAAGAATCCTTACGGTGAGTAGATACTCAACGTTTTGTAATTCAAGGGTTAACTGCATGGAGTGAGTGTATAAGCTGCAAGTCAGCGAGTTCGAATTCGTTGAGTCGACAACGCTAGTTGAGTACACGCGAAACTTTCTACTCGCTCAGTATCCAACTGATTGGCGAGTGGAAATCTTGAGTTCATTAACGTATTTGATGTGCCACATTCACTAAAACTTTCTATCTACACGATTAAAAAAATCTATAAACACTTTTAACTGTATTCGTATTGCAAGTACACATAGCATGTAGATTTGTTCATCCACAGGTTTAAATTTTTGAAAAAAATGTATTTTCTATTTATAAACATCTTTTTGTTATTGTATTTTTATTTAATACTTTGAAAAGTTCACTTACAAATGATAATATTGACACTCTTGCATTTAGCCGGATATTATTCTTTATTATTTCTGTTCTGAAATTTTTAAGTAGTAGAGTTATGAAATTAGATCACTTTAACTAAGCAGACTATGTAAAAAATGATAAACTAAATTTGCACCTTTTTTCTAAGTCTGTTTTCATCTCATGATTTAGTAACCATGCTAATGTATATACATAAAACATTTGTTTAAGTTTGAACCTTGAAGTTACATGGTTAAACTTATATTTGTAGATGAGCCGACCCAGCCTGGTACACCACAAGTGGTGGATTACGACCACGAGAGTGTGAAGCTCAAGTGGACCAAACCTGACTCCGACGGTGGAGCTCCTATCGAGAAATACATCATTGAAAAGAAAGACAAGTAAGCTTAGCTTGTCCATCCATCTTTGAAAATATTCGTCTTCACAATAGAACATTATTGTATAAGGACAGGCAGGAAGTCAATAGACTGTATTTTACTAAATTAAGTTACGGTATACATTTAGTATCTAAATCGGGTGTAAATTATTAAAACTATGCCTTAAAGGAGACAATTTGTTGTTTTTCAACAAGTAATATTTTTAAAGATATGGTGGCCTAGTTCTAAAAAGATGGAATCTAGCTGCAATTATTCTGCAAACTTCTGCAAGAAAAAATGTGTGCTGTTCACAACATTATTCAGTGATTGATATATTTCAAACAGTTCTGTTGTCCATTATCATGACCTAAGATAGGAAATCGGCATACAAATATTTGAATAGGTGTTAGGAAACTAGAGAAAGAAACAAATGTTTGAATTGTGGGAAATCATAGTGTTATACTTATGATTAATCATTTAATCGTTCATTTGGGAAAGTAACCTTAAAACCTCAGTGGGGATAAACACTTTTTTCAGGAAAATCTCAAAGGGAATAATAAGTTGTAATTTAATAAAAACTCTCACATTTGATGGACTTTAAAGCATACAACGTGATGTACAAACAGGTCATGATGTGCCTGCGTCATGTTACAGGCGCAGGCACATTGGCCACATTATGAGCTTTTTGTACATTGGGTTGTTCACCCCTGCACAATCAACTAATCAATCAATCACATTTAATTACCAAGGACAACCAGAGGACACAATAATCTAAAGCATAGTTTTTGAAAATTTACATGTAAAATAACATTTCAAAGACCAAAAATAATTTTAAAACCGCAAACTTATCCTGGTCTAACAAACTTCTACAGTCTATCACTTCTTCTTCCTGTGCAGGTACAAGCCTGACTGGGAGCCAGCTGCAGAAGTGGCTGGTGATCAGCTGACTGCTAAGGTACCTGACCTGAAGGAACAAGCAGAATACCAGTTCCGCATCATAGCTGTGAACAAGGCCGGACCATCACCAGCTTCCGACCCTAGCAAGATGCATCTCGTCAAACACAAAGCTTGTAAGTTGATATCTAAAACTTTTCCTAAAGGGATTCAAACAAAATTCCTAGTAAGGTTTTTAAATTTGTATTTTTTTATACGTAATGTATTCTAATACACTACAAGTGAATGAGTGAGTATGTTACGTTTGGTCTTCCAGAAAGTAAAGAACGTTTTAGCATGTTTAAATAAAAACAAATTAGTACTTTATTCTAAATTTCTACGTAATCCTCTTTGTTGTAACGTTAAACCAGGTTTTCTATTCCAATATACTCATCAGTCGCAAGAAATTTGAGCCATTTCGCTGGTTTTTTTTAAGTTAATCGTAATCTCCAAACTGTTTTCCATCCATAAAAAAACTCCTTCAACTATGGGGACAGAAATATCACTTGGAGCTAGGTCAGGGTTGTAAGGAGGATGTCCACCTCAGACGTAGAAGTTTCCGCTGCGTTCTTGCTAGGGCATGAGGTCGGGTATTGTCGTGAATGAAAAAGACTTAAACCAACATAATTCCATGGCTTATGTTTTGGATGTCACGTCAAAGTTGTATAAAAGTCCCACAGTAGTCCTTAGTTTATTGTTGTACCTCATGACATGAAATTGAATTGGATTAATCAATTTTTACCCCAAAAACTATTCCCGGGACCCCAGGTACCGGAGTCCCGCGCTCTAACCACTAATCCAGCTCGCTCCCCACAGCTACGAGACTTGGATGACACTGAAGAGAAAGGAAGGGACAATCGTCAATTCTTTCTGGGCGTGAAGCGTATTCGTTTTTACTTTCTGGACAACCTCATTACTTTTGTCATCCTTTTTTCTATAGTTTGACGATGATTAATCTGTATTTGTTGTTGACAGTGAAACCAAGGATTGACCGCACAAACCTCAAGAACATTGTTATAAGAGCTGGCAAAATGGTCAAGTATGATATAAACGTTCGAGGAGAACCACCTCCAGAAATCTCATGGTTCTTGGTCGACAAACAGGTACAATTCTTCATGTATATTTCTTTCTAAAAATCTTAAAAGGAATACAAGATATTGAACACAAGCTCTTGTGTATTTTTGTTTAGTTCATCTATTTGAAGTAGAACTAAACTTGGAACAGTTCCATATTCCTTGAAAAGCTAAGGTGCAAAGTTTTCAACTTGTATAATAGATCTGGTCTGATCTGGATCTACTTCCGATTGGCTGTATGAACAGTCTAGAGTGGTCACTGGCAATAGCTTCCATCTACGAGGTAACTTAGTTTCTTAACAATACTTCTTGAATGAGAATTGTTTAATTTACTTTGATGGTAATTTTTGGGACTGAATTTTTCTTTGGAATCCGCTTTACATTAGGTTCTCAGACATTGTATCGGTACGTTCAGAGTGCACGCCGATTCAGATTCAGATTTTAAGTGGCAGGAATGGCACTTGCATTCAAATGGAATTGGCCGAGCCCACGCTCAGGCACCTGCTTACCGAAATGAATTCTTCATTCTGTTCTGAATTATTCTTTGCTAACTATGTCAGTACCGGCGGCGTATTTCCTGCTTCCACTGTGACCACCAATAAAATATCTGACTCAGATTAACTACGTGCCAAAAATCTGAATCTGATTCAGAATCTGAATTGGCGTGCACTCTTGACCGTATTTCATTAGTAAGTCAATGCTATTCTTGACAAATTGATACAAAATTATTTTTGGGGCTTGTTTGAATTTTCAGAATTTGTTCTTTGAATGCAGGACCTTATGTATAGTTTCAAATAAATCTTGTGTGGATTTAGCAGCTTTTGCAAAATTATAATTGTCAAAACTTGAATAATATATTTAAATAAATAAATATAGGGTAATAAAAATTAACTTTTTTTAATCACTGCAATTTTGGTAATTGTTAGTGAAAATAGATGACATTACAAATAATCAATAGGCCTACATGTAAATTGGTATCAACCAAGAACTGACTCAAAGTTGTGGACCTATATATCAAATAAGATGTATTGACTTTTTCAGACGGATAAAGTGATACGTGAAGTGAGTAATTTCAGGAAACAAGTGATTATGGTTTTCGCTTAAGGATTAGCGATATTAGATCGTATTTTGTTAGTTGCTCATGATTTTTTACAGATTTTTTCAAAATAGTTTTAGTGTGTTAAGTGATGTTTCTCCAGATATTTTACATGTTCAATTTTTGAATTTTGAACTGGTTAGTGAGTATTTTTATAGATCGTAGAGCTTATTGCTTAATTTTAGCAGGTATTGCAGCTTTTAGATGGCAGATAGTTAAATAGACTTAGTCTTAGTAGCTGATATATGGTTAAGCTTTTATTTGCTTTGCTGAATGGCAATAGCTGAATATTTTTTACTTTTTATCACACCATTATGCTTTTAAGTACTTGATTTCTCTGTCGATCAAAATTGATTTCATAATGATTTTACAACATTAATCAAAACTACTAACTATTGTTATTTGAAATCATTCACTTTTAAAATAACATCATCCTTCTTTCTCCTTTCTTCATAGGCTGTTCTTCTGTCTCCTGTCTCTTTTTGATATAAATATTTTTTACCAAGATTTTACAATTTTTAAAGTCTATTGATAAAAAAGATTTTGATTTTTGATTTACCATTGTCTTGTATCCCTGCTTAAAGCTCTTTTCAGAAGTAAATTATTTTTCTGCCTCTAAAATTATGTGGTAAGTATATAATATTCTGTAGCGATTCATGAAAAAAGTAAGTAACATAATGACATTCCATTTATTTATATTGAGCTTATATCACTATTTGAACTAAATATTTCCTGTTTCCATTTTATCTATTTATTTTTCAAAAATTAAAATGTATTTTGATATTTAAACAACACTTGCAAACTATATTACTTTTATCATTTTCATACTATGAAAAATTTATATCACCATCCATAAAAAATATTGTTATAGTTTATCAAAATTCTCATCAAAAAATACAACAAAAAAAACAAGGATTTGTATGACATTTTAGGTACTTATCAGATCACAACACCATACTTACAAGATAATTTAATTTTTTGCCGTACAAGAATCATAAAGTTCATTTGTTACAAAAATAAATATCCTAGCAATCCATAGCTACTGTATGTAATTCCTTTTCTCTTTTCCATCCAAGCTATATTCAATAAAACTAATACTAAATTAATACAAACTGTAGCTAGTTTAATCCTTTAAAAGCTCAGCCTAGTAACACAACAAATCACATTAAGAATCCCAATTTCTGCAGCTAAAACATTTCTACATCACACTATTATTTCTGCTATAACTCTAATATCGTTTAATCGATCATAGGAAATAACACATAACACAAACATTTATTTAAATCTACATAGCTATACATAAAATATCCCTGTATAAGATATAAACATCGTTGAAATGTTAACAGGTAAAATCTGAAGGCAATATTGAAATCGTCAATGTGCCTTACAACACGAAGATCACAATTAATGATGCCACAAGGAAGAATTCAGGCCTTTACAGAATAGTTGCTGAGAACGCTTCTGGCAAAGATGAGGCTGACGTTGAAGTCACTGTGCTTTGTAAGTGGTTTTACAGTAATAATTAAGCCGTAAGACATCTATTAGGGATTTTGCAGTAATCATTCAGCCGTAAGACATCTATTAGGGATTTTGCAGTAATCATTCAGCCGTAAGACATCTATTAGGGATTTTGCAGTAATCATTTAGCTGTAAGACATCTATTAGTGGTTTTACTGTAATCATTCAGCCCTTAGACATGTATTATGGATTTTACAGTAATCATTCAGTCATACATGAACATTATTAATGCTTATACACTGGTTGGCTAAGAAGTACATCGAGTTTTTTTCGTAACTGGCTACACAATGTTCTATTTGGTATCAGTAAAATCCTGTGTACAAAAATCAAACTCCACAAAAAGTAGGCATTTAATTGTTTTTACCAACCAGTCATATATTTTGAAGAATTACTAATTCTCTAAAGTTAAGAACAACTACAACCAACAATAATTTTTTTTTTAATTTTCTAACAGATTTTCTGCTGGTTCATATTAATCTCAGGTGTAATCATATAGAAGTAGGGGTCTGCGATACAGAAAATGTAAGGTCGGCACAGTTCGGTACGGTAAAATATTTTGTACCTTGGTCCTCGGTTCGAAATCCCAATCCGTGGGGTATAGGGCTATCAGTATTTTTTCTTTTTTCTTCTCAAAATTGTATTTGAACCATTATTTTAAATTTTAATACATTGACATTACTTTATTATGAAAGTGGATAGTATCATACATTCATGGTTTCCTAACAACAATTACTCTACCATACATTATTAAAACCTTTTACTTCTAACAGGATTGTGTCAAGAAAGAAACACAGTTAAGAGGCTTTACCTATTTTACTACTAAGATAAGTCAGCCATGATAAAGTGGTTTTCTATGAATGATGCCTTTCCTATCTTTTTTTGCCTTCTTTTTGCATTCTTTCTTTGGTTTTCAAATTTGGTTATTGTCATTATAAAATATTAAGTTAAAGAATTTGGGACTGCTTACGGGTTTTTATTGCATCATTACCCAGTAATAAATTATGAAAATCGTAAAAAAAATCTGATAGACCTTTTATATGCTCTGAACCAAATATGACTATACTTGACTATGATAGTCAATTGAAAGTAATTTATTATCATAGGCTGTACTGAACCGAAAAATGACCGAGTAAAATGCTGTACCGAAACGATGACGGTAATTAGGCCAGAACGGTAGATACGCTTTTTTGGTCCACCACAGACCTCTAATTAGAACACATTCCATTGTTCACTGTCTTTTATGAAAGGTTAAGTCTCAAATCTGTATCTTCCAATAAATGTTTGATATAGGAAAAACTAGTTTGATTAACAAGTTTTCACTTTCACACCTATTATTTAGCAAATTAATAGGCCAATCAAGTACATTAACAATCTAGATATTACAAACTGTATTTGATTTCAGCGGCTCCTTCAAGACCGAAGGGACCTTTGAAGGTACAAGATGTGACAGCTAACGGCTGCAAACTCAAGTGGGAGAAGCCAGAAGACGACGGAGGCAAGCCTATCACAGCTTACTCCGTTGAGAAGCTGGATGTGGCGACAGGACGCTGGGTGCCTGTGGGGCGAACCTCAGAGCCGGAGATGGAAGTTAGAGGGCTCCAGGAAGGACACGAATACCAGTTCAGAGTCAAGGCCATCAATGAGGAAGGAGAAAGTGAACCTTTGGATTCCGAGGGAGCCACACTTGCCAAGAATCCTTACGGTAACTACAAACTTGCAGATGATACCTTTTTTCCCTAGGATGCTAGGATCTAGACCGGAATGGTTTTTCACAGTACTTTGTGGCATTATGACTTAGATAAAATCCATTGGTGATTGGCTGGATTTGAATCTGGGACCTCAGGGACTGAAGTCCTGCGCTCTACCAATAGACCAGCTCGCTCCCCAGCTGATACATTTAAACAAATGCTTGTTTAAGTTTGAGGTGGAGTTCTGTCGAGATACAAGTTCAGTAGACAAAAAGTTACAAACATTAGAGTATAAAATAGGAACATTATATAGTAATGAAAGTAATTACAACAAATATAATGATATTTGATACAAAATCTACTATTAACTTCCACCAACCTCTGCCAAACAACATTGCAAATGACTATTTTGTAGAATTTAGATTTTTAAAGAACAACAATGCAAATTACATGCACTACGAGATATTTAGTTTATTTAATATTGGCAGCACACACATACGATTGAATGTGAGGGAAACTAACTGTGCTGGAATTGGCGCAGACAGAATGATTTTGTGTTTTCTGAAAATATTCCATATATTCACTTGCAACTTGCAATGTTTTTTCAGCGGAGCTGTTCAACTAAGTAATTGAAGTAAATCATTTAAATTTGAAAAACTCAAGTCTTATTTAAATTGTAGACATAAATTCAGTCAACCAATCAAAAACAGTGATTGCATTTAATGCTGTTTTTAGATATCCCGAGTAAGCCAGGAGTACCAGAGTTTGTTGACTGGGACGTGGACAGAGTTGTGCTGAAGTGGGCTCCACCTAAGTCTAACGGAGGAGCTTCCATCACCAGCTACATCATTGAGGCAAAGGAGAAGTTCTCTGCTTCATGGAATGAAATGACTGATACAGGGGTGAGTGTTTCTTCAACAAAGTAGGTTCTTGATGACTGAACGAATGAGTCTTGTTCTTGATGTATTAAACATATTTCTTTAACAGTTGTTCAAGGAAATGCTCTAGGCCAGGATTTTGAATTGTAGAATAAAGTGGGGTAGCAGCTAGATTATCTTAGAAGATGTACAGGTAAGCCATAGAACACAAAAAAGGAACACAAAAATACCCAATATTTCGTCTCCAGGAGGAAAACGTTTTTTTGAACCTTCTTTCTCTACACTTGACCAAGTCCCCTGGGGACGAAATATTGCGTTTTATGTGTTTTATAGCGTACCTGTACTTTGTCTAAAGTAAGCTAGCAACTGGGGATAACTATCCCCCTCTATACTTGTTTGATAGTAGAGGATGTATCTCAGAGCATGAGGGCCTAGGTTTCAAGGACTTTTGTTAGGATTGTGGATTTACCAGAGCTGGAAGACTTTGTTCTAGACGTCGTTCTGGCATAAGAAAAATGAGAGACTTACATTATAAATATTACAATTTTTTAATGTCATTGACAGCTTTACCAACAAAGGAAATTTTGAAGTTGGTAAGAGATATGTCAAATCCAATAGTGGCCAGGAAGTTTTTGTATCGTGGAATATTCTAAATTGTGTGTACTGTGTAAAGTGTTTCTGTTTCTTGTGCCTGGGTGGACCCTTTCCTATTCGGGTAAGCCTGTGACCCAAATGAATATATTCCTTTATCTGGGTTTGGTTGTTAACTAGGCTATACATTTCTTAAATTGTACTTTAATTTTAAGTTTTGGTCTTTATTTTATGATGTGGTGTTTCCGGACCAGTTATTTGACAATTAAAAAGGTTAAATCACCTGTTGTAGCCTTGTGGTTCAAGTTTCGTCCTTACGGACTATGCAAATTTCGGCTATTCAGTCATCATCAAATTGTATGCAAGATAAGTTCTTTTACAGGGTGAGGCAGTAAAACCGATTTTGAAAAATGACAAATAATTTATTTAGGGAAAAAGGATAATTGTTTTACCATAAATTTTAAGCAAAAAATTGCAAAATAATGTTTTACTTTCAAAAAAATTATTTTTTTTTAAATAGTGTCAGTAAGGTTGCGTCCTTGGCTTTGCACACATTATTGAAGTCTCTGAGATTAAATTCACTGGATTGTCTGAAAACCGGAGTCCAGATTGTTTTTACTACCACCTCTTTTATTTGTCCTGCTAGTAGTGGATTCAAAGCTATTCACCCAAAGGAGGATAGCTCTCCTTGATGGTACGGGAGCCTTTGGTAGTAGACTGAACTCACGACAGAAAGCGCACTGAGTGCTGAGCACAAACCAAACTATCTGTGTTTTTGTAATATGCCTTTACAACCTGACATTGTATAACGATCTGATGAAGGCTGAATAGTCAAAATGTGCATAATCCCTAAAGACAAAGTTAGGTTACGAGGTGACAACAGGTATTTTAACCTTTTTATTTGTAAAATGGTAGAGATTTATTTAGTTACCATCAGTGAAGTCAAGTGTAATATCAGATATAAAAAAAACATCAAAACAGGCTTCAGATATCAGAAAGTTTTAGAAGTGTCCCAAAGTCCATTATACAAGGTGAATGGTTGTGCTTGTTTGTGCAGAGCTCAGCTTGTGAAGGTACAGTGTTGGGACTGAAGGAAGGTAATACTTACCAATTCCGAGTCCGAGCCGTCAACAAAGCTGGTCCTTCAGAACCCAGCGATCCAACCAAGCCTCACATCGCTAAGGCGAGAAACTGTGAGTAATGTTCAAAAGAAGTTTAATTTTAAGCTCCTCAGGTTTGCTTGTCATTTTGTCCAAATATTAAATAACTCATACCAAAATATTGGCTCAAATCAAAATTAATTATCTCACGTAAATTGTGTCTATAGCTGTTTTGTAATTGTTCATCTGGTTATGTATTTGGCTGTCTAAGTGCAAACTAAGCTTTCTTTCTATTTAAATATTATTACAATCACTTTTGTTAAATTTGGGACTCAATACTGCTCAAATTCCAATTATATGAGTAATCTCACGATAAAAATTGTTCTCTCATTATTTAAGTGAGTTTTGCACTCATTCCCTTGATTTTATTTCCCTCAACTCAACAATTTACCATTGGACAATTTCTTTCCTGTAGAACAATTATAAGACAATTTATGTCATAAAGCGTTGGATTTACAAGCTACCAAAAGTTAACCATAGTAAGTTTCTTTTGGTAGTGCAGTCTTTGACATTGGAAAATACCAAGTTCTCCACGGTTGGCATGGTAAAAAACCTGGAAAAGTCAGGAAGCTATGAAACAATTCTGGAATTTCTCCTGAAAGACCACTTTTTTACAGATATGCTACACTTTGCTCTAAACATGTTTTTGTCATTGTTTAGTGATGACTAATGGCATAAAGAACGACATAAGCACTGATGCACATTTTTATATTGATAGTTAGATTGGTACGGGAGAGGAATCGATATGTAGGCCTATATAGTTTGAAACAGGTTTTGTATTTGGGAGTGATTAAATAAGTTAAATATTTACATTTTTTCTAATATTTCTTGATTTTGATTTGATATCGACTTACGGTATACCTGGAAAAGTGTAATACCAGTCTGGAAAACCTGGAAAAGTCAGGGAAATTTATTCAACAAATATAGTACCAACCCTGTTCTCATAACAAAACTAATCTGTAAATTCCTCAGATTTCTGGATTTATAGACAGTAGTGATTATCGTTCTGGTTACTCACATTCTCAACCATGTATTTCTGACGACAGTGAGGCCTCTTATCAACCGAGAGAAGCTGCAGAAGGTGGTCGTCAGAGCAGGAGTTGTTGTCAAGTTTGACGTTGACGTCAAAGGTGAACCTCCTCCAACAATCACCTGGAACTTTGCTATGAAGGAACTCCAGAACGGCCCAAGGGTCAAGATTGAGAATGAAGATTACAACACTAAGATTGCCATATCTGAAACAACTCGTAAGGACACTGGCATCTATACTGTCATCGCAGTCAATCCCAACGGCCGAGACGAGGCCCCTGTTGAAGTGGTTGTTCTCGGTGAGGAATAAATTTATTTTAATAATTTATGAATACTCTTAAGTTGTCCAAAAATTTTGTTGTTGATATACAGAGAAGTAAGGTACAGAGGAAACATTCAATGGTACACCTAAGTGGTGTCTAGCACTAGTCGTTGGTGTCTAGGACAAAGTCCAACACCACCCCTTTTGCCCTAATGTAACTACAAGACTCACAGTGGAGGAAGACCCTGTGCCCTGTGCTATGAGAATTTCCGTACAGTGCTTGCCGCTTTAGCTCTTCCTTGCTCGTCACAAGTATATTTCTGCCACATTAACCAGAGCTGAAAGTGCACGGTCGCACCATAAACGTGTATCTTGTGTACCTAAGAGTGATATACCCTAATAAAGGAACATGTATTAGATTCATTTAAGTGGACTACTGTATTACCATTAAAATACATTAATAGACTCTTTATGGACTAAGCTTCTGTTGTAAAGTGTAAATAAAATAACTTTCCTCCACAAAGATAAACATCTCTTAATTAATCCAATTTTTTTTAATACACAAGTAATGTTATAACATATATTTATTTATTGAAATTTTATGAGTTTGACCTCAACGGTTTTACAGAACTTTTCCATATTGTCAATGGTAACTGGTGTGATAAAAGAATAAAAGCACTATTTGACTTAAGTGGAACCTCCTGGATAATTTTCTCAGCATCTTATTTGTGATTTTATTCAACAACTTACTTAAAATAAAAAATATATAAAAACTGTTCTGGTGAATAGAGATTATTCAAATATAAAATCATAGTCTCCCGAGACCTGTGAATTTATTTAAAAATAAATATTTTATTTTACTATAGTTCAAAATAAAAACAAGAAAACTTTACCACATATACTTCAACTTCAAAACAAATCATTATTAATTTTAAAACTATTAATGTCCTTCCAGACAAGCCAGGGGCACCAGAAGGACCTCTGGAAGTTTCGGACGTCCATAAGGAGGGATGCAAACTCAAGTGGGAGAAGCCCAAGGACGATGGAGGTCTGCCGCTGAGTGGGTACATTGTTGAGAAGATGGACGTTGCTACTGGCCGCTGGGTGCCGGCCGGGTTCGTGGACCCATCCAAGACTGAACACGAGATCACAGGTCTTGAACCGGGCCACAAGTACCAGTTCAGAGTCAAGGCTCAGAACGAGGAAGGAGAATCTGAACCTTTGGAAACTGATGCGGCAATCCTGGCCAAGAATCCTTACGGTAAGGGGTAAAATTGCACAGTTTGGTTAGTGGATTTATGCTTATGTTGAAATAAAACTGCATTTCACTACATTTAACTGTCAAGCTTTTAAATCAATCATTTAAATGCACTTTTGGTATTGACTTTGAATTGGAGTGCAACTCCAAGTGAGGTTTGTTTAATGAGACTTTTCATTTAAGAAGACAAAATTCTTCAATGTGTTTGATACTTGAGAAACCTTTTTGTACCGCTTAATATGTTTTTTATTTTAACGCTGAATATTTTGCTGTACATAATTTGTAATGTTCCTGGTGGTTTTGAATGATCCTGGACTTAAGTCTTCTGTGGTATCCACTACTTTTCCATGGGAAGTTCGCTAAAATAGATAGAGTCTTTTGGTGTCTCGATCAATGTGGTTGAATCCTATAATAATGAAAATTATTCAACGTTGGTTCCTTAACTTTGATGAATAAGTCTGCCACAAGCTTTTTTTTACTTGAAAACAACTAGAAGACGCTAGTTAACAAAAAGAGCTAACAAATACAATAGGTTTTTTTTCAAATTTTACTACCAATATTACTTCTTCCACAATATTTAAGTGTGTTTAAATTTAAAATATTAAATGTTCAGAAATATTGTGATAACATTTCATTAACTGTTGATCCTGTTGTATCGGTAGATCCACCCGGTGCTCCGGGACTTCCAGAGATTGTCGACTGGGATGAACACATGGTCGAGCTCAAGTGGGAACCTCCCTTCAGGGATGGCGGAGCTCCCATCACAGGTAATTATATTTTATGCACTATTTGTATCTCTTGTAAGCATTGTGTTCCCTTTCTGTAAATATCTTATAAATGAGGTTCCCAAACTAAACTAAATACTGTAAAATAGATGATCTGTTGTGGACCAGTCAATATTTCCAGTTTAGTTAGCATTGATATTAAATTCAACCATATAATAAACTTCAGAAAGTATTCTTCTCAATGATGGATAAAATTTCTTTCAACAAATGTTAATGCGTCCCAGACACATAATAAAGTAGGCAAGCTAATACAAAACGTTCAGTACTTTGTCAAAAAGCTGCAAAGTCACAAAAAATGTTTGTTTATAAAGTACCATCTAAAAATAGCTGTCATTGCGAGATAGTGGAGATACCACTACTCTCTCTGTTTTAACTGGCTATTTTTACTCTCTATTTTTGTTAGTGGTACAAATCCATTTTTCCATGTTCTATTGTGATTTCACTAATTCTGATAGTGTTGGAAAATGTAAAAGACAAAACAAGTTTTTCGTTTACGTTGTTCGTATTTGTATGCAAAAATCTTTTAAATCCAATCTTACTACATACTAAGAGCTTCAAGAGGAATCAATATCCAATTTTCACATCGACATTTTCTGATGATGTTGAGATCAAAAAATAGATTGAATTTAAAACACACCAAAATAGATTTATTATAAATCGACAATGATTTCTAACAATTCAATATAAAAAATTAAAATAGGGTTTGTCATTCCCAGTTATTGGTGAGTAGGTGGCTCAGTCGGTAGCGCCACAGACTTCGGGCCCAAGGCAGTGATGTCGTAGGTTTGGATCCTGCTACCTGCCACTACTTTTGATCAATACAGTTTAATTTCACCCTTGTACTATACTGACCCACCTCTTGCTTTGCTGGATATGTTTCACACACAGATATGTAGTCTATGTGGACGGGCAAATGCAAGGTTAAAAGAGGCAGCCAACCTAAAAAAAAAACAAAAAAAAAACTATTAAATATAGGCCTAGCAACAATTTTATCATTTTTTTTTTGCAAAGTAACATGTATATTGTACACTTTATTTATGACACAGAACTTTTTAACCACCCAAGATGCTTTTTATTTCAGGCTACATAATTGAGATGAAGAGCAGGTTTGAGCCTAACTTTGTCAAGGCCGTAGAAGTAACAGGCAACACCTGTAAGGGTAAGGTGCCCAAGTTGGAGGAAGGTACGCAATACCAGTTCAGAGTTCGTGCAGTCAACAAGGCGGGTCCTGGCGAACCCAGTGAAGAGACCAACCCTCACACTGCAAAGCCCAGATGGCGTAAGTAACACAGAATGTTTTGAAATACAGGAGAGTAAACTATTTATCGAATCAGGACTAAGAGTGGTTCATTTTAGTGACGTGTCGAATCCGAATCTTGAATTGCAGTCCTTGTTTCACCTGGCTACCCCAACCTATCAGTCTAAATAATAATGTTGAAATACTAAAAATATTAAAAAATTTTAATTTCTGTTTTTTTTTCTTTTACTGGATTAAAATAATTTAAGGATTTTTAGGGATGGAAATCTCATGATATTATGATAATAGAGATTTTTGTGTCCCCCATAGAATCCTTTTTTCATAATCTGATCATGTTGATTTGCAATCTCGTAAGAATAAACATTCACAAGTTTATACCAAATTTAATCAAAATTGGATTATTTTTAATAGAATTTTGCTAACGGACACACATATATGTATGATATATATATGTATGATTTTAAACAGTGTTTTTGGCATCTAGAGACATAAAAAAGAAAAGGAAATCGGTCCCGGGTCTAGGTCTTACCATGAGACCTACAGTAATAGCTTATCCCCATCTGTGAAATTAGCTAAAAACATTGGCAATTTGAAATAGCAGAAGATTTTCAAAGGACCAATATTTTACTTTGATTGGTTGTAATTTTTGAATACTTAAGTTTGCATCTACAGGAGACTATAATAAATATTATATTTTTTCAGAGAAACCTAGGATTGATCGAACCAACCTCAACAACTTGGTGTTCAAGGTCGGGCACACAGCTCTCATTGACGTCAACGTATCAGGAGAACCCCCTCCAACTATTACTTGGATTTTCAAGGACCAGGTAAATAATATTGAAGTGTTCAACATGTTAAAGACAATTATTTCAAGGCTATTTTTCAATACTACTGTTCGGTTTCCTCCTAATTTAATTTTAATATGTTACTGACAAAAAATATATATTTTACCTAGTCTACAGTATTGAAGTGTTTACAACCAGGATTTGTTAACTATTTACTTTTTTGCAAGCAGCCATTTTGTACAGTTCATCAGGCAAAGTCGAATTTTCAAAGGTATGTGTTCCTATTATATACCTTTTTAATATTTTTTTGTTATTTTTTTTTCAAAGAAAACCCATGTCAGAAAGCATTAAATATACTTTATCATATGTTCAATACCATACACATTCAGCCTACGTTATTGTAATTATGTAATTTGACTTAAAAATTAGAAAGATTCTCTTAATCTCTGTTTTTATAATTTCAATTTATAATTTTTGTAAATTTGGTATTTTCTTCATGGCACATTTTAGAGAAAACCCACTTAAAAATTCAAAATTTTGAGAAAACTCCTCTACTACCCAAACAGTTTTTTTTTTTTATTTAGATGAATTGAAAAAAAAAAAACAAATGGCTAGATATGAATGAATGAATGAATTAATTAATTTATTTATTATGTGGTGGAATAAATTAATTAATTCATTTTGTTTTTTGTTTTTTTTCCAATCCATCTAAGAATTCATCTAATAAAAATGTAAGTATTCCATATTGAATGGGATTTAGTTTTTAATTCCGTTACATCAAAAATGGAAAATCTGAGGTTTTAGCTGATATGTTTCCAATATTAATACTTAACTGTTAAATCTATTTCAGGATGAACCCCATAAAGAAGTTGTAAGTAACTTCTTGACAATGATGAGTCAATCAGTTGTTTTGCTACTTTTGAGACTTTTTATCTTTAAGAGCAAAAGCTTCTTAGATATAGTGTAGAAATAGTATTGTGGATATTTGTTGTATCACAATACACAAATTTACAAATTTGTTACATTACTGAATGTACATGCATTTATTACAACACATTCAATCTGAATAAATAAATTGTTAAGAGTTAATACAAATTGTTAAACTTGAGAATTCCAATGGAATGTAAGTAAGAATTGTCACATCAAAACTGTACAAATAAAAGTGGGCTTTTGTTATCTTAACTATATGGGAATAAAATATTATTTTGAAATGAAAATTATTTAAATAAAAACCTTAGCTCATTATGACACATTAAAATGGCAGTGGGGTTAAACTAAGCAAATAAGTTTCTAGACTAAGTTAGCTTACTACTAACTAACTACGGTACTTTATTAAGAAAAGTTGAACTAATCCAAAAAAAATTTACAATTAGGCCTGCAGCAAAAACGTATTTTAGTTCGATTACTTTAATAAGCAAATTGAAATTGTATTCTTAAAATGTATTAAGTAAAAAATGTAATCCTTTTTTTCTAGGTATGATTATAATTAAAAACTGTGATGCTTATAATATTGAATGGTTAAATATTTCATTGTTAGGAGCAAAAAAGTCTCACACGACTAATAATATTTATAGGCAATAATGAAACAGCTGATCTTCCAACCACAGCTGATTCTTCTTGGTATAAAAAATAAAAAATAACACTTTAACAATGCTTCACTTATTAAAAACAGCTGTTTGTTAGAGTATGGCAAAAAATGCTTCCTTAATTAGTAGGAATAAACAATCCTATAACAAGTTAAAATTACATTATATTGATAATGATATAAGGCTTAATAGTATAGTTAAGCTTAAAGATAATTTAATATTCATGGTATTTTAAAAGTATATACATCATAATATGTTTTTTATTCAGCAACTCACACATATTGTCTCAGTTACTAAACATATTTAATTTTAGTCACAGCTAATTGTATGTTCTGCTGCTTCTAGTAAGTTATATCTGTCTAGATTCGTTCTGCCAGTAGGAAGTAAAGCTTATTTTTTCCGCTTATTTCAAATGCACTTAGTAAAACTTTTTTGTCTAGTTGTCAAAGAAAATTTTAGAAATGTTTGCTGTAGCTTTTTCGTAGATTTTTTAGCAGTAATTCAAATACTGGGTAGAAAATATTTCTTATTATTCTGTCTCTAAATAGTTTACTAGTTATTTTTCAGCTTATAAAAAAATTAGGCATGTTTTTAGTTTGCATGTAAAAGCTAAAGAAAGACGGTAGGTAAAATAGATTGAAATACCAATAGTGGCTTAAAATAAAGCTTGAATAGCTGAATAATGTCTACATATGGCTGTTGTATCATTAGATTAAAAAAGTTGTTAAAAAAAAACTTTGCAAGAACGGCTTAAGGCGAACTGGCAATTGCAGTTGGACATGTACCATATAATATGTAGAAATAGAATCATTTCTATCCTTATTAATGCTAAGGTCCCTTTTCTACAACGTGTCTAGCAACAAGCTTATACACAATATTCTACGACAGCTTTACGTGCATACTCTAAAACACTGGGCCGTGACTTTCATTACGTACGCCGAGCGACCGCCTCTAAATGCATTGGAGCATATAGAGCCGTTTATACACTGTTTTTTGGCACGTCCCTAGATGACAGGTGGTTGTCAGGCAAGAGCCCACGCCGCGTGATTTTTGTTTTGATGACGTAGGTAGAATCGTTTGCTTACACTATTTCAGTTGTTTACTTCACTCATTTTGTCTGCTGGTGAAACAATGTCGGCATTCAATCCAAACATAAATTAAAAATAATAAATTGCTTAGTTTAAAATTGGTCATCAAAGCTGTTACTTTTCAGATGTACATTTATGAGTTCTCTCAAAATTATATTTTAAACAGGAGCTTCAGACGGAGGGAGCTATTCGTATTGACAATGTTGACTACAACACCAAGTTGCTGATCATGAAAGCTACTCGTAAGGAGAGCGGAAAATACACGATAGTCGCCAAGAACTCAGTTGGCGAGGACAGAGCCGAGATTGACATTACTATCTTAGGTAAAGTAATTTGTTTAAGTTTTAACATCTTTAAAGAAACTGAATGCATGGACTGGTGTGAATTTGGACCCATTATAGTGAGCACGGGCTCGTCAAAGACATAAAAACAAAAATGTGTGCTCAATAGAAACAGTAAAAAAAAATACAAAACACTTTTGGTACTATACATCATGTTGTATAGTAATACAATACAACCATAGCACGTGGCAGCCTGCCACCCTGAGATTTTGTCATGTATTATATAATGTAAATTTAGTGCTCATTTTTTGTTTCAAAACTTATATATTGTTGGAGCACAAATTGACAATTCAAGCATTATATTTACACCTTTAATAAATGTCCGTTTATTTTGGTGTAGGGTAAAACTTCAAGTTAGCCTCACCATGTTTTGTACAAATAAATTTAAACTTCTACACATTGTGAAATATTCACTGGAGATTACAATAGAAAAAAAAACAAGTTGAATATTAGAAATATAAACTTATCTTGGCTTTTCAAAAAGAATAATTTTTGTTAACTGGAGCACATTATTTTTAGCACAAACCTGTCAGTTTTGTCAAATCTCAATCAGTTTCCATGGTTCATTTTATAATGGAGCTTATTTTTATAGGAAAACCAAGCAAGCCAAAGGGTCCTCTGAAGGTATCAGATGTTACAAAGAACGGCTGCAAGCTGAAATGGGAGAAGCCCGAAGATGACGGTGGAAGCCCCGTGGAGTATTACGAGATTGAAAAGCTGGATCCCTTGACGGGACAGTGGATTCCGTGCGGAAAGTCTGTGGAACCCGAGGCAAACATTACGGGACTCCAGGAGGGCAAACCTTACAAGTTCAGAGTCCGAGCGGTCAACAAGGAGGGAGAGTCAGAAGAACTTGAGACTGACCACGCCATCATTGCCAAAAATCCATTTGGTGAGTTGTTAGACATATGTCTGGGGCTGAATTGAAAATGTTGAAGTAGGAGTGGAATTTCAAATGTTTAGAGATGAAGAACATTTTTGAAAATGCAATAAACTTTGGTACAGTTAACTTTCAACAACAAATCACTTTGACAGAACTTATCTTCCAGATATTATGATAGTGTGTATAAATCTTGGTAGAGAAACGTCTCAATAAAAAATCTCTTAACAGAACTAATCCCTCCAAAAGTATAATGGTATATAATTCTACTACATTCTTTATTTATTTATATTGTATATCCCCCAAAATGCTAAGTTAATTTAATTCATCTCCAGATGAGCCGACTAAGCCCGGAAGGCCAACTCCGACCAACTGGGACAAAGACTTTATTGATTTGGAGTGGGCCAAGCCTGCCAGTGACGGAGGAGCCCCTATCGAGAAGTACATAATCCAGATGAGGGACAAAGACGAAACCCCGAAGTGGGTGGATGTCGCTACTGTACCAGGAGACAGAACTTACGGCAAAGTTACGGACGTCGTGGAAGGTCACGAGTACGAGTTCCGTATTGTCGCAGTCAACAAGGCCGGGCCCAGTGAGCCCAGCGATCCTTCCAAGCCGGTCATCGCCAAACCCAGATTTTGTAAGTCAACTCCAATAACTATTTTCTTTATTTAAAGTTCGTTTCTGGTGGTCTAGGTTATTTGAGGTATCTGCGAACTTGTTCCATTGTGATTAGTTAAAATAAAAGATCCAACAACAATTTGGAATCTACAGTTTGATTATATTCTCAAGTAAGGAAATAAACCCACAGAGTAAAAATCCACACAAAGAACTGTATAGTAGTCAAAATAAAGTAGAAAAAGCCTTAAAGAAAACAGTTATAACAAATAAGAGGATGATTTGTACATAAAATGGACAAATTTGCACAAGATGGCGTTTTAAATAACATTTTTTTTTTTTTTTAACAAGTATTTATTTACAATCTATTCTTACTAGAATAATAAGTAAATTTTATAACCATTTTAACATGGGTTAGTTACACTCCATCAAGTGCACTAACATACAAAAACTTTTAAAAAGTTTAACTAAAAACGGTTTGGAAGGTCTATTGGATTAACTCTTTTGAGCCTATATGTAGCTTCACTATTGTCGAGGAGGTTGACTGCCAGGAAATTTGGATGGGTTTCTAATTTTCTTTGGTATTTTTCACTTCGTTTCTTTATTTCTTCTTTAACATAGGGTAATTTTGTATCTTGATGAATTACTTTATTTGTGACAAACCAAGGTGCTTGTAAAATTTTTCTCAATGTTTTCGATTGAAACCTTTGAACTATGTCTATGTTTGAGTTGGAAGTGGTTCCCCAGAGTTGGATACCGTAGGTCCAAATAGGTTTCAATATAATTTTGTATAAAAGTAATTTATTTTCAACAGATAATTTTGAATTTCGACCAATGAGCCAATTCAGTTTGTTTGTTTTTAAATTTAAATGAAGTCGTTTGTTCCAAATGTGTGAATGCCATGTAAGCCGTCTGTCGAGATGCATACCAAGGTACTTAACTTCGTTGGATTGTGGAAGCATGACATTATTCAATGTTACTGGGGGACAAGTTCTTGTAGACATAGTAAATGTAACTTGAACGGATTTTGTTTCATTTACTTTAATTTTCCAATTCTGTAGCCACTGAGACAAATCGTCTAATGCAGCCTGAAGGTTTGATGATGCCAGAATAGGATCCTGATTTGATGATAAAAAAGCAGTGTCGTCTGCAAATGTTGCAACCGTAATACCCTGAGTACTTGGAAGGTCATAAGTGAACAAAATATACAAAATAGGTCCAAGAACACTGCCTTGTGGTACACCTGATTCAATTTCATGCACATCTGTAACTATATCTTGATATTTAATTTGAAAAAAGCGTTTGGACAAATACGATTTCAACACTCCATAGTATGTATGGGGCAGCAAAGTTTTAATTTTGAACAATAATCCTGTGTGCCAGACTTTATCAAATGCCTGGGCTACGTCCAAAAAAGCAGATGAACAAAAACGTTTATTTTCAAGATCTTCCTTGATTACATTCACTATTCTATGCACTTGCTCAATGGTGGAATGCCTTCGGCGGAATCCAAACTGGTGGGAAGGCAACAATTCTTTTTCATCAATTATAATTTGGAGTCTTTTTAAGAAAAGTTTTTCAAAAACTTTAGAAACCACAGGAAGAAGAGATATAGGCCGATACGAGGATGCTTGATTTAAAGGTTTACCAGGTTTCGGAATGACAACAATTTTAAATAACATGTGGTTTATTTTTTACCTTTTGTTGTTTTACTGGTTTTATGATACATGATAAAAATGATGGCTTTATTTGAGTTTTTCAAATTTAGTGGAAAAATAAAAGTTTAGTAATCCGGTATTTTGAACTATCACTTTTGATTTAAAAGATGAAACAATTGAATTATTTTCTGAAATTGAAATTTCTTATAAGTTTTTAACTATGTAATTCTACTAGTTCAAGGCGTAGAATATTCTTAATTTTTCACATGCAATTTTTGCAAGATACAAAGGAAAGTCATTAATTTTGCTTTTTATATTTGAAAACTTGTATATTTTTTGCCAAATTAATAAATAGAATAAAGTGATGTTGTATTGCCTTCAAAATTACTCACAATTCATCATCTACTAGAGTCATTATAGAGTCGTCTAATGGTTTCTATGCCTACGGCATCATTTTCAAGGGGCAAAACGTCATAGGTCTTAAAAACCTCATGCAATCCCAATTGAAGACTAGCAAAACCAAAAAAATGCAAAATTGTAGATAAATTAGGAATGAAGTCCTCAAAAAAAGATTACCCACTTTTAAAATAAACCCACTCTCTTACATCTACGCAGTTAAAATTACATCTTTGTTTTTTTTTGTGTTTTACACCCTACCTAACCTCATTATGTTGAATTTAACCTCCTACCTAACCATATGTAACACCATGTTGTTTTGTTGACAGTGGCTCCACATATTGATCGTAAGAATCTGCAGAAGAAGATCATCCGAGTAGGTCAGACTCTGAAGATTGAGGCTGACATCAAGGGTGAACCTCCTCCAAAGGTTGTGTGGTCACTCAAGGACAAAACTCTGTCTTCTGGGGACAGGTTTGTACTTTAATTATTTTATTTACTTCAATATATAGTAAAACATTAAAAAAGTCATTACACTTTGGTGTATCACGTTTGTTTTGGTACAGACAGACAACAACTTTCAATTCAAAATTCAAGTCTTTGGCTAAACTGATATGGACAGTTGGTGAATCAGCTTTCATATTTTAAAACAAATCATGTGAATTACAATTCTTATTTCAATCCCAGAGAGTAATAACATTTACTAAACACAGAGTAGACTTCCCACCCAATGTAAAAATTAGGAAAAAAAAATTGTGCAATCTGTTGAGTTGGTACCGACTAATGACAATATTCTGTGTCAAGTCATAAACCAATCAGCTGTTGGTATGGTCTTTAATTAATACTGAACCCAATACACTAGACAAGACTCTCTGGTGAGATGGTCCTGAACTTCATCTATTTTCTTGGCTTCCAATTTTTACATTGAATGGAAAGTCTATTCTGTATATAGTCAGTGGTAATAAGCTTTGAAATCTATTTTGCTATTTTGAAAACAACTGTATGATGAGTTTTCCTTTATTCTATATTAATTGATCATACCTCTTTGCCAATCCCAGGCAAAAACCTTTAAGCTCAAATACATCTTATTTTGTTGAGAGTCTTATTTTAATAATATAACGGAGTTCATTCTAGCCCAATAAAGACACACACAAATATTTCACCGTTAGCCTACTAACAGCAATTTCAACCAAGGGAAATTTGAGTAGGGAACAGAGAGGTTGACAATTTTTTTTGTGTAAAGCTTTTGTGTGTCTTTTATTTGTTTTGGTTTTTTCCAAATGGACTCTTTTATAGTTGTCAAGCCTACTATCCCATAAAAATCCTTGTCCCCTGCCCTTATATCCTATAGGCCTATTATATCATTAACCTCATACGTCACATTTATACTTTTTTACTCTTGCTTTTAGACTCAGAATTGAAAATGAAGATTACAAGACAGACTTCACCCTAGTCAAGGCCAAGAGATCTGACACAGGCAACTACAAAGTTACAGCAACCAATGACTCTGGAACTGATTCTGTGGAGGTGGAGATTGTTGTCATGAGTAAGTATGTTCCTTCTTTTTAATGTATACATATTTCAAGACGTGAAGCAATGCCAGAAAACTTTTAGTTTCTTTTAACTTCTCAAGTTTGCTGAGAATAAAATAAGGAGGCTAATGGTTTTGACATATCTAGGTGCTCCAAGCAAGCCAAAGGGGCCACTGAAAGTACAAGATGTTACTGCGGAAGGCTGCAAACTTAAGTGGGAGAAGCCGGAAGATGACGGAGGAGCTCCCATAGAACATTACTTGATTGAGAGGATGGACGTGGAATCAGGTCGATGGGTTCCGGTCTGCACCTCAAAGACACCTGAAGCTGAGGTAAGATAATTAATTTTGCTACAAAAGAAGTGGTCCTTACCTTACGTTACTGATGTGGCCATTCAAAACAAATTAGGTTTTTGGTCTCCGCAACAATGCGTTTTCATTCTTCTCGGTCTTTGGCTTGTCCTCAAGTTACTCCTGAGGTCTCTTGCCACTTGGTTAGCCATCTTAATTTAGGCCTTCCTAGCAGTCTAGTGCCTGCAGGTATACCCTCAAATACTTCTTTGAGAATGGTGTTTTTAGGTCTTCTCACTACGTGGTGTGCTCATCTTAATGTTCTGCTTTTGAAGATAGCTACTGTTAGATAACTGCGTTGCGTTGTGTTGAAATAAAATATAGATTCTAATACAAAATAAGTAAGAGCTTTAGTGGACTGTAAATTATGTATTAACACAAAAAACAATGAATAGAACAGATGTTAATTAAAATAATTTCAAATACAAATGTCAACATAGAGGTAACAAGTAATTATGAAACAATGGCAAAGAGTATCAAACAGCTACTATGTCCAGATATTGGTAGAGGTTTCTTAATTCTTGATTTTTAATTCTACTATTGATCATTTTCATTTATTGGACCATTTACAACACTTGATTTTCAAAAACTATGAATTTATTTTCTGAGTTTTTGCTTAGAGATAAATTTTCTGTTACATTTAGCAGGACTGGTTGAATTAGCATTTGGTAACATTCTCAGTTTATTTGAAACTGTACCATCCTGATATCAGCCTGCTTTCGTATGTTTTGCATTTGTATTGTGCTTGAAAAAAAAAGGCCACATAGAGTTCTCACTTATTACTTTTTAGTCGACTATCTGGAATAAAATAATAAAAACTTGCATTTAGAAAACCTATTTGCCTGTAGAAAACCTATTTGCTAACTCTCAAGGAGGAAAATCGTCAAGGTATTTATTTTTCTAATTTACTGTTTACTGTAGGTTGGAGGCCTTCATGAAGGCAAGGACTACCAGTTCCGTGTGAAGGCTGTAAATGCCGAAGGAGAATCTGAACCACTGGAAACTGACAGTTCTATAACAGCTAAGAACCCCTTCGGTAAGTATTTAGTTCTTAATTTTCAAATTTTATTTTTGTAAGAGATGAACTTTGTTAGCTAATAAAAAACTTACACACTCATTGATTTTGGGAAAAGAAATTAGTTGACTAAAAATAAATTATTTTGTAAAAGTATTCAAAATGATATGTTCATCTAAAATAACAAGTATTGTAATGTTTATATAATACCAACTTATTCGGCTAAAATATATTCGTAAGTTAATATACATTACTGTAAATAAAATGAAAAACAGTTAATTATCCAACAATTGTTTATCCTAGATGCGCCTGACAGACCTGGCAAACCAGTTGCCAAGGATTGGGATAAGAACAACGCCTATCTCAAGTGGCCGGCACCTGCTAGCGACGGAGGTTCGCCCATTACTTCCTATATTATTGAGAAGAAGGATCAGTACAGGTAAGCCTATGGAGTTGTAACTAAAGTTACACCCGATTTTGTCCTGCAAATAATGTTTTATTATAGAACCATGAAGGTAAATCATTTTTGTTTATTTTTTTTGACAAAGGATTTTTGATTGGAGGTGGGAGGGATTGTTGGTCAGAAGAAATTTTACTGGACAAAAATATAATGGTAAAGAATCAAAACTTGCTCATATCGTCTAGTTCTTGGACTTCATGTATATATTTTTGACAGACGCACTAAATAATTAAATTAAATTGAATTTCCTCAGTACACAGCAAATAAATGCCTATATAAATAAAACTTTGGATTAGGTAGGCGTCTAATGAATAGTGTGATTGATTTTTCAGCTCCAAATGGGTGAAGGCCGTTGAATGTCAAGGCCCCAAGTGCGAGGGCAAGGTCCCTGACCTTACAGAAGGCATGAAGTACCAGTTCAGAGTTATTGCGGTCAACAAGGGAGGCCAGAGCAAGCCTAGTGAACCTAGCGACACGATCACAGCCAAGGACAGAAACGGTAGGTTACATTCATGTCTATGTTCAGATACCATATTACTGGCAAGAAATGTCTTGATTGTTAGCAAAAGCTGTGTTAACTGTAAGGGTGCGTTCATGTTGGAGCTGTGATAAACGATCGTAGCAACGATGGGAGCAGAGATGCTAGTGGGGAGTAGCGCCCGGCTCCTATTGGCTATTCATGTCCAAGCCGCGACACTTGCGCTGAAAGGTTGATTTGTGTGTTCGTCTTTTGTTAAAAACAAGTTTGTCAAAGAGTGATTTTGAAGAAGATTTAATTTCAGTACTAAATGCAGCAAAGGATTATTTACTAGAGGATTTAAAAACGTGAATATTATCGTGCACATACTATCATTATTTTGTGTTAAATTCTTGAGCAAAATCACTCCACAATTTGTCTAACACAAATCTATTCCTATTGTGGTGGTTTTTATCACAACCGTCCGATAATATTGGACACATACAAACTTGTGACATTTAACTGTCAACATCCATGTTCGGAACCTCAATACCAGCTGAGAAAAAGGATTAAGGTAGCTCCCATCGATGGTTGAGTAAATAAAAGTGCAGCTCAGATCCCATTAGAAAACACATCTGTATTATCTACATGTTGCTAGTATCGCAGCTTATATCGCTAGTCACAACTCTGACATGAACGCACAATTGTACTCAGGCTCCTAATAAGTGTTCGGCCAACGGTATTTGCAACAGGTACAAATAAGTGTATGGCACATGGTCACTAAATCACTGAATTTTTGAAACCCATGTAACAGTCTCGCTTTGGATGTTTTACATAACATGTAAATTAATTTTAACATAAAAATTTAGTGATTTGTCATTCAATTTAGCTTTGGTTTGATAGAAGTATGTATTGCTATAAACTTAGTCAATTCAGTTTTTAGGCTTGGTTCATTAACATATTGAACCAGTAAGAGCATGAATTTACTGTAATTTAAAGTGAAGTTAAGATGAATGTACTATTAAACACATGGGGCTTAGGTCTAAAGGATTTTTGTGAAGACAGAATTTGTGCCTGGATGGGATAGAGTCCAATCTGGCACAAAAAACACAAAACTTTATAATGTATAGAAAAATTTGAATATTTCACTGTTACTGAAAGCATTTTCAACCAAAGAAGGTTTTCATTGGAGAGAGAACTTTGTGTTTTTTTCTACCATAATATACTCTCTTTCGTTGAGGTGAGCCACTTTTTCTAACAAAAATCCCTGAAATTGAAACTATTCTTGGTGTTTTGGTAACAGTATTAAAAATAAAATTATAATACAAAAAATGTAGTACTGTATACACTTTCCAAAATACTTTGATAACTCAAACACCATTTACAATTTTAAACATTTAACTAAATATTGTAGGTATTATTAATTACTTTCAAAAATTAAAACTATTTGATCTCACAGGAAGTACTTAAAATCATATATTAGACTGTCTCATAAACTCTCTTCTTTGTTTGCAGTTCCTCCAAGGATTGACCGAAGTAACCTAAAGGACATAACTTTGAAGGCCGGCCAAAACTTGAAACTTGATGTGAAGATTAGTGGAGAGCCTCCTCCAACCAAGACCTGGTACCATGGAAAAGCCAGGCTGGACTCTGCGGACAACCTGAACATTGACTCTGAAGATTACAAGACAAAACTGTCCATCGTGCTGATCACACGCAAACAGACAGGAACCTACACCATCAAGGCTGAGAATGCTTCTGGCAAAGACGAGGCATCCATCGAGGTCACTGTGCTAGGTAAGACTAACAAACAACCATCTTCCGATGGAAAAAGTTCCAGCCAGTTAACAGCTCACGGAACGCTCCCAACACAATTAATTTGATATTTCACCTATACAGTGCTTCCACAGAAGGAAGTATTAGTATGGCAGTTACAAAAATGTCACTGAATAAAATAGAAAAAGTGTTTTATTTTTGCAAGGTTTTTTATATACTCAGGTACCATACCACACAGGGTTATCAAAACAAGTGAAATCATATAAGATTTTGCTAAATGCAAGTGTTGTACAACCATGCTAAATAATATTAATCACTTTTGTTGATAACTTAAACACATTGCAACAAGGTAATTGGAAAACAGAATTTTCTCACATAATACTTAAACATAGGACTTAAATATTTTATTGTTTACAGACAAACCTGGAAAGCCGGAAGGTCCTTTGAAAATCTCTGACGTTCACAAGGAGGGATGTACACTCAAGTGGAACCCTCCAGAAGATGATGGGGGTGTGCCAATTGAGTACTACCAGGTGGAGAAAATGGACACCGAAACTGGTGAGGATTACTAATACAGGCTAAAATGTAGTGGTCTTTTACTATGTGCGCCTTCACTTAATGTAGTCTGGGATACAGTGTCACTATTGTATTTTCAAACTACAATTAGCTCTCGGGGAGCGAGCTGGTCTAGTGGTTAGAGCGCAGGACTCTGGTTCCTGGGGTCCTGGGTACAAACCCCACCAAATCACCAATGGATTTTGTCTAAGTGATATTGCTGTAATGTAACCCCTAGGTCTAGCCTGAAGTAATGTGGAAAACAAATCCAGGCTCGTGCCTAGCGTCCTAGGACAAAATAAAATTTGCGCTAATTTGTTGTTTAGAGTCACGGTTTTGTATACACTTAGCAGTGCCTGGTTCACAGAAAATTAGGTCTCAGAACATAAAACTACTGAAAGCTATGGCAACAACAAACAAACCTGAATAAAACTGCTGTAATGATTGTACAAATCTGATTCTTTATCAGAATCAGAGAGAGTCGAGTGTCAGACAGTAGTCGAGTCAATTGTGGATTTTGAGCTGGAATCTAATATAACATATTTGTAATGGAGATTTACCAAGCTACGACAATCACTTAAAACTATAACAATTGGCTAGATTATACCAAAAGTATTTAAAATAAATCCTAATAAAAGTGAGTGATGTCATTGTTGTACTAAAGTTTAAACATTGCTTGCAATATGAATCGGTGTACATTTGTCTACCTTGATCAATAATCACATTGATGTGTGCCTAAGTTTGATTGCATAAAATAATAGTATTGATACCATAGCTAACATGTGAAACTACATATGGTATTTTGATTTGAAGGTCGTTGGGTGCCTGCGGGCAGATCCAAGGAGCCCAAGATGGATGTGGAGAACCTAGTCCCAGGACAGGAGTACAAGTTCCGTGTGATGGCTGTGAACGCTGAAGGGGACTCTGAACCCCTAGATGCTGATCATGCCATCATTGCAAAGAATCCATTTGGTAAGAATGTTGGTGATGATTTAAATAATTTTACTTTCAACGTAGATGTATTTTTTATTGATTTTTACCTACACTTTTATTTTTTATGCACGTTTATTGTTGGCCAAACTGTCTTCCACTCTAGTCTCACACCCTGTAGCAGCAAACCTAAGTCTTAAAAATGTTATTTAAAAAGAACATAAATCTGACAATTTTAAGCGAATATTTTAGTTAAAATCCTACCAAGTTAATGACAATTTACTTATTTTGTACGTTTGCTGTGGTGGGGATATTATTTATTTTTTTAATTCTTAACTAAAAATTTGTAATATCACTTTTATCATTACCATTTGAGTTCTCATTTTCTCTGTAATGTTAGTAGCTAGTATTACTATTATTACTAGCATTGGCACTATTTGATGTGTCAATTCCGTACATACATACGAATATGATTATTGACGATATGGGTATTTTTCCAGACGAACCCGGTGCTCCGGGAACTCCAGATGTTGTGGACTGGGACAGGGACTACGTGGACCTCAAGTGGGCGCCTCCGTCCAAGGATGGAGGAGCTCCCATCACAGGATATGTGATTGAAAAGCGAGAGAAGGGCAACCCTAAGTGGACCAAGGCCGCTGAGCTTCACGGACCTGAGTGTAAGGGACGAGCGGACAACCTTGAGGAGGGAGTCGAGTACGAGTTCCGCGTCCGAGCCGTCAACGAGGCAGGACCTGGCGAACCCAGCGGACCTAGCAAGTCTGTGGTCACCAAACCAAGGAAACGTAAGTTACATTTAAGCATTTCAGGAGGTTAAGTAGAAGAGTGTATGTTTTTTAGGTTATTTATTGGTTAGTGTTTAAAGATGTTTGAATCAGACATGTAATTTTGATATACAGGATGCCCATGTAAAATAAGAGATCTTATACAGTTTTCTTTTTTTTATAGTGTGCAGAAACCACACGTTTTATGATTGGATAGTTACTCTAGCATAGATAATAGGTCAAACAAAATTGTGATAACCCCACCAAGCTCATTTCAAAAGTGTTGTTAAATTTCATAAATTTAGTCACAATGTGCTTATATTTGCTTCATGCTACTAAAAATTAATTAAAAACCAAATCAAATTGTAAAAAATCTATGATCAGACTGAAATGAGGCTTAGAGTATTTTTTTTATCGTATCAAAATTCTTAGAACACTTAGTTTGTTATCCAAATATGCTCTTTTTTTAATTTCTCAGTTTTCCTGTTTTCAACATACTCCTAAGTAAAATTCTTTGCAGTGTACAGTCATCAAATATCTGTAATACTACCTTTAGCTTACAACAATGAGTCATAATAAACATTGTTTGGTATTCCACCACACAGAATTTAACCCTTAAACTGTTTACAGTGGCTCCCAAGATCGACCGCAGGAACCTGAAGAACTTGACCATCAAGGAAGGTGAACCGTTCATGTTTGACGTCAAAGTTCAGGGAGAACCTGCGCCTGAAATCACGTGGATTTTGAACAGCAAGGAAATCCACAGCAACTCTATCAAACAGATTGATAACACACCAAACCACACCAAGTTCTTCCACAAGAACCCGGAGCGCAAGGACAGTGGTGTGTACAAGATACAAGCCATCAACAAGTACGGATCTGACGAAGCTGAAGTGGAAGTCACTGTTGTCTGTAAGTGTTTGGTTTCTACTTGTTTTTATCTAAAAGTCAGGATTTAGTGAGTCATAAGTGTTTTATGTACCTTGTTCATATCCAATTCTAGAAGTAACTATTGTATTTACCATGGTTTCATTGCATTTTCTCTTGATCACACCCTAGCCGAGGATATTTGAACATAGACTGTTATTAATGTGAATATCCTCAACTGAGTGTGTTATGAAAATATGATACAAATATGTTGAAGAAACCATAAGACATGAATTAATTTAAGATTAAAGGCGTCCAAAATATTTGAACTACTTATTTAGGGGGTTATTCAATTTACAGTATCCTAATTCTAAGTTACTATTATTTAGGTCATTCGAAAACAGGAGTTGCCTTACCTCCAAAAATGTAGTGTAGGAAGGAATAGTAGTGTAGGAAAAGTCTATTAAAACTAAACTTAAAATAAACTAAAAAACTAAAATACAAATAATATTAGGTGTTCCTCTATTATCCATATCACCGATTCCCTCAATACTGAAATAGAAAACCAGTAGCTAAATTGGAAATACTATTGTTGAATACCATTATACTACCATCTGAAGAAGCATATTGTAGGGGCAAAACAAAAAATTAATTATGTAATGAATGTGTTAATTTGCCATGAACTGCCTGGTACTCTTTTCTTAGGCTAGTTTTGTACCCATTCCTCCTTCATTCATGTTTTGTATGGATTAATAAATTTTGCCTATAATTTATCTATTGATTGCATTATTTTTCAGCCAAGCCCGGCAAGCCCGAGGGTCCTCTAGAGGTATCTGATGTACACAAAGATGGCTGCAAGTTGAAGTGGAAGAAGCCTAAGGACGACGGAGGAGAGCCCATCGAAGGCTACCTAGTAGAGAAGTACGACCCTGACACAGGAGTATGGCTGCCCGTGGGGCGCACCAAGGATCCGGAGATGGAAGTCACGGGTCTGACTCCTGGACACGAGTACAAGTTCCGGGTCAAAGCCATAAACAAAGAAGGAGAGTCTGAACCTCTGGAGACCCTTGGATCCATCATTGCCAAGGATCCGTTCAGTGAGTAGTTCTCGCTTGTACTTCTTGAGTAGTGCTAATTTTCAGTATGTCCTAAGATGTTGCCCAGGTTTGGGTGAAAATCAATTCTCCTTTTTATCTTTCAAATCCATCCTCAATAGATGATGTCAACGACAAAATCTAGTCAGAGCAACCAATCCCAGCCCTGAATCCAGTTTGTAAGTATTGACCAAATGGTATCAGCAATTTGAAACATTCTTTCCCCCATTAGCTTGTCAAAAACCATTATCACAGGTAATCGGTGGGAGTAACTATGATATTTTATGGGAAAAATCACCAAAGCTGCAATATCTTTTGAACCCTAAATTTTATAGCAATGGGGGTACCATTTTGTTTAGAGTTAAAAGGACATACTAAATTTGGATCAAAATCTTTTAAGCCGTTATTGCAAAAAATGATTTTTCCGTTATTTTTTGGTATTTATTAGAAAATTACCATTAACAATCAAAATTTCTAAAAAAATGAATAAAACACAACTGGAGATACCATAGATTAGTACCCAGATACCAAATTTGATCAAAATCAGTACACATCGACACACACACACACACACACACACATCACTACAAAAACCACTTTTCTGGGTTCAGGAGGGACCATAGCGGATATTTCCACCCAAAACTCAATTTTTTGAAGTTTTGACGAAGTCAATACTTTCACATATGCTTTGTATAGAGAAAAATGGGGGACAGTTTTGCAGATTACAGATTCTCGTGCAGCTTATCACAGACACTTAAAAGATTTAAAAGTGACAGCTTTCTGCAAACTCTGGTTCCTATCCTGGCTTGATCGTTGAATTTGGCTACGGTAATTTAGTGAGCAATAAATTAAACGGCGTTGACAGTCCATCTAACAGTTTGTGGAAAGGTTAGTTGTAGCATTTAACCATCTTTGCCCAGGATACGCATAGTTGCTGTTGACATTCTGTTTTGTTCACTAAACCAGCTGCAATATATTCCTTAGATAACAATAAACACTAAACAGCTGAGCAGATAGTAACAGACGACTGATACAACGCATGTTTACAGCTGTTCCCAGCGCACCAGGAGCACCAGACCCGGTTGACTGGAGCCAGAACCACGTAGATCTCATTTGGAAAGAACCGATCTCTGATGGTGGTTCTCCAATCACTGGATACATCATTGAAAAGAAAGACAAATACAGGTAATATATCAAGTGTTTATTTTGACATTCATGAGTTAAAATTAATACTATCAAAGCTATGAATATTCAAAATTTGTATTCAACTACTCTCTTGTAATGATGTTTAAAATTTTTTCAGCACAATTTGGGAGAAAGCAATTGAGACAAACACTGGCACACCGCAGGCCGTTGTCAGTGGTCTCATTGAAGGCAATGAATACCAGTTCCGTGTGATCGCAATCAACAAGGCAGGTCAGAGCGAGCCTGGAGAGCCCAGCAAGAACTTCATTGCCAAACCTCGATTTTGTAAGTATCTTCGGAAATTGTTCTATTGAATTCATTTTGAGTTGCCGATTAATTGACATTAGGCTAGGCTATTAGACATCAAGAGTAAAATAACAAAATCGTACACCTAACCTTAGTTTGTAGAATAAAGTATTTTTTCCTCTCTGGAATCGCTGTTAAATCAAAAATCGTCATCAAGAATCGACAATTCCTCAATAACACCAATTTCAAAGGCTTTCAGGAATCAAGAATCAGAATCGGTCTTTCCTGTCATACAGCTACTGGATTCCTTGAACGCATTCCTTACAATTAGTACTGTGATTACGTACTGTTATTGTTTATTGTTTGATGTTCTCAGTGGCTCCAAGGATTGACAGGCGCAATCTTCGTGATGTCACCCTCTCAGCTGGAACAACCCTCAAGTTTGATGCCAATGTTATTGGTGAACCTCCTCCAACCATTGAATGGAGGGCTGGAGGCGTACCTCTCAAGTAAGTAGAATGATCACAGCTGATCACAGCTGATTACCGGCGCGTTTTGACCCGAACCTTGCCCCCTCTATCCTGATCCAGCATTAATCCTAGTAGTCTAGTCCCCACCTGTTCAAAACTGTACTCATTGTAGATCTATTCAATTTTACAATTCATAAATCTCCTTTCTAAACTAACAACCTTTAAGCAACAGTCTAAATTCCATTATTCATCCTTTTATAAGCATAATTCCATATACTTGGTTACTATAAATATTTAAATAGCAACCCAGCAGACGCACAGGCAGCACTTGCCCATGTCTGCTGTATTTCTTACAATCAATTTAATTTAGTTTATACAGAAATGTTCTTTTTTTATTCTTCGTCTTAGTTTTATTTTTTAAGTATTTTGTATTAAAAAGTGTGTCATTGGTTTCTGTATATATTATGTGGAAATAAAAAACATTCATTCATTCATTCATTCATCAAATGAAATTTTTAATTGGTATTTGGTATATATCTATCAAAATTTTGTGAATTGATTTGAATGAATATTAAACTTTCTTACGCTGTGGGTTTTCGAACAACGTTAGATGAAACAGTTGATTAATTAGGAATATATTTGATTTAGTAGTTAGAACTTGAGATTTCTATCTTAAAGGCGCAGGTTCAAATCCTCCCAACCACTATTGACTTTTAGCTATGTGATAGTGCTGTAACCTGGTAAATTAAGCCCACCTCAATCTTTATGTATTTCATAATAAAAAGAACAATTATTTTGACGATGAAAACTTTATCTGTATTTGGGAACTCACTACGTAAAAGTCACAGGACATCATAAAAGCCATGGACTCTGGTGGAATTCATTTTTCAATAATTTAGGAAGGTAAAATACTTCTGTTGCAGCAAACTGTTGACTGAAATAATAGGAAAGGTTGACTAAAGGAAATCTCAATTACTTTGATAATAGAATCATATCGAAAATATAATAGACAATAGACAATAGACAATTCATTTATTACAATTTCATCAAGAAATGTTACAGCGTCAAATTTAAATAAATAACATTGGTATTGGTATAATATAATACTGTACAACAGAGTAAAGATATCATCCAAAACAAGAAAACTTATTCATTTAATCATTTATCTCTTTTGGTTTCTTGGTAACATAAATGTGTAAATTAATTATGCGAATAAATGAGTTGAAAAAGTAAGAGATGAGTACATCTCACCACCAAAACTAGAAAAATAGCTTCTGTACTTCTCTATTGGGAAATTCAGTAAATGTTATAGACAATAGACAATATTCGTTATTTACCATATTCATGGATAATATTGCATACACAACAAATTGATTATTCAAGTTTTAGGGTAATTCTTTACAAACATAAGAAAACTACAGTAGCTCTATTTAAAGGTCTCTCTTGCTGCCAGTCTGTGAATCATGTGTTTATAAGTACTCATTATTGAAACACAGACAAGTTTGATTGTGCACATGACAGTGTGTGACTATATTGTGTTGTGCAGGAGTGGGAAGTACGTGACAGTAGACAATAGTGACTACAATACCAAGCTGGTGATCAGACCAGTGCAGCGAGGTGATTCTGGGGAGTACCAGGTGACAGCGAGTAACAGCTCGGGACGAGACCAGGTCGTCATCAACGTCACTGTCACTGACAAACCTGACAAGCCTCAGGGTCCCTTGCAGGTAAGCGATCAATCAGTTAATCAATCAATCAACCATCAACCAATTAAATCAATCAATAAATCAATAACCTAATAAACCAATCAATCAGTGGCGGTTCCAAGGGGGGGGCTATAGGGGCTAAAGCCCCCCCTTGGACCCTGGAAAAATAAATTTAAACGTAGATTTCGTCCTTAAAACACGCAATGTCATAAAACAGACATCAATGTAAATTTTATTAAACTTAATAAGCGATGGCAGGAGTAGTATTAAGTTCCACATAGATAAACTTTGTGGACAATAGCACCTCAATCGAATAAACGCTAGTTATGGAAAGTTGTACGCATCATCCAATTGTTACAGCAGTCAGCTGTTGACATGCTAGGGTAAAATGGCTAGCGAGCGCCGAGCGCGCAAGCGAGGACAGGGCTGATTTCCTGATGTTTCATCATAGCAGTTGTCAAATTGTCTGCTAGCCACTAACTTTACACAAGCATCAATCAGCAATCAGCGGTAGCACCAGTAGCCTATTAATTACCATTGACTATATGTAAACACTAGTGTTAAAGTTGAAATAGTCAATACTATTACTGAATTCGATAATATTGTGACAGATCTATGAAATGGAGAAAAACGCAAGGTTAAAAAAAGTGTCTACTTGCCTGCATGACATATAACAGGTGAAATGGAAGGTTTTAGGACAATTGGGTACAGTTTTAGCCGTTAGAAATGGCTTAATAAAGTCACCAAACTGTTTTAGGAGATTTGGCTTCGTTGTCTACAGTAGGCCTATGTTTTGAAATTCATGAATGCAAGTTCGTCATAGGCCTAGTTAGATTTTTAAAATGTCTACACTTACTACTTGTACTTATGACAAAGACAAATGACAGATGAAATGGGAGATTTATGGACAGTTGGACACAGATATTATAGACATAAATAATGCCTTTGGAAAATCAGTAAACAGCTTTTAGGAGGATATGGCCGTACCCCCACAATATGTTTTGAGATATATATGAATGCAATCGTCAGTTAGTTTTAAAAATGTCTACATATTCATGACAAATAAATGGGGAAATGGGAGGTTTTGCACACAGTTCTAGACGTTAAAACTGGCTGTAGAAAGTCACCCAACGGCTTTTAGGAGTATATGGCCACAGACAATATAATACTTTAATTTATTCCATTAAAGTATGGAGGTTTATTCCTTTGTCTGTGATATGGCCGTAGTCTACAGTGCGTTTTGAAGTTCATGAATGCAATCGTCATAGTTTAATTTTTTTTAATGTCTATTTGTTCACGAGAAACAACAGGTGAAATGGGAGTTTTTGGACAGTTGGGCACGGTTTAAGGTGTTAAAAATGGCTTTAAAAAGTCACCAAACGGCTTTGAAAATTCCAAATTTTCCCGGGGGCCCCCCTGCCTAATTGGTGGGTGCTCCACACCCCCCAAACCCCCCGGTAGCCCCCCCCCTTAACAAGGTCCTAGAACCGCCACTGCAATCAATTAACCAATTAAACAATCAAATAATTGATAAATCAACCATTCATTCAATCAACCAACCAGTTAACCAATCTACCAACATTAAACAATCAATAGATCAATCAATCAACCAATCAGTTAATCGATCAATCAATTAATCAATTCTATAAGACATGAATGCACATCAAGGTATGTATTTGATCCTGAATATGAATCCAGAATGAGTTTAAAATGGAGTGAGATAACCTGTCTACCTTTTTTACTGACTAAGATCAGCTGTCTTTAGTCAGGACCATTTATTAAAATCACAATGATCAAGGACAACTAGGATCCAGTTTAAACCAAAAGAAATTTAATAAGTTTTTTCTGAATCGATGCGGAGACCTACTGATTACCAAGCACGTACTATATCAGCTTAGTAACAGCACATAGCTGACAATCAAATATATTTTTCTGCTTGTATGCATTGACATATTTGAAGTTTTAACGTACCAAATCACTGCAGTCAACATTGTTCAAGTTTTGTGTTAAGTATATTTCTTACAATCTTTTCAACTTTTCTAAAATTCTTTCTCTCAAAAATCCACAGTTCTATCTTTGACCCATAATTAAATATATTTTAACAACTTGTCTATGATCATATTGTATATTGTGTACTATTTTATAGATATCTGATGTGCACAAAGAGGGTTGTAAGTTGAAGTGGAAGAGGCCTAAGGACGATGGAGGGGCTCCTATTGAATATTACCTTGTTGACAAGTACGATCCCCTGACGGCTCAGTGGGTACCTTGCGGCCGACCATCAGAGCCAGGTAACTGTCTTTGAATATCACAAAAACCTCCTAAATTTGGGTTCTAAACTTTATTACTTGATACTTTAGTCACTAACTCAATGAAGTCACCCCGATCAACTTGTACATGGAACATCTTTGCACTTTATATTTGTTTTGAACTGAAGTTTTAATTTTTCAATATTGTGGTCCTTGATGGCCAAATTTTCTTTATGTTATTAGTAAATAGTATATTATACTACAAGGCTGGGAAGCAGGTTTTTAGGGCATGAACATGATAGTTTCCAAGCATGATAAGCAGTGGTGTAGTGGGGTGGGAATGGTGTTCCAACTCTGCTTTTCCCAACAAACCTTTATTGGTGAGCGACCCGTATTTTTCCGTGAGAGTGGTGAGTGTTCCCGCACTAAAAAATTTACGACTGCACCACTGATGATAAGGATTACATGCGAGTACCAATAACACTTTTCCGAGTGATTTATGTATGATACTTTACGCCACTAAACTAGCAACAAATATACAGCATAAGTAAAACACGACACAAACATACAATCAAAACATAGTTTAACATACAAAATTTTAACGGCATTTTAATTGTTTTCAACGTTTTTAAACCTTTCCAATGTATTTCTGGAAGTGCAATATGCTTGTCTAAACCTGTCTAATTTATTGTGGAGCTTTGTTGAGAGCATACTGCAGACATTCATATCATGCCTTTTTGAAAAAGTTCCCTGTAAAAGTTCTTGATAAATTGTCTGCCTTCAGCTGATTTTACAGATTTAAAATTTAAACAATTGTCTGGTGTAGTGTGGCGGAAACATTTTTATACCTATGATACTTCCACTGATTCCTATATGTTTTTTTCCAGAACTCAATGTAACTGGATTGACTCCTGGACATGAGTACAAGTTCAGAGTCTCCGCAGTCAACTCAGAAGGAGAGTCTGAACCTTTAGAGTCGGCTGAGTCCATCATTGCCAAGAATCCATTTGGTGAGTTTTACAGAACTAGAATATGTCTAAAGTTGGGAAATCTTGTAGGGATGGGATTTAGACTGTTTTGGGACAGAACAAGTTTTTGCCGGTACCGGATCCGGATCCGGATGTTCGGATCCCGATAGGTTTTTTTACTTTTTTCCTCTAGGACGGATTTTTTTAAATTAGCCCATATGGCTAGGCAATTTTACAGTATTTTTTGACGTCAAAAATTCATATGGCTAGGTAATGTGACATATTTTGACGTAAATAACTCATATGGGTAGGCAATGTCAAGGACTTTCTGTGTCCATATACAAGACAATCTGTGTCCACATAGAAGACTATCTGTGTCCATATACAAGTCAATCTGTGTCCACATAGAAGACTATCTGTGTCCATATAGAAGACTATCTGTGTCCATATAGAAGACTATCTGTGTCCATACACAAGTCAATCTGTGTCCATATAGAAGACTACCTGTGTCCATATACAAGTCAATCTGTGTCCATATAGAAGACTATCTGTGTCCATATAGTACAATACAAGTAGTGGGACTGTCTTAGCCCAAGGGGGGGGGGGGCTATTATCTTTTTATTCACCCTGAACACAAACTCTCTGTATCCATCCATAAAACTATTTTTGTCCATATACGTGACTATCCATATCTATACACAGGCCTTGTACATGGATACAGATGGTCTTGTATATGGATACAGATAGTTTTGTGTTTGGATACAGATAGTCTTTTATATGGATATTGGATACAGATAGTTTTGTATATGGACACTGTTAGTCTTGACCATGGATACAGATAGATAGTCTTATATATGGACCCTGATAGTCGTGTACATTGACACAGATAGTCTTTTACATGGACACAGGCAGTCTTGTACATGGATACAGATGGTCTTGTATATGGATACAGATAGTTTTGTATATGGATACAGATAGTCTTGTATATAGATATAGATAGTCTTTTATATAGATACAGATAGTCTTGTACATGGATACAGTTAGTCTTGTACACGGACCCTGATAGTCTTTTACATGGATACTGATAGTGATAGTCTGTACATGGATGCAGATAGTCATGTACAAGTACCCTGATAGTCCTGTACATGAATACAGATAGTCTTTTATATTGATACAGATAGTTTTGTATATGAACACAGTTAGTCTTGTATATGGACTCTGATAGTCTTGTACATGGACACAGATAGTCTTTTATATGGACACAGATAGTCACTATTAATTTTATTTGAAAATACATCACCATGACAAAACCTGTTCTTATGTATGAATTGTACTATATAAAAACGTGTGGTGTTAATAGAAAAAAAAGAGAAAAAAACTCGGATCCATTAAAACCGGCTCTAGCCCAAAATCAGATTTTTTCTTTTAATTGTTGTGTAATAGTTTATACTTTATATTCAACTAGAGAAAGATAGGTAATAACCTTTTGGCCTAAGCCTAAATGCTTTTTGGATCAAAATTATATGTTCTAAATAAAATTAGTTATTTATACTTCTTTCATACTCTTCTTATCACCGTTCAGACCAATATTTTAACATTTTGTTTTTTAAATGTTTTTGAAATTTGAATCCAACAAAATTTCAAAACTGATTTGATTTCAAATATATTTTCAGACGAACCTGGAAAGCCTGGTAATCTACGGGCGACAGACTGGGACAAAGATCACGTCGACCTAAAGTGGGAACCTCCCACAAACGACGGAGGATCTCCCATCACCGGATACGTCGTGGAAGTGAAGGACAAGTTCGGCAACTGGGAGAAGGCAGTGACAGTTCCTGCGGGAGTAACGTCTGCTACAGTTCCTGGACTGATGGAGGGAGAACCGTATGTGTTCCAAGTACGAGCCATCAATGCCGCGGGACCTGGCGAGGCTAGTGACCCAACACCAACCATCTGGGCCAAGCCTCGCAACCTGGCGCCTAAGATTGACAGGACCAACTTGATAGAGGTAAGAACACTGTCTTGTGATGAAATCTGTAGTTGAGTTAAGTTTACACTTTATTTTAAAAATACCTTAGAAAATTAGAGCATAGGGAATTATAGATATACAATAAAAGTTCACATAACTTATTATTTATATTTCATCCTAATATAGGACTCTATCAGCGTTTTCTCTTTGAACTACTCCCTGAAAAGACTTTTATAAGAACAAAGTATTAGTGTTATGTTTGTTAATGTGCCTTTTATATTTTTATAGTGTTAGTGCATGATTTCAGTACGATAAACCGAATATATTTCCAAATGAACTCCTCAAACTAAAAAAGGGGCATTGTTGAAATGTAAAAATTTTCTGAAAGTCTTCAAAACCAGTATCAATGTACTGTACTAATATTTGTATGATAGTAAAATATCCCAACTATCATTTTCGTATTATCAAAACTCAATTTATATTTTCTGTAAAACCTATGTTCATTAGTTTAAAAAGTATTCACTTTGAAATATTTGAATTTTGATTTTTTTATTTGTATTATCTAATGATAAGTAGTATCAAAGCGTCTTTATATAACCAAGGTAGTCCATTCCATGACGGTCTAATTCCAGCCAGGTACAGTAGACTCTTGATAATTCGAAATTAGTGGGCCAAGCATATAAATTTGAATTACCAAGAGTGGACTGTACTATCTAAATCTAGTAAGCGAGTATGCTACTGTCCTGGTTTCACTGTTTATGTACCCTAAGACTCACCAATAAACTTATTTTTTTTTCTTTTCAGGTCCGCATCAAGGCTGGACAGAACTTCGGTTTTGATGTTAAAGTCACTGGTGAACCAGTGCCGAAAACAAAATGGCAGCTGAACCGATCAGAACTGAAGAGTGGAGAGAGAACCAAGGTGGTTCATTCTGACTACAACACCAAACTGAACGTGCGAATGGCGACTAGAGCAGACACAGGAAAATACACAGTCACCGCAGAAAACATCAATGGACAAGACTCCGCAGACGTTGTCGTCACTGTCATCGGTAACTTAGATTGATTTGCAATTTTATTTGTACAGTAGAACTATAATGGTTTAAGACTTCATAGTTCGACAGTCTCTGTACTTCAATTTAGATTCAGACCAAAGTGATATGACTCTATAGTAGGGACGACCAATAGTAACCTCGTTGGGTTCGTTGGTCATTGATCGGAGCCCACTTATGGTTTTTGCGAATAACGTCTGCCATTTTTCTATAAATATCTCATTCTACCCACTAGGTACTCTGTCCAATACAAGTCTTTTCAAAAAATGAATGTTTGTTTTAAAAATCTTTTTTAAACTTGACATGTATATTGTTTGAAACCTCTTTAGTCCAGAAAAGGGTCAAACTATCAAGGTTCTACTGTACAATTTTTTTATATTTCTATAATAATAAAAGCCTGTAGAAAACAAGTGGTTTGCTTCTTATAAACAAATTCTTATAAGGCCCCATTCCTTATATATATAACACAATATTATCAAAATCGTTTAAAATATACTAATATTATGTACTTTAGGCTTATAAAAAACATAACTAGTTTTTTATAGCGCAGTGTGATGTCAGACACACATTATTGTTGTTAGGTTTGACTATAAACTGTATTTTTTTGGTACAGAAATGTGATTGACACAGTAAACATTCGTGTGAAGTTTAGGGACTGATAAAGAGTTTTCCCAAGGATGTGATGAAAATCTCTCCACCAATCAGAGGACTATTTTGGCTCTGGAATCTCTAATCACACATAAATCAAACAATTTATGACATAATGAAATACTATTGAAGACAAGTTTTGGTTGCCTAAACTGAATAAATAGTATTAATTTACCGGTTACACCATACCATTTTAACTGAATCAAAATAATTTTGTTCTTCGGCATTACATACAACAATAAAGAAGACTTTTTTTTATAATAGACAGTTTCATTTTTAACATGTAAAATAAATAAAACACATCCAGTAAGGACTTGATGTCTTAGACGCTGAAGAGATTAAAACTGAAACAGTCAACAAGAAAAAAAAATGTTGATCAATATTAAAAATGTATCTTGTATGTACTACGAATATCTCGATGTTTCAGATAAACCGAGTCCTCCCAATGGACCTCTGAAGGTTTCTGACGTCCACGCAGAAGGCTGCAAGCTCGCCTGGAAGCCTCCAGATGATGACGGTGGTCAACCAATTGAGAAGTATGTTGTGGAGAAAATGGACGAAGCAACAGGTGTGTACATTTCTTAGTTTAATTAAAGAAGAAAGAGGTTACATAAGGAGTGGAAATCATCAAATTAAGATACAGACCACTACCTATATTACTTTCTTTTACAATTATGCAATGGGGAAGTTACAAAATAAATATCGTAAGTCTCTAAATTTATGAAATAGTATTTACCTACAAAAGTTTTTGAAACTAGCCTTTTCCTTTCAACTTTTAGAATCAAAAAGATTCACTCTACCGCATTGTTGACTTACTTTACAGCTCTAGTGTGGTAAAGTAACGGACTAATTGGGTTCAAGGATTGAGAGAAAAGAAGTAAAATTGTAACGCTTCGACCAACTTATCAGCTGGTAACAACCATTTCAGTTGTTGATCACATTCTTTTCTTAACCTAGGTGAACTAAACGATTTCCTAACCAACAGTTATTTAAACTTTAGACTCAATTTTATTTAAGATCAAACCAGTGCAGGTGCATAGAATGAACGCTGATGTGTTTTGCAGGCCGATGGGTACCAGCAGGAGAGACCATTGGACCAGAAACATCACTCAATGTTGAGGGCCTTACTCCCGGACACAAGTACAAGTTCAGGGTTCGAGCGGTCAACAAGCAAGGAAAATCAGAACCTCTGCAGACCGGTCAGGCCATCGAGGCTAAGAATCCATTTAGTAAGTAAAACAGTTTTGTAGTTATTCTAAATTGAATATTTCAGCCTCCAAACTCCAAGTAAAGCAATTAAATCTACATTAATCTTCTGTAGTATTTTTGTGCTTGTGTCACTTTATTCCAGACGATAATGAATTGCTTATGAGATAATACAGTAATCAAGTTTTTAGAGTTGATTATAAATTGTCAACAGATTCTCCTGGACAACCTGGCATCCCGGAGATCAAAGACTACGATAGAGACTTCGTAGACTTACAGTGGACCAGACCTTTGGAGGACGGAGGATCCCCAATCACTGGCTACGTCATTGAGAAGAAGGAAAAATACAAGTAAGTATATCAGTTCATTTGTAATATTGTCCTTATTCAAAATAAAATAAGAACATTTGATTTTTTTAAATTTAAACTTATCATTGTATTGGATGAGTAATATGTGTTGCTTCTAAATAATGGTACAGTAGACTTTAGCTCATCCGGATCGGCCTTGTCCGGACTCCCACTGGCCCGGATCGGAAATCTTAATTATTTATTTTTAGCGGCACATGCATTAGAATTCCGATCATCCAAGCTAAACGAGTCCGAGACTACCTCGGATAATCAAAAACTCGGAAAACACGGCGGTAAAAATTATAGGTTATAGTTAGACAAAAATCGTATTGTAATTGGAGGATATGGTTTATTATTACAGTACAGTAATAAGTGATTTATTATTAAATAAAATGATATTTCTCTACCAGTAGTCGATTTATGACCGGTGGAACTGCATTTGCAAGGCTATCAATACTGTGGACCTGGAACAAAATTGAAAAAACCGCTATATACAGTCAACTCTCAATAGTCCGGATTTTTCGTAATCCGGACCGGACGTCCGCCACATTAGTCCGGATGAGCGAGACTCTAGTATTGTAACAGCTGTGTTGGGCAATAGCAAAACATTGAAGTGAGAAATCATTGTGGTAGCTCATTTATAAAGCTGAAAAATGTACAAAATCATTGTTTTGTGATTCACTTGAATAAGAAAATCTTTTCTTCACTCATTTTCCAACCTTGGCTTTGCCTCAGTCGTTAAACTAACACATGTCAAAATGAGTCACTTTAGGTTTTAGTGATAACATTTTTAATTTAACTTTTGTTGTATTATAATATGTACTATGTTGAAGACTTTACATATCATGACAATACACATGACCATAAAGCCTAATGGCCTTTATTTTCTTTTCTAGCCCCAACTGGGAACCCTGTGCTGAAATAGAAGGAGACGTAACCACAGGCCATGTTCCGGGACTGATTGAAGGAACACAGTACGAGTTCCGTGTGCGAGCTGTCAACAAGGCAGGACCTGGAGAACCCAGCGAAGGCACTCGGCCTCACATCGCTCGTCCCAAGAACTGTGAGTTTCTAACCTAAACACGATCGTAAAGAAGATTAGGCCAACAATTTTCATTCTTAGGCTTTTGTGGTTGGTGTTATTAGAATCTGTGATTTTCTGCGTTATCTGTGTTGTGTGTTGTAAGCTGGAGGTTGATGCCACACATTTTGTCATTGCTTTGAAGAAGCATTCTCAATAGCTACGCTGAGACTCTTGGCCTGCTAACTTTTGAAGACGCTGCTGAGGATGCCTTTTCAAAATAAGAGCGAAATGTCTGGCAATAATCTCCAACTGATAATGTTTTTGATGATGAAAATCACTACGAATTCTACCTAACCCAACTTGATTTTATATTTTTGTTACCTGTTGCTATCAATACATTGACTGCAAACTATCTCACTGCACAACTATTTGTGCTCAAATCAGCATACCACGTTTATTAATTTCATAAATTTTCTGTCAATAATTATGTCATGAGCAAGGATTATAAAACCATGTGATGGCAATAAGATGTGTAACACTGAATTAATTCTTTGAGAAAATCAAGCAAAGTCAATAGCTTTATTGTCACAATATTACTTCTCACAAAGAAACAGCTTGAGAAAATCATGACATTAATTCAGCGAATTTCATCAGATGTACATTCATTTACTGCAATGAGTAAGGTTTGTTCATTAAAACGTTTTCCACTTAAGCCTTAAACCAAATTAATGTCTACTCATTTTAAATATGTGTAAAGCAATTCAAAGGACCTAATTGTAAACATAATTTATGTCTCAATTTTTTAGATTTTCCAACAATTGTCAAGTTTTAAAAGTTTTACACACCCTGTAACTTACATACATTTTTAACATGAAACTCAATTTCAGTGCCTCCTAAGATCGACCGCAACGCCATGGTGGACATCAAAGTAAGAGCTGGACACAACTTTGAACTGGACATCCCTGTCATTGGAGAGCCTCCTCCATTGAAGGAATGGTCTTTGAAGGGCAACACAGTTCTCAACACTGACAGGATCAAGATTGTCAATGAAGACTACAACACCAAGATGAGAGTTGTGGATGCCAAACGTAGCGACGCTGGAACGTACACTCTAGTGGCTAAGAACATCAACGGCAAAGACACTGCTACCGTCAACGTTGCTGTGCTTGGTTAGTGTTGATCAGTCTTTATATAGTAGACGAAACAATAAAGGATTTTTTGGTTATCTTTAGTAAACAAGTCATTGTTCAGACATTCTTTTCAGTATAATGGTCCCAAATACTTCAACCAACTGCTGGATATCAGATTTTGTTTCACCATAGATACATTGTCTTCAAAACTTAAACATTGGCCATCCTACTATGGGATCTCCAAAAATGTAATTGTTTCTTAAATGCCCTATTTTTTCATTCCAGATATAAAATTGTTTTACATTACTTTCATACGTCATTTTTCTCTTACATTTTGACCAATCTCTTGTTAAATTTCATCCTGAATTCTAATATCGATTTCGATACTGAGAGACATTTTATTCGAAGAAGAACAACTCCAATAATCCAAATGTTGTTTCCAGATGTGCCTTCACCGCCAGAGGGTCCTTTAACTCCATTCAACATCAACAAGAACTCTTGTCAACTCCAATGGAGACCTCCCAAGGACGATGGAGGTTCAGACATCACCCACTACATCGTGGAGAAGATGGATGCTGAGAATCTCCGATGGGTGCCTGTCACCGAGGTGTCCGGCACTCAAGCGAGGTACTGTGGGGTTAAATCCTGCCAATGACCAATTCTAACGATGCATATGGTCGTAAAACTTTTCTTGAGATAATTGTTTAGAAAAATAAGGTGAAGGAAAACCTAGCCTAAGTTAGGGAATATGGTTTTTGAAGATTTTCCTTTACTAAAAGCTATAAGGAGGATAGCAGCTAGCTTACCTTGAAGAAGTGTAGGCCTGCCATAGAACATTCAGAAGAGACATTGTGCACACAATACTTCATCCCCTGGAGGATTTTGTCAAGTGTATGGGAAGTTTTCAATAGCCCAGCCATGTCAGCAGACATTTTGTAAACTCTCTACCATTTTCTCTACACTTCACAAAGTCCCCTAGAGGACGAAATATTGTGTGCACAGTGTCTCTTCTGAATGCTCTATGGCCTACTTACACTTCTTCAAGGTAAGCTAGCTGCTATCCTCCATATTCTACAATTCAAAAATCTTGTAATAGAGCCTTCCCTGGAACAAAACTAAAAGCTACATAACTCAACTTAAACTTGGGCTATTTTTTATAAATTTTACTGACTAAAACTTCAATAACTAAATCAGTTTTCATTTGTTGACAGAGTTGACCACTTGATCGAGGGTCATGATTACAACTTCAGAGTCAAGGCTGTGAACAAGTTTGGAGAGTCGATGCCTTTGGCCATGTCTTCTCCTATCACTGCCAAGGATCCCTTCGGCAAACCTGACAAACCAGGAGCACCTGAGCCTACAGGTATAAACAATCATCAGTGGTATATCAAGAAAATTTTAGATTGTAGGCCATGAATATAAAAAGTTTCCATTGTTTGATATAAATTGATTAATTTTGATTCATTCAGTTTGCTCCCAGTTGGAACACAAGTCCTCAAAAAACAGTGCCTGAACTTGGTTTTCATTAGGGCCTTTTTCTCACTCCAGTTCCTATCTTATTGACTTTTCTTCTGCCCTCCTTCAGGTTTGCCTTTACCTTCTTTCCCTTCTTTTCTCTATAAGTTCCCATTCAAAGCTTTCATCTTTATTCTATTGTTTGAAAGATTATTTGACTTCATTCTGTTTACTCCCAGTTGGAACACAAGTCCTCAAAAAACAGTGTCTGACTCGGTTTCCATTTACGGCTTTCTTCTCCCTTCAGTTCTTCTCTTATTTACTTTTCTATGGCTCTCCTTTGGGTTTGGCCTTGCCTTCTTTCCCCTCTTATCCCTGAAAGTTTATGACGAAATTTCGGGTTGAGAGACAAAATTGAGATTTTATAGTATGTGATTGTCGTCTCACCTGAAATTCTGTCACACCTTAAATTTGTCCAGATAGCTTAGCCTACAATGAGATAGTCCAGGGCTCTAACGTGTTTGTTAATTAATTATCGTTTCGAGTTTATTGGCTCAGAATATTAATTACAACAATAATGCTTACAATGTTAAGCTTACCTTTAGCAAGTGCTCATCATAGCCACTCGAAAAATATGTGAAGCTAAATTTAGAATTTTGAATAACCTATCGAAATGCGAATAAGCCTAATTAATTAGAAACTGAACTAAAACGTGACTCGGTCGTTATACTTGGTAATCACCAAAGTAAACGTGTCGGGGAAAATTTAACTCGGTCGATCACCAGAGTCGGTACGGGGTTTCTTAAACCAAATTTACGTAGGACGGTCCGGGGTAACGGGGTAAGTCGTACGTAAACCGTTCAGGCAACTTAACTGATTTCCGAAGCTGGTTTAAGACAAAAGGTAGTGTGCTCGTACATGAAAAGGCGTGCGGGGTGCGCGCAACTGCGGCACAGTAAAATAAAAATAATAAAACTTCTCTAAAAATGAGATTAAACAAAATAAATTCAGTAGCACACTAACCTGATGACTTAGGATTCTACCAGGAACGGGGGAAATCTTTAATTGACCACAATTTAGGAGGTTATAGACTGTTGGATTGTCTCCAAACAGCAAGCGTACTGACGGTTCGGTAGCGGGTGGACGACTGATCATGAGGTCCGGTCCGCTCTTCTGGTCCTTCTTCGCCATCGCCCCTGGCGGCGGGGTAGGTAACTAGCGTCATCCCCTCTACGATGACGTAGGACCCTTGCCCCTACGATGCCGCTGACAACGCGGGCGCGGCTTACCCCGAACGTAGAAAATTAATATCTTAAAATAAAAATCGGGTTTTTACCCCTTGACGGGTTTTGGGTCGTTACAAGTTTTCGCTCAAAGCTTGTCTTTCTTCAGCCATCATCCTGCTCTTTTCTTATGACCTTGTTTCATTTCCTTATTTTTTATTTTGCGTTCTAATGTGGACCTTTAAAAGTCATGATAATTTTAAATATACGTCTCCTTATACAATAAAGTTGTATCCATTGCCGTAGTGCTGATTTCCCCCCCTATAATATTATGGAACCCCAGCTTAAGTGATAGTTTTTGTAATAATTTAAGCTCTAATTTATGGTTTATGGTTTTAAATTGCAAAATTACTTTTGTTGTCGTGATGATTGATTTTTTTTATTTAAAAGTTGAATTTATGGATTTGACAAATATTTCACAATCCAACACATTTAAGTTTAAATATTTTGAGTCAATTAAGATTGATTTTCATTTAGCTCTGATAAATCATGTGTGTGTAATGTGATTATGTTTTTGAGGTCACCACAAAATTGTCTTATAAAACAACTCTACATGAAATGTTTTTTCATTTCCAGACTGGGACAAAGATCATGTTGATCTGAAGTGGACACCTCCGAAGAAAGATGGAGGATCTCCGATCACTGGATACATCATTGAAAAGCGAGCCAAATTTGGGTAAGTTATAATTATTTTAACTACAGAATTTTAATCAATTGAAGTATTGTAACCTATGTTTCAATAAGTTCACTGTCCAATCTTCAATTAATGAAAAGTAAGCTGGAAATATATTGCTAAAAGTCACCTAAAATCTATGATGGATACATTTTGTAAGCTAATTTTAAATTGAATTGTAACTATATTAGAAAGTAATAATGACAAAAAAGTTGTTCAAATTCTTCTATTTGATCAACTTAAATTAAATTGTTACCACTTTGCAACCTTAACAATTTAAAATTATAAGGCTATATGTAAAACACAATTTAAAAGTTTTAACTCAAATACTGTGTGCTGGCCATTTTTAAGGTAATTAGGATATTATATGAGGATAGGTAATTAGGATAGTTAGGCCATTTTTTAACAATTAGGATAGGGTCCGGTCCCAATTAGTTTTTAATATTGACATTCTACTGTTTATAGTACCTTATAATGAAGTTTTTTAGCTTAACATTATAATTGAAATACAGTAGAACCTCGATAACAAGACCCTCAATAACAAGTCACCCTTGATAACAAGTGTAATTTTCAAATCCCCTTGAAATTATTTTACCCCTAATCACATGTTATTGCAAACCTCGATAAGAAGTCAACCTTGATAACAAGTCTTATTTTATAATCCCTACGAGAGTCACTTGAATTAATCCTTGTCATTACTGTAGGCCGTGGGAGAAGGCTGCGGAAGTTAGTGGCAATGTGACACATGGAACTGTACCTAACCTAACCGAAGGTGAGGAGTACGAGTTCCGAGTGATCGCAGTCAACAAAGGAGGCCCGGGAGAGCCGAGTGAAGCCTCCAGACCCGTGGTGGCTAAGCCGAGATTCTGTAAGTTTTAATTGTTTTAGTCTATAAGTTTAGATTTAGTATCAAGTTTTTACCAGAAGAATGCAGCATGAGTTAACGGTAAACCCTACCCAGCGTGACAGCTGATTTAATGGTTAAGTTGTTGACATTTTATCTGATTCAACATAATTTTACTTAGTTGTTACTTAAAACCAAGACTTGAAACAAAGTTGAAGCAAACATTTTACAAACTACTTAGCACATAAAATAACTGATTTTTGTAGCGTTTCTAATCATACAACATTATTATATTAATACATACATTGTTACTATAACACTTTATTTTATTTACTTTATTTTTTAAATTTTTTAAATACTGTTACAATGCTAATCACATATTTTACATTGTACAGTATACACTTCTACATTTTATGTAAAAAGAAAAAAAATTATCGATAAAATTGATATAGTTTTGAAATAATTTAAAATGGTGTTACTGTAAATTGAACAAATAAAAAAATAAATTAATAAGTTAATTTAATATTAAAATTGCACAACTATACATCTATTGATAAGAACATGGGAATAGTTGAAGTTTCACTAAAAAGTTTTAAGCTTGAAGTTAAAGAAGAATACACCATCTACAAAGCTAAAAAATTCAACTCATTTAACCCTTTAAATTATAGGATTTCTTTCCAGTCAGATATTATATTTGATACATATATTGACAAGTTACAAATCAAAGAAGTATAAAATAAGAAGAACAAAACAAACTAAAATACAGGTGGCACTGGAGAGAAGAAGAACATCATGATTCAGTCAGTTTCATTTAGTCAGTGGCAGTGATAAGACAGTCCTTGCCATCAGCTTTACAGTTTTAATAAATGTTATCAATTTTTATTACATTATTACAATTTTATGAACATGACAAGTTTCAATTATTATGATTGTGAAAGTTTTTTAAAGAAGCTATTGACATACCTCAATACTATTAATATATTGATGGTTGCATACAAAATTACCTGATGAAGTTCTAAGGAACAAAACTAGTCATACAAACAACTGTGGTTGGATAAGGAAATCACTTTATAATCAACAAATAAATTAAGGTTAGGAGTAAATGATAATGAACCCATCTAAAAGTTTTTTTTTCATATTTAAACAACACCACAAACCTGTTGTTACTAACATACAAACTACAGGTCTATAATCTAGATAACTGAAATGGAGTTATCTCTGGAATAACAATAAATAATACTCGCAATATTCACAGTTAACAAAACTATATTGCTGTTAGTTTTATGTTATGTTTGTTGGGTCAATGGCTCAGTTGGCAGCGCCACGGACATCGGGCCCAAGACAGCGATGTTTGGTTTCGGATCATGGAACCAGCAACTACTTTTTATCAGTACAGTTCACCCTTGTACTGGACCGGCTCAACTCTTCCTTTTGCTGGATGCGTTCCACACAAAGGTCTGTGTGGCCCATGTGGGACAAATACAAGGGAAAGAGGCTACCTACCGGCTACCTATATTAGACATCCAAGAAAAAAAAATAAATATTTTTGTTTCCAAGAAAAAAATATAAAAATTTTAAACAATTTTTCTTTGTCGTAGTGGCGCCTCAGATTGACAAGATGGCGATGCAGGACCTGGTGGTACGAGCCGGACAGAGAATCAACTTTACCATCCCTCTGGAAGCCTCACCCAAGCCCAAGGCCGAATGGAGTATCAACGGAGTTGCCATCAAACCAAGCAACCGAGTTGACATGCAGATCTACAACAACCAAGTGTTGTTTGAGATTCCATTCTCTGTGCGTTCTGACACTGGAAAGTACTCGCTCACTCTGACCAATGACATCGGAACATGCACAGCTTCAGCCAACGTCACAGTTATAGGTAAGTTTCACACTGAACTATTCTCTATACTCTGTATGGTGGAACCTGTCTCCTGACCGAGTGTCTGCCTTGGGACTGGCCATTGGTTTAAGGCCTAGATCAGTCCCAGGTAGATTTAGGGTCAAAAGACAGGTTCTGTTGTACAGACTATAGTGCTGTGTTTTTTTGTGGCTACTGGGGTGATATGTAATAACTAATTAGATAACGTTCTAAGTTTAGTATGTGTATATGGATTGTTCAGGCTGGTGGGTTAGAGTGTAAAGAAAAATAAAGATTGTTTACTTATGTATTTTGGTAAGGAAATACAACTACTTTATTTCCTTACTTAATTGATCATTCCATCAAATAAAACCACCTCACACCGTTATGTAATACAATTTAGATATTCCATACAGGTGTGAGTATTATAAAAAAAAGTTGCCCCCTGGGGGGGTTTTTATGAATTTAATTAATTTAATCAGACAACTGAGGACTAAATCAACCACAGAGCAGTGCGCAGTGGAATTAAAGATGTTAAGTGGGCCCTGTAATTAAATATCTCAGAAGTCCGATTTATGGACCGTGAGAGGTCTGATATGTTGTCCTCCTTCACACCTTCTTTAGCTTAATTCTAACACTTCTTAAAAACTAATAGATGTGTTTATTTGAACACTCCATGAATTGAAATGTGCTACTCTGATGAAAGATTGTGACGTGAATTGACACTCTGTAAAACTGTAAAATTGCAAATAATAATATTGAAATATTGAATGAAAATATTTATGAAACTGTTTGTTCAGGAAATATATATCAAAAGTATGACTTCAAGATGTTCATATATATGGATTCGGTTAAGCCGATTACTCATGAATTCACAACTTGATATTGAATATTATGAACTAAACTTATAAAAATTGCACTGTCAAAATATATTTATAAAATGTGATCATCAACACTCATTGTGTATACTTTGTATACTTCTTTCAGTTAAGCCATTTACCTCTTTAATTTATACCAGATTGATACTAATAATACTAGCTGAAACACAGGTGAATGAAAAGATGGATTTTTGTAAAAATTCTGTATAATGAATTTGAAATTGAGCTGTGACATGAATTGAACATAACTACTACTATTGCCTATTGTACACAACGTTTAATATTTTGAGAAAGAGAGAGTGAGAGAGTTGATTGTTTGTTCTATTGGCAGTTTCTCATCTTCAAAATACAAAGTCTCGGGAAACCTAGCCTTGACAACCTTATATATTTATTTTAGACCACCAGACTCCCCAAAGATGTTCATATGTATATCAACTGGCCAGTTTACAATTCAATGCAACAGGGAACATTACGTAGTCTTGTGATCTACATCACTCCATTGTTGATTAATGCAACGGGGCCAATCGACTACTGAGTCGATTGATTGACGACTTTTATTTAATATTTACAGTTTATGAATTTAATGGGAGTCTATCCTCATGACCCTTTATCAACCCTAGCCTTCGACCGAGCACTTTGTTTCCCCCATTTACTTTACGCAATCAAACTCTCACTAATAAAAATGCGATACTCTGATTAAAAATATTACAATACAAGAAAATACAAAATGTTAAGAATAGTAATACTGGCAATAGAATTTGACCCTTTACATAAAAACACAAAAATAATAATATATCACAGATAATCATTTTTCTTAAAATTAATAGACCATTTCAATTTAATTTAATAAATAATTTTCAATTGACTATAATTTCTAATGTAACTTAAATTCTTTGCATGACATGATAAATTCAATTAAATACTTCTCATCCTGAATTCCGACCATGTGCTCTAGGCAGACCAAGTGAAACATGATATTTTCAGACCAAATATGACATGATTTCTGAATGGTAAAAATGACTTGTACAAGTGGAAAAATGGCAGATTGGCAAGACTACAATAATACTAAAACACAAATAACACAAAACATTTACTTACGTACACATGTCGACACATACACATACACTCTCACACGGACGGAACATTTAAAAACTGACTCGTGGTGATTTGTGACTTTGTCTGACCGAGCGAAATTTCACGACACGGTTTTTTCTGGTGTAGGACTTATTAATTCTTGTTTTTTCGAGCTGGCGTTTAATGATTCAATTGAAAATACCGTCACGACGACCCGCGATTCGCTAGAAACTGACATTTGCTATCGATATGATGCATGTACGAATTTTCATCACGAACGCGAACAATCAATCCGGCATCTCAACTGTCTCGACTTAATACTAATAAAACACACCCCCAAATGCAATTCGGCGAAATTTTGACAATTGCGATCATTTGATGCATGTACAATTTTCGCCCGAACGCGAATTTCCGAGCTACGAATGAAGATATTAATAAATTCGTCCTACACCAGTGACAAAACGCAATTTTACATGTTGACTGCGCGATTACTGAGCCACGAGTGACGAGGACGAGACGCTTTGCACACGGCCCGGTTCCCAACGGTCGTTGTATCCTTCCGCGTTACGTCATGTTGGACTGACTTGTCCATTGCCTGTCGCGGATTTTAAATCTTTTGATCTAAAAATCGGCACAAGAGATAACTAAGACCCATCAGCAACTGTGTTTAATGAACAAGTACGACATTGTTTTCTTGTTTTAATGTAGTAAAAACTAATTGACTGACTTTAAATAATAGCACTAAAGATATGTGAAATTAAAACTCCTTGTCTAGTGATCATTATTTCACTCAGGTATTCATAAATTGCATATGTCTCAAAATGGTCTCCAAATGTCTATGAAAAATTAACTATCTGGAGATTAGACTTACAAATTTCTTGTTGTGAATTCTTTGCAGCTTCTTTTATAATGTCTACTCTCTTATGTAAATCAATGCTGTGTTAGGGTCTGTTGCTAGTGGTTAGCGTCTCGTATAGCTGTGAGAAACGGGTTCAATTCCCTTCATATCCAATGAAAGGATATACACTGCTTTCCCTTAAAAGTATTTGTGATTCCTTAGCTTAAAATGCCACTGGGGTAGACACAAGGGAATGAGCCGGTCTAATGGTAGAGCGAGGGTCTTTAGTCTCCGGGTACCCAGTTCAAATACCATGAATCACCAATGAACTTTTTCTAAGTGATAACGCTACAATCCTCTAGGACTAGCCTGAAGTAATATGTAAAACAATTCCAAGCTAGAGCCTACGTCCTAGAATGTGAACTTGGAAAAACTGACATAGATACAAAAGTGCTCATGTTCCGTTGTATGTTTGCAGACAGACCATCGCCGCCCGAAGGCCCATTGGAGGTGAGCAATGTGACCAAGGAGAGTGCGCGGCTCGCGTGGCGTACTCCTGTAGACGACGGAGGTTCACCTATCCTTCACTATGTGATTGAAAAGATGGATGTCTCCCGTGGAACGTGGTCTGACGCTGGCATGTCATCGGCTCTGTACCATGAAGTCCAGAGGCTTATCCACCGCAAGGAATACCTCTTCAGAGTCAAGGCAGTCAACACTGTCGGTGAATCTGATCCTCTAGAAACAACCAAGACGACAATCGCAAGGAATGAATTTGGTATGTTTATTTATTTTAATAGGTTTTTTTAATGTAACTACTAGGTTTGCTTTGCAGGAAGAAAATTTCAGAGTAATATGTAAGTTACTGTCAATACAATATGTTGAACAACGACCAACCGATCATGAAAGTAAAGTAAAATTTTTCTTTTATGTGAGTTTTAAACTCACTTCCGTCTCTTCTTCAACTCTTATTTTGGATCATCTCAAAATCTCATACCTAGAGCAGTTATAATCATCAAATACACTCGTACTTTAGTTGAAACAAGGATTCAAAAACATAAAACTGTCTGTCTCCAATTTCATAGAATATTTGTAAATCAACACACAAAAAAAATTACAATAATTAAAGTGCTCATGAAATGCTTTCAGTTCAGGTATATATGTCGACTCAATGGGTTTTATTATTTATTCATAATGTATGTCACCAAACACAGATTCAATCAAATATTTCTTATTAAAGATAACAACTCAATTAAATTAAAATTTAGATATTCATTTGATTAAAAATTGTTTCTAGATGAGCCGGAAGCACCAGAAAAGCCGCAAGTGACAGATTGGGATGAAGATCACGTAGATCTGGCTTGGGTCAAACCTAAGTCTGACGGTGGATCTCCAATCACTGAGTACATCATTCAGAAGAAGGAGAAGGGAAGTCCTTACTGGGTGAATGCTGTCACCGTTCCTGCTTCCAAGACTACGGTATGTTTACAGTACCGGTATTTAGATTGTTTTATTTTCATTTTAGCTTATGTCATGTCATGGAAGTTTACTGGGTATCACAAAAACTCAAACTGGAATTTGTATCCTATTAACTAAATCCCAAGAAATTTTAGGATTCCTCCCTTACAGTTTACTTGCTCAAAACAAACTATGTTTATGTATTATATTATCTAATTTAGTAAAAATTATCTTATTCCTTGTAAAATGTAACAATTTCACTTATCGTAAAATAAACAAAGAAACCTTTACACAACAAGTCCATCAATCAACAAATACTATTTAAAATTATCTTGTACATATAGTCTTTTCTTTTTGCTAATAATATGCTGCAACACAAACTAATATGTACCAATTATTTCAATGGCAATTATATTTTTCAGGCAACTGTACCAGATTTGACCAAAGGACAAGAGTACGAGTTCCGTATAATCGCTGTCAACTCTGCTGGTCCCAGCGCTCCTAGTGAACCATCCGACCCTGTAGTGTGCAAGAAAAGATACTGTGAGTCCGCTGACGAGCTCTAAACTTTTTTGTCTAGTTTTAAATGTGTATACAACTAAATAAGTTCAGTATGAGTGAATGACGAGTGTGTGCGTATCCATCTTTTGTTTCCTGATACGTTCCCACTTGCCAGAACAGTCATAGTGCAGTTTTTCGTTACACATGATTCTGTTCTGTACTTTCTTTACAATAGGTATCAGTTACAGTATTAAATCAATTTAATTTAATACTATTAAAGTACAATATGAAATTACATAGATAGTATGTATCTTTTAGGCTAGGATATTTTTTATGGAGTCAAGTCAAATTATTAATGGTTCAGAATTATAGATGTTCTACTGTATACAAACCCATGTTTTATAATTTTGTTATAATTTTTTTTACACACAATCAAAATTTGTTCACTATTCCTCAACTAAGACTATTATTGATCCAAAACAATTTTATTTGAAAATTGACCGTTGTTACAGTGGCTCCCAAGATCGTTACACCACTGAAAGACATAACCATCAAGGCAGGACAAATTCTGCATCTGGACATAGACTTCATCGGAGAGCCTCCTCCAGAGGTTGTCTGGACCGTAGGTAGTCGAGACCTCAAGACAGACGCTCGTACTACTGTCACCTCCATTGGCTACCACACCATCATCAATACTGTCAACACCAAGCGCTCGGACAGTGGAGACTACCATATACTGTTGCGCAACAGCTCGGGAACTGACCAAGGCTCCTTTGTCGTTTCTGTGCTCGGTGAGTCAAATGATTAGAAAATGACATTTTTAATATTGGTACAACCGTATTGTATTGATTTTTGTCATGAAAATCTAGAGAGAATTAAAACTTGAAGTGATCTTGATTAAATAGTAGAATTTATTTATTGATTTCTTAATTTTCTTTACAACTTATAAAAATTAATTAATAAAAGTAAACTAAAAATAAACTCTTTTTTGTTGTTTGTTCCGATGTAAAATCAAGGACTTATGTTAAGTAAGTTGTAAATAAGTCTGTTATTTTTATCAATGTTTTATTAAAACATGATACATTTGTTTAAACATGTATAAAACAACTGTTATTTAATCAGGCCATTTTCTTAGTAGTTTTTCCTTGAATAATGTTTATTTCGGTGCCAAATTGATATTATTTATAGAATACCATGAAACGTTGATTTAAAATTAGATTTACATTATATTTTATTTCAATATTTTGTTAAATCAATAATTTTCCTAACTTCGAACAACATGAATCAAATACATGTTCTTAATTTTCTATATACATTCATTCCATATTTTATTCTAATTTATGGTTTATGAGGTAAAAACTATTACTGTGGAAACTTAGCCAGCTGAAAATCACATAATTTCAAAATAGCTCATTCCCTATATGAAATTTGCTAAAACATCAACATATAGGAAAAATATATTATTTGAATGTAATTTAAATGTTATTAGTTACTAACATTGTTTTCTTATATTTGTGCACCCAATTTCAATAATATTAATTATTTTGCCTTGAGGGTTACGTGAGTTCTTGATACCCGGGCTGTGTACATTTTGAAGACCCTGAGGATGTTGGACTAAAAACCAAGAACTGAGACAGCCTTCAATGGAAAGATTGATTAACATTTAAATATCAAAAGATTTTTTTCTAAAATGTAACTTTGATTGCAGACCGTCCTGATCCACCGGGTGAACCACTGGCGTATGAGGAGATCACCTCCTCCAGTGTCACCCTGTCTTGGAGACCTCCTAAGGACAACGGAGGCAGTGAAATCACGTAAGTACATATGTACTTGTATGTGTAACCGTTAAGAATACATAATTGTAAATTTATGTTGATGAAATGTTCATTCATGGTATAGTAGTACTTGGATAGCCTAGTCCAAATACCAAGGGACCAGTAAAAAATTGAGTTATTTAAATATTCAAATCAGACAAGTTTTACACTAAAGTAGTTCGAAAATGTAAAAGTCACAGTTTTGATTGCACAACTACATTTAAAGGTTTATAATATATCAGCTATTTTTTAGTAAGATTCCAAATTCCAACTTTAAACAATGTCATAGAATAAAAATTGGAAGCTTAAAAATGACAACCACATTCATATGGGAAAAACCAATTTCAATTAAAGTAGTTGGAATCAAGCATTTTCCACTGTATTTTGTGCTATTAAAAATTGAAATATTATATCCATTTGTAGCAAATTTTAAGATTACTAAAGGTCGAATACGTAACATTTTTAAATTGACCTTTTCAGTACTTTACCCTATTAACTATTAAGAGTAGATCTCTTAGTTGCTTATTCATTATACAAGGCTGTGACACGAAATTACCTGTTCCAGCGGATATGTGATTGAAAAGCGAGACTTGACCCATGGAGGCGGATGGGTCCCGGCCGTAAACTATGTCAGCCCAGTCAACACTCACGCCACAGTACCGAGACTGCTGGAAGGTACCAAGTACGAGTTCCGGGTCATGGCTGAGAATCTGCAAGGTCGTTCCGACCCAATCACTACGGACAAACCTGTGGTCGCCAAGAACCAGTTTGGTAAGTCATTGTCATCTTCTACATGTTTAGAAAATAGACAAACACCTTTATTTGTAATTTATTCAGGCGTCAAAATTCAAACATAACCATGGTCAAAACTCAAAATACATAGAATAGAAGGTTGTTCTTGATTTACAGGAATTATTTTGTTTCTTTGGTTTTCCATTACCTTCTTAATTCAAAGAATTCATGGATTGAGTACACGGGTTGATTTACAGCTATTTTTTTGTATTTTTCTGATAGGATTTTCATTTGTAGTGGGAGAGAATTAAGAATTTTGCAGCCAATATACGATGTATTCTTACTTAACTTTGTGGTGTGGTGGATGGAACGGCTGTAGTCTCTATCTACTCAAGTATGGTGGTTGTGAAAAACCTGATTCCTAGGGAAGTTTAGCTGGCTTGTGTTCATTACTAGTTCATGAATGTAGAATTCTAGGTTTGTTAGAATCAGGGGGATTTGAAAGTTTCTCTACAACCTTCTGCGGGCCAAGGCCTGAAAGTACTCTTACATCCTCTTCTGAGCCACCAGGATTTCATTTAGGGTGTTGTCAGAGATACCACCCCAACAAATCAGCCTATACCTTATGTGTGATTCCGCTAGGGCATAGTATGTTGCCATGGCTGATTCTATTCCTCCCAATTCATCCATTTCCTCTACAAATCATAGTTTTCAATGTTTATTTTAATTTGTATTTTTAAGTTAAATTCTGCATTGAGTTACACATTGCTTGACCGAGTTTCTAAATATTCAAATAATCGAAACATTTCTTTTTGGTTTATAGTTTGTGTTTTTTTTATAGCAAATTCAGAAGCTTTGTTATATATTTTGTTGTTATACATCTATCAACTCTATGTAATGGTCTTCAAAGACAATCAGTATTTGATTTTCGATGTTAGAACCGCTGAATTGACACTATCAAGTTAGTGGTCAAAGCTAGGGACTTTTGTTCTAGAATTCCAAGTTCAAATCCTGCTTATCACTAATAGATTTGTTTTACCTATGCGATACATAATGTAATGATCGGTTGTTCTCAAAGCCCACCTTAAGCTGTAGATAAGCTGTAGATCGAAATCCTTCCAACCATACACATATTACTATTATCAATTGGCTCAATAAAGTATTTGGTAATATTACCTTCACTGATTTAGTGAACGATCAAAAGACATTTTTTTATTGTAAGTACAATCTGTTAAGTGTGTCAAACTAGGAGTGCCCCAAGGCTCAGTTATTGGTTCCATTCTTTTCTTAACTATGTACGGTGTGATGTTTAATCTTATAACAATGTTTCTCACGTTTCCTCCAGATGTTCCCGGAAGACCTGGAAAGCCCGAAGCTGTAGATGTTGACAAGGATCACATCAAGCTCAAGTGGGCATCTCCGATCAGCAACGGAGGCTCAACCATCCTCGGCTACGATGTGGAGAGACGAGACAAAGCCACGGGACGATGGATCAAGATGAACAGAGACCCAGTTAGAGGCTGTGAGTTCTACGATGACCACGTACATGAAGGCAAGCAGTACGAGTACAGAGTCAGCGCAATCAACGCAGCTGGCTCAAGCAAACCTAGTGACGTTTCTGAGGTCTACACGGCTAAACTGATGAGAGGTAAAATTGATTTATCAAACATTTCACTTTACACTAGAAAACATTACGTTAGTCTTAGTTGAGTCGTGGTTGTAGTTGAATGTCTAATACTATTAAAAGTACTTTGATAGTGTTCTTATCTTAGAGGAGCATGCTGGGGGGACGCAGGACTTCAATCCCTGAGGTCCCTGAAGTGATAATGCCGTGACCCCCTCTAAACCTTGCCTGAAGTAATGTAGAAAAAAGTATAGGGCTAGAACCTAGAGGAGAAAAATTTTAATTTTAAAAACGGAGGGAAAAAGTACTATTAATAGTAATTTTAGCACAAAGGTGATATAACACGAGATAAGCAAAAAATGAATCATAAAATCCTAAAGGGAAACAACAAGTAGTTGGCAAAAAGTAATAGCTAAATATGTTCCTGTATATAAAGGAGAGATAGACGATTTCAACAGTGTTATATGAATTTCATTCCTTGTTGTTTCTTTGAATATCTCCCAAGATAGGTTAAGTGTAGAAAATAAGAAATTTTGTGTATTTGGAAAATTCAAATTGTATTGAAAGGTTGAAAGATTTTATTCGTCCATCCAGTTGTTTACAATAGGCAATTTTATACAAACTAGTTTAATCTAAATTAAACTTAGACAAACAGAAAAGTTTAAGTGCTCTAAGTTTACATAGCTATGTATAAGAAACAATTAATTAGGACTTAAATCTGTTTTCATAACCATTAGTTTTTGTTCAAAGTTTATCGTTCAGTAACCTCTACCAGTATTTAGAATGGCTCGAGGTTTCAAGTAAATTTTATTATTATTTTGCATTCTGTTCTAGAAAAACCAAAACTGCATTTGGACGGACTTGTGGGCAAGCGAATCAAGGTGAGGGTCGGGGAACCAATCATCATTAACATTCCAATTAGTGGAGCCCCGACTCCCACCATTGACTGGAGCTTCAACGGAGGCCACCTGCCAATGACTACAAGACATTCCGTGAGTAACCTTTACAACAATATGTAAAGTACTTGCTTAGCTCATTGATGACGACTCAAAGGCTCTAGCCTGTTACCGCAAGATAGTCATACTGCTAACCCACTGGGACTGGTACGTTGAAACTTACATATGAGCGCTAGTGTCATCGTTTGCTTATACTGGCAATCGACCTGTACAGCGTCATAGCAGTTCACAACGCTAAGACGTTGCACTGAAGAATGTAGCGTGTATGTCTTTCTACATGCACAGGTTCTCTCGTACATGTGCAATCCATGCTTTGCTAATCTGTGGCTTAGCTGGTGGGAGAGGCCTACCTCAAATAAATGGTGTCCGGTTCGGTTGAAACTTGAAAGTTGACGGCATTAGTGAGTTTAATAAGGATTGTACACATCACCTGTTTGGCTTCTTTTTATATTAGTGTGGAGGAGGAGGAGGACATAAATTTGTCTTTTTTGGCTTTTATTTGGGTTAAAAATGGACATATTTGGTTGATATACATATATGATGAAAGACAAAAAGGACCTAAAAAAATATTTAAGTATAAATTTAAGAAATCTGTCGTCAATGGGTTAAAGTTATCGTAGAATAAAATCTAAAATGAACATAAAGAAAAACACACAGCTAAGTCCAAGGTTATATTGTTGCTATTGAAGTCCTGCTTCACTCATTATGTGAAAGCTGGGAAATCCACTACGAAGAGCGTTCAGGGATCAACCATAGTTAGACATAGTAGTTTGTATATTACATCGGGTTGTGGCTTTATTGTATAGTAGACTCTCGCTCATCCAGACTAATGTGGCAGACGTCCAGTCCGGATTACGAAAAATCCGGACTATCAAGAGTTGAGCAAATACAGTACTGTATTTAGCAGTTTTTTTTTTTCAATTTAGGTCCAGGTCCACAGTATTGATAGCCAGGCAAATGCAGTTCCACAGGTAATAATTTTTACTGCCGTATTATCCGAGGTAGTTTCGGTCCCGTTTATCTCGGATAGTCGGACTAATGTACTGTGCCGCTAAACAAAATCACTATTGCCGATCCGGACTAGCAGGAGTCCAGACAAGGCCGATCCGAATGAGCCAGACCAGAGTCTACTGTACAAAGAAATAAAACATGTTATGTCAATATCACTCTAAAACTACTACACTTGCTTTTATGAGTGTAAATTTCTTCGTCTATACTGGTTCCCAACTACGTTCTTAGTTTCGGATAAGCCATAAAGTACCCTCAAAATTAAAAATAATAAATTCTCACCAAAATTTGGTTAGTTGGTGGCTCAGTCGGTAGCGCCACGGACTTTGGGCACAAGGCAGAGTTGTTGGTTAGGATCCTGGCACCTGCCACTACTTGTTATCAGCTTAGTTCACCTTTATACTGTACTGGCTGACCTCTTGCTTTGCTAAATGTGTTCCACGCACAGGCCTCTGTGGCCCATTTGAACGGGCAAATGCAAGATAAAAGGGGTAGCGAACCTCTTACAAAAACAAAAAAAATCTTGTAGACTGTGATGAATCCCTGAAAGTTGATTCTCATAGTTTAGATTGAATTCAATCCCTAAAAGTAACAAATTTTTCCTGAAAATTTGATCCATTCTGGACACTTTTTAGTAAAATGCATTTTTTCCACCCCCATTCCCAGAAACATCCCATAGATCTCTATGATAGTTACAAAATAATATTCTCTTACTTTTCAGACTGACACCTCGAGTAACATGACTAAACTGAGGGTAGAAAACTCTAACCGAAATGACTCTGGAAAATACACAATCAAAGCCAAGAACGAGTTTGGACAAGACTCGGCTGACATTGAAGTGACCGTAGTCAACAAACCAGGACAGCCTAGAGGACCTCTGAGCTACGACTCGGTAACTCAGGACACCATATCTCTATCCTGGCATCCACCTACGGACGACGGTGGCAGCGACATTACAGGTAAGTTAGTGTGTATTTAAATTTTTGGGGTAGTATTTCTCAGTCATCCACAGTACAAATGTACAACAAACTATCAGCAGATATAAAAAACATTGCCAATTCCTCTGAATTTGAACTTTTTTTCAAAGTATATGGAGCTAAAAATATATGACAAATTACCAGCTGAACTACTATAGCTATCAAACCTTTACTATAGTTATAGAACACTTCTGTTTATTTTGTTTACAATTCAAACTTTTACCACAGGATACATTGTGGAAATGTCCGACTACGGATCTGATTTGTGGAAGCCAGTTCCTGGTTTCTGTCCCAAGACCAACTTCACAGTGAAGGGGTTGACGGAGGGTAAGAAGTACATCTTCCGAGTCCGCGCAGAGAACATTTACGGAGTGTCGGAACCTTTGGATGGTAAACCAGTCATCGCAAAGAGTCCGTTTGATCCGCCAGACGCTCCCGGCCAACCGGATATCTTGGGCTACACTCCAAACAGCTGTACACTGTCTTGGGACCCTCCTGCATCCACGGGTGGAAAACCTATCACAGGTAAATAAATCTTTACACATATTTTGATTTAAATCATCACAATACATAAATTCTTTCCCATGTCATAGCTTTATTTTTAGAAAATTACTTAACTATTCCTCACAGCGTTGCAATTACAAATCATGTTATTTCTTTCCTAATTACTTTTTAGTTTGTTTACTGAAGTAAGATAGTTAAATAAACAATAACTGGTCAAAAATAAATTGAAATAACAGATTCATGTTATTCATTGTGTTTTTTTAGAAATGTATTCATTTCCTGTTGATATTTCACCACATACTTTATGAATATATACTTTCCAAGTACAGCTTATTTTGTTACTAATATATTTTTTTTTGCTGAAACCTGTATCCATTATCCAATAAAAATTTAATATCCTTACACACTCAACTCATTAGGAATTTGTGATGAAACTCCACAAAATTTTCACACAATAGTTATTAAATTTTGTCTTCTCATATAGTTTATGTAACTTTTTTTCTGTTCTAAACTCAACAGAAATCAAACAAAAGTTTTATATAATTTATTTTTCTCTAATAACACTGCTAACTAGAGTCTCACAGATCAAAATTATGCTCGTTTTAGAGAGAAATCATTCTTGTATGGTGGTATTTTATAATAAAATGGTGAAAAAATAATCACCACCTTCCATACTATAAGAATATGCTTTTATTTCCATAAAATCGCACGTCTAACTGGATTTATGTTCCAGGGTACTACGTGGAGAAGCGTGAACGTGGCGGGGAATGGATGAAGGTGAACAACTACCCCACACCCAACACTACGTTCACAGCACAGGACTTACGAGAGGGTTCACGTTACGAGTTCCGAGTGATCGCAGTCAACGAGGCAGGTCCTGGCAAACCCAGCAAGCCCACCGAACCCATTACTGCCAAGGAGCAGAAGAGTAAGTGTTTTGAACACAAAATCCACCAGTTGAAAAAACAGCTGCTTGAACAAGATTCATTTAACATTCAATAAGCGCAAATAATTTTTTTATAAGAACATATGTCTTGTTTATTATTTTTTTTTTTACTTTGTAACACAGGTAACATAACTAATAATAGTGGTTTAATCACCTGATTCTGGCAATCCAATTGTTGTCTTCCACAACTAGTTTCGACCTGCTATTTTACACATACATATATACGTACACAAACACGTAGCGTGCATACACATATGTCCGATAAACAAGCGGACCGGTGTTGGTAATGCGGAAGTTGAGTCTAGACTACAGACCCATACATAACTTTGCAAAGCAGTACGTCCAAATTTTGTTTGATCATTACCTCAAGCTCTACTTTCTTCTTGTGTTCTCCCAAACACACCAATTAAATTAATAAATTAAATATTGCATAGCTATGACAACCTGTTAACTGTTCAAGTCCCAGGTCTATGAAATTGTAGTTGTTAATATCAAGTTATTACCTTATTACTTCCTACTAGAGTGACATTAAAAGCAATAGATAACTGACATGGACTGTATCCTTCTTTACCTGTTTATGATTGAAAATTAGGCTAGAAGAAGATGGAGTTTCATGGTGAAACAAGCAGTACAAAATACATTGAAAATTACAAGGTATTAACTTGATTTACAGTTTATACTGATCCAAAGAGTATTTTCGGGGAGCGAGCTGGTCGAGTGTTAGAGCCCATGACTTCAGTCTCCGAGGTCCTGGTTTCAAATCCCGCCAGACCACCAATGTATTTTATACAAGTGATAATGCCGCAACCCCTATGTTTAGCTTGAAGTTATGTGGAAAATGATCACTGGCTAGAGCCTAGCATACGAGCACAAAAACCCTTCCTCAACCAATTTATTAAAACTTTGTGAATATTTCAGGAAAGCCTGATGCACCAGATCCACCAAAGGCGGACCGCGTTACCCGTGACAGTGTTACTCTCTCGTGGCGTCCACCAAGGCACGACGGAGGGGCCAAGATCAAGGGATACATCATACAGAAGAAGAAGAAAGGAGACGCTGACTGGTCCGATGCCAACACTTCTCCAGTTCCCAATACTCTGTACACAGTAACTGGACTGAAGGAGGGAGACGAATACCAGTTCCGAGTTATCGCTGTGAATGACATCGGCAACAGTGATCCCAGCAGGCCAAGTGCCTCCATCTTGGTGGAAGAGCAGCCCAACAAGCCTTGCATGGACCTTGGTGGAGTACGAGACATCACGGTCAGAGCAGGAGAAGACTTCAGCATCCATGTTCCATTCATGGGCTTCCCTCTTCCTACAGCATCTTGGTTCAAGGACGACACCATCTTGGACGATTCCGACTCCAGGATACATAGACAGGTGGGTCGATGAAATTGAGTTATTTTATCTCAACAAACTTCTCGATGTAGCTATTATTTTTGTTGTGGTAACTAAGATTTAGGACTAGTTTGTATAAAGGAACTTAGTCATCGATAGAATGACTTTCACTGATAAAATCACATGTAGGTTTCAACGTGATCCTATCACTGAATGTTTCAAAAGCAAAGTTTTTTAGTTTGAATCTCAAAGGTATTTTTATTTATTTAAAAATAATATGTAACCTTTTTATAAGAAACAGTTTATACGCTTAAACTTTGGTTTGTCTAACATTTTTAAAGATACTTTTAAAATTTGAAATAATTTCTATTTCTCAATACTTGACCGGTTGAAAGTAACAGCTGTTGTAAGTAACACCAAATAAGCAAAGAATGACAAAGACCTTAGGAATAAATGTGGGCCTAGCCTGTTCAGAGAGGGGGTTTTTTTTTTTGGAGTTTTTTTACCATGGAAATAACTACTTTGCCTTCTTAAAAACATGTTTAAAGAAGTATTACTGGACCATTTAAAAACAAAACAATAAACATGCAGAAGTTTGCTTAAGTTTTTAGTTCGAGTTTGCTTAAAAACATACAATTTTGAGTGTTAAATTTGTTTTCTACGTCTTAGGTCATCTGTGTAAAATAAAACTGCCCCAATTACAACACTATCATTCCTAAAGAGGGTTAATTGATGGCTTTAGCTGACTTTGTTGATGATTTTTTTTTTTTTGTCTTTGTACTTTGCAAAATTAATATTCCTGTTTATAATAGTTAATGAATGAGTTAACAAATGCTCAATCAGCTAGTTTATGTTTGGGCTGAGGGCTGTTGGTAGTAAATGTAACAATTTCTTTTAAAACTGTTATTTAAAAACGTAATTTTAACCATCAAAAAATAAAAATGGTAAATGGAAAACCTTGCTTTGTCAACAATTATATAATGTTACTCCCCAAAAATTGATCATTCAACTTCTTTCTCAGTTGACTGACAGCTCCGCCACATTCATCATGAAGAACTCCAAGCGGTCCGACTCCGGCCAATACCGACTTCAGTTGAGGAACACGTCAGGATACGATACAGCAACTATCAACGTGCGAGTGCTCGACCGACCGTCCCCACCGACGAATCTGCGTGCAGACGAGTTTGCGGGAGAAGCCCTCACGTTGTACTGGAACCCACCTAAGGACGATGGAGGTGCTCCAATCTCCAACTACATTGTGGAGAGGAAGGAGCACAATGCCCCAGCTTGGTCTAAGGTTCGTTTCCTCCTAGAGTGAGAACATAGGGTAAAACTGAGTTCTGGGACTTTTGTTGTGGTGTACCAATAGGACTAGGAGTAAGCTGGTCTATTTGTAGTGCGGGCTTCAGTGCCTGAAGTTCCGGGTTTTAAACCTGCCAATCACCAATGAAGGAGGGGGAATGGGGCCAAGTCACTTTAACCAAACTTTTCAGGATAGACAATTTGAGGTTACCCCTTGTTTTTCGTTGGCCAGTATTTTCAAATTGTTTTTAAAACTTGACCAGTTTTACTCTCAAACTATTGTACCATATGATAATACTCGTCAAGAGCTAACAAACAATGGACATTTTTTACTCTTTGAAATTCTTCCTTTTAAATATAGTTTTCCACGTCTTTCTCTTTTTATGGCTTCTATCATAAGTTTATTTTTACAAATTAACATTTTCACAGTCTAAATTCATGATTGTTAAAAAAACTACTGTTCTCCTACTTATTGAAAGAAATGCGCTATCCAATTATGAAAAGATAGATTAACTAATGAATCCATACATCTATTTGTTGAGGTAAAAAAAGACCAATGATACAAAATCAAAGATACAATTTTAATAGGCTAGTCAAGTGTTACAAGAAGCTTAAATTAGTAACCTCTAATAAAGGATTTTTGTTATTAAATCTTTCTATTACTGTACATGGTCAAATTTTGTGACTAGAATCCATTTCAAAGCCAAGTATATGTCACAGGTGAGCAGTTACAATACCACATCATTCTGTCGTATCCGTAACTTGATCATCGGCCGCAGCTATGAGTTCCGAGTGATGGCGGAGAACCAGTACGGAGTATCCGACCCAGCGACCACTTCTGACCCGATCAGGGCCAGACATCCATTTGGTGAGTGCATGGTTTCAATGTTTTTCTCACCAAACTTTTTTTTAATTTTTTCCTTAATAGAAAGTTATCTTTACACTTATGATTCTTCCTTGTAAAAAAATGTGTGTTTTTGTCTGAATGAACCCTAAACCAGATTATAAATTTTAAGGACCCAAAGTGGCTATTTTTAACATAAACCTAAATTTAAATTAAATTTAGAAATGATCGAGGGTCAAAAACATTCCTGGCCTCTGGCCTTTGTGATGAACAACATTTCTTGTCATACTGCACCATTATTTAAGCTAAGTAAATCAGGAAAAATAATTTTTACACTCTTTCCTTTATAAATTAGCTTCCAAAATTATGTCAGTCTTGTTTTGCTTGTATTCAAACAACTGTTATTGTTATTTAGAAGCCACTCTAACACACCAATAAAATATAATTTGTCAAATTTGTCTAGATGTCGATGTTATTGTAGAGAAAAATATCATGTAACAAGATAATAAACACGAAAAACATTCTAATAACAAGATAATGTTCTTTTTCATTCATCAGGACTGTCTTCTTCACAATCAGCAGACAAATTGTAGATAAATAAATATATAAGTTAGATATAGCAGACATCCTCGACTTCAGCTATTCCTTTACTTAAGGGATTAACAAAAACTACTTTTCCCTCACAATGCACGTTATTACACAGTACAGTTATCACTGCAGTATAACATCAAATTTATTTCACATTTTTGTTGCAAAAGAAGTGTTTTTTCACCAATGTAATCTGACCCCTCTGTCTGCAGATCCGCCAGGTCCGCCTGGGGCGCCCCGAGGTGTTGAGTCTACTGAAGACTCCATCACCATCAACTGGACCAAGCCCCGCCACGACGGAGGATCTCCCATCACTGGCTATGTCATAGAGAAGAGGCTCATCAGTGAGGAGAAGTGGACAAAGGCTGTTCACGCACACATCCCTGATCTTACCTGCAAGTGAGTGTCAATTATGTTGGTCATAATCCGTCATTACATGGTGATGAGTGGGTTTGAAATAAGTTTTAAAACTGAAAATGTATGTCATAGGGGTGATTTAAAATAGGAAACAATTCTTTGTCAATGAAATGATTACTTTGGGTGGCTGGAGACTTATCTGAAAATGAAACTTTTTATGTTAAACATTTCACTGTTTTATACCAGAATGTGAGGGTGATATTTTAAGAGATTCGACTAAGTTAAAGTTCAATTCTTCTCCACAGCTCTTGTACATTACTAAACGAGAATGTGGAAGCTCTTTCACTTGAGATGGGTTCAGCCATGACAAAATTTAGAAATTAGTGATTTTGTTCAATTACTCGAAGGAATATTTTTTCCGAGGATAGAGTTGAACAAGCTTTTAGAATATTAGTCATAGGGGCTAGTAGACACGCAGTAATAAGCCATGTAACGTATAACTAATATTTCTCCTTATTACTTATTACTTTTTCATAGAGTAGTTAAAGATAAAACTTTGAATTGAAGATATTAGGATGAAATATCAGTGTTATGTGTTGTGACCTTTGGGCCTCCAACTTTCTCAAAGATAACCTAACTCTATTCCTTTAAAACACCATACCCTGCCAAATATCTTCCCATTAAAAGTTAACCTTAAATTATTCTAAGTTACTATGAAAAATGTTTTCAGTATTTTTCCAAATTTTTCCTACTCTGAGCCTTGATATGTATTGCAGGGTGATCAACCTGATAGAGAACCAGCAATATGAGATGAGAGTGGCAGCTGTCAACGCAGCCGGTCAAGGGCCTTTCAGCTCCTCCAGTGAGCCAATCTGGTGCAGAGCTCCCCCTTGTGAGTAATTCAATACTTATTATTGAGTACAGAAGAACCCCTCATATCCAAACTTGGAATATCCGACCTAGTGTTCAGCTGTATACTTGCTTCCTGTCTGCAGCGCGATCGGTTAACTGATGGTGCCGTAACCGCGGCAGACAATCATCACTGTCGCTGATAACGGGTGTTGTCGCTGTCGCGGGTGACGATTACTCGATTACTGAAGTCGCCGAGACTGCAAGCTATGCTCACGGTCCACGGATGTTCCCGGTCGCAGAAGACTTTACCGAAGTCGCGGAGACTACAGGTTATGCTCCTCCATATATCTAACCTTTTGGCTGTTCCGACCATGGCCCGGTCCCATCATGGTTGGATTTGAGGGGTTCTACTGTACTTCAACACTTATAAGGGACTTTATAAGGGGCCAAACTGGTGCAGAAGTCCCCCTTGTGAGTAGTTCAATAATTATTAGGCTTATTTTTTAATGAACTAAATGCAAACACATTAATTAAGCACATTAACAGCACATTAATTAATTAATTAAACACATTTCTTTGAAAATTTTGTCAATCAACCTCATATTGTATGTAGTTTTACAATGTTTCAGAAATGCTCGCATACTTTTTAGAATGAGTAATATTCTACTTTATTCATTTCTCTACAATTATACCTATTTTAAATTTAATTCTAATTTGATGTTTGGGCACCTCTGATGAAGCACATGTTTTCAGGTGCTCCGAAGATCACAAGTGATCTAAGCATCAGGGATATGACTGTGATCGCTGGAGAAGAGTTTACCATCACGGTTCCATTCATCGGTAATCCAACTCCCAAGCCAACTTGGACCGTCAATGGACAAGAAGTGATTGCAGATGGCCGCATCGAGTTTAAGACATCTGCTAACTCGACGGTGTTCCACAATAAATGTGCCAAACGTGCAAAGGACTCAGGAACGTACACAATTCACCTTGTCAACAACATGGGATCTGACTCTGCCTCTTGCAGAGTACTGGTTGTTGGTGAGTCGTTGCATCTCATTCAGTATAATCTTTGACTACTAGCAATTTTTGGTATCTGACAATTTTAAGGGAATAATTAGTGGAATTCCAGCCAGGTAGATGGAAATTCGCTTAGTCTGCAGGTTTTTCTGTGGCGGGGTATTTATTTTTTATGGTAATTTTCCCATAAAATAATTTAAAACTCATATTTTCACAAAAATGGCACAAACAATTTCGATTAAAATTTAGTATGTTTAGTATGTTACCTCAAATGATGTAAAAATTATTTTTCAAAAGTTATTGCATTTACCTATAAAAAGTCTTACTCCCACCGCTTACCCATTATAAGGCTTTTATAAAGCTTATGGAAGAAAATATGTGTCAGATTGCTGATACTGTTAATTTATTATGGTTTCGGTTAACGTGGGTTTAATTTAAAGGGGTGAAGTTAAAAGGGGTTTAATGTAGCTGTTTTCTGGAAGTACACAAATAAACCACATTCTGCAGAATTACAAGGGTGAAATGTTTTGTTCAGACAAGCCGCTGCCTCCTCAAGGCCCGCTGGATGTCTCGGATATCACTCCCGAGACCTGCAGTCTCTCATGGAAGCCTCCATTGGACGACGGAGGATCTCCGATTACCAACTACGTAGTGGAGAAGCTAGAGACTACCACTGGAGTAAGTATCTTGGTAGTCGTACTACCGTTCTACCAGGAAATAGATTAAACAGATAAATAATATGACACAAACTAGATAGATAATATCGCACAAACTGCTTTCAGTATCCTTTCTTTGTGAAATCTTTAAAAAGTGTTTGATAGTATGTACTACAATTGAAACGTCAAGAATAATAGTATCCAAGTCAAATATTTAGAACAACAAATAAATTTTATAAAATCAATAATTATTAATTGACAGAATTTTAAATTAAAAAATTTAACATTACCCTACTTAGTTCAAGACTAAAATATTGAGAATGTATAGCTTTATAAATTAAAGAATTAAAATAATAAACAAATTTGAAACCGTATTAGTTAGTCAACAGATTTAAATTGTTGTAAATGAATAATTTAAATACTTAATGTAAACTGAGATATCAAGCATTTATTGTAATTCAAACAAAATTAAAGATCCATAATAAAAACAATAAATTTGGTTTTAATGAAAATGAATCATTAAGTTTTAAATTGTAAAAAAATTAAATTTAGGGCTGAAAACTAAGGCATTTTTATTACACTAATGATTTATTATCAACAAATTTAAAATAATTCAAAATATAATATTTACATTTTTTGTTTAGTTTGCCAAATAATTATATAGAGATAGTACAAGGTTATTTGAAAAACACATTTTTATCAAATACAATAATTAATTGTGTTAAATTACCTGAGCTAGGGTAGATCCTATCCCAAAACCTGTTTTCCAATTTTCACCTTTTATATACTTTTTACAAAGGTGTATGTTTTTGTTACTCTATGTTGGATAACCTGTATGTTTCAGTATGAGAGCCATCCAACTAAATTCAAGAGTATATTTCTTAGAGATGTAGAGGTGGGCATAAAACTTAATTAATGGTTTGGCAATGCAAGCTGCTGCGTCCTAGATAGAAAATGGAAACTTAGAACAGAGAATCTGTACATACAAGCACTATGGATACTTATGTAAAGATTGCATCAGGATTAAATGTGTATGTTTTGTAAAGCGATTTAAAGAAAACAATGAATGTAGGGTTTTTTTTATTTATATTACCTAAAGCAGTAAAATTTAGAATGAACACGTCTTAGTTTCTCTTTACTGACAATGTGTTTTGTGGTCCAAGTAAAAGTAGGGCCAAACATTTTTGGTGGTAAAGTGTTGGAGATATTCCATTCTTTAATCTCATTGTACAGGGTGGCCCAAAAAATAAAGTACTCATTCATGGCAATTTAATTAATTATTATTTATTAGCTGTACAAAGTTACTCTTATCTTAAAAGTAAGTGCTCTACATGTTTTCCACCATTGTTCATTACATATTCCATTCGTAATTATTTCTTACCAGTATTATCGATGGTTTGTTTCGGGAAGGCTTTTTAAATATTCTTTCATAGTCCTAGCTCTTTCTCCTACAGTATATTGAGACATATTACATCCTGTCTTGTAAAAAAATTTAGAGAAATAACAAAACTACTGATCAATCTTATTAACAAGACAAATAAGGAAAATAACAACAATATTCATTGTTTTCTATTAAACAGCTGATCTATGGAACAGCTGATTAATGGAACACCTGATTTATAAGCAGCAGTTTAGATTAGTATCTTTTTTGGGCCACCCTGTGTGATAGAACACTTTCTAAAACAATGTAGCCACTGAGAGGGCAGGAAATAATCTTGCAAACTATTTTGACCATTAGACTACTAATGCAACACTTACTTAAGTATCCATTAAATAGTTTTGAGTACTCTCTGTACTCTAGTGTTTGGGAGAATATTAGTTTAGTACATTAGACAATATATTTGTACATACAATACAATTTGTACATATTACATTATAAGTAGCATGACCATATGAATGTGATTGTAGAAGATGAGCTTGACTGAATGTGCATTTGGAACGTATGCTGTTTTTTACATCAATATATTAGTGTACAGAACTGGAAGTTTCCCAAAAACTGACACTGTAAATAAAATAAGTTCAATGCAATATAAATATGGAAAAATTAATTTTGAAACAAAAAATATATACCCTGCAGCAAACCTGCAGACTAAGCAAATTTCCATTAGTCTGAGTTGATTTGAATTAAAATATTTTCTTACAAATATCAAATTTATTCTCTTGTTATATAATATTGGATTTAAGAAGATTTGCTGCTACAAGAAAAATAAACAAAAATAAAACAATTAAAATATTTCCTTAAAAATATCAAATTTATTCTCTTGTTAAAAATTATTGGATTTATGAAGTACTTAGATTTGCTGCTGCAATAAAAATAACAAAATTGTTTAGTGACATTTTAATAGCTTACTATGAAATAAATAAATTTGCCGAATTTGATAAATGTATAACCTTAAACAAGAAAACTACAACAATTTATTTACTCTCTGTTGAAATAACATTGGAATTTTAAGTGTACAGTTTTTTTTTTATAATTTTCTCTATGACCATTAAGCCTTACAAAAAAACTAAGCTACATTTGAAATATAAATCAAAAAGGTTAGTAAACTTTCTTATTGTCTTTAGTATGGCAGTTAATCACTTTTCAGCATTAATCCTACAGAATTAATTGGGCTGTTTAGAGTTCAGCGTTCTATGCTTCGCCTAGACTCAACTTTCAGTGTTGCACTGGTATTAAGTGAAATTCTTGAGGGAGTCATAGAAGTTAATCTTATCTTTAAATTATCTAAATTATTGCAGAATTTTCAAAATCAAAATTAAACTATAAATTAATAAAACTTTAATAAATCTAAATGAACTATCAAAAACATAATATTTCCCATAAAATATGTTTCATAAGTTTGACCCAAACAAAAAATTATTATTATTTTTATATCCCCAGAAATATGTATGTAATAGTATTTTTCGCCTTAATATGAGCAAATACACATCAATCACATATATGTTTTTCAATATTATTTTTGTCAAAGCTATTTTAAAAGCAAAATATCTACAACATATTTTTTCTGTAATCGCTACATTCAAATTTGCTCTACTGTGTTCTAATCATAACTCAAACCCTGCTTTAGGTTTGGACGAAGTTGAGCAGTTTTGTACGTGGCACAACGTACGATGTGATCGGCCTAGAGCCCAACAAGAAATACAACTTCCGAGTCCGAGCTGAGAACCAGTACGGAGCCTCTGATCCCATTGAGATGGACTCTCCGATGACAGCCAAGTTCCCGTTCACAGTTCCGGATCCTCCCGGACAGCCTCAGATTGTAGATTCGGATCACAGCAACGCTTCACTTATGTGGGAAAGACCAAGGAGCGATGGCGGATCCAGGATCCAAGGATACAAGGTTGAATTTAGGTGAGACTCTTTTGTTAAATTTTTAATACAGTGGAACCTCGATAACAAGTCACCCTAATCACATGTTATTTAAACCTCGATAAAAAGTCAACCTTGATAACTATTCTTATATAATAATCACTATGAGAGTCTTTTGTAGAGTTTTTACTGTACAAAGATTACTTGACTCTTTATTTTTCATTATGTTTGTGGTTATCTTTTAAATGTACCTGATTCATACTTAGTTTATACTGATTTATACTTAGTTCTACCATTGACTATTCACAGAATAGACTTCCCATGTAATGTACAAATTTGGGGCCAAGAAAATAGATGAAGTTCAGGACCATCTCACCAGAGGGTACTAGTGTATTGGGTTAAGTATTAATTAAAATCAATGCAGTATCATTTCAAACAGCTGATTGATTTATCACTTAACACAGAATATTGTCATTAGTTGGTACTATATAAACAGATTGCACCACGTTTTTTGGCTTTGAATTTTACATTAAATAGGAAGTCTATTCTGTTTATAGGTTTTACTCATACAATGGTTTTACTCATATTTAACTTAGAATTTGTTTGAAATGCCATTACACAGTATTACTAAAACTCCTGATACCTATTTTGACATCTACCTCCTTTTCGCCTGAACTGTGATGATAAGTACTACAATTTAAATTTATTTATGTTTAGCCTATTTTTATGTTGATCGAAGAAAATAAGATATTTCTGAATTTTGGTCAACAGACTAACCTCAAAATTTCTAAGTGTCCTTATAAAACATATTTGTTTAACAGAGATGTTGCCGAAGACACTCAGTGGCGTACGGCTAATGACTACCTGGTCAAGGAGCCGAACTTCACCGTCCGCAGCTTGCTGGCTAACCACGCCTACGAGTTCCGAGTACGAGCCATGAACGCTGCTGGCTTCAGCAAACCTTCAACGCCTTCTCAGCACTTCAAGCTCAAGGGCAAAGCTAAGGTAAATGCTACGGTGGAAAATCATTTATAACCTTGAGGGTAAACCAAGGGGTTTATGTGGGTATGGTGAGTCAGTGGCTCAGTTGGTAGCGTCACAGACTTCGGGCCCAAGGCAGAGATGTTGTGGGTTCGGTTCGGATCTTGGTCATTGCCGTGAACATTTTATCAGTACAATTCACCTTCGTACTGTACCGGCTCACTCCTTGCTTTGCTGGATATGTTCCACACACAGATCTGTAGTCTATGTGGACAGGCAAATGCAAGGTTAACCGCTAAACTCTTAAAAAGAAGCTAAGAAGGCAGTTCATAAGTTGTAGAATTAAGACAACATAGATTGAAAATCTTTTTTCTAGAAGAGCTTTAAGTAGGATATATGTAGCTTATTCTTACATATTAACATTGCTCTTATAACTTAACTCTTCTGTGCTTTTGTTTGGTGCATTGGTGGCTCAGTGGGTTTTGTAAAACCAAGACAGCAATGTCTTGTGTTTGTGTCCTTTTGTTGCCACTAATACTTATCAGTACAGTCCATTTTTGTACTTTACCATCTCACGCCTTGCCTTGCTTGATACGTTCCTTGCACAGGCAAATACAAGTCCAATAGAGGATACTAACCACTTAAAAAAATATTAAATACGAGGGTACCTGCGTGCGAATTGCATATTTAATGGTTTTAAAACTCGTTTCCGATGCATCCCAAATAATGCAATACCCTTTTATCTTCAAAGGATTATGCTTGTTTAAGACAGTAGGTGAATCTAACTACTAATTTAATGATGCAGAATAAATTAAATTTGTTTATTGTATATTTTTACCTTAAAGGTTAATATACCTTCATCAATCAGGTTAAATCATCACTAAAAATAGCCTCGGTCACATAAAGTCAATAACAATTCAAATTTGTTTTGACTCTGGTTTACTATGAGACTGTTAAAAATTCAACAGAAGAATCAGCTTACAATTCACATTTGCATTTTGTAAAGAAAGTTTATCAGCATTACTGGATCTTTGAAAGTGAACTCTAGAGATAAATGAAATGCTAGGGGGGCGAATCCCTGAATGAAATCACCCTTTTGTTTACCACTCGTCTTTCCGCTAGATCATAAACTTTAAAATGACACTCAAATCATAAAAATTGGCTCAGTAGGACAGACCGAATGGGTATGAGAAACAAGAACAAGAAAAAAGAACTAAATTCTTATAGGTTCCGGGAGCTCCTGGTACGCCAACCGTGATCAAGGTCGGCAAGAACTACGCAGACCTCAAGTGGGAGCCACCAACATCCGACGGAGGCAGCAAGATCACCGGATACATCGTGGAAAAGAGAGAAAGCGGAACTGCTATGTGGGTTAGGTGTAACGACTACAACATCACAGACTGTACCTTCACTGCACTGAGTCTGACGGAGAACTCGGACTACGAGTTCCGAGTGTTTGCCGTCAACGCGGTCGGCAAGAGTGAACCAAGCTCGTGTACGATGCCAGTCAAGATCTGCGAGCTCGAAGGTGGAGAGAAACCAGAGTTCATTCAGACGTTGTCCAATTCCGTTGTACCTCTCGGACGAATCCTCACCCTGCAGGTTAGTGTTTATATTTAAGTTCACCATGGTAAAAAATATTTTACCAGGAAATTATTCATTTTGAGTCAAAATAAAATAATAAATAAATAAGTTCTAGATTACCTGGAAATACTTTGAAAAAAAGTCTGTGACCCTCAAATGAAAATTATCCAATTAATTAAAAAACTTCAATGAAAGTAAACTGTGTTCCTGGAATTATACTTGTATAGACCTCTTTTAGTGAATGGAAAATTCTACCGTGTGTCAAATGGCAGTAATTTTATTTGATTGCATCGGGATTATTAGATTATTTTACGAGATCTTAATTCATTTTGTGATTATATTTTATGTTGTTAAGCTATGCTATAAGGTATTGTACAATATTGCAATCTGTAATTGGGACATACAACATTTTTTAATATGTGAAAAGGGAGGTAACCCTATAGTTTCATAAGTGGCAATATTTGAAGGGAAAGAATTCCCAGTTTCATTTGATATTTGGTTTTGGTACCTACCACGAATACTAGAAAAGCCCCGGTATGGATCATAAACATAAACAAATGACATTTTGACCCAAAAGTAAACCAAACCCCTATAAGTTACTAATAGTGTTGATTAACATATGGTTTTGTTTACTTTCGGGCCAAAAACGTCATTTGTTTATGTTTATGATCCATACCGGGGCTTTTCTAGTATTCGTGGTACCTACTATATATTCAGTCTCAACAAATGTTATATACTTTCTTCTGTCAAGTCCATTTATCCAAATTATTCATAAAAATTAGTTTTCAATATTATAATTACCTGTGTGTGTGTGTTTTTTTTTTCTACTGCAGAAACACCAAGACAAATTTGAATGACCCTCCTAGCAAGTAGGGTCATTCAAATTTGCGGTCATTCAGGGTCAATTAGAGTCAAGTAGGGTCATTCAAATTATTTGGTGGTTAACTCACTTGAACAATGTGGATTATTTTCAGTGTGAGGCAACTGGAAAGCCAGTGCCAAAGGCAAGGTGGTTGAGGAACGGAAGAGAGTTGACAAACGCTCGGTTCCGCACCGAGACTGCCGGAGGTGTTTTCCGTCTTCACTTCCCTGAAGTACAAGAAACTGACGAAGGAGACTACACTTGTGAAGCCTCCAATGCTGTTGGTTTCGCTACTACCACTTCAAGAGTCAAGATCGGAAGTGAGTCGCATTATCATTATTAATAAGGTTTTATTTGGGGATTAATATATTGATAGGTCTTAAATGTTTAATAAATAAGTTTAGATATTTTTTGCAAAACTGTTGATGAAATAATTAATTTCCTTTCTTTGACTTTTGTTGTCAAGAAGAAAAGTTATTTTTGAAAACGGTATGAATGGAAATTTCTGTTTCCTTTTTTCCATAACTGCATGTCACTATATATATACGTCTTTGTAGTGGTATAAATAAATACAGTGAAGTTTACAGTTACGGGAGACGCAAGTACAAGCCAGTGGTTTCTGCAGTGATAAGATCGTACCAACCAAAAGATAAGATATAGTGTATTATTCATTGTGACCCTTGGTTGGAGTATATTATTGATTTGCCATGTTGATAAAATAGATAAAATGGAATGAAAATTTATAAAACTGATTAAAACTGTACATGCCAGCTGTATTATCACTGCCACTGACTAAATAAACTGGTAAACCTTGATTGGCATAAAGTTAGATTAACTTAACCAAAAGTAAACCGGTAAAGCTTGACTTAAATAATTTTTTTTATTTTCACCAATATTTTTAAGTTTGAATTTCATGAGGCTTCCAGCAATGCTGACATCGTCAGGCACATCACAAAATTGCATTGACTTATTTTAAATTTTCAGACCCTCCGCACATCCACCGATGCCCAGAGGAACTTTATCTGCCTGAGGGTGATAATAACAAAATCAAGATATTCATCTCCGGTGATCAGCCTATGGACGTTATCTTGACTAAGGACGGATCAGAAGTGAAGGAATCTGTCCACATCAAGTACACAGTGTTTGATGAGTATATCATCATTTTCATCAAGGATGTAACCAAAGAGGACGCAGGAAACTATACCATTACCTGCAAGAACGCTTCTGGCAGTGTCTCTGCCACCTTCACAGTGTACATTACTGGTAGGTTTTATCTTGTAGGGAAAATTAGAACACCTTACTGTGTGGTGCACCTTATATTAATAAGAGGGACCTTGTACATTACATATTTTTCACCCATTATAGTGTTCTAATAATATATGGTTTGTCTTCCTAATCATTTTTACTCAGAATTTTGTGTATCCCAAAAGAGCAAAATCTTTCATAGGTATCTTAATTCAATTTAATATATACAATTTAATTTTTTTTTTTTTATTTGCAAATATTTAAAAAATTAATTTTGTAAATTTTTAATATTTAAATATAATTTTTAATATTTAAATACAATTTTAAAAATTTAAATATATTTTTAAATATTTAAATATTGTTTGGATATTTTTAAATATTTAAATATTGTTTGGATATTTTTCAAATATTTAAATATTATTTGGATATTTTCAAATGTTTAAATATTGTTTGGATATTTTTAAATATTTAAATTATGTTTGAATATTTTTAAATATTTCCTAACCACTAGGTTAGGAATCAAATAAAATATTGTTTATTCTTTTTATACAATGTACATTAATAGTGTCAATATAATTTGTTACAGAATTGTAACAAAAATGAAAAAAACTATAAAATACATTATCACTCGTGTTAATTTTTTGTGTTATAAACTTATCATTTAAAAATTCAGCAATACTGTAGGGTGCCAGAATTAACTACAGTTTTAAATTGTTTAAGAAATTACTTATTTAGTTTCATTTTGTCTTTTTTTAGCGAAGTGGGAAGATTTTTCATAAAAAGCAAATATAGGATCGCTTTGTTTTGTAAAGTTTTACTTTCTAGCTACTTTTAGATTTTTTCACCTTGTGTTATAGTTGTGGACTTCTATTTTCTTATCCTTAAAAAATGCTAAATATTTTTTAAAGGGTCATACCGTTAACTCTACAAATTTTAATTTCTTTGATATTCTCCTTTACTGAATTCAACTTGATAATTTACGTTTTACTGAAATACAACGTTGTCCTCAAGTTCACATATAGTATCACTCATAACCCAAATAAAAGGTTGAAGCAAAACTTATAAGACCAACATTACAAATTAAAATTTAAATAATTTACCTTTGTAGTGTAGCCCATGTGGTTGATCGAAGTCTGGATTTAGTTTGTGAGATTAAATTTTCATTGAAGTGGGTGCAGCTCCCAAAAGCGAGCCAAGTTACGGGTTTGGATCTCGTCGGTTCAAATCCAAGCAAGATGGCGTCAATCACCGTCATCAATCATTAGCTGCTCAGTTTGCTTCATCTTCCGAGCTAATCAGGGGCTCCACATGGGATTTTGTTCCGGGTACCTATTTTCAAAGTCACAGTTTCGAGATTTCAGAATGTACCCAAATTCTGCAACGCCCCATAATAGTTGAAGTTGATCCTCGTAACATAGAAATTCAGAAAATCCTCTTAAGTAATTTTTCGTGTTTGATTCCAGATTATATCCCCTACATTTGTTTTTCCCACTTATTTAATTTTCCAAGTTGTATTTAGATATGGTGTTTTAGATTTGGATTTGATTTAGATCTTCCAAGTTTTCCACACTTCCAAGTTTTAGAAAGTTTTCCACTTCTGAAAATTAGTTTTGTTGGAAGTGTAGAGTATTGTCTCCGTTTTGTATTGGTTTTCAATGGTTATAAGTTCACTATTTTGATTTACCTGTTTTCTTCTCTAATACCCTCATTATAAATGTATAAAATTTATTTGCAGTACTGTTAAATGCCTTAGTCATAAAGTAAAGGAAAGCATTACCTCTTTTGCTTTTTTTCAATTGCACTTCTGGTATTTTAGCTCGTAGTATCATACTTTTATTGTAAGTTACTGCATGTTTTTCTTAAGATTTTCCACATTGACAGTTCAGAGATAAAATATTTTTGCTGTTTGGTTTACCTGGTATTTAAAAATTAGAGATGATTTTAGTTAGAATTTTATTTATCAATGATTTCTCCTATAGCGTTGGACTAACTTTATTTATGGTTGATAATTATCTTTGGTAATGCCAATATTGAAATACATCCTCCCTAAAATTGTTTAAATTCCGTCTAAAAACTAAAACCAGAGTTTCTTGTAATGTTCAGATATTCTTTATCTTCAGCGCCCCTAAACATACATAAAAACCCTGCAAATTAGCCAAGACATTGTGGCCTTACCTTGCCAAATATAATCAAAATACCACAAAAAAACATGTTTGCCTACCAGTTCTTTGCAATGGAAAGTTGTGTAATTTTCTGTAACATTAAGTGATAGAAGGTTTAAAAAATAGGGAAGGTTTGAATTTGAATTTTACTATTACAAACAATAGAATGTGATAAAACATAAAAACCATAAATAATTAGGAAAAATAATGTCTTCTAGGAAGAAGGAATGGATACACAACTAACATACCCAAGAAAATAGTTCCAATCAGTAGACAATACAAGGTTCACAACACTAATAATTCAAAATTTTACTCCTCCCAAAAAGCTCCCTCAAATCAAAAGGAAGTACTTAGGCTTTTACTACCTCCTTCTAAATAAGCCCCTTTGTAAGGGTGAAATATCAAATGAATCAAGTTGTGAACTTATTTGTGCTCTCAACTGCTTGAAGCAGATTCTTAGGAAAGTTAATTGTGTATTCCTTCCTTCTCTCTTGTAGTATTCCTAAACCAATAACTTTTTCCAAAAAAAAGCTATACTTAATCAATCAATCAATCAATCAATCAAATCTTTATTCAGAACGTACATAACTGCACATGAATGCGTCATTGTTACATTGTTGTTACATTGTTATACACACATAATGTTAAAAAATTAAAATAAATAGTCTACTCATAGTTTAAAAAATTCCTCTTTACTATAAATAGAATTAATTATTAGAAATGTCTTCAATTTTCTTTTAAACATATTCATACTCAGCTCTCTCCTAATGCTATCTGGGAGGTGGTTGATAAATTTGATGCCAATATAATCTGGTCTTTGTTTAAATTTTTTTTTTATACTTTTTAACTGTAAAATTTTGTTTGTTCCTTGTGTCATGCTCATGAATGTCCTGTTGTCGCTGTAACTTTGATTCATTTTTTTCACATAAAGTATTGTTTTGTAAATGTATAAACTATAAACTGTTAGAAACCCTAAATCTTTAAAATAGTTTTTACAAGAGGCCTCTCTTTCTAAATTTAGCATGCATCTAATAGCATCCTTCTGTAAGCATAATATTCTTTTTAAGTTATAGTCGCTTGTACCCCCATAAATTTCTAATCCATATGATAAATGTGAATGGAATCTTTATTAAAGTTTGACCTTGCGTATAAATTTAGTTGTGTAGTAATTGCAAGCAAGATGATCAAAATGTGATTCAGTCACACATCAACCTTGGAAGGGCTACTAATTTTTTTTCATTTATCCATAGTAGAGTGTGTAAGAGTTATTTCATTTCCTAACCTATCAACCATTCATTTCTCCAGATTCTGATTAGTATTTTTTTTAACATTCAACATTAACTCGCACTTGTTGGTATTTTGTAACATGGTTGTGAGTTGTGCCTTTTCCCTAGGTATTCCTGGACCCCCAGTTGGTCCTCTGGACGCATCTCACATCACCAAACACACTTGCACCTTGGAATGGAGTCCGCCAAAGTACGACGGAGGTTTGAGAATCACACACTACGTCGTCGAGCGAAGAGACGTCAACAGCCCACACTGGATATGCATATCTACATCATGCAGAGATACTCAGTTCACTGTGCAAGGCCTGACTGAAGGAAACGAGTATCTGTTCCGAGTCATGGCTGTCAATGACAACGGAATGGGACCTCCTCTAGAAGGCGCTAATCCCATCAAGGCTAAGTCTCCTTACGGTGAGTTTTGGATGTGCAGTTTCTTTTTAACTCAAGTGAAAAAAGTAAAGGTTTTTTTCAATCCTCCTGAGTTAGGTAGTTGTTTAATCTGTTTGCTTTATATTTTTCCTGATTTGTCTTTGGAACCCTAATTTAAGTTTGATAAAAGGTCAGTTTCTGCTAGATATAAAAGTAGGATGGTAAAAATTAAAAAATGCAAAGAACCTGATTATAGATACAACCAACAAAGCAATCCAGTTAAAATAATGAAAAATTATAATTTTGTTATCTTGTAAATTGAACAAAAAATCAAACAAACTGTAAAAATTTGTTGACAGAATTTTTGATTAATTATTTAAAAGATGTATCAAGATACTGACAGAAGAATTGCAAATTTAATCACGGTTCTTTTTTTTTTAAAGAGAAAAATGGAGAAATGTAGCCATTGCCATCATTTGATAACGTGTCTTTGAATAGAAACAAATTACCTAGGCTGACAGCTTTGGTTTTTTTAATTATTTGCAAAAATATCTTTGGAAAAACAATTTAGTTAAGTATTTTCTAATGAAGGTTGAAACGGCCCTATTCAAGTAGCCAAGTTATTGGGTGATTTCACTAAATTAGATTTTTTTTGTTCGAAACAATGAAATTACACTATTATCTAACCATTTACAATCAGACATCCTTTACCTAATACAATTTATTATAATGGTCATAACCTTTTAAGTAGAGATATTAATTCCAACTACCTGACTACTATTGTATTAAAGAATTTTAGGTTTAGATGGTAAAGTGTATCAGTAAACAGTTAACCGTAATCAGTCGAGTTTCTAAATCATCTACTCTTTACAGACAAGCCATCGCCTCCTGGAATCCCGACTGTGACGGAAGTGGGTGGTGACTTTGTCAATCTCAGCTGGGAGAGGCCGACCTCAGACGGAGGATCTCGTATCCAGGGCTACTGGATCGACAAACACGAGATCGGAAGTGACACTTGGACCAGAGTGAATCTGTCCATCTGTATCACTACGCAGATCAACATCTCCAACCTCATAGAGGGCCGACAGTACGAGTTCAGAGTATACGCTCAGAACGAGGCTGGATTGAGTCTTCCGTCAGCGGCTTCTACATCCGTCAAGATAAAGGATCCCCTTGGTAAATATTCTTTCTTTTCTGATTACTAACTTTATCTGGATATGTTCCACCAAGTCAATTGCAGCCATAACTTAGTTCTCATTTTGTCAAAGTACAGTTTAAAGCTTTAACAGAAACTCTTACTTAATTATTCATTGAAATTATAGAATGTGACCTCTTCTTGGTATCACTGGTCCTTCTTTAGCCCAGATCCACTTTCTTCCAGTTAATTCAGTTTCTTAAACTTTCAATGTCATTAATTCTACATTTTACGATGCACTTTGCTCTGGCAATGCATCAAAACAACTGTAGTAAAAACATGATAAGTTCCCGTTTGCACAGCATGCAAACTACCATTGTTTTCTATCACTTACTTTACAAATGCACACCATTACATTTTATAGAATTGTATTTAAAAGGCAAGCATTTTACCTGCTGAATGCCACCATCCCACAGTGGTTAGAATTATTCAAAGTAGCCCTTCTTGAATTACTTACTTACTTACTGGAGTGGCCACTGGTACCCTAAGAGGTACTTGGCCTCGCCCACACACTGCCTCCAGATGTCTCTGTCTTTGGTGTTATTTTCACTCCTTCCCAGTCTTCTTACATCTTTTTGTACTTGATCCTTCCATCTAAGTTTGGGACGGCCTCGTGGTCTCCTGCCTTCGGGGTTTCTATCAAGTACATTTCTCGTAGTGGAGTCTTCCTCTCTTCTCTAAATTCCTTCTTGAATTACCCTACAAAAATTCCATCTTATCTGTGGCAACCTTTGCATTTATGTTAGATCTAGAACATTTTATTGCTAATTTATTTCAACCTTATCTTGTTGCTATTTGTAAAGTGTAATTCCCGCAACATAATCGTCGTGTGTTTTTGTAGCTGCCACTCCGCCAGAGATAGTCAAGCCTCTGAGAGGGGTGCAGACAATAGAGAACCACAACGCTCAGTTCCAATGTACCATCACTGGAGTGCCAAGGCCCACCATTTCATGGTAAGATATCAAAATTATTAAAGAGTAGTATGTACAGTCGAACCTCAGTAAAACAAACCACTTGATAAGACAATTTTTTTAAATCCCCTTGAAACTATCATAAACGTAAATGCTAAAACACCTCAATACAACGTAGTAATTAGGTTAAAAATCTCCATAAGACTAATTTGTTTGTGACATGGGCTAGGACTGATTAATCTCTATACAACGAATATTCTTAGCACAAAACCTCTGCAAGACGAATGCCACCTCTATAAGACAAATTTTCCATGATCTTAACCTCCATAGTACGTTGTTTTCAAAACAAACAGGAGCTTGTCTCAACATGAACCAACTCATCCCTCTACCTTCCTCAGTCATTGTCTCAGAGCGAGGAGAAACCTCTAAAGACGAATAACGAATAAACCTTGATAAAACGAACCTCTTTATTAAGAATACCTCTATAATAGGAATTTTTCCCCTTGCAATTTGCCTTGAAGAGGTTCGACTGTAATGGAGTTTCTTTTAAATTTTTACTGACCGTCCGTAACCACTCACATTTTTTAAATATCTAAAATATTCAATTTCTTTGATAACTTGTTCATAAATGCTAGTTTGTTCTTCAACGTTTTCAGGTGAACTTGTCTTCTTTCGGTTCATAATTTAATAAACATGTGGTTTTTTTTGTGAACCTAGAAATGAAGCTTGGCACCAGTAAGTTAGTGTTAGTCAATTTTGGTAGTGGACAGCAATGTATTTTGAAGGTTTCAATTCTGTCTTGGAATCTGAAGCCCACGTAAACTAAACATTGGGTGGCTAGGGTAAAATTTGACGGTATGAGAATGGGGCTTGATTAAAATGTGAAAAATAGGTGGGGACAATTTTTTATCATTAACTACGATTTCATACTTTGCACACAATGACAATATCTCTGTGTAGGTACAAGGGAGCGAGGGAGATCACGCCGGGCGCCAGACACCACACGTTTGCCGAGGGTGACAACTACACTCTCATCATCAACAATGTGTACGGTGTAGACGCTGATGAGTATGTGTGCCGAGCCAGCAACAAGGCAGGAGTCAGGTCCACGAAGGCTGAGCTCGTTATTATGAGTAAGTTCCTCAACAATATTTTTTTATGTCCTTTCTATAAGTTCTAGGACGCTAGACTATAGCCTGAAAAAGTTTACTTTAGACTAGGCCTTTACTTTAGGAGGGTCGCAATGTTATATCATAGCTAAAATCTATTGGTGATTGGGTGGATTTTAACCCGCAACCTCTGGACCAAATTCCTGTGCTCTACCACTAGATTGATTGTAAGAGGGTGGACTCATGGTCCAAGCTCGTCAACCGAAGCTTATTGTGCATAACATTGTGCATCTCTACCACTAGACTAGCTCGCTTCCCAATAACCCAATATGGCAATACAAGAGCTGATTAGGTATAGTACTCGAAAATCAAAACCAGAAGAAGTACAGATTTAAAATTGTTTTGGTAAAATAAATCAAAATGTTGGCCAAATTTGTCTTTTTCATCATAACAATAGGTTAGGAGTTTTAATGCATGCTATCAACTATATACAATGTGGTTTTGTATAAAAAATAGCCTTGTTGTAGATAATTAACCTCTCTAAAAAATGCATTTGCTCAACAGCTGCTCCAAAGCTGAATGTACCTCCTCGGTTCCGAGACACAGCATTCTTCGACAAGGGTGAAAACGTTGTTGTGAAGATTCCGTTCACCGGCTTCCCTAAACCAAAGATTTCATGGTACAGAGGGGAAGAGAAGATTGAGTCCGGAGGACATTACCATGTTGAGGTTAAGGTTAGTGTTGAAAAAAACAAAATTCTTGGTTTTGTTAAGATTAAACTTAATGACCTATCATCTTTGATTATTATATTGAATAAATTAATGTGTAGTTTTGTTGTAAAAATTGGGAAATGAGAGAAATGAAACATTATAATGTATTTTCTTTCTCTTTTTGACAAAGTTATTTTTCTTTATTTTATTTTGCATTCAAACAAACACATATACTTCACATTTCTTTTTTCGTTCCAACTCAAATATTGTGATAGGTTGTGGTTTAATCGTGATGTATAATTTCAGGAGCGACACGCCATTCTGACGATCCGAGATGGCAGCAAATTTGATTCCACACAATACAGGATCGTAGCTGAGAACGACCAAGGTGTAGACTCTGCCATCATAAACATTCAGATCAGCGGTAAGTCATCAATCAGTTATCAAACTATATGTAGAGAGGAAAAAGAACTGAGAAAAATATTGACAATTTCTTTAGTTATAATGCCGTCACTTAGTCCAAAGGTACACTGTTACACCAGATCTGTCCATTTGAAATATAATTTTAATTAAAACTAAACACAATTTTTCACTTTTCGACTATTACAATTACAAATACTACATCTATAACCTAATCCTGATTTTTACCAAAAATATCATGATTATCGATAAACTAAGTATTTGTTAATTAGTAGTTTTCTCCCCCTTCCAAAAAATCAAGTTCTGATTCTTGTTTATAACACTCTTCTCCAATTAAACAAATCTAAAACCAAAATAAACCTTACTTAAAAAAGTCTAAAAAGCCTGATTTGTACTGCCCGCCAAAATTATTACACCGCTAAAATTGGTCTGGTTACACTATCCCAGGATTTAAATAATACATTAATCACCATAATGTTGAATTTGTGTCTAGGGTTTTCCTAAACAAAACAACCTCGACTCCAACCATAAAGTATCGCTTTTATTCCAGACCACCCAGACCCGCCCAAGTTTGTGACGGCAGAAGACATCGGCCACGACTCTCTAGCTCTGACATGGAAACCACCAGTTTGGGACGGAGGCAGCAACATCACCTGTTACATTGTCGAGAAGAGAGAACATCCAATGTCTAGCTGGATCAGGGTCGGAAACACCAGGTAAACAAATCTAGTCTTAAGTATATGTAACATTACTTTTTAGCCACGATCAGCGCAGAATAGTTTCCTAAGGTCAATCGCTTGTTTCAGTGTTACGATGTAGGAATCTTTAGGCATTTATTTATCGCTTAGAGATCCAAAATCTTGATGGTATTAAAACCTTGATAAATTAAATATAGATTTTAAGAACATGTTTAAACTGAGGTTTGCATTTTTTATATGTCAATTTTTTTATTGGGACGTTTTAGTTTTCACTTAACTAAGACTAAACAAGGTATACAAAATTAGAAAAGGGATATTAATTTTGTTTAGTTAAGGCTCTACGCTTGGATTATCAGTTTTAGAAAAAAGGTATTGCAGTTAGTTTATCTTATAAAATTTTCAGGTAGACCATAGCACCACAGAAAAAAGAGGAATCAAACCTCTGGAGGTTTTTGTAAAATGTATACTACAAAGAGAGAGAAATCAGACAAAATATTGTGTGTTTCTGTGTGTACTAAGGCATACCTAAACATTTTCTAAAGCTGGCTGTTATAACCCTTTATTCTAAGAGAAAAATTAGCTGAGCGAAGTAGACCCAGCTTTGTGTTTTTACACATGTATTGTTTGTGTTCAGTGAAATGTATTCCTGGACCCTGGTTATATTTTCAATATAAAATCTGTAGAAGCTTAAACAACCGAATCAAAAATATGTTTTTAATGTTCCTTTTATATTTTCAAACACTCTGCAGATTTTACCTAGTTATTCTTACAATACACTTGTTTAGGTTCACAACAATGGCTGTGACTGGCCTCAGCCCGGGACATCAATACGAGTTCAGAGTTTACGCTGAGAATGTTTACGGCAGAAGTGATTCTAGTGACACAACCGGCATTGTTACCACCAAGAGCTCTGGGAAACGGCAGATCAAGAAGAGGCAGTACGAAGGTAACCCTTTATTATTGTGATTAATTAAGCAATTTTATTTATTGTAGTTATTTTTTAGGGAGAGGTGGGAAAATGCATTTATGCACACAGGTACCTGTAGTGCCTGTAGTGTGGGACTCCAACGGGTTTAAGGCCCAGAGACTACCCAATGAAAACCTCCTCTACTCTTCGGACACTAGCCTGGGAACACTTGTCGCACTTCATCAGAACTAGGCCGAGTTTGCCTACGCCCGACGGGCTTACTCCGTGTCTAGCTGTTAATTTCTTACACGATCTAGACCGTGATCTGATCTAGAATGTTCTTTTTCACCTAAAGGATATTCCGGACAAAGTGCGACCAGCAGTCCCAGTAGTTATTGTTATTACGCACTAATATTTTTGCAGAATTGTTCAAATTATTGGAAAAGTTTTCACATGACTGAACAAGTGCTTTGTTTCAGTTGATGAAAATGGCAAAAAGATCAGAGGAACAACGGATGAGAAGGTTAAGGACTACGACCATTACGGTGAGTTCACATAGCATCGCATATTAGTAGCCGATTATTTGGGGTTTGCAAGAGCTGAATCATATTTTATTCACCCCATATCCTGCAAGTTTCGTTAGGGATGGATTTTCCTAACCAAGTACAATTGTCTGGGTAGGCCCTAGTCCAGTGGTTATCGTGTTCACCTTCAAATCTGATGGTTGCTGGTTCGTTCCAAAGCAATGTTGATCTAGATCTAGGATATAGTACAAAAGAAAAAATATTATTTTAGATAGTAAAAAAACCAGAATTTCCACCATTGTCTTACAAGAAAACATAAAAAATGCTAATGGATCAAATAAAAGTACAAATGACAATAAAAGTAAATGCGTTTTGTGTACTAAAAATGTTACACAACTCCTGGTTTTCATATCAACACTAAAAATAAAAATGTAAAAAAATTATCTGTACCAATAAAAAGATAAGTTTCAATTTTCACATATAGAACACACAACAATTAAATTTATGTCACAACTAAATAATCAAAAAGTTTTGCGAGAATTGGTAAGACCATTTATTATGCAGCACATATCCCAAAAAAAAAATAAAAAACTTATAGTGATTGATTTCCTTATTTATTCAGTCTCTTAGTTTTCTTACCACTTAAAACACTAATATTCTATTTTTAATGTGTTGCCTTCCGGATTAACTAACATTGATATTTTGCAAGAAGTTAAATAGGTACCTGTCATGTTAATACTTTGGTAACCAGGTATTTTTTTTTTTTTTTTTTTTATTGTTCATCAATTGGCATGATAATTCCTGACTGACATATTTTTCAGAACTTTTATTGGGGTGATGTTTATATGAAGTACAACTTTGCTCAGTTAATATATCCAAACATATTTTTAAGAACTTTTGGACTTTACCTGGTATACCATACATAATAGCTATTTTTATCAGTTTGAGGAATAATTTTCTTGTTTTTTGTTTTAGTGTTTGACATCTACTCCAAGTTTGTTCCTCAACCGGTTGACATCAAGACAGATTCGGTTTACGACTACTACGACATTCTGGAAGAGATCGGAACAGGAGCGTTCGGTGTCGTACACAGATGTAGAGAGCGCAAGTCCGGAAACATCTTTGCCGCTAAGTTCATCCCAGTGTCTCATAACATGGAGAAGGAACTGATCCGTAAAGAAATTGACATCATGAACCAACTTCATCATCCCAAGCTCATCAACCTTCATGATGCTTTTGAGGATGACGATGAAATGGTCCTGATATTCGAGTTGTAAGTAAAAATATAGTTTATTGTACAAACTTGTGTACTTTGGGGTTCAACCAACACCCTGAAGCTGTAACAATAACTTAACAAATTGAGAATTAAAATTTGTTCCTACATTTATAATATTTTGAAAGTACAGTTCCTTGGAAAAACATGTCAGCACCTATTTAGGACAATTAATTATCCAAATCCTATACTGCTCCTAGTCCTAACATCAAGTAAAATAATTTGACAAAAAAATTAAGAAAATACAAAATCGTAGTACATATTGCCTGAGCCAATCATCCCTTTCTTCACATACGTTTATGTAATCAATGACAACAACTCCTCAACATACTGAATAAAAGATAATAGTGTTGAGTTTACAATTTCATTGTATATGCGCTGCACCAAGTAATAAATATAAAAAAATCATTATTTGAGGTGTTATTACACTTATTTTCCATCACAAGTTTTCAAGTTATTACAAAGTGTTAGTATCTGGAATCTGGTCCCGTTCCTAGCTGAGAAAGTACTGTACATTAAACATTAGAAAATTAGCACACTAATTCAGCCAAAGCTGAAAAATCACTAAAGAAAACTACTCGGATAACTTTATAGTCAAAACAAGAAACCTAAAAATCCTGGAAAAAACAATAAGGACAAGTAGAGGTTACGCAAACATAGACACGTCTATGGAAGGCGGTGACTCAAGTGATACGTCAAACTTGTATTTCACTAACCGTGATGAAAAATGTCAGCAATAATTCCATTCCAACGTAAACTTATTGTAATCTTATATGAACTTCAAACAAGGAATTCCACTGTTATTACTCTCTAGCGTATTATTGATGTTGTCTTGTTTCAGCTTGTCTGGCGGAGAGTTGTTTGAGCGAATCACAGCTGAGGGCTACACAATGTCCGAGGCGGAGGTCATCAACTACATGAGACAGATCTGTGAAGCCATCAAACACATGCACGAGAAGAACATAATCCACCTTGGTAAGTACAGTTTATGAATATATCATTGTCTCATAAGCTTTACAAATTTATCAATTGACAATATGGAGCCCTTTTGGAGTTCTTAGAAGCCTTCCAAGAGCAAAATAGGGTTTTGATGTAAAATTAGCTTGAACAATATTTTTTTTTGCTTTCTTGAAAGAAGGGCACATTCATGTAGAAGACTAGAAGTATAGTTTGAATTTCTATAAAGAAATCTCTTTAATTAGGTACAGAAGACTCGACTTTGGCCCCTGGCCCTCTTTATAGTGGGGAGTAGTAATAAAGTACCACAGGCTAGGATTTTTTTCTTGTACCAAAAACCAATAATAAGTAAGCAGTTTAAGTTTTTGATGCAGGGGTCATTCAGATGGGATACTTAACATGTTGATAGAACAAGTCTAGACCGTTTACATATCTATGACTAAAGCGACGAGTATGCATGTGAGTCATAAGTGTCAGTAGGCTATCCAAATCCTTCATACCATCCAAAGTCAAAACTAAGATCTGGAGTAGATAAATTATACATTATTTATATACTGAGCAGTTTAATTGATCTTTATATTTTGGTACTTTTTCACCAAACCAAATATTTGAAAAATTTCCCTAAAAAACTATGTTTTATAAACATAATGTTATCTTCTTAGTAGATGAATTATTTTTTGATAATTTTTTAGACAAAAACAAAAACTCACTTCCAAGATGTCCCTTCTAAGATTTTTTTTACGCAAAAATCAATTTACTTAAAATATCTTCTTCTCTCTCCAGACATCAAGCCAGAGAACATTATGTGCCAAACTAAGAACAGCACAAACGTCAAGCTCATAGACTTCGGCCTCGCCACCAAACTGGATCCCAATGAGGTGGTGAAGATCTCAACAGGAACTGCGGAATTCGCTGCTCCTGAGATTGTCGAGCGAGAACCTGTCGGCTTCTACACAGACATGTGGGCCGTCGGTGTACTGGCTTATGTCTTGTAAGTAACATATGGTTATCAGCTAGCAGCTATCTCGTTTGCAACAAACCAGGAGACTTGTAGGATATACAGTAGACCCCCGATTATCCACGATAATGAGTGGATAAGTGATCGTGGATAATCAAAATAGTGGATAATACAAACCTAATCTAAAATGCCCGGGAAATAACTAACACTGGGCTAAAATATAGATTTAGGTTATATTGAAATATGTTATATGTTCATTCTATTTACTAAACAAATAATGTTAGAGAGGTCATTTATAAGCCTTGTAATAACAAAAATGAAAACACAAAAAATGTAACTTATCAACTCATTGGTTGTAAACCTATCATTAAGAAGCATAAAAGTTCTAAACTTGACTACCAGGTAGCAGCACTTGTTAATTAAAGTGTACAGCTGTTTTGTTAAGTTACTCATGTATTATTAATGTGGAAGTTTTGTACGATACCCCGATATCTGACATATTAGTCTTTGGAGCTAAAAAAATTAATTAACTAATGACTTTAGTGTTGAACCAATAAAATATTTGAATGTCAAAGTAGAAAGATGTAATATTCACTTATCGTCATGTATAACACAATAATTTCAATTTTTATTTTCTAGATTGAGTGGATTATCACCATTTGCGGGCGAGAACGACATTGAAACATTGAAGAACGTCAAGAATTGTGATTGGGACTTCGATGAAGAGGCCTTTGCAAATGTATCTACCGAAGGAAAAGACTTTATTAAAAGACTATTAGTGAAAAATAAAGAGTAAGTTTGTGCTCTTTGATCTCTATGGATAAATTATGAGTAATTTTATCGATTTACTCATATATTACTTACATTATTGGTTTATAGCTTAGTTTTTGTAATATTTTTAATATAACTCATATTTTAGATGTGTAACCAATAACTATTCTTTACCTTCTCACAGAAGTAATAAATTAAGATTTTTTTGCATTTTTTAACATGTGCCTTCTGCATTGCCTTGCAAACCTCTATAACCTCATCAAGTTTATTTTCATCTCACTTCTGCAGTCTTTCCGTCCTGCTCCTGTTTCATTCTTTTGATTCATCCAGCATCTTCCACTCCGATCTCTACCTACATCTCCCTTTTAACTTAACATCTCAATCCATCTCTACAGAATCCATCTCTTAACATTGTTGCTCTAAAATATCAAACAAGACATCAAGTATCTTAAGACAATATTAACGATTACTAGTATCGAATATATAATAATATTATAATATGGGGAGCGAGCTGGTGTAGTGGCTAGAGCGCGGGACTTCAGTCCCTGAGGTCCCGGGTTCGATCCCCGCCAAGTCACCAATGGACTTTATCCAAGTGATAATGTCGCAACCCCTAGGTCTAGCCTGAACTAATGTGAAAAACAATCCCAGGCTCGTGCCTAGCGTCCTAGGACAAAAAATAAAAACAAAAAAAACAAAAAAAAAACTAGTATTGAATATAGTTAGTAGTTTTATCAACAGGGATGGTCAAACCACTAATACTAAACAATGTTTGTAGAAAGAGAATGACAGCCCATGAGTGTCTTTTACATTCCTGGTTGACCGGTGACCACAGCAACCGATCAGCCGAAATCAACCGATCTCGGTACCTCAAGATGCAGAGCAAGATCCGCAGCAAGTACGAACACTGGGAAGACTTTGTGCTGCCTCTCGGACGGCTTTCCGAGTACAGTAGTCTGCGGAAACTGCTCATTGAAAAATACCGCATACAAGAGACATCATTCGGTAAACATACAATTTTAACTTTTTTCATAGAAGTGCTAGACACAGACAATAGAAAACGAATAAAAATAAAACATATATATTTATATGTATAAAATTTTGTGTGTGTAAGTTAGGCCTTTGGTTGATAGAAGTAGACCCATTTCCATCTTCAAGTTGCAGCCCTTTTTTAGAATAAAAATTATTTTAGTTTAATATAACCACTAATTGTATGCACTGATGTCAGTTAATCGTTTCTCAACTCAAACTTTAAACTGAGAGTATTATAAGTACAAATTAATGTAAAAGTTTTTACGCCACACTACATTATTTTGACGAACTTCCCACGCAAGGATTTAGTCCAGAAAACAGCTGTTTGCCGCCAGCTTATTCAAATGGGGTTTCATTGCGTACTACTGTGCTGCAATGAGTTTTGCCGGACACCAATCAGCTGATTGTACTGTATTTAGGTGGCAGTGAGTGGTTATAAACAAAAACATAACCTGTCTTAGAGGTTATGACTAGTGATTTTTAGTCCTTTAGTTGGTGGAAATATATAAGGATTTGTACGGATTTAGTAGTATGGCGTAAACTATCGTACGTAACTCGTCCAAAATGTGTGTACCGGACTCGTATGGTAATCCCGTACTCGACTTCGTCTCGCACGGGAACGACCACACTCGTCCGGTAAACACTTATTTTCAGGACTAGTAACGTAATATACTATAACGATCATATGATTAAAAACTGAGAGAGGAAAGATAATTTTTAGGGTAGCAAACTCAGTATGTTGTTCATTCTGTTATGTTCTTTTGGGATAAAATATTGGCTAAAGTTGATCCATAAAGATAGAATGTCTACTTGAGAATTCAAAAGTCAATTATTTAACTTTTAAAATGTATTGTAAATTCACAATCAGAAGAATTAAAAAGTCTTAAAGTGACTATTGAATAAATAATGAAGTAAACATAAAAAAATAATTGGGTTCTTGAGATATATCTGTTGATCTACACTAATCTTTCACTCCTACTTTTGTTTATTTTTTTTGAATTCTTTGTATTATCAAACAGTTAATGAATTGTCATGGAATACATGAATATATTTGTTCTCAACTTCTTGCTAATAATCTGTTGGTATTTTTCAGATCGTCGGCAAGCGGCACCGAGGTTCGTAATCAAACCTAACAGTGCGTTTGCCTACGAGGGACAGAGTGTTAAGTTCTACTGCCGTGTGATAGCCGTAGCAACTCCTACCCTCTCCTGGTTCCACAACAACCAAGAGCTTAGGCAAAGTGTCAAGTTCATGAAGCGATACACACAAGACGACTACAGCTTCATCATCAACAGGGTTAAGTTGGAAGACAGAGGAGAGTACATCATCCGAGCGGAGAACCACTACGGATACAGGGAAGAAGTTGTCTTCCTCAACGTACAACGTGAGTCCCTTTTCCCCTTTATTGTTCTTATTGTTGCAAACAATAATATTAACAACCAAACGAAAAATTTTGTATTGTGTCAAAATAAATACATACTTTTAAGCTTTTCTTAATCAGAACAAGTAACCTAAATTACTTGTCAAGCTGAAACGCTCGTTTCTTTAGACAAAAATAAAAAACTATGATTGCCCACTTTAAGATAACATGATTACAGAATGCATCAAGATCTATGTGATGATGGGAGGGTGCGTACATTTTTCACAGGGACTCATAAGTAAAGTATTTGTCAGCGTAGCGTTTCGATGAATGTCCATCGTGTTTTTTGAAATGAGGATTCCCTTATGTAATTATACAAGAATGTTTTACTTATATGAATTTTTTGAGGTCCTTATAGGTCCGTATCTAAAGTCTGGTTGAAAGTCAACAAGTTGTTGATTCAGCTACCGCTGTTGGTAGGGTTAGCGGATGCCACTAAGTCATGATTGCATGGTGTACAAATGTTGACATTCTGATTATCTATTGAGTGTAATTATCTATCAAAATCTTCGTAGATTTCCCCATATCTACAAGAAGCTAAACGTATCACTTTCAAAGCACAACTGAAGACTAAATGAGGACCCATCAGCGAGTCAATACTCAATCATTTTATTTGCAATACGTATAACCAAACTTTGAACTTTTTCTATCTTACACCAATCAGGAAATCATCTAAGACCTATTTTCATACAACTTTAGCTACTTGTACTTGGACGTAACATACAGCAAAGAGCCTAGGTTTTTTAAGTAATTTTGTGAGAATATCAGGCGTACCTGAATGGAAAGAGTCTACTCTGGCACAAGAGTCAACTCTACACTATACACATTTTGTTGTCTCAAAACCAGTGTTTACATTATGAATTTTCTTGCAGCTCTGCCAAAGACTGTGCCCTTGTACAAACCAGAGATGCACCCAGTGAGGAGAAGAGAACCTCTGCCATACACGTTCTGGCAGGAGGAGACAGAAAGTGCGCCTTGCTTTACATTCCTGCTGCGGCCCCGAGTCATGCAGTTCCGTCAAACTTGCAAGCTGCTTTGCTGTCTCAGTGGAAAACCTGTTCCTACGGTGAGATGTTCAATGACTTGTCTAGGTTGCCGAGTGGTTATAGTGCTGAAATTCTGAAAGTTGCTGGTTCGGTTCTAAGCAAGATTGCAACTGGACAGTGCCACTAGGCTGAATCGGTCTAGAGCCGCAGTGTTTTGTAAAAAAAACTTTCCCCAACAAAAATGTAATTTAAATTTTTGGAAATTAATAATTTACCATAATTACGAGAGATGCTCATGATTTCACCACAGTTGCAAGGAAGCTCCACCAGGGTTGCCGCCTTAGTTTAGGGAAAAATCAGGAAAAGCCCCCCTCTCACCCGGATTAACATAGGCTTAAAACGGGCATAAGGAACCAAAATCGTTACTGTCTCGACAAAATCGGCAACCCTGAGCTCCACTCATTCCATTTAAGGGACGATGGCCTCTCGGGTTAGTTTGGCCTAGGGCCGCTAGTACCCTAAATCCGGTACTGACCAGGACCCAGATGCCGTTTGTCATTAGACTATCAATTAATGATGCTATCTAAAAGGTCGATGTTAGATGGTAACAAGCCTAAGTTTGGGCCATTTCCCAATAAACATCTTGAAAAATGCCACAGGCATGGATGTACTTGAAATGTAATAATAATAATATATAAAAATCTCCTTGAGTTTCATTTGTCAGGTAATTTATACAAAGATTTTGCACTAGACATTGTTAAGCTGTAAAATATTTTTGTTAGAGGTGAACGGTGTGTAAATGATCCTATTTGGAAGCATTCATATAATAAATTATATAACTAAAAGTGTAAAAAAAATTCTTCCAGATGTTTTGGGATAATTGTAATGTCATCTGTTTTGAAAATTCTGAACCTAACGATTTAATGTGACATTTTTCAGGTCAAATGGTTCAAGGGATCAAGAGAACTTTCAAAGTACGAGTACACGATGACACACTCGGATGGTGTGGTAACCATGGAGATCGTGGACTGCAAGCCTGAGGACTCGGGCAAATACCGTTGTGTCGCCACCAACGTACACGGAACTGACGAAACCAGCTGTGTCGTTATTGTGGAAGGTAGAAAATATTCTGGATAGTAACCATGACGATTAATACTCAAAGTTAATTCTGGGTTGGTCAGGACTCCTTGGTTACCTTACTGCGAGAACCTGAGTTTCTTTGGAACCTTGATGGTTTTATTGAGATTTGTTTTTTTTTTTAAGGATTGTGGCTCCCAAAGTATGTCATGGTCACTCCAAATGTTAATAAAACAGATCAAGTACAACAAATAATTATTATGTGAAGTTGAGTACTGTTTAAATTAAAACAAATATAGTAACATTTACTATGGTTGCTGGTTGTGTAATAATTTAAATTAATGATGTGTCAACTGTCAAGTCCCCTATAGAATAATCAGTTTTCAGGGGGTTTGAGAGGTTTGTATTTTATTTTTTCAAGAAACTAAAACTTGTTTGGAATTCTTTATGTTTTTTTAGAAACAGATTTCGCTCTCTGCCTTAACAGACCATCATATTATGTATGCAGTGCATACCAAAATTATATTTCCTGGTTATATTTCTGTTATATTATGTTGACTGACGAATTTGGACTTAAATCCAATTCACATAAGATTTTCCAATTTTTAAGCCAAGAGAACCACTAAGAGAAAAGAGTTTTCTCAAATGTGAGTTATTTATCTACAGGAAAACATTGAGTACTTAAAGTAGTCACAAGTGTCTAGTAATTGAGTATACTTCCCAAATAACTCGATAATTTGCAAAAAAAATCATAAATACTACTTTCATTTCAATACTTTGTCATTTCAATTTACTCCTGTTTAAATATTACAATAGTTGTCATTTAAATTTTTACTTTTGTTAATCATGTTTAGCGATGACAATGCATGGTAATAAATAGTTTTAAAAGTAAATAAATTGGGCTAAGTGGCCAGATAAAGGAATCATATATTTGATTCTAATTCAACCTTGTTATTTAACTTTTGTCTTCAAAAACTTATCCATGCTCTTACAAAAGATTCTGACAGTTTTGCGTGGAAGCTCTGAGAAAATGTTTAACGTTTAACATAAAATTTACTTAACCTTATTGTTAAGTGTAATTTTTCATTAACAAATTTCTGTTCTATCTTGGCTCTTTGGCCCAATAGTTTACTTTGACTTAATTCAATTTAATTTTCACTCTCTCTGGCTGCAATTTGAATGTTAATTATTTCAGCTGCTTGAATAACTTTTGCACTCAAGGAGCTTAGTTAGCCATATTTAGTGTCTTGGCTTTTCTTTTATTGCACTCTTTACGCCTAAGATGTTAATAGTTATTTCCTCTTTCTTTCTGTAGCTTTCATCTACTCGAATCTTAATAAATTTGTTATAATCTTAAATTTTACGATCATAATTAACTTTCAATATTAACTTTTCTAAAATATAACAATTTTATTCAGTTGAGACACTGAATTCACCTCAGATAAGGTTGTAATGTTAGAAGGTTTTTTGCCGTGCAGTTAAGATTTGACTGGATGAAAAGCTGACTAACTTTTCATGTCTAAATCTATTTTATCTTCTATAGGCACAGGTGAAACCGAGGAACAGGTGGCGTTAGCTCATAACTTGATGCATTCAGGAGGTAAAATATGTTTTAAACATATAAATAAGACTTTACAATTAGATAACTTGATGCATTCAGGAGGTAAAATATGTTTTAAACATATAAATAAGACGTTTATAATTAGATAACTCGATGCATTCAGGAGGAAAAATATGTTTTAAACATATAAATAAGATGTTTACAATTAAAACTTGATGCATTCAGGAGGAAAAATATGTTTTAAACATATAAATAAGACTTAACAATTAGATAACTTGATGCATTCAGGAGGTAAAATATGTTTTAAACATATAAATAAGACTTTACAATTAGATAACTTGATGCATTCAGGAGGAAAATATGTTTTAAACATATAAATAAGACGTTTACAATTAGATTTCTTGATGCATTCAGGAGGAAAAAAATATGTTTTAAACATATAAATAAGACTTTACAATTAGATAACTTGATGCATTCAGGAGGTAAAATATGTTTTAAACATATAAATAAGACTTTACAATTAGATAACTTGATGCATTCAGGAGGTAAAATATGTTTTAAACATATAAATAAGACTTTACAATTAGATAACTTGATGCATTCAGGAGGAAAATATGTTTTAAACATATAAATAAGACTTTACAATTAGATAACTTGATGCATTCAGGAGGAAAAATATGTTTTAAACATATAAATAAGACTTTACAATTAGATAACTTGATGCATTCAGGAGGTAAAATATGTTTTAAACATATAAATCAGACGTTTATAATTAGATAACTCGATGCATTCAGGAGGAAAAATATGTTTTAAACATATAAATAAGATGTTTACAATTAAAACTTGATGCATTCAGGAGGAAAAATATGTTTTAAACATATAAATAAGACGTTTATAATTAGATAACTTGATGCATTCAGGAGGTAAAATATGTTTTAAACATATAAATAAGACTTTACAATTAGATAACTTGATGCATTCAGGAGGTAAAATATGTTTTAAACATTTAAATAAGACGTTTACAATTAGATAACTTGATGCATTCAGGAGGAAAAATATGTTTTAAACATATAAATAAGACTTTACAATTAGATAACTTGATGCATTCAGGAGGAAAATATGTTTTAAACATATAAATAAGACGTTTATAATTAGATAACTTGATGCATTCATGAGAATAATATGTTTTAAACATATAAATAAGACTTTACAATTAGATAACTTGATGCATTCAGGAGGAAAAAAAAGTTTTAAACATATAAATAATACGTTTACAATTAGATTTCCCTATTAAACTTTTCTGAATAAATACATTTTAGCTAATCCATAAGCCTTCGCAAATTGGATTGTTGGTTTGACAAATCAGCATAACAATGTAATATTGTTTTAAATTTTTTTTAGTTCGTTTAAATTTTGTTTCTCTGAATCAAAAAATATCAAATTTTAAATTTTCATATTTATTACATTCCAGATTATAACCAGCAAGATCTAAATCCTCGTTCCACCGAAGAATAACTCTTATTTTACTTAAAACGTTTACTAATGTAAATTTACTAAATTTACTAATATGTAAAATACATATAAAAAATATCTCTTCTTAAAATTTGATGATAATTTACTATCACTTATGTCATAGAATTATTCCATTTATTAATTTGATTTGGTCCTAATAGAACAAGTAAACACAAAAGAAATTATTTTTATATATATGAAATGTTTAACTAGTTTGAGTAAGATCTCTATATTCTTTGCATCTACGCTGAGCATGAAGCTGTATATTTACTCAGCATGTTAATGGGAACAAAGGAAAAGGAATGCAGAAATCAATAGATATAGTATGCATGGAATAATATAGAGTACTTTATAAGCTTATACATTACATTAATGACCCTTTGCAATCAAATAGGATAATTTTACCTACGACCGGTTTTTAAAGTAGCCATTTCAGTACAGTTCTTAGAATTGAAAAGTTTCTCATAACAACATTGTTTACTTTCACAACAGCATAGTTTTTACTCATTACAACACAGGTACAGTAGACCCTCGCTAATCCGGCACCGCGATCGCGGCAAAATTCTGATTATCTCCTGCGGCCGTGTAGAAATCATAATTCTCTAACGTGGTCATGAAAACGTCATCGTCATCTTGCGCAATCGCGGCAAAATCATTAACATCTCCCGCGGTCACGGAAACGTCATCGTCGTCAAGCACGATCGCGGTAAAATCACGAAAATCGCCAGCGGACGTATAGACGTTATCATCGCCTCGCGCGAATACGTAATTGTCATGCCCGATCGCGGCAATAGCGGTTTCCGATCATGCGAACTTCAGAGACGTGTTTTAATGGCATTTTAAGTGTTTTTAATGATAACATTCCAGTAATCCGGCATTTCCACTAATCCGGCAGTATCGCGGTCCTATATCTGCCGGATTACTGAGAGTCTACTGTAATGGACCAATGAGGTTCAAGGATTGAGAGAGAAAAAGTAAAATTGTAATGATTTCAACTTCAACTAATCAGCTGTTCAGGCCAATTTAATTTTTGAGTTGTGCAATTACTGTTGGTACAATGATTCGTTGCATCACTGTCAGTGGCAATGAGAGGTTATAAACAAAAACATAACCTCTCTTAGAAGTTATGAGTATTGATTTTTAGTAATTAAAACACTGTCGTAGTTAAAGTAGTGTACGCAACTCACGTAAATAGTGTTAACGACACTTGTAGAAGTTTTTAAGGCACTCGCCAAGCCTTGTACCTTAAATTTTCTACTTGTTTCCTTAACACTATCCTTACGCAATCGTTGCGTAATGAAACTACTATTAAAAATTACTTTCAACAGAAAGAAATTAAAAAAGGAAAGTGGTTCTCTTTCTTGATTGTGCAATTTTCTGAATCACAACGGATTCAATTTATGCAAGGTATCTTTATCGACCATGTGGTTTTAATTGTCCTGCAAAATTGTGTGATTGTTTTTGCTTTAAATTATTTGTGTAACTTACGAGGGTTGTTTTTTTTTCAACCTCCGATAGGCTATGAACAAAAGACAAGTTCATATAAAACATTAAATTTATTACCAAAAGTTTGATCCATTTATGGTTACTTTTTGACATAATCACCAAAGAGATTGAGACATTTGCTATATCTGTGCACCAGCTTTTTAATACCCTCTTCAAGAAAAGTGGCCGCCAGTACATTCAAAAAACAAAAAATGTCAAAAAAATAAAAAAATTAAGAAAAAATCAAAAAAAGACTTTAAAATTTCTAGAAATTCAGTAAACAAAGCAATAATGGTGAATCTGTGGTTTATTTAACCATCCTGTCAAACTGTTGAACCAAGTCATCTGAAACGACAGTAATGAGCTGGTTCAACAAGTTGGCAGAATGGTTAAATAAAGCACAGATTTACCATTATTCATTTGTTTACTGAATTTATAGACACTTTAAAGTCCTTTTTTTATTTTTTTTATTTTTTTATTTTTTTGACATTTTTTTGTTTTTTGATTTTTTTTTGTTTTTTGGAATGTACTGGCGGCCACTTTTCTTGAAGAGGGTATTAAAAAGCTGGTGCACAGATATAGCAAATGTCTCAATCTCTTTGGTGATTATGTCAAAAAGTAACCATAAATGGACCAAACTTTTGGTAATAAATTTAATGTTTCATTTGAACTTGTCTTTTGTTCATAGCCTATAGGAGGTTGAAAAAAAAACAACCCTCGTATAATGCCACTGGGGTACACACCAACAAAAGTTGTCCCATAGATTGCAAAGGGTTATATAAATTTATTATTTATTAATACAGTTTCAACCTCTTTTACGCAACACAATTCACTAACTCTCTCAAGTATATTACCAACACCACAACCGATTTTACTGAACATTAATTTATTTGTATCTATTCAATAAATCAAGTATTTTTATACCCACAAAACGTCTTAGTTTTTCTATTTAATTCACATATAGACCTGGAAAACTTTAGCTAAGGTTTAGTTCACATTGTAATTTTCTATATAGTGGTTTAAATTACCTTGTTACTGTCAAAACGATCCTTTGTAGTTAGTAAGTAGTCATGATGATGTGCTCCATTCAAAGCATGAAACAGCTGTAGTCTTACTAACTACAAAGGATCGTTTTGACAGTAACAAGGTAATTTAAACCACTATATAGTTAATTCAGACGATCCAGAGGCCATTCCACCATGAAATTGTAATTTTGCTGCAAAATAAAAATTACAATACGGTATCACATTCAGTCAAGACAATTTTTGGATTATTTTTTCAAACCTTAAAATTGGTACAATTATAATATAATGAACTGGACTTACCATCTACAATACAGAACCTCTCGTTGGAGTACAAATAATCTTCCTTTGTATTTATTTTTGTTCAGTACACTCACTTTGAGCCAATATTTATTTACTAAACTTTTTTTATCATAAAAGCACAAATAAATATGTCTAGTCCATAAAGTATGTTTCTATTGAATGCAGCATGAGTCAATATATAGTAAATGGCTGTTGTATTAGTTACTAATTTTCTACACATAGCCTTCTTCTTAGCATTGCTTGAATACACTTTGCGCACACTCATTTTAATCTCTTCTAATTTACTCAAGTTTCTTTAATTTCAAACAATAGAAATAAACATCATCACCAGTTACAGGGACAGAACTCTACACGACTAAAAACTATTGTTAAGTTTGCATTTTTTTTGTGAATTAAGATTATTAATTTTAAAAAGTTTGCTTGAGGTTTTATGTTGAGAAATGGCCAAAAAACTTTCCAACGTTTATTATAAAATATAATTGTCTTTGTTTGATATTCTTTAAAATATTTTCATTCTGTACAAATCAGTTGGGCCAATTTCCAAATCAAGTTTTTAGAATTCATACTAAATCTTACTTTTGTTTTAAATAACAATTATGTCGTACTTGGGACTTAATTTTACTAATACTTCCTATTATTGTGTCTGAAAGTTTTAATTTATCGTAAATACTTATCTAAATTGTTCGGGAGATGAAAATTAGCAACTCTTTTTTTAAAGTTTCAAGAACAACACTTCACATTTAACAGCAGTTGAACAACTTTTTTATTCTAAAAAATTCTGTTGATTCTTTTAGGCAATTTTTTTTCAAATGAAGCCTCATGCAGACTTGTAATGTTTTGTATGTTTGTCTGATGTTGTGTTTTGTGCTGATCAGATCGTAGGTTTATTGAGCAGCCGCTGAGATCGCCGCAGACCATTGTTACCAACAGAACTCTTGTTACCAGCAACACCAACACCAACCGCTCAACTCAGGTGAGTCCTGAACAACATCTGATCTTATATTAACGTGTGATCGAGTTTCCACTATAATATTGTCTATATATGTGCAAGGTTTGTTTAGAAAGAAAAGACGTCACATATCAGCGCCACTTGAGTGGTGGCTCGCCATCTTAGCATCAGTGTTTTCCTCCACTCACGTATCCAGCTATCGTAATGAGTGCATCATATCTCTCGTACTTTGTCTGTTGTAGAGTGTTGAAATGAGTGCCGTTATTCCACTGTCGTGCCAGCTGTGAAAAATCTCTGTGATCAGATTTTTGTTGGCAAAAAATCACAAGCCAATTGAATTTGCCACTGGTTTGATGAGGTTTTCGGCACAGTTGTGATGAGAGAAGGCTGAGACTTATTGCCAGATTCATGATGTTCATGGCAAAGGAGTGAAAAGTGTAAGCCGAGTTAGACAGTGGTGCATTCACTTCAAAATGGTTGGACCAATGTTTACGATATGGACCGCAGTGGTAGGCCTCGTGTAGTGACTGACGAACTGATGGGGAAATTAATCATCAAAATCCTGAGAATTGTCCTATCACAGTTACCGAACTCACAGAACATTTCCCCTGAGTTTCACAGAGTTTGGTTCGTGAAATTGTTTTTGAAATTTTGTGCCTGTGGGTTTCAAAGATCTTAACGGATGATCCCGAAAATACTGAGACACTCGGCAGTACATAAATTCCTGGAAGACTACGACAAAAGTGAAAACCAAGTTTTAAACCATTTTTTAAGTTAATACTCCACTGTCTTAACTCGACTTAACACTTTTCACTTTTCACTCCTTTACCAAAAACCTGAATCTGACGATAAATTTCAATTATCAATCTTTGAGATGGTGACGCCACCTAGGTGCGTATAGACATACCTATAGTTACCTAAATACAAGTGAAGGATGAGTCTAGAATAGAGTCTGATTTTCTGTGTAGTTTTGTTACTGACTAAGATCAGCTGTTTCGATTGGCTTGTGATTTTCACTTGCAAATTTTGATCACAGAGTGAATCTCATAACACTGGTAGCGGTGATAGTTCCAAGTGGCACTGATATGAAACGTCTGCTCCTTTCTGATTGGCCCTAGTGTATAAAGATAAGTCATTATACTGACTATTTATTTAAATTATAATTTGTAAATTTTACCTTAGGCATATTAATAAAATTTTACTGACACCAAAATACTTTTCAGAAAGGCTGTAAAATTGATTTTGATTACTACTGTTACATATAAATTTCCCCTGAAGACTAACGCACTATGTTAGTGAGATAATGTCTCGCAGACAACTCTTTAGTCAAGCCAACCTATTTGCTCTAGTAGTGTAAGTGTGGGTCTTCGGACCTGGAGACATGGGAAGGAATCCCACCAAAGCATTTAGCAATGTGATGGCGTTACCCAATGGTTCAGAACCACATTAAGCTGTACATGTAAAGAAAGGATGTCTCTCAAATTAAGTAAACTTTTTATAAATTATTGAACTCACTCCACTAAATCCATACAGTAAGTAATCTAAGTAACTTTTATTTATTTTTCAGTCAACAAACTACAACTCCACAACGGCAACAACAAATTCAACTTCTGATGTAAATAAGAAATCAATAAAGAAGTATGGCAGCAAGTACGATAGCAAGAGTCCATCTCGCTCTAGGAGTGCTACTAAGGAACTTATACGTGAGTCAACAAACTGAACGTTCTTACTTAGCTGTAGCTGATTAGTGATTACTGTTGTTCAAGCTATGCTTAAATATGCCAAGACGAAAGTGATCTCATACAGTTCAGCCAAAACTTCTGTGCACGTGGATAGGTCTCTACTAGCCAAACTAAAATACAGATACCGGTGAGGCAGTGCTAGGGGGTAGGGGTGAGTGAGTAGCTAGGCACAAATGTTTACACAAAATCTGGTCGCGCGCACAGAAACTTTGGCCGAACTGTACCAAGATGATTTTGACTTAATTTAAGTGAACTTCCCAGTTTGAACTTTCTGAAAACCTTTTCTTAGAGAAGGTGTGTCTAGTGAGTCCTCTTTACCAAACTACTTTTTTTAATACTTTGGGTCCATCTAAGAAATTTAAATTTGAAAGAAAAATTAGATTTTTATTTTCTCTAAAAACAGCTTTATATTCCTATATATTTTGAGCACTCTGCTACCTCAACAAACATTATTTACTTTTTGTCTCTGATATGTTTACAAGTTGCTTGTTATTTGCGTAGTTCCGCCAGACGACTCGATGTGCCCACCAGAGTTCACCCAGAAGTTGATAGATCGCAAGATCAATGATGGAGATCCTCTTGAACTAACGTGTTTCATCAAGGGCGACCCAGAACCTCAAGTTATATGGCTCAAGGACGGCAAGGTAAGTTGATTATATTTTACACTATTGGAAACAACTAGTTTTTAACAATGGAAAAGTTTGAAAGAACAAACTGAAATGAGGTCTACCTCAGGGTTCACTCCTGGGTCCTTTATTGTTTATAGTGTAAATAAATTATTTTCCATTATCTTTAAATGCCATTTTATATACTGAAGGTGGTTTCTTCTTTTTACGTTGGTAACGGCAGTTTGGGCTAGAAGGTATAGTTATATGTAGGAAATCATTTTGTAAAAATAGTCAACAAAAATGTTATCCACCAAGATAATAAGACTCTAATAATAATAATAAGATAATAAGATAATAATTTAATATGTTCAGGTATTGTCTTAAGTAATTCACCCATGTTTTGAGGACTTAAACAGAATCTTGTGAAATTATTCTCCTAAAACAAGTTTGAAATAGTTCTGTATCCAAGCTAAACGTAAGTGGCTTACGCTAAGAGTTGTTGTTTGTTTCAACAGACCCTGAGATCTTCAGATGTGGTGGATCTCAAATACCGAAACGGCTTAGCTACATTGAACATCGGGGAAGTTTTCCCTGAAGACGAGGGAGAATACGTCTGTCGAGCCTCTAACTCATTGGGCACCGTCGAGACCAAATGCAAACTCACCGTCATACGTGAGTCAAATAAATATATGTATGATAAGTAATTTACTTTGTGGCTACTTCTTGTTACTATGAAAAATTGGAGTATAATATTGCATTTCAGGATAAGATTGCTCAATTTTCATCATCATAATTTTAATAAAGATTTTGTGAATTTCAAGAAATTTGTATGCTCAACCATTCCCAGATTTTTTAACTGCACCATTCTGGGAACTCGAAAAAAGTGTGTCAATAATGCAGAACTGAATTAAAAATCACAAGCAACTTGCAATTAACAATTGTGCAACAATTGCTACTAGAAATTAAGCTATCTAGCAACTTTGCAAATATACTTCATTTTTTAAGATTGTTTATTCACACTGGTAAAATATAAAGTTGAAGAAGTAATAATAGGAGGGGTCTTATACAAAAATTGTATCTGTGCCACCATGACCAGAATTGCATGACAGAATTGTAATGACAAACTGTATTTTGTGACTGAACAGCCAAGTTTTGGAAGCACTCTAATACGCTTTTGGAACCTATCAAGTTTTGGCCAGTAAACAATGTTTTTAATCACAATCGTTGGTCAGACAAATATTCATATTTACATACAAGATTTATGTTCCAGGCCATTTAAGGTGAAATTCATGCCTAATGAGTAATGATTACATTTTGTTAAATTACAGCCCTGCCAAACCCAGTCCCACTGAAGCCAGGAGAGAAGGACATTGCTCCAAGGATAGTCAGCCATCTAAAATCTGACTTTGTCAAGGATGGGGACCCAGTAGTGTTATCTGTCAGGATAATAGGTAAGTGATAATTTTCACATAGATATCATCAGTTAGGATAGTAGATTAGTATAATTCTTTCACATAGGTTTTATCAGTCAAGATAACTGGTTAGTGATAACTTTCACTTAGATTCAGTCAAGATAATTGTTTAGTGATAATTTTCACTTGGCTATCATCAGTCAAGATAACTGGTTAGTGATAACTTTCACTTAGATATTATCAGTCAAGATAGTAGGTTAGTGATAATTCGTTCACTTAGATAATATACCCCTTCTATATATTCTATGCACCTTTGTTTTGTACACATTGGATGGTACACAAGTGATAGCTCTCTTTTTTAACTTTTTTCCTTAACTTGTCTACTGCTGTAGTGTATTATGTCACAATTATGTTATTTAATCAGTTCTGTCATAATTATTTGGTTACCAAATTACCCCTCATAAAGTGATAAATATACCGTGTAATTTTTGTGATAATGCTTGTAGAATATTGTTGAGTATGGGTAATAATATCAAGCCTCTTCTAGTTCTGGAAATCTATTCCCATTGTGTTTCTGGTGAGTGATTGCAACATTCGCAGCTGAATCACATCCCCTATAAACTTTTATTTCTCTTCAGTAATGTAACATTCTGTATTTCAGGAGCTCAAAAGTTTGATGTCATTTGGTTACATAACAACAAAGAAATCAAGCCAAGCAAAGATTTCCTATACACAAATACAGCCAACATTTACAAGCTGAACATCGCCGAGATCTTCCCTGAAGATTCTGGTATCTACACGTGTGAAGCCTTCAATGACTCAGGAGAATCGTTCAGCAGCTGTACACTCACTGTTCTGGGTAAGTTCGATTCATTAGAGTTGGAGTAGAATTGTTGTTCTTCATAGTTTGGTCTTGGTCACAAAAGATAACCCATTTTTCATCATAAAACTTTGTTTTTCCATATTTCAAAGACGTTTCTTTTTCTTACATATCCAAATGTTCAAATGCAATTGATTGGTGACAAACCAAATCAATAAGACTAATCCCATTGAGTCTAATTAATCATATCTTACTTTAACTGTAATAAGTCACCTATTAACATATCAGTAAGTATGTAAATTACATAAGTCTTCGTAAGGTAACATATCAGTCTGTGGTCTTAAAACATTCTATTTTAGTAGAATAAAGAGAATAGCAGCCAGCTTACCAAGTTAGCCTGAAGAAGTTCAGGTCACCAAGTACATGTTACCGACACACATCAGACACACAAAACTCACAATACTTTGTATAAAGGGGACAAAATATTGTGTTTTTCTGTGTCTTCTTTGGCATACGTATATTTTTTGTAAGGCAAGTTAGTTGCTATCCTCTTTATTCTATAGTTTAATATGTGCAAAGTGTGTGTCTTAAGTGAAACGACTGATTGATTTTCCCTATTTATAATTTTTAATTTCAAGAGGTTTATGGGCATACATAATTGCTTACAATGCTACAAGTTGAGTTTTACAATCAGTTGTCTGTAAGATAAAAACAAACTAGATATTTGAGTTAAAGTGAATACTATTTGACTTGTTAAAACGAAATGATCTAATTTCATCTTTTTCCAAAGAAAATTCTCTCGTTTTTACAGTAAAATTGTTAAATTGATTGACTCAAAAAATGAGAAGAAAGTATGAATCATGCTTGCACCACTTAAGCGGCACTGAGATACGTTAGTTCATGAACTTTTATAGGCAGTGCAGTCAGTTTCATTTGAAGGCATGCTGCTCTAAGGTTCATTCATAATATAAAGTCCTATCATAATTTGTATATATTGATCCTCTTAACCTAATGTTGATCTTGTTTCAGTTCCAAACGAAGAACCTAAGAGTCCAGTGTTCAAAACATTCCCGCGATCAGCAACCGCCCAGGAAGGAGAAAGCATAGAGTGTGAATGTGAATTTAAGGATACCCCGACGAAAGGTAAACTAAGAAATGTTTTATTTTACCATTCTAAATATATTCTATACCTACATAAATACCTATGTGGAAAATCAGCTCAAAGTTTATATTGTATCTGGCTTTACGTGTTATTGACAATGTAGAGACATTTTTTTAATCAAATTTAGGGCCAGCGGTGATTGTGCAGCACACGACAACCTACAAATGTACGTAGAGCGAATAAGTAATGAGTTGGGATTGGGAAAATTTCTAAACATTTGTTTTACCCTGTAAACAGTTACATTTGATATTGTATTTGTTGTTGTTGCTCTTTGCCTAATTGCCATCTCTGGCTTTTAAAAATACTTCTCACCTATTTAAGTTGTGATTATATACTGTGTTAAACCAGGTCGATTTCATTAGGTAGTTCAACTGAGATTGAGGGGGTTCGGATTAGGTATATTCCATGCACACACTTTTAAATGTTTATTGTAAATACAATCCATTATGAGCTAATGAGTGAGCAAAGTTTTCAGTGTTCGGTTTGGATTGGTCTCCCAGTGGCCAAGAGAAGATAAGAAGAATTAAAGATTTTAAAAAACTTTGAGTTAAACTTTTAGGATGCTGTAACCTACACTGTGGTAGTCATAAATGAATATCGTATTTCACTATAGAACATTTATTTAGATTGTTAAATGTTAGCAACATAACTAACTAATAAATGAGTTTTTACTAATAGTGGCCTATTGTTTCTTTGCAGTAACGTGGTTAAAGGATGGCAAACCGATTGAAGAAGGAAGTTCAAAGTACGAATTCGTCCAGGCAGGAAAGAAATTCCAGTTCAAAATTTTAAGCAGTACAAGCCTGGATATGGGCCAGTACTTAGTCAAGGCGGTGGATAAAACCGGCGAATCCACAGCGGCTTTCTCCGTTAATGTTTATTCATCTGTATAAATTAAGTAAAGGTAGGTAATTTTATTTCTTAATCACGATAGTGTTGGCCATATATGCTCAGAATTCCCTAATGTTCATACCTGTTCTTTATATTCCTGCACAAAATTTATACCGCCATTCTTACTGGCAAGTCAACTCAAAAGAAAATTGTTGTGTCAAAAATCTATAATTTTCTAAAATTACAAAAAAATCATTCAACTGTGTTCTGTTTGAATTACAAATTGGATAATTTCCATATAGATGAATACCGGTATCTCCTTCGGTATTCAAAAGTAAATACTGTAGTGGTTTGATGTCCAATTATTAAGCATAAACACCCCTATATTCATTTAGCACTCTTTATTATTTTATTATTATATTTGGCATGTTTTATTTTAGGTGTTGACAAACTATTTTAGGAGGCATTGGGGGACAAACTAGACCAAATCCACTCAAGAGTTTTTTGGCTGAAATTTAATGTACAAAAGGTTTAAATTACATCCATCAAGTGATCCTAGATTGTAGTTGGTTGACTACAGTGTTTTTGTGTTCATAAACACATCTTCAGGTCATATGTTACATTGATTTATTCCATGGAATGATCGTCATAAGGTTGTAAGATCACAAATAACACGTACACGAAACATTAAACATTAGTTGGCCAAAACACAAATATGAAAAACGCGTAATTTAAAAAAGACATCAGACACGTGCGGCGTTGGTAGAAGGTAGGTCATGACTGCAAATGGCTTGACGGATACAGGTAATTTAAACCTTTTGTTGTAAAAATCAGTGATCAAGAGGCTATACCATAAAAATTCAATTGAATTTCAATGTTATAGAATGAACATAAAGCCTAAAAAATATATCATAGACATCCCAAGAACAAAACAACCTGCGCAGAAACGAAAAGATCATGAGGCTGCAAACCTGGCGGCTCGAAATGGCCCAGGGTTCTTTTGTTTCTGGGATGTTGTGAATCAACAGAAGACAACCTTTCATGCTTCAAAGTATCAGAGAGTGCTAAGTAGGTCTAATTGTATTTTATAAAAACATCTGATATTTTTAAATGGTTTGAAATATGAAAACATATTTTTTGTTACAGAACTGTCAAGTAAGAATCTTGCATGGAACACAATATAAAACAAATGTCTTCGGCGCATTTCCTCGAATAGTTTCATCATATGCTCTTCAGACAAGATAAATCTCTTGTTTTCTAATGTTCACCAATTGCTTAATGCATGTACATTGATGTAATGTACTCGTAAATATTTAAATAAATGTAATTTATTATTTTAATTATTAAATGTGGAATTTTAATGAACTATTCCTGGTAATAGTTTAAGTTTGGAATGTGGTCAGTATCATTTGAACATCTTAGTAAATCAAAATGATTCTCTGTTGTAAGATTTAGATTATAGATGTAGTTAAGTTTTTGAAATTATTTGTTCATTTTGTTGGTTGAAATTATAACCTCAATAACAAGAGCCCTCATGTTACTTCTTTTCACAAGTTATTGCTTGATAAGAAGAAGATGTCTTATTTGATACACCTCATGACTCTGAGGACTTGTTTTCGAGGTTATTCTGTAGTAGCGTACTGAAAGGTGTAATCCTGAAATATTTGGTGCAAGGTCTCGCACAAGGAAATTATGTTACTAAACACTACGCTGGACAGCTTTTATAACTCTAAAAAGAATGTTAAGAAATGAGTTTTTAACATTGATATTTTTTTATTTTTGGACAGCTACTAAGTTTACCCCTGGTAACAATTTTTCTTTGCATTATATACATTCCAAATAATGAACACATTTTTTTGATGTGTCATAAATGATAAATTGTTTTAATCTTGTTAGTGTTTACAGCTGTTTAGGGTCAGGATGAATAACGATTGGAACTTTTTTAAATTTGGGTTGAACAAATTTATATTAGGAGATTATTTTACTTCAATATACAATGTGTCCATTTTACCTTGTTCCTCATTAATATATCGTACAGTACCTTTACATAAAACTTTACAGGGAACTTTGACTATGTTTTAGCAAAACCTCGGTAAACAAATCTCATCAATAATCCTGTTTCATTAAAATCTGTCAAAATTGTAAACATGGTGATCGACTTCAAAATTGTTAATGTATGTACTCCAACTCCAACTTTAGTGATGGATGGATTTCTTTACACCATTTCAGTTCTAAAAAGTTGTTTCTTACCTAACCTTCAGGAGATACCAAAAATACATGGAAAGAAGCAAGAGTTAAATTTTAAAAAATGGTGCAGTAAAAGAAATGTTTCCAAAATACAAAATCATGTGTTTCGTCTTAAAACATCATTTAAAATATGCAAAAAGATCTTTGAAATTATAATAAGTATGTTTTTAACAAGTGAAACATGTCCCTGTAAAATGTATGTAAACCTACACTCTACGATATACCAATGTTAATTTAAAATGGACAAACTGTATGATGGTTGGTAATGAAAGATGAGAACAGTACTATGTATATGAAAATGGCCATTAAGTGGAACTATTTGTTTTTGTTAACGTAGTTTAACACTTGGATGGATTGCCATGGCCAAAGTATTATTTTCATGACAACAAAGTGAAAACTCTTATGCATATGCAGTGAAATGTTAATAATGAACAAATTATTGAACAATTTAATGTTTAAGTTCAGAAGTTCTCTAGATAATTATGCTATCATAACCAAGCAACTTTATAATATGATAGCATTTATTTTTTTTATTTTTTCCAACTTTGTGTATTTACTTTACAAACTGTGGGCATGTATCATATACAAACATTTTCTGTTATGATCACATTTTATAATCAGCCCTTGAGATGATCAGAGGATAGATGAATTGATGAATGATTTTATAACGTGAAATTGGAAAACATAGAAATGGCTGGTCAAGTATTAACACTTCCTGTTGCATAAACATTCATTCATGTTTCCGGGATAGGAAGAAAAAAACACGATTCAGTTGGTAATGGAGGGAAATTTATTCTGATTTCACCTCATTAAGCTTTCGTCTTCAGCTGCGAAGTACAGCTCAGTCAAAGCCTGAAAAACCCTGAAACAGGATCCTGCAAAAGAAGAAAAACAACAAGGCGACCAATGAAGAATGAATGACATTGCGGTTATAAACTAAAAATTGTAATGTTAAACTAAATACCATCATGGCAGGAAAAAGGGTTCTTGCTATAGGTTTTCAGCCTTACCTAAATCTTGATGTGCACACTTGTTATACATCTCACTTTTCAGACATTTTGTAAATTTAAAAATCAAGTGTTTCCCCAAAAAACCATTAGAGGACTAATAAATATTTACAGAACATTTTACTAAAACAAAAAAAAAATGTATGCGCAAAAGTTATTCAGAAACAAGAACTTTTTAATTCAAGTATTCTCTCAATCAATTTTCTTAACCAGGTGGATAAAATTCTCACAAATTTTTTTGAGCTTTGAAATGAAATGTTTTTTGTAAAGTTATAAGTTCCGCCTTAATGACTTAAGAAAAGGATGAAAAAGACATTGATTTTATGAGAAATTAGCATTGCCTTTTTCCAATGCTTATGCAGCTAAGTGTTGGAAATAAATTATGACCTGTACTAAGTTTATAAATAAAATAAAAATCACAAATTTTTGCAATTAAATACTGTAATTAATTAGTAGTGTTCAGTAAAGATTTGTATAGCCTACCTATGTATTATCATACCTACAAATATGATGACAGTGCCGGGCCAACTTGTAAAATTCTTAGGTATCTGTTATCTGTTTTATATTCAGAAAGTTAATGTTTGAAATAGTGACAAAATATTGTTAAGCGAGGTACACCAACATAAAATATTTTCTGAACAACTAGTGTATATGGTGGCCAAAAAAGAAGCAAATTCCTGGAACTACCAACATAAATTTTAGATGACCCTCTTAAATCTTGTGTTAAATACTGAAATTAAATCTGTGAAGACTAGCATAATACATGTACAAAAACTATACCACCATCACAGTTTCTTAAATTGGTCATTTAATCAAATACTTTCTTTGTTCCCAATGTTGTATTGATTATATCAGTTAGGAACATCTGGATTAAATTTGACGTAACGGAGTTGCATTTGTTCCACAATCTCTTCTACGACCTGAGGAAGTCGGAACAAATGATCTTGAACACACGTAAGAGCACACTTGGCAAACACATCAATGGCTTGTGGGCACTAAAACAAATTTATGTTATTAAATTAACAGTTACAATTATTGCAGACATTTCTAGTTTATATTATTATTTTTTTTTCTTTTTTAGATCTCTGAAAGGAAGCAATTAAAGTTGAAAGGAGAATTATTAATCAATTAAGTTAATACAGTAGTAGTTTATGCAACGATCATGTGAGGATAGTCTTTACGAAACGAGTAGAAAATTTAAAGTACAAGCCTTGGCCTTTAAAACTTCTACGAGTGTTGTAAAGGCTACCTACGCGAGTTGCGTACACTACTTTACCTACGACCGTTTCTTAATTACTAAAATACTACTCATAACTTCTAAGAGAGGTTATGTATTTGTTTATAACCTCTCTAAAAAGGCTAGTTAAAAAAACTGCAATAGGTTAAGATTATTGCTTAGCACAAGAATCAATGAATGATTGTTTAAGTTTGAGTATACAATATTGTAACTTACCTTCCCTTGTTTGTATATTTTCGTAGCGTCCTCTTTACAAGACACGGTGCAATGGTGAAGACTGACCTTCAACACAATATTGAGTAAAGCATTTAAACTTTATTTTATAGATTATTAAGTGTAACACTCTGTTTTTTCAATATTATTAAGATAATATTTTTTGGAAGGTTTAATAGCTTTTATTTAGTCATATATTCGTTTAGTTCAAAAATTGCAAGCATTTGTGAGACATGAATACAAACTTTGTTAAATGTTTTATTTTTTGTATTTAAAATCTGTATGGTTTTAATATTATTATCGTTTAAGGGTCACTCAATATATATTTAGTGTGTGGGGATTGAAATAGTTCATGATATTAAAAAACATTACCGGCATTAACAACTATTCAATGCTTTTGAGCTATGTGAAGAGTAACTAATGATCTATTGAACAAACAAAATCATTTAATAAATAGACTAACTCGAAAGCATGTTTGAAAGAGAAATTTAATTTAATATTTATTAAATTTAATTCCATAAGGCCCAAAAATTATTTGTGATTTATAATAAAATCTGCAGTAACAACTTTATAAGATTTTGCTGAATTTATAAGTTGATAAATTACTCTTAATTGACTGATTATTCCGTTAGCGTAGTCTTTTTGATCATGCATTCTGGCCGCACAAATCTCCGTGCAGTCATGAAAGTCAGTGCTTCTAGTAAACGGAGTATCACAGCATGCTGCGGCACAGTCAAAAGCGTCTTTCTAGAACAGATTGGCAACCTATTAAAAATATTTCTTAAGATAAATGAATATTAAGTTACATTTATTTTAATGAGTTATCAGCATGTAACCCTTAATACATAATGTTGTCTAATCCTATTGAAACACAATAATTGTCAATTGCTAGATTCATGTGCCCAAAAAGAGTTAGGACTTCAAATAATGTGCATAAGGTGCTTTGCAGTTATGCGGAAGACCGTGCATATTTGCACAAAGAGGCCGGCACAGGGGTACATAATTTGAACAGTGATTAAAGTTTTGGAAACTTGCTGACCGGTGTGTTTAAGACTACTAGGGATTACTAATGTCCTTTGTAGTTGAACATATTTCCTAGCCTAAGTTATAGGGGTGTGGATGGTGATTTCTTATTGCTAATGTTTTTAAAAAGTCTATCCGCAACCATGTAAAATTATTTTAAAAACACAATCCCTTGTCATAGTTAAGTCCCACTCAATCCTTCTGAAAAAATTCTTACTTTGTTGCCTCAAACAGAACTGATGAACGAGCATGCAGCTTAAACCACGGAAAACATCGTAAACACTGTTCAGATGTTTACAACCACCTCAAATATTCCCTTTTACACATATTTTCTACATCCCTACCTACCTATCTCCATTTAGGCCTACGTCTGCCAACAATGATCTTCAAAAAGGTTTGACGCCTTACACAACAAAATCTTATGGCAGAACATGATTGTAGTATGAACAGCCTCCAGATTGTGAATAATAACTAATAATAGTGGTTTATATCAATGATTCTGGCAATCCAATTGTTGAGTTTCACAACTAGTTTCGACCTGCTAAGTTAAGATGTCCATCAGGTGAGTACAAGGATGATAAGTTACTTGATTACTACTTGACAATGCGGAAGTTCAACTTCCGCATTAGGTAGGCCTATCAGTAATTTACCGTGTCCGCTCATAGTATTTTATTGGCCATAAGTTATGTGTATGTGCACTAGGTATCGTGTTCGTGTTCCTGTCTGTGTTATGTCTGTGTGCCAGGGGTATCTGGGGATCTATCGCTCTGGATATCTCTGGTTCCCAGCAATGGGTCAGGCCTCGATCGGGCAGCGGTGTAAATGGGAGGTTGGGGTTCCCCCCGTCAGCGTGCTGATGGTCCCCTTCCTCCTGGCTATTGATGGCGGGTTCTGCCTGTCAGGGATTAGATAGGTCCCGAGTGTTGCTTGCACTAAATGCGTCGGGGCGCTCTACTATGGACCTCTAGGTTCCGACCTAGTGGAACCCAGGTGGAGTGACGCTTAAACAAGCAGCCGGAATCCCTGGTTAGGATTGAGGGGCAACCCTCTTTCCGAAGGGTCTGCTTCGGCAGCCGGCGAGCCTGATGACCTTAAGTCATCCGCCCATGATGTGCTAAAGGTTGATGCGTAAGCTTCGGCCTACATCATGGGGCCCGGGTATGTCCTGAAGGATAGGTACCGGGTAAGCAGTCAGGGGGCTTCGGCTCTCATGACAACAAATGTAAATGTAAATGTAAATGTAATGTCTGTGTTATGTGTTGACAACTTTTAATCCTAATGACCTTCGAGTGAAGTTATCAAGTAGGCCCTATCATCCTTGTACCGTACTCACCTGATGATGACCTCCTAGCAGGTCGAAACTAGTTGTAGAACTCAACAATTTGATTGCCAGATTCTAGGTATTTAAACGACTAGGCTATTATTAATTTAGACAGAACATGATAGGCTACGTACTTGGCGGAAGCATCGATTTTTAACAACGGAAAGTATACGACACTCGTGTTAAGGTTTTGAACTATATCTCCCTTGGTCGAGACGGCGCTCATTCGATCTATTTATTTTATCGACAACCCTTGAACGGAAACTGATCAGCTGATTAGGATTATTAAACTAGGGATGCATCATATCTCACCCTTGAAAGAACCGAGTTGTTGTTGTTATTTACGTGCCGTTAGTGCAGGTAAAATGTCCTGAACATTTCGACACAAGAAATTAATTCCATCCAAGTGCTATAACTTAGAATATAGGCTAAGTATGGTAGGCCTAGGCCTATAAACTTACTTGAGTCGCTTTCAAAACTGTCTTATTCATCCGGTTCACATGATATTTGACTTTATCTTCAAAGGCCTCTCTAAAGCCATCAGGCAGCTGGAATAATTCACTTTCAGACATCAAAATAAACAAACCTGTAAAACGATTTTACTAACCACAGAGAATGCTATTACTTTACTATTACTACTGACTGGATTTGGTTTTTTTAGTATTACTATTACTTACTACTACTAGGTTAGGTTTTCAGTCCTTAGCTTCAATAGCTTCACAAACTTTGGACCCGATAGTTAGGTCATATCGCAATCATGGAGCTATGTGGCGAGTTTCTCTATATAGCTGTTACTGTGATTCGTGGCAAAATCATTGACTAAAGATACTGCAGAAGAGTAAATTTAATCTATGGTACGATCTAAGCCCTGGATCACTGTGCTTTTCGATTTAAGATCTCTGGAAACCTAAACACCTTTCGTTTGGGAAACGAACTTTTTTGAATTCACCACTTATAGTTTAGGTTAATTCTGGTAAAAACCAATTTGAAAATTCACAAACCAGCCGATCTGAGTGTTTGAATGTGGTTATGGAGGAGGGGTGTATATCAAGCTTAAGGTTAGAGAAGGGCTAATAACAGTATCGTAGAATATAAGTGATATATTGATTTCCCCCAAGACATAGATATATATAAAAATACCCCCGCCGCAGCAAACCTGCCGACTAAGCGAATTTCCATTTGTCTGAATTGATTTTCAGTTAAATATATTTTAATAACATTAGGTTTAACGAGTACCTAGGTTTGCTGCTACAAGGAAACTAATAAAGTGTGTTTTTGAGTAAAATATTGATAGCTTAGTACAAAATAAATAAATTTGCCAAGTTTGATCGAAATATATCCATAAACAAGCAAACCACAACATTTGACAATATTCTCCATAAGAATAACATGGGAATTTTAAATTTACAATTCTTTTAAATTTTCTCCGTTACTAATAATCGAACAAAAATACTTTTATATACTAAATTATTTGTTTTTTTAAGCTCTTTATAAAGGTCTAAAGAGAAATCAGGAAATTTTGTGTTTTGAGGGTCAAAAAGTGAGAAAAACCCATTTTTACCCCATAAAACCCCCCGTAAAGCCCCGTTCCCATGGTCCAATCGTGCTGGTTCGCGAACTCATTCAAGTTTATCCCGCTTTACACCTTCAAACAAAATTTCATCAAAATCGGACAAAAATTACTCAAGTTATCGCGTTCACGGACGTATATATATATATATATATATATATATATATATATATATATATATATATATATATATATATATATATATATATATATATAGGCCTATATATACATATATAAAAATTTGAACGAATTGTGTTTTTGGCCTCTGGGGACATCAAAATGAAAAAGTAAATCGGTCCCGGGTCTAGGTCTTACCGTGCCACCTACGGTAATAGCTACTTCCCTATAGGGAAATTCGCTAAAACCAAGGGGTCGGCAATTTTTAACGTAAGCGTATGTTACTAATATATTTGAAAGTACAGTAGTGTAACGCCTCTATGGTAAGGGGGTAGTTCTGTCATCAGCTATACAAGGTAGGTGGGGGGTCTGTAGTCTAGCATTACACTTCTCCTTTTTGCTGCTGAAGGCAAAGATTTTCAATTTTTTTAAGCAAGTGTTATGTTTTTTGTTTTATACTGTACAGTTTTTGTATTTTAGAACTTGTGAATAGCGTTAGGTAATTATTGGGACGGGAGTTGACCCCCCAAAAGAGACCAATCTGGGATACAGGCGCTCCAGTTTACAGTGCAATCTGGGAAACTATACCAGAGCTCCAGTCTCGATTACAATCGGAGATAACAGAGCTCCAGCCTGGAGTACAATCTGAGATAACAGAGCTCCAGCCTGGAGTACAATTCGAGATAAGAGAGCTCGAGTCTAGAGTACAATCTGAGATAACAGAGCTCCAGCCTGGAGTACAATTCGAGATAAGAGAGCTCAAGTCTAGAGTACAATCTGAGATAACAGAGCTCCAGCCTGGAGTACCTACAATTCGAGATAAGAGAGCTCAAGTCTAGAGTACAATCTGAGATAACAGAGCTCCAGCCTGGAGTACAATTCGAGATAAGAGAGCTCGAGTCTGGAATACAATCTGAGATAACAGAGCTCATGTCTAGTACAATTTTGGATTCCAGAGATCCAGCCTGAGGTACAGTCTAAAATGGATTATAATCTCAGATTAAGTTAAGTCCATCTAAAAAATGTAAGGTGTTTCTTGAAGATTTTGATTCGATGTTCTTTGCCACAGTTAATAATTGATATAAAAATCATCTTCCTATTTTTACTTTAGCCAAGCCAATACTACTGATTTTTTCTTATCTTTCATCTAAGGTGTACACCTCAATACATTTTACGTGATTTTACGTGTTATTTCTTTATTTTGGATAGAGAAATCTCTGTATATTTACTTAGAACAATATTAGATGGGGGGTCTTGACTTTTTATTCACCCTGCATATTTTTTACATTTATTCTGTTAGGCAAAATGTATCTTTAAGATTAAGCACATACAAATATATTTTCTTGATCGTGGCAAGAATGTTCTTATGAACTAGAAAGTTTTGTTCTCTGCAAAAAATATTGACTATCCAATGATTCGTCTAGACCAAAAAAGACCATCCATATTGTTTTTTTATTTATTTTAGCCTTTCAAATTCCTGAATAGAAACACAAACAAATTGGAAACATCACAATTTTCACTTATACCTTTGAATTTCCAACAAATTCACACACAAATTGTTGTACAAGGGCAATTTATTTAGTTCCAAAATATATCACATAATTTATTTTCCTAAAATTTACAGCAAATACAAGTGCCACATTCACTTAACTGGGGAGCAACAACCTCTTAAAAGCTGATAAGCATTATCTTTCATGATAACAATCATATTGAAACTCAAATTGTGATGAGAATTCCACACCAAAACGAACGCAATAAAGGTTGCTAGAAATGGAATAAATAGAATGGACCCGCTGTCAAAAAAATATGGGAGATAATTAAAGACACAGAACCGATAAACAAATGAAGAAATTAGTGATATTCAGAAGAGATCCCCTACTCAAGTAGGAATCACTGCAATATATGAGTACAGTTGTTATTTTTACAATGTAAACAAATACATCAGCTTGGAGATATTCAGACAACCTCCTCAATGCAAGTAAAGAGCATTGCAATAGAAGAGTAGTAAATCTAACGAATAAAACCAAAGACAACAGACAAAATATTTCTGTGCATTAGAAAAAATTTAAATAGATCAGTAGTAAATGTAGTAGGTAATGCATACAGCAGATTTGAGGTATTTGGACGATGTAGTCAAGTCTACAGTCCAAATCTAGAGATTTACCCACTTTCAACAAAGAAGTACGAACATATTCTCGAAATACAAAGAAAACAATGACACATTGGCATCCTAAAGGAAAGATTTTTTGAGAAAAGGTCACTGTAAAACATTAATTTTGAGAAACTACTGTCGACACCATGACAAAATGTTGTGCAAAATGATCTTAGGTCACTGAACCTATAGAAATCTTGGTAATCGCGATGTACAATAACGTTACATATGATGTTTTGTAAGACAAAGGACACATTATTTTTGTAAGTGGTATAAATAAAATTGCAGACACTTGATTTACCTTATCGATTACCTTATATATTAACACTGTGTGTTTGCGTAATGATATCACTCCTAATTTCACTATATTCATAAATATATATTCAAAATACATTTTATATCTAATTTATTTGACAATGCAAATGTGCTCCAATAAATCACTATGATTTTTACAAACATTTGGCTGTATCTAACAAGCTAATAATATACACGAATTCATCCTTACTTTTTCATAATGTTTGAAAATTTTCTATCAGAAAGATGAGAAAATCAACATTTCAAATATAAAAATACAGTTTATTGCGATATTTTTATTGATAAACTCGTCCCAAATCGAATTTATGATAGGTAATGACAGATACATTTATTTGGAGCACTTGAAAATGTAATCTTAGTACATTTTTGTATTAAATAAACAAATTATTAGTCGCGAGAGATGGCGAGGGACAGGAGTTTCGCACCCGCTGTATACGAGAGTTCACTGACCTATACCAAGGTTTCGCACAGTAGTAGGCAGGCAGACGTCTGACGTCATGTCGCTATGCGACGCCCCCCCTCCACTGCCACCATCATCGCATCATCATCATCAACATCAACATCGTCAACAACAGCAACAGCAGGTCAACGTACACAACCTTCATGGCCTACTTGTAGACGCACATTGAGCTCTATGTGTCAATGTCTAGTTTATCACCTAGAGTAACAGTTTATGTAATCTCTTCCCCACAACACAACGCACACCCAACTACCCCAGTCCCAGTTTGGTACGTGAGATTTTTTTCGGTCGAGACCATAGTAATGTTGAATAATTTTTAGATTGTTTAGCATCTTTTTACCCCTACAATGTTAATTAAATAGGTATGGGTAAAAGGCGGTGCCCAATCCATAATAGAAGTTCGGTCAGGTTGTTACGGTGATTATTTTATTTTCTTTATTATTATTATTATTTTTTTTGTATTCTTTAAATTATTGATTATACTAGATTATGGATGTTCAATACTTACTAATTAAATTTCGTAGATATAACTATTGTGAGTGGTTATTTAAATGTTAATTGTTTGGACGTTAATTGGACGACTAAAAATAATTGACTGTACAGAAAATTAATTGTATTATTTTGTATATACATTAAAAAGAATAAATAACATTTCCAATAACACCTTTTCAACTGACGAACAATGGAACCAAAACTTAATACAGAACTACACTTTTCTAAATATTGGGAATGATCTTTTGTGATGGAATGACAAATTTCTTTTCTTGTCTTCGTCTAAACTTATTTTGGAAACAATCCTAACTTTTATGTAAATCCTAATTGGGTGTAGTTAAAGGCCTTTAAAAATGACGTATTGCGAAAATAAGAGATGTCTTTATCAACCCTGTACAAATTGGCAACCATTTCAAATTTGATATCATATGAAAACTCTTCTATTGGTATTATAGTGAACATAAATCTAGAGCTCCATAAACGGACACATCCAAATATTTCACATATTTGCATATATTTTGTATAAGCATTTCAATAGACATATCACAATGCAAAAAATCTTATTCGAAGCTGGTTTAA